TTATGAATTTTCAGTTTTAACACCACCTGTATAATATAGTGAGTAATTAGTCACACAACAAGTGTGAAGTCGTGAATTAAGTCTAGTACCCTACTTTTGGACCACCTTTTTACACCAAAAATCATAATTTTCAACTATTAGTAACTCAACAACGAATGAATAAAATCAATTGAAATTTTCATTATAGATTTACTATATAATTATTGATGGATTCTGAAATTTTCAGATTTTTAATAATTTTATTGATTGAGAAATTGAAAGTTGAAATTACGATTTTCAATTTGTATTGGATTTACATACAAATTTGAAAATATTGAAAATCCTGAATAACTTTTCAACAAAAATTACTAAAAATAAATTATAATTTTTTTTGGGATTTTTAGATTAAATTTTATATAATATATCAATATTGTGAATTTTAAATAATATAAATGAATCTTTATTAATATTTTTAAATTTTACAAAGATTAAAAATTATAACATTTTGATTAGAAGGATTTTGGTAAAATATTTTTTCAAAATAAATTGATTTATTTGATCATTTATAATATAAATATTCGAAAAAAATTTATAATTTATTTTTAATTATTTTTGTTGAAAAGTTTTTTAAGATTTTAAAGATTTTGTAAATTTGTATGTAAATCCTATACAAATCAAAAATCATAAAATTTAAGGTTATAGATCTCAATGAAATTAATTCCAAAAAATCTAAAATTTTCAGAATTAAGTTATAACTATGTAATGAATCTACGATTCAAGTTTCATCAAATCCTATTGATTGGTTGTAAAGTTATTAATAGCTGAAAATCACAATTTTTGGTGTAAAAAGGTGGTCCATATTAGGGGTGGTCCAAAAGTAGGGTACTAGACTTAAGCGAAAAGCGGCCAGAGTGTTCTCTCCTAGCATAACTATCATTCTATGGCGAAATGTTATTCATACTTTCAGAAAGTATGAAGCCGAACGTTAAAGAAACCAGGTTATTTCTTTTGAAGTTCATCATCCCCCGTATACATGTAGGGTTTCGGAGTTGCCTTGCTTTGTGGTTGTATGAGTAGAACTAGCGTGGTCGCTGTAAACAAGTGTGCACAGTAGTCGAGCACTCAACCTTGTTCTGCGAGCACACAGATTTAGTGGCGATCTATGATATGTACATTATAGGTTTTAGCTTGTTTACGAAAAAGAAAACTGTAAATGAACAAATAACCTGCAACACACCCCAGGCTGCTGATATAATTTCACTGCTACTATCCCAATTCAAAGTCCCTCAGAACAGCCCAAAATCCAGACCTGCGACAAATTAACAAAACGTCTTCTGGCGTGCACATCACGTCGTCAAAAGCCCTATAAGAAACCTGGCGTTTAATTGATTTATTTGCTAGTTTGAAAACAGAGCACTCTATTTCTTGACCATACCCAAGGTTGATATAATCCTGAGAGAACTCATGTACTCTGTTATAGAACGCGGCGATATCAGCTTTCGGTCACGTTTCTATATTAAATTACAACACTAAAGTTGTCGTTATTAGCTTCAACATCTGGACTCTATCCTTTTGAAGAAAATATATATATCCTGCAACTCCTTCACATAGCCGCTGAATAAGATCATAAGGTTAACTCATGGGTGGTTCCGTTTTCAGACTTGCAACAAATCCGAATTCTCACCAAGCTATCTATAGTCCGCATGGAAACTCGCGTGCCTCAAATTCAGATGTGCAACATAAATTCATGTAATTATCATGCTTTTCCTATTGGTATGTTGCTACAAATTAGGTACAGATTCGCATGACTCAAACCATACCATGCAACGCAACGATTGGAATAGGTTAGGTTATCTGCGCTAAATAATCTTAACCTTATACGTTTGTAATAAACCGTCTGATGTGTGTTTCGGGCATGGCCAACATGTGGAGTTGAGTAATCAACTAACTACATTGATATCGAAATGAGCTAGCTCATTGATCATTGATCATTGGTCAATGAAGGAAGTTGCTGTATTGATTAGCTCATATATATACAGACAAATAAATTTGAGGCTATTCACAAATGAATTAAGCTCATATATTAATGTCCTAGTTTATTGGATAATAGACTAGCATAAAGGGATCCTAATCGAAAATTCAAAGGGGGAGAGAGGAAGGACGAGGCTACAGTCTCGTCATCATCTTTTAATCTCGCCGTAGCCTCTATTTTCAACGCCATTATCGTCATTCTTTTATACGTCCGTTAGTTTATTAATTCATAAATAACAGTGAACTTTTCTTATATAGGCTTTATAAACAAATTACTTTGTTTCCGAACAGCTTCACTTCTATTCAAACATGACGCGCTAACCAATACACTCCTCTGATGGACGCACTAGCAAAATTAATCCATACTCCAGAAGATATACAAAAATAGCCTTATACATATATATATATATACATAACTCAAGCAACATCTTACTCAAGAGGATATTCCCAAAAGCTATCCTAGATTCCCCACGGCACTTCACTTGCATATCATATCATAGCATTGAGAGCAGCAAGAAATGACAAGTAATTACTACTAGTAGGAAAAGATATTTAGAACACCGGGAAACCAAATGCCAACAGAGTCCCCCGAAAGACCTCATCTCATCGAGTGGTTTCACTAGGGATGTTAGAGTTTGGTGGTATGAATGTTGGTTGGTGTGTAGTACAGTTACGGTTATTGACTATAAGTGAGGATGAATTTGAATTTGTGTAATTCCTCCTGCAGTCCCAGAAAAGTAAAATCACTAACTAACCTAGCCAAACGATTTCTACAATCTCAACTTATCGACTTACAGGATTTGCTTTCAATCAATACTAACTAGCCAACTAACTAACTACTTAACATCCATCTCTGATCCATTCAACTCAAAACATTCCGTAACATTATCTACACCACAAAACTCAAGAATCGACAAATCTCCACCGCATAAGAACCATAAAAAAAAGCAAAAACCACATCAAAGGTTTATTTACAAGATATGCAACAAAACACCATTCATACCTCAATATTCCCAGCCATCAAAAACGTAAACCAGGTCAACAGAAAGCATAAATGCACGATACGCAGACAGGATTCCCCAAACCCAATAAATCTATCTATCTATCTATACCCGCTTCGAAGTGGATAGAAAAGGGTAATAAGTTCTAAGTTCAAAGGTATATTTTTCAGAGATGCAACAACAAATTGCTCCTGCAGATTCATGATTATATAAAGCTTACCAACAAATTTGAAAAAGTGGCTGTGAGTGGAAGCATGTTTTGAGATATGCAACAAATGGAGTTTTTAAGGCTTTCCATTTGATGAACTTATATCCAGGTGCGGCTGAAGTGGATGCGACGCCGAATGTCAAATTTTCAGATGTGCAACAGAAGCTGCATGTACTGCTTCGTTTGATGTATATCTGAAACTTAATATCGGCTGACTCGAGGCATATTTTGAAGATATGCAACAAGAGATGCTCAGAGTCGTCGTCTAGGTTTCATGCGCAAGAGCTAGGCTGGGTTGGCTCACTTGAACTGAAAAGTATATTCATGAGATGTGCAACACGTCGGCTAGAAGTTCTGCATTACTCGATACAGACGACAAACTAAGAAATCTGCTGGCTGGGTGGATATAGAGTGGTTTCAAAGTATATTTTAATGATGTGCAACAAAGACGTAAAAGTTCGATATGATTTGTCAGTGGAGACAGCATTGGGCTTGCATGGAATATTGTTATACTGGACCGAAATGGGAAAATTCCGCATGTGCAACTATGGTAAGAGATCGAATTTGTACTGGGATGAAATTTAACAGTCTTCTCTTCAATTGAGATAGAAATTTTGCCACATACAACAAACATCATTCCAACTAATGACAGTGACCCGTCCAGGTCATAGACTTGTTATTGTTGGGTCATGCATGGCTAATTCCTGAGGTAGGGTTTACGTCTTGAAACTAGTCCGACCTGTAAACTTCAATGTACGCAACGAGTTTTTCGCTTACTATAGGTGTTAACAATAGCATGGCTCCAAGAAGGAGAAAACAGAGAATATTCAGGGGATAGCTAAAGTGTGTTTTAGAGATGAGCAACAAAAGTCTGAAGTGGCTTCGTAATTGGTGAGTAAGGAACCTTCCCTTGGTTCAAACAATGTAGCCATGCGCTGTATTGTGGAGATGTGCAACGAACTCTCCTGGAAGTATCGAACCCGAGTAATTGGTGACGAATATGGTTGAGCTTCGGGGATGCTGAACTTTATTTCCCATGTTGCAAAACCTTTCATAGAGTTTCATGAAAAGCGTCACGATTCAAAAACGCCGAGGCGGCGGAAAAGGTAAATGAAGTAGAAAAACTATAACAGAAGGCTACGTACGAAGGATTACCTTCGGTAATGCTTCGGCAACAATGAATAATAGTGTTTACTCAACAAATACTCTCGGAAGAAAAATCTTTTGCATTGATGATTTTCCCGGCGTCAAAGTTTAAACATTGAGTTTATCCCTACGAAAGGAATTTGATTGGTCTGAATGCACTTCAGGGAATACCATATAAAAATGAAGGGCTGAACCAAAGTCTTAGGTGGGGGAATTTGCGCGTCTGCTAGCCAAAGATTGAACATATCTGTGAGATGATCGGAAAATGGCCTAGTAAAGCTAATGATATCACGATTTGAAACTCCGCGTCAAATCGGAGGAGGTACAACGCATAAATTCTTTGCACAGGTATATATTTCTCCACGGATCGCATGATTCACCGGAAACATCTGATGAGGATCAAACGATGATGTACAAGACATCAAACAAAGCTGACCTTCTGCAAGTACAACAAGTCAAAAGACACTGTGCAGTCATTAGAACCCCTGGGCAGTATTTACGTGGGGAATAAAAGACCTCCAAGGGCTTGATTGATACAGTTTTACATAAGCACTTACATCCTCAGTCGCTTAATGAGATGCTAAAACAATTTAAAGGCCAAACTAAAGAACAACAAACAACGTCGTATTGCAGCTCACACTTGTGGAATTGTAGACAGGAGTCTTTGATGCGGTGTCGTATTTTGAGTTCGATATCAACTGTATTTTCCACGAAGAAGAAGCTACGGGCGGGAATTTCCCAATTGGAGCATCTAGAACATTAATTCAGCAGAATTAGGAGGCCCGAGAATTGAAAAATGACCACATCATGCTTTCTGCTTTGTTAATAACGATAAGCGGGTTTCTGATATATGGAAGCTTTCCAGAATACGAAATCAGAAAGATTTGAGTTCACAATTGCTTCTTAAAGTTATTATAATGCCACATTGAGATCTCAACAACCTAAAAAGTAGCCGATGAGTTGCGTATTCGGGAAGGTGCAAATGTGAGAAGCTTACTTTACAAAGCAATGCCCAAACGCAGTCTAGCATTACAACGTAAAGTTTAGACCACTACACTCAAAATTTGAACCATATCCAGCAGGTCACGAGGAGGCTATATCTCGTCATGAGAGGATGACAAAAACAAGAAAACCTTGCCAAATATGATTAATGCGACGCTTAACTCTGTTCCATAGACTCTTGGCAGACATTGATCGATGAGTCGGCGTGAGGTTAACACTTACCAGAAGTTTAACCTAAAGATACTGGTGGGGCGTAGACACTCACGTGCTAGCAAGGTTGTGCTGTTGACATATCAAGACTCATTTAGTGGCAATGTGATTGGTGAAAGTTAACTTCTGAGGCTCCGTATAAGTCTTGAGCTGCTGCGATATTAATCCCCCCGGGCCGCCGCAGAGCATATGGCAGAGACTTTGAACGTACCAGAAATAAGGAAATGGATAACTGGTTGCAAGTAAGTCTAGCAGGCTGCAACCCTAATGATGCCAAAGGTATGGAATACAGTAACCTACAGAACGCACCGTCTCGAAAGTCGAGAAATCGAACAAATATCGCAAAAGTGTGCAATTGTGTAATTGATGAAGGTTAATGGCATGAATGTTCTTAAAAAGTTTAAAAACGATCGCAACAATGAATCTGCGTGCGATAAGTATATCACGTGTATTGCGGGGTATAGTTGCATCGCGCGGCCTTTCTAGAACTGGAAGTCTTCTATGACAGGGATCGAAAAACCCCTGTTTACAAAATAGTGAGATTAGTGATCAGCAAGCCTCCAGTCATCGTGCTAAACTATGCAGGGGGATCCAAACCTCAAACCTTGGTACCTTATCACTTGATATTCATGCTGGAAAAAGTGGATAATATCTCGCAGCATTCAAGAACAGTGTATGATCAATGTGGTTCTTGGCCTCAAAGATCCTGATGGGCTCTCAAGATCAAGGTCAGAGAAAGTCTCTGGACGGAAAAATGAACCATTGTACGGAAAATGTCCCAGGATTTGTGAAGATAAATGATCTCCCATATGTGAACCCGCAGCCAGTGTTTCCTGTAGTCACTTGAACTGACCGACTTGCGATCGCATTACCAATTTAGTTCGTCGTTGCGTCTCCCGTTTGTTGCCCAATTTGCTCTTAATTCCAACTCATGTGATTTTTCATAATCTCAATCTCACCACGTCAACTATCCCACCTCCCCAAAAGGTTTCGCCTACCGATCTTCTATGAATCGCTCCAAGCTGTCTTTAAACCCCCTCAACAGCCCCTTAGATCCAGATCTCAAGTATCTCTGCAATCTTATCGCTATTCCTGTGACCCTGCCCAAGAACTGCATATGTCCATTCCATATATACTGCTCACGAGGAGGTCCTCGTGGCCTCTTCTCTGCTCTCCCTGCCCCTTCTCTGCTCCCTCCCCTAACTTCATCACTCCTCATCAAACTTCATCCACTTCACATCCACTCCCGCCTGTCTCAGATATTTCACCGTACACCCATTATAAACTCTATGAAAGCTCGCTTCCTCAGTCTCCATTAACACTTTAGACCCTCTCAGATTCTTAAGTTTCCTCGTCGGCTCCCTTTGCAACCAACATTCCTCCAACTCGTCGTCTCTATCATTTTCATTCCTAACAAGCACTTTCTCCAACACTTCTCGAGCCCCCAATTGCGTTTCATATTGCAATGGAATATCGGTGATCCCGCACTTCCTTGTGAGTCCACCCCGGCGTCGTTGAGGGAAAAGTACGTCTTAGAATGGAGTGCCAGTCGGCTCAACCAAGACAGTGGCTTCGACTAGTTCCGGAACCTTGACCACTATAACCATGACACAAGACCGCTTTATGAATGACTCGATAGAATTGCTGGAACTGTACGATTGAGGAGTGCTGCGCCTGCGTTTTGCATATCTATCTCTTGAATTACGTATCGGGTTGAAAATGTGCATTTGAAGCGTAGAAGGCGTCAACAATGGGGTCCTTTATTGAGCCATTCTATCGCCACAACCGCCGGGATTAGTGTACTCAGTCGTTTGCAAATACTCGATACTCGCTAAAGTATAAAGTAAATATAATAAAGGTAAACCTACGACAGCGCATTGATTATGCAACCGCACTTGAGGGCATAATCCATATGTTTCCGTCTACGTAAATCTCTCCAAGTTCTCTTCATGCGGATAACTTATCAATGTCGTATTGCCACTTGGATTCCAAGCGCTTCTAATTCTTGCCGTCTGGTCTAGGAAATATATTTCGTAGTTACGGGATAAGAATTAAGTCGCCCATCCTGATGATCCATTGCGCTTTATTGAGCCAATTCTTTTCGAAGTTAGATTTGAATACATAGATATGAAGCTTATGCAATTAAGGAAGATATTTAGCGAGGACTAAAAGGAGTGTACGTACAGTGCCGGTCATCCCCTGACCATGGATAAAAACGATGGGATAAGGCTGTTCGATCCGAATTGGAACAAGTGTTCCACATACGTCTGATTAACGAACAAAGTAATATTGATTGAGGTAGTAACATATTCACCACCACCATAAGAATAATTTCTTTACGCAAGGGCTTTAGTGGTTTGAGATTCACCATGACATTGGTAGATTGAGGCAGACCCTACGTTCCAAAGAGCTAGGAAGAATACGAAAAACGGTAATCGAAATAACGGATGATACATAGTGGCCTACAAAGGGCAATATTTAGAGCATCAGCAATGTAATGATATAAGAAAATGAGTATAGCGATCGTGAGTAGTATCGCGACGTTGAAAGAAAGTACTCGCTTACAATATCATGCGGCTGTACAATTGGATCTGCATATAGCACGGATACATAAGGAACGCGAACAAGGAATACTATGCCAAGTAGATCGCCGTCTTACATATCCGCAAAGGGTTTCCTGCAGTTTTACCCTTGTGTTGTACGACTCGAGACCATCAAGACGTCGCTAGAAAGCTACCCCGCACTTTCTTAACACGGGCCGAATATGAAGCCGAGTTTCTCTCTCAATTAAAGGTTACGATTGGTCAATATCTTTAATGAAGATGTGTGAGGATACACGAATGCTTGTAAGACTTATAATGTAGGTTGAATGTTGAACAGCCTATCTGTCCGACAACTAATAACACAAAAACATTGAGGTCGGGCCTACTTTATTGCAGAATTTTGATATACGAAGTCTAGATCACAGTGTGAAAAAATGCAAAGACAAGGCGATGCCATCGTGTATAATGCTGTGCAAATATTGAATTTGGTGACGATTAAATCTATTCTGCATACTCTTACGAAGCTACATGAAAGGAAAGAACAAGGCAATGCAATTGGTAATCCTGCGGCACCCAATGATGAACCGTTGCCAGAACCCCAAGCCCACTGGCTTGCTTGATAAAAAATTATCACAAGTAACAGAGACCGACTTTGACAATGGCGTGATTACGACGAAGTCAAAGGTAGACGACGCACTTGGCGAGTGAACAAGAAACAGCACACATAATAGTTTGGTAGAACAAGGAAGACTTCAATACAGGAAGCCGTATTCTACATAATGGCAAAAGAGACAAGCCCGAGTCGCCGCGAAACCAAAGCCCATCAAGGTAGAATAAGAACATAGAAATGTGAACTTTTACAAGGGAAAGGAGAAGTTTCACTTCACAGCGCCGCAGCAACAGTGCAGGCAAACTCCTTCCACTACCAACTACCGGATGGAAGGGCGATGCAGTCCATTTTGGGCTTATCTTTACTAGGTAGTGATAAAATTGAAAAATGTTGGTAGAAGAAAATGAACATCTTAAATCGAGCGCAGCGAGCTATGGGTTTTGGGCCTTGCCCACATGATAATGAATCTCATAGCTACTAATAACTACTCTACCAACAGTAAAAAAATTCGAAAGAAATTCGAGCGCAGCAAGGTATGGTGGTTTGAGGCTGTATATGTTGCGGTCTCGCGATATCGATATTACCAAACATGTAAGAAAGGTTACGTTCGAGATATCGACAAGTAAAGTAAAATCTTAGATCGTGGAATGAAATGCCAAAAAGAATGAAGAAAAAGAAATGACAAACACATACAACAGTAGGGATTCGCTGGTGGTCACCCACCCAACTACTAATCTACCGATCTGAGGCTTGTGTATGGCAGAGCGGACGGGATGCCCAATTCTCCTCAGTCTATGGTCGTATGTGTCAGGAATTCTTGTGATTGGCATTATATTGTATTCTAAGGGATCAGAGCTTGTGCGTAAGTCGAAGCTGATCAAACTTGGCGGGGTAGCGGATCAGGTACGGGATTGAAATGATAGTCGGGGTCAAAGACTGAAGACCAGAAGACATCATGAAAGGCACCCCGAGATGCAAAAATCGAGGGTATCTTGCGACATTATTGGAAGAATTGTTTACTATAGATAATTAATTCCAGAGACAAAGGATGTGTGTTGGGAAAGGAGGGTATATGTTGACGAAGGGGTTGCGTGTTGAATGCAAATATCAAGCCAGAACCAACAGGGAGTGAGTGATTAAAGCCAGTATCTCCTTGACTTAAATAGTCAACTTGATCAATCCAGGAACACCCGTAGCCTATAAATTTTGTTTAGGAAAACTTCACATGCCCTGGAAGCTTGAAAGACCCGTATCCAAGCATGAGCCGTGTCAGCTCTCAACCCCCGAACTTTCAAAATTAATACTTGGGCATCAGACTTGCGGTATATTTTTACAAGTAATAGCTGCGATTTAAATCCAAGACTGGGATGATATGGGTGATGGTTCGAGTAATTTGTTCGAAGAGAGGGGGGAGGTAGCAAATGAGTCCGTAATGCTTGAAATTCTGCCGGTAAATATGTTGGAGAATCGAGTGACTGATTCGTGAAAAAATGTCAAGAACATAGACAGATATGATTCGAGTGTATTCATATTCCGATAAGACATTAAAATTCGATCTAAGGCTCCGCACATTGCGACCAAAAATTCATGTATTCTGCGTATAATCCGAGGGTATCAAATATCACCGTCCAACGCCTGCCCAACTTGCTTTTTATTTACATGACCAACGCCGTATAACATAGAATAATCCCCTATTCTTGGTAGTAGTGACTCGGAAGTCGTATGTTTTCGCTCCCATACAAGGGCATTTTTGATCATGAAGATTGAACCGGCTCTGGTGCCGTCGTATTGTCGGTCCACTCGAATTCTGCACAATCAGTCAATATCTTTTGCGATGATCTCCTCGACTCTCAAATGATCTTACTCTGTCTGCACATGGGACATTGTCCTTTAGAAGAATCCTGTTTAATCCACTCTACTATGCAATGCTGAATCTTTGTCAATGTTTGTTTCGTCAATCAGTGTGATGTCGAAACTAACCATATGGAAATTGTGCCCGCATTTCCCTGATACTATTTTCGACTCATAAGTAGCTGTACTGCAAGATCGTGAATGCAACACTGTGAAGAATGAGAAAAATCGTACACAAACTACAGTCATCGCCAGGATATTTGCAAGTAGGACATGTCCCATCGAAATGTACCTGACAAATACCACAGACATCATCCTCATCAAGATCCCACCTCCAAGTAGCGACGGCATTCCACGTTCTGATCTTAACTTTCATTTTCTGAAAGCGCGGGCTTTGCCAGCTCAACTATTTGCGAAGCTTGAGATATTATTAGTGAAGTAGTTTCCGATGATAGTTGTGTTGCAATGCGTAAGCTCATGAATTCCTCAGTACGGAGTAAATAGTTGCTTGTTTTGTCGGGGTTGCGATGGGCAGCTCCTTCTTTTTGCTTCTTCGATAAGAACGGCGAATTAAAGCTCCGATAAGCTTTTGGTGCTGGGGCTGGTGGGCTGAACAAAGTTACGTTACTCAAGAAACTCCAACACCAAACAACCACAAACCAAAAGCTCATTGCATACAATTTACTCACAAATTTTAATCTTTGTTGCGAAGTCAAAACCTTCATTGTTCAAAGCTGAGCTCTCCCTGCTCCAACAGATCTCGTTATTCCTGATTTTAAAAAGGATTTGGATTTGGTAAATCTCAAGTCGATGATAAACTTTTATTAATCTGCGATAACATCATATCTGCCATAATGGCAGCATCTTTACTTTATCGACGAGCTCCCATCTTGAGCTCTTTCTCTTACTCACGACAACCTCTCACTTCCACCTTTTCGAAATACATCACCATGTCATCTCATCGATCATTCTCGTCATATCTCGTCACTCCAGCCGAGCTATCCGAAGCCCTCAAAAAGAATCCCGCCTCCAAGATCTCCACTTCTCCCCGCACCGTCGCTCTCTGCTCAACATGGTTCCTTCCTACATCTCCCCTAAATGGTCTTCAAACTTACCGCGAAAAGCGAATTCCCTCTAGTCGTTTCTTCGATCTCGATAAAGTATGCGACAAACGTTCTCCTTATCCTCACATGCTTCCAGATGCTAAAACATTTGCGTCCGCCATGAGCGCGTTGGGAATTCGCAGAGATGATACAGTCGTAGTATACGACTCACATGAGCAAGGTCTATTCAGCGCACCGAGAGTAGGGTGGACATTGAAGGTTTTCGGACATCCAAGTGTACATATTTTGAACAATTTCAAATTATGGGTGGAAGAGGGGTATCCAACTGAAAGTGGGGAATTCTGGGATGTTGATACTTGCGCATATCCGATTCCACAATTGGATGAAAGCAAAGTTGCGGATTTCGAGGAAGTTAGTGAAATTATTAAGGATACTGGTAAAGAGGGAGCGGAAGGAGTGCAAATATTGGATGCGAGAAGTCATGGAAGGTGGACAGGAAAGGATCCAGAGCCGAGAGAGGGATTGACCAGTGGTCATATGAAGGGTAGTATTAGTCTTCCCATGGGGGAACTGTTGGATCCAAGTACCAAGACTTTGTTACCTGCGGACCAGTTAAGAAAGGTGTTTGAGAGCAAGGGGGTTAATCCGACAAAGCCTATTATCAGCAGTTGTGGTACCGGTGTAACAGCTACGATTATTGATGCTGCCCTGGCAGAAGCATATGGAGAGTCTGGTGTGAGAAAGGTATATGATGGAAGTTGGACGTACGTAAATCCCGTCTCCTTTTTGTTTTCTCTTTCACTTAACTAATAGCAACAGCGAATTTGCTCAAAGATCCAAGATCTCAGATGGATTAATCGTCAAGGATGAATAGTTTATTGCATTTTAGCGTTTCCGGAAAATATACCCACTCTACTCAGGAACTTTGAACATGATGATATCTATGATGCAGTTCAGTTGCGCATGGTTCAGCAATGCAATTAGTTACTGATTTCCAGCTCTGCGAATAATAAGGTAGCACACGGTGGGAACTTGATATTGGGGAGGAATAGATGCATATGAGGGTCAGTTGACGAAATATTTTGATGGATGGTCAGAGGACGTGTATCGGAGTATTAAAAAAGTCACATCTCTCCTAGCAGTCCCTGTTTCTGTGTGATATTTTCTCTATCAAAGAGTGAGGTCCTTGTTTGAAGAAAGTTTAAATACGAAAAAGCCATTTAAACAACATCGAACGCGCTCTTCGTTACTTCCTGCTTCGCGCAAAGCTCTCATCGCAGTACTCCATAATTCAGCAATACCGCCTATACCTTAACCCTTAACCCACTTCCTTTAAGCAACACCAAAATAGCTGTTATTGTCTAACTATCATTGTCAAGTGACGCCGACAAATTCCTCATTGCAATTACAATTGCATATCTAATATTGATAGCATCACAACACAAATTCCTATACTACTCTTACTCTCTTCTCTTAAGTCTTACTACCCTCCACTCAACTACTCAATCATCTCCATGCTCATCTTGCCAAACCACCTTGCTCAGCAGCGACGACTAGGAAACTTTAGACTCCTGTCTTTACGGCACGTAATCTGCCTTTCTTTTGTTTGGTGATTAGAATGAGGAGGTGGGGAGGGGTCTCGTGTAGTAATCTTTAGTTCTATGCATGTCTCAGAAGTTGCTGGAAGTGTTTGCTTTGATTTGGGTTGTATTTGAACGGGGAGAGAATTTCTCGGTTTTGTGCGTGGAGTTGTTTTGGGTTGGTTGGGAGGGGGTGAAGGAGGTTGGTTTTATGTAAATGGTTAGAGTCTTTGAGTTTGGTAACTTTATCTGCGTATTTTAGTTTAATATGTCAAGTAAAAATGTTATATAGGAATGGAGATAATGGTCTCTATATGTCGTGAGCTCGGTAGCTTCATGAACCAATGCTATTTCGAGTCTGTGATGTCGGATTTGCGGGAAATTTAGTTAACGATGTTCTTATTATTATCCAGCACGGAGACTTATTATTATACCTATACCACCAAATACAATATCACTTCGTCAAGTATTTTACTGCCAATATATCAAACTAGTATCCCAAGAATCTGTGTTTATCAATCGCATATTTAATCCAGCTAGCACTTCGCCAACATAAAGTGGTTAGAATAACTTCCAGTGTCATCCTCAAGCGTGCCAGTAGGTTTTGGGGAAAGCATACCGATCGATTAGTTCTTCTGTGGTCAGAGACATTAGCTTATTGTTATAATCTTTCGTTATTTTTATACACGACTTCCACTCCATTTCCCAGATTGTTCGTCTCTATTATCAAACACTTCCGCCAAAATATCACTTTCTTCCTCATAAATATGCATCTTATGTAACCATGCGAAACAACTCTATATAATATGTGTATGGACCATCTATACATCATCTCTCTATATCTAGGGTGTCTTTCCAAGTAAAGTCAAAATGCAGTCGCGGCTCCCCCGGGTGAACAAAAACAAAAGGGCGAATAGTTATTCTACATGCTTTTTGCGAGGAGCTCAGTACCGCGAATCTTAAGCTTATTTTATGCGTGAGTGTTATCAATGGGTTGTAAGAATGAGCCGGGGAAATACTAGGTATAGTGAGTTTCCTCTTCCTCTCTTCATTGAATCTTGATATACGTAGCCAGCGGAAATCGTGTATTTGGTGTAATTAATGTTGTGAAAACTAAAGGGGGGCTCATTCTAGGATTAAACAAAAGTTCCAACATCGTGAATAATGATCCCTCTATCATGGGGAAAGTTACTGGTGAGCTAGGTTTCTCATTCCTACTAGCTCTTGAGATTTTTGGTTTCAAAATTTCTTTAATTGCTGGTTTTGTATCACTATTTAAGTATCGTTCCTTTTACTTTGCCTATCTTTAGCATAGGATAATACCACTCAATGATATATGAATATATGACAATACTCAAAAATAGAAACGACGATGGTAGCTAGTAGTTATCTTAAGCCATTAAACTATATCTACCGCCATATTTCTTCTGTGCATTATACCTTCAACAACGAGAATTAGTAGACATCCCCCGAAAATTACACATGTCTGCATCCCAGTAGCGGAAACCATCAGTCCCAACCAATATTTGTGCTGTGAACTTTACAGACTATTTTCTCGGCCATGCCTTGTGCTTTTATGCCCAAGTTCCCATGGCTATTGCGTAACTTTTGTGGTAGATAAACTCCCACACTTTCTTCAACTTGCTAGTCAAATATTGGGAAATCTCTCTTGAGGATTGAGCATAAAAGCCGCTGTGCAGGAATTCAAGAGTTTGATGCCAGATTTGAGCCATCCGAGCTGTGATACTTTCAGTCGATGGATGATTCTGAGTATTGTAAAAGTGGTAGGTCGAGATACATGCGTCCCGATAGCATGCTGTAAGGGGGAATTGGAAGAGAAAGCTGATTGGATTACATCGTAATACATCACTTATGGAGGAAACGAGGTTCACAATAGTTTTGGGGTTGAAGTTATATAGATTCAAATATATATATGTAGAAGGTTGGTTATTGTGAAAAGGAGAGACAAAAGCTTTTTTTTTATATTTAACTATAGGAGATCATGTGATTGATTGGTTAAAAACCTTTATGTATTTGGCTTATAATTCCAAATTTCTCACAATATAAGCACAAGATCTGCTTTTTCAACTCTTCTTCTTCGTTTGCCATGTCCTGACTAGTTGCTTGCAAATTCTCATATACCTACCTAGCCTAGAACGAAAAGTAAACTTTTGAAGCTCGGGATACTTTTCAAGACTTGATTGGGTTGGGTTGTTTTGGATTGTTTATGCTGCAGATTTGTTTTGGGTAATGGATTTGCTTTTATGCACAGAGATGAGGAGTCAATGGGGTAGATTGAGCGGCTGCTAATTCAATGGTTTTCTTGGCCTTTTATTGCTCGATTCGGAGCTCTGGAATATTTGAGGTTGCCATTATGGGTGAATTTGCACTCTTTTTGGGATGTGGATCTATAAAAAGCACCATTTATATCCTCCATCAATATCGTCACGCAGTTCCATGACGCAAGGAAACACTGGAAGGAGCGTTGGTCTGTCTCAGGTCTTTATTTTTATATTGCAGTCCTTTGGTCATAGTAACGAACTTCTGTTCCTTTTATTCTTTGAGTTTTTCTCGTGAAGCTTTATATCTGCTGTCATGTTGTAGTTATTGGATCATGGAATGAAATATATATAATGATAGACAGAATGTTTTGATGGTGCTGAAAATACTTATTAATAACAAAATTGTTTATTCATAAGAGTCTATCACTTTCAACAAAATTCTAGGTATCATCATCACTTTTTATATCTCAGGAATTAGAGAGCAATTAGCCCAGCGGACGAGGAATATACAGTCCCGCTCTTCCCTCGAAAAGTAATCCTGTGCCAAGTCTTACCTGTGTAAAAGTGGAAGATTATCTCCTTGAACTACTCTTATATGTATTCACCAAACGAAAAATAAAACATACAGTGCTTGCATTTGAGCCTTTCATTCACCAATCCCCATCTAGTTCTCTTTTTCTCAAGCTCCTTGGCTCCTCTTTCCCCTTTCTCGACCGCAAACCCATGGCACGCACCTTAAAATTCCGAGTACTGAATCTATTCTCCTAGATTAGGAAAACATGTCTATAAAAGCATTCTTTATCCGCATTCTGCTGTATGGTATACCGAATCAACTTCATTTGGCCGATGTCAGGATTTTGGGGAGAAAGCTCGTGTCAATGCACTAACTAGCAGGCCCAGAATTACTTACTCGGATGTTTTTCTCGGGACTTGATAGAAGTGCATTTAGTATTTGTATTTGGAAAGGTTTGAATACTGAAATTTTGCTGTTGTGAAAGGTTCTCATGTTAAAAGTAATTGGTAGACGGCAAGAATTCGTTGGAAATTGTTCTCCCCGTTTCCGGCGATGCAGCTCACTTGAAGGGTCGGTTCCCAACATAAGGCTGATCAAATGAATAATGTTTAGACATCTAGTTACAAATAGCGATTTTTCAGCATCCATATATAATGGCACTTTGAATAACCTTTCAGTCCTTCTAGAGATCTAGAACTCCCCAAAAGATAGCACCGTAGCACATTTATCTCATTTACCGCATATTTTTTCTTACTATTCACTTCAAGCCCCGTCATACACTGACTTGCAATATTGGTAAATGACCCCATTCACTCTGTTTTGCTTCATGAATTGAAAACAACTAGTTTTGAGGGTCCCGCAGCCTAATAATTTCTTTACATGTCTATAAATGGATAATTAATTAACTCTTCGTCGCTTGAAATACATCGACCATTAAGATGTCAAAGGGGTCGATACACGGGCTTTCTCTCAAAATGAACTTCAATAATTCACATATTCGGTGGATCAAATAATTTATATCATAACCAGGAAATTCCCTAATATTTCTCTAGCAAATAGTCGATATCTCAATAATGAGGTTCGGATGACTATGAAGGTTTTAAAACAAAAGATAGTGAAAATTCAAAGCTCGACAGTAACAAGTGTCTTTCACCAAGCATTCGACAAGAGCTCTATTTCTATCCCTCTCCCTCTTATTCCTTTCCCTATTACCATGTCATGACAAATCCAAAGTCTGAAGGATCACTGCAGATTCCCCGAGCGTATATGTACCGGATTTAACTCTAGGAGGGTTTGTTCTATTTTTGATTTATGAATTAATGGGTAGCTACACGATGAGTAGCTGCAACTTATATGCTGTTATGAGACAAAAATAGATAAGACTTAGGATAAGAGGGTGCTGGGATGAGGGGATACTCGTATCTATTGAGGCTTTGAGGAAGCTATTCACTACAAATTCCCTGTATAATGTGCGAATGACTTCACTTCCGCTATCTTGCCGAGTGGCGGGTATTATACACATCTCAGGCAGTTTAGGAGATAAGTGTTTATAAAAGTACACTCGATGCTAATTTGGTGAATCAGAACCGCGTCTCCAGGAGAGAACATTCTCCGTGTCTGCAGAAAGAAAATTTGTGGAGTGGGTGAGGTTTCCAGTCGCGTGCGGGAGAGTTCTGTTAGGCATCGGAAGGTTTTGTTCAGATTCATCTATTTAAATTTACATACTTGAGACTGCAGTATTACCCCTAATCAAGCGAGGAAGACAGGGGTAGTAGTCCTTGATCTAATACATGTCTGAATTGCGAGAAAACATTAATAGATATTGATATCTATAATAAAGAAGTTATTTATCTTTTATTTTCTAATTGATTATATAATTTGTTATTTATTATCATTCAGCCCAAGACTTTAGATGAGAATATATAAATTCAATGATGATAAAATATTAAACTTTAATAATAATAACAATAATAAATTATTTTTAATATTTTTTAAACTTTATATTGTTTTCATTATAAAATTAATGATATCTTTCTAAGAGAAAACAAAATTAAATATACTCAAGTATTATAAATTTAATTAGAAAATCATACTTGTTTTATTATATATATTTTATTATAATATATATTCAAGTTGTTTATAGATTTCAAATCATTTTTATATTTATATTTTTATAATAATATATAAAGATTTTTATATTCTCTTTTATCAATCTATACTTCACTTTAATTTAAAATATTTATTTTATATATCTTTGTTTTTAACAACTAATAAATAATATTCCTATCCAATATTTTATCTGAAGTATTCTTATCTATATAAGAGCATCTCGCTCTCAAATTACAAATCTCCAACTAACTTGGTTTTTATGAGTACTCTTTCATTTTATATTTCTCAAAAGTTAATATGATTATTTATTTAATATACAATTCTATATCATTATATCAATTCCCACTTTAGTAATTATATAATTTATTTTGAATATCGTTTGATATTTTTAAAAAAAACTTTCAAGATCCTTAACAAAATATATCTAGATATCGATATGAAAGATTTTCACCGTCTTCTAATAAATATTGTTATTCTCAATATTTTTTAATTATCTGAAAATCCTATTTAATATATTATTTGAGTATTATATACTTAAAAGGGTCCTCAACCTTTAAATAATATAACATTCTAATTTTCATCATTTATTAACTAAAATTACAATATCATATATTAAAAGAGCAAACGACATCTTATAACTCTCTATTGATACAATGAGGAAGCGAAAAGCGAGAATGTTTAAGTGAATAAGATGACTAAAAACCAGAAGTCACAGACTGGATTACTTTACTCGGCTATCCCCATGCTTACAATATATTTGTCTCATTCAGTCAAGAAGTGAATACTCAACCATCACCCCTCTTTCTAATTTATCCCACAGCTACAAGAGTTAAAGCCTTATATTATAAAAGCATTTCATCTACACTAGCTTTTAAAACTAAATATAGGAAATCTATCAAATGTAGAATCGAGTTATATAAATATATCAATTGTTATAACCACAGATCTTATACTAACCGATTGTGTGTTTACGAGATACGATTTGAACGATTTAGTATAGGATTGAAGTGGTGTACGGAACAAATATACACAAACCTTGTTAAGCTTGGATCTATAATAATTACAGGGTTATATATTGAAGTATTGAAGGTTTGAAGGCTTTTACACTCCAAAGGAATAATGAAGGTTCGAAAACTCTATAGCTCCTAGATACGAAGATCTATATAGCCAGGAAGGATTCCTTATTGTAGAGCTTCGTACTCAAGATCAATCATTTAATATACTTTACTATTAGTTACGAATTGCAATCATTGATATTACCTTAAGCCCCTGCTTGACGCCTAATTATAAACCATTCGAGGATCCAGGCCACTTCCACATGATCTAGATCGCATCCTCGATCAGATCGTTACAATAATAATTATATAATTATATATAGATTATATTTAAAAATATAATCAAACTCAATATCGATTATAATTTAATTTTTTAATTTAATCTATATAATGAATACTATTATTTTTATATTTATTAAATCTAATTCTTTATTATAATAATCAAATCTTATAATTTATTAATAAATAAAACTTAATAAATATAAAAATAATAACATTAATTATATAAATTAAATTAAAAAATCGAATCAAATTAAACAATTTGATTATATTCTCAAATATAATTTTATTTAAAATAATTATATTAATCTCAATTTCAATATAAAATTTTATTTAAATAAAATTAATAAATCTTTAAAAAAAAAATAATTAAAAGTTTAAATAAATAAATAAATAAATAAATAAATAAATAAATAAATAAATAAATAAATAAATAAATAAATAAATAAATAAATAAATAAATAAATAAATAAATAAATATAATAATTTTATAAAATATATATTTTAAATTTTATATTAAATTAAATCATAATCACAACGAAAAAAAAAAACTAAAAAAAAAACTGTCGGTACATCATGTGATCAACCTCGAAAGGGAGCCGTACACAAAGGGAGCCGTACGACTAGTACATTCTAGCCCGTACCCCTTTCAATATAAATAGGTCTCTCTCCTCTAGATAGATAGTAATCATCCATGAACAAATACAAGAAGATAATACTATGCATTGCATCGTATCACCAAAGTGATACCAACAAAAACATATATTCAAACCCTATCATCATCACCATCATTGTGATAATAATAATTCTATCAATTCTCCACGCCAGGTATGTGCTAGGTAGGTAGGTAGGTGTTCAATTCATTCAAGTCCAGGCCTGCTCATCTCATCTCATCTCCCGTAACCTCATCTCATAACCTCCTATCTCATCTCTCATAACTATCCATCCATTCATGGTATAATGCAAACTCAAACTCCTTTTCAATTATAATCATAATGAAAAAAAAAATCATATCAATGCAATGCGATGCATGTGTATGCCAATTTATCACAATTCCCATCCCATCCCATCCCATCCCATCCCATCCCATCCATCCCTCCCATTCCAACCAAAGAGTTATCAATGCGAGACCATTGAAACATCCAAATATATATACCGGCGCCATATTCTAAATATGAACTTTCATAATTAACTCCATCATGCATATGTAGGAAAGAAACCGAAACTCCATCGCTAAACCAATCGAAATGAAAATCTATCTCCTTCCATCCTTCTAGTTCCACAACATCATCATCAACCCTCACTATTCAACCACTCAAACTCTCCCCTACTCAACTCATTTTCCCCACCTCTCTCCAAATCTCTCAATCCAATTCTTCTTAACAGTCCACATCCGAGCTCTTTTTCCCCAAATATACATTGGTATACTGGCCGCCATCAAAATTAATTGAATAACTCCTAACCAAATAAAAACACTCTTACTTCCACTTCTCTCCAACCATTTCGTAAAGAACAAACTGAATACCAATCCATGAAAGATATTCTTACTAAAGTTCAAAGTTACTAATGCTTCTCCTGCATATTGTCGATAACTATCCACACAGAAAGTGATCGCTGTTGTTGAACCAAGAGAACAACCAAATGAGATAATACCGAAGAAAATTGTTGGTACAATCCATTTATCATGAACATGAGCTGACCAGCCAAAACCCATTAATCCAATAACGGTGGTAAGTGCGACTGGTGCTGCCATTATCAGACGGAATTCAGGTTCATATAGACCTCCATTACGACGAGACATGGCGCGTACAATAACATCACTGACTTTACCAGCAACAGCCGTACCTAGTACACCACCAACAAATGGTGAGATGTAGATTAAACCAGTTGATAGAGCAGAGAAGTTGTAGGTTTCTTTTGTTCGATAAATGACGGCGACAGATTCGGATAAAACGATGAGCCAACCTATTGAACAGGCATATACAATAGAAGACCATAAAACAGCCGGATATGTGAATAAAATGAAAGGACGCATGGCTACTATGAGCCATTTATCTTTGCACAGTCGACCATTCCAGACCTTGAGTTGTTGTGTGAATGTTTGTCTCGGGCCTTCTCGAAGTTCTCTGGTGTATTGTGGTCCAATGGATAATTCACGAGAAGCACCTTCTTCAATATGTCGAAGAGTTGCACCTGATGTGTCTCTTTCCATTGGACGACCTCGATCGACATTACTTCCTCCCGACTTTTCCACATTATTGTAGTCAGGTGAGTTGAGATTGTGTAAAGTAGGTACCCCTGTTGAGTCTTCTTGATGTGTGAAGTCATGATGATCACGACTAGTGGGTCGAGTAGTGTTAGGATCAAATGATACATGTGCTACACGGGAGATTGTTAGCTTGGTGTCGAGTCATTTGAGAAGATTATCGCTTACCGTGATGATCTAAGAGACTAGGTCTAGTGAGAGGACTTGTAGGCCTAGTAATAGCATCTTTTTCTTCTTTCTCTTGCTTATCATCTTCATCAATCTTTGTTGAGGTTGAATCTGAATTCATATCATCGGGAACGAAACCAACATGCATACTTCGAGTTGGTTCAGTTGGTCGCACCTGTATTTGAGATCTCATTGGTTGTTGTTCTCCTTCGGTTCCATCGAGTTGAGGTTGATGAGCTACATCAACTCTACTTGAGGAACGTCTGAACGCTCCCAAAGTATGAATTATTTGTGACATGTTTGAATTTTTCCTGCTTCGACTTCTAGATCGAGATCTTTTAGGTCGTGGTGTTCGATCCCAGAATGTTTCTGGAACGAAGAAGAAAAGGAGTATCCAACAAAAGCCAGCAATTATGGTGACGACCCAAAATACCCATCTCCAACCAAGTGTTTGAATGACAGCAGCACTGACAAGTGGTACCAAATTCTTTCCACCAAGAAGTAACAAAGTATAAATCCCAATACGATAAGCACGTTCGTGTAAAAAGAAAATCTCGGCAATTGTAGCAGATGGCAAACATTCGACTGGACTAAGCGCAATACCTTGAACGATTCTGGCAATGAGAAGTGAAATATATGTAGGTGAAAGAGCGCACCACACACAAGAGAGGATGAAAAGAATTGCTCCACCAAGATAGACTGGACGTTTTCCGTAAAGAATTGCTGTAGGGGAAGCAAATACTGAACCAACGCCAAGGCCCATCATATACAATCCAGTTGTAAGTGCAACATCGGCGGTTGTAACGTCGTACGTAGATGCAACGTTTGTAAATCCCGCAGCTAAAATCGGTGTCATACCACCTCCTAACATACAGTATAATCCGAGCGAAAGTAATGCTGCATCTCTTCTCCACACAGGCCAATTAAGAGGATCATTACTTGATTCTTCTGGTTGAGGATCCAAAACGGTCGAGCCATCTTTTGTTAATTTCTTTTCGGACCAAGTTGAGGCTGCACGACTTCTATCATATGGAGTTTGAGGTGGAAGTGTAGATGTTGAAGTTCTAGCCGGAGCATTTCGCAAACCTAATGGTTCGTTTCGTTTACCTGTGAGTAAGAGGATCGAGCCTGGGAAGTTGATCCATTAGAAATTGTATGAAATTAGGAAGGATTAACAAGAAATCTTACCAGGAACTTCATGAGTATTAGGCACATTTAAAATGCCCATACTCCATTTCGAAGGTCGACCTTTCACATGGGGTTCTTCCAAATCTCCATCTTCTTTTTCGTTTGTTGGAGAGTTTAGAGCAGAATCTCGAATGAAGAATGATTGTGGTTCTGGAGTTGCTCCCTTGGGGGAGATATCTGTAATTGGATCTTCGGCCATTTTGATGATGGTCGATTAGAGAGGAGGAGGGATTAATATATCATATCCAAGTGGTGGTGATGTCTAGGTTTGATGCAAATGATACAAGCAAACGGGCTTCACCAGCCTTATCAAGGAGGCTGGCTGGAAGAAACCGAGGGGTCCTTGGCTCGATCGATAGGTATGGAGAGTTAAGTGAAGTGAATATAAGGATAACAACTGTCCTCAAAAGAAGATAGGAAGACGATCTATAGGAAGACGATCTATAGGAAAACGGAATATATATGAATTCTGTAGGGAGAGGCTGAGGGGCAATGAGGAAGTCGGAATGGCAGAAAACCGACTCTCACATGCATAAGATTAAAGATGTTTTTAATATAGGAAGATACTGGGGGTATTTGTGCAAACAAGAGATTTGCGATAAGAAAAAGGAAAGAAGATGTAAGAAATTTATAATTTTACCTACTAAGTTATTTAGTTTACGTTGGTAAGGATGAAGGGTTGGATGAGAAAATGATGTTTTTCTAACCCCCATTTCCCTTTCCCTTCATTACTTAGTTGGGCGGTGTAGTGTAGTGTAGTGGTGGTATTTTCAATGACGACAACCCCTCCAATTTGGTCAAACTCAAAGGTTTAACCCGAATTAGCGTACTAACGAACTCACTAACTGAACATCCAACGATGATTTTAGTGTGAGAAAAAAAAGAGGTCCCTGAAATGTCAAGGAAGGTCATATGGGGTAAGTCGAGCGCCACAGAGGTCAAAATGGAGATGGAGACACAACAGCGGTGGAGTAACTTCCAAGACATACATTGATAAAGAGGGGAGATAAGCGCTTGATATGGGGTTGCTGGAATGTTTTCATGATTTGGAAAGTGGGAACAGGATTGCAAGTGGTTGGAATGTTTAAGTTGTGCTCGTGTTGGTTTTACTTGTTCACGATGGAGATGAGCAGGAGGGCGAGCGTGATGGTTTCACGGAAGTGGTGGTAGGTTTGTGTAGGTTTGTGTAGGTTTGTGTAGGTTTGTGTCGGTTTGTGTAGTCTATGGTTAGGTTGTGGTAGGTTATGCACATGGTAGTAATGTAGCCACACATATCCCAAACTCCTCTGTACAGGGTTAAAATAAATATACTCCATAGCATCACAAAGCTTCACTTACGTACTCGTAGATCTTCTCAAGATCTCAAGCCTCAATCTAAATCTAAACCCTTGTTGCTTACGCTTACGCTTACGCTTACGCTCCCTAACCTCCCCATCATATGCACCAACATACCTAGTACTCCGTGCATCCTACAGGGAATTCATGCCCGTGTTCTTCTCCCAAATATCAGATAACGCGCGCTTCCCGGTCTTTGCGACCTTGTTGGCCACGCAAAAGCTGGGTGAGGGGGTTCGTGATGTTGACAGATTACTCGAGTGCCAGGTATCTATCTACCTAGTACTCTGGACTTGTTTTGCGCAACTGGTGAACCCAATAATGGGACCATCCGAGGTGTGATGATCATTTGGGTACATCCTTTGTATACTTCTTCGCGTCTCGTGAAGAGAATATTCAACATACGGGGCAAGCTGGGGGACTACAAGTGGAGGTACAAAATGGGGCCTATTGTCAGTGCGCGATTTACAAGACGACTTCATACATTTTGCATTCTCGTGGGTACATACAACACAACAAGAGATACATCACTGTACATATAAAAGTCTTACAATCGACTTCATGTATCACTTTATTAAAAGGAAGAAGTGTCTGCTAGGTATTAGGTACTAGATAATGCAAAAATTCTACGCATAGAGTGGAACAATATCCAGCTGATCACAAGTCATCTGTTCTTAGATCATGCACAACCAGTTTTCCTCCTTGGTTTTTCCCTTCAAACAGGATCCATTTCTACCCCAATCTCACGTCTTTGCATAAAATACATTTCTTTATGCAGGATATTTTCTGAAACATCGTATTTGTGAAACCCCAGATTCCACATCATTGGCTTTCGGACAATACCGACAAGAATTTTGGAAATTTCCGGGGTAATACTACTTTCCTATATAGAACCATTTGAGAAACATACGAGTAAGTCTTATATATCGACATAAATTTATTTATAACTTTCAAATCACAACATTTGCATCAATGTATCTTCACATATACATTGCATATATATATATATATATATATACATAAATAATAATTCCAACTTCCGAAACTTCATTCCATTTCTATGCAACATAAAGTCGAGTGACCAAAGTTTGTCCAGGGACATCCAGCAATGTTAAGGTTGACCTCTACGTACAGAACGGCTTCTCGCATGAATTAATCTTCATCTTCATCTAACCACCTACTCGAGTAGCAATAATCTCATTTCAATTCATTCATTCATACATTCATACATACATTCATACATACATACTAAACCCCCTCGTTTCACCACCTACTTCAAGCACCATCACAATTCTCCAAATTCTGTAGATTAACTAAAGAGCCAGTAGCTTATCAGAATCTTGCACTGCATTGCATTACATGGGATTAATATTAATACTAATTCCTATACCCCTCAATTCAAAAGTCTTATCATATCCTTCGTTCCACTACCTACCCTTATTCCCTTTCCTTTCCCGTCGCGCTTCATGTAACCTAACCTTAACCTCAATCTTGAAGATTCCGGAAGTCGACGAGCAAAGTAAAGTACATGTATCGATACGATACGATACAAAATAGGTCAATGCAAGAAGGAAGTTTCTTGTTACATGCATGATCTTCATCCTTTGATACCGACCGATAACAAAATAGATCAACTCTATATATATATTGTGAGAAAGTTGGAATTATAGGCCAAATACATAAAGGATTTTAACCAATCAATCACATGATCTTTTATAATTAAATATAAAAGGAAAGCTTTTACCTCTTCTTTCGAAAATAATCAACCTTCTATACATATACATTTGAACCCACATAACATCAACCCCAAAACCATTATAAACTCTGTTTTCTTTATAAGTAATATATTACAATATAATCTAATTCAGCTTTCTCTTCCAATTCCCTCCTCACAACATGTTATCAGGACGCATATATCTCGACCTACCACTTTTACAATATACATACAATAGACTAATTCAAACATTCGACTACTTTTTTCTATCTCGGTGCATGATGATTCTTCATTACAAATAAGTTTCTAACATAATATTTTATATCCAAATTCTATCATATAATATTATTATATTCTATTATATTCTATTATATTCTATTATATTCTATTAAAATATTATAACGTTTTAAATTACTTGAATTAATTTAGTTGACAAAATTCAAGAAACTCTTTTGTTCTCATTTATTGAGTTTTAGAATTATTTAATATAATGTTGTCATGAATCACCTACATCCGGATTATAGTAGATAAATTAAATAAAATTGAATAATTTCAATAAAATTAAATAATTTTAATAAGGTTGAAAAAGATTATAAGGCTTATATTAAACTTTTTATTAGATTCTTTATTAGAGTATTTTAGACCAATCAGATTGTCAGGATCGCAACTCACTTAAGCGAGTTTCTTATTTTCTATCACCTACAACTGGGTAAACCTTGTGTACAAGCCGCCTCTTCCCCTCTCTTCCCCACCCTTTAAACAACCCCCAAAGCCCCTCACCCCCGGATGCGAACCCTCCACTCCTCCCCTCCTCGCCACCCCCCCACTCTTCCAAGCCCTCCTTCCTCCTCCTAATCCATCATTCAACCTCCCTCTTTCCCTCCTCCCTCCATCCCACCACCAATCCCCCATCCCTCTCCACCCACCTCCCCTCCAAAACCACCAAACTCAGGACACTCCTAACCAAATACCTCAATCCGAGACCCTCTCTCAACAAATCCGGCGCATCAAATTCGACCTCCGTATACAATATTCCTCCTTCTTTCTCCCCAGTCCCATTCTCTATAATTTCGTGTAGGAGTGGGGAGATTGTGCGACAGGTGGAACAGGATGAGGTGGTCCAGAGGGTGAGGAGGGGTTTGGAGGTGGAAGTGCTGAGGGAGATGTAGGTTGTGAGGTCGGAGGGGTAGCGGACGCTAGAAGGGGAGGGGTTAGTGGGGGTGAGTGGGATTGGGGGTTGAGGTTGAGGTTGATAGGGAGGGGAAAGGAGGAACGTACGGAGAGTATATCCTATTCTGACCTTTATTTGGAGGTGTACTTGCGAAATGACGATATCGAGATGGTATTTGGGAGTGAGAATGAGAATGAGAATGAGAGAAGGAGAATGATATTGGGGCGGAGGATTTAGGGAAAGGATATGGGATGCGTTTTAAAGGGAGCATGATAAAACTGAGATGTGAATTTGTGAATTGATGGATACTTTTTGATGAGATTTGAGAAGTTGAATCTCGCGATTTGAATCTTGAATCCAGAATATACTCGAGTACACTCCGTAAGGATTGACAACTAATGAATCCGAATCCAATACAAACAAAACGTCTTCCTTTCTTTTCTCTTTTCAAATAAAATCAATCCCCAGAACTGAAATAACAATCGCTAGGTATCAAGATATAAATAAAGTACGATATACAACTCGAGAAGGTAGTTTCGACTTCGAAATTCAAAAAATCAATATCCTTAAGCTTCAAAGCTTAGAGCTTAGAGCTCGAGATATTCCAACTACCTAGGTCACCATGACATAATTATGATATCTTGAACGGAGAAAGCTAAACCTATTATGGTAAGAGCAAGTGAGGATAGCTCCGTAGCTCCGTAGCTCCGTAGCTTTTGTGATGGGATGAAGATGAAGTTATTTTTGGGTATTGACTTTTATTAATGTCTGGGGATAGGCATATAAAATGGAAAGGGAAGTCGAGGATGTGTTTGTGGCATACTTATGTTGTTTATTCCGTTGATGTTACTTGTTAGTGTTAAGGTACTGGCTTGAATGGGGTGAATATTTGGATATCAGATTGCATAGGTGCTCCCTTCACATAGAGCATCGGGTGTCAATATTCTGGAGAAATCAAGCATTGAATATGAAAACATCAAAAAGCGAAGAATAAGAACGATAAAGGAGAAAAGTACTCGAAATTCATATCATTCATCATACATTTCAATTCATAACCATATTCTTTGTCGTATTCCATTCCATTCAATCCATTTCATATCATGTCATGGCATATAATCCTGAAACTTTTATCCTCCTCTTTTCTTCCTCTTTCTTCCCATCTCGTTCTCAACACTTTTCCTTCCTTCTGTCCCCGACTCTTGGATTGTTCTCTCCTCCCTTATATTCCAATAGCATCACACTCTTCCCGCTTCATCCGGCAGTCCACACTCGCGCATCCTCAATGCCGCATATTCTCCCACCCACTCTTCCACCCATTGTCATCCCTCTTCAAATCATGCCACATAAAAAACCTGATCAATACCCTTCCACCATCCCTTCTCATCCGTACTTCCCTTACTCCCCTCAACCATCGTCTCTTGAAATGAATCCGTCATTTCCCACCACTCCCTAACCTTTGGATTTTCCCTCATCTTCTCCATATCGCCCGCATAATCATATCCCACATATTTGAACGACGCGAAAAGAATATTTGATTCCGGATCATGAAAGATGGAATCTATCATGTTACTATTAGCTTAAATCCATTCATAACACACACGATAAAAGAAGACCGAAACACCCGCAACAGAAATAGAAGAAAAAAGAAATATAACGTACAATCCTCAATACAACATTCTTTAATTTGTTTCAATACTTCTGGCCAAACTCGTGCATGACATTCTTTATACTTCTCCGCGCATTCCGGCTTCAATTTCACAATCTGCGCAATTCTTTTTCCTTGATATTTTAATTTGTGTGTGGGGGCAGGAAATGTTCCTGAAGGATTAGATGGCGAAATAGGTGATAAGGGAGAAAAAGTTTGGGAATGAGTTATAGAAGGTCGATGAGAAGATTGAAGAGGTGGATTACGAGGAGACCACATTTTTGGGGAAAGAGATCGAGGATTTGTCCACATTTTGAGAGTGAGAGCGAGGGCGAGGGCGAGGGTGAGGGTGAGGGTGAGGGTGAGGGTGAGGCTGAGGCTGAGGTGATTGATATAGGTAAGTTGAGTAGAGAAGTGAGGTTTGAGGATATAGATTAGTGATGAGAATGAAGAATATATCAATGGATAGATAGATAGATACTCGAGTATTGTGTCGTAAAGATAGAGTTAAGATGTAATAAAGACAAAAAGTCAATCATTCAACCGCTCAACCGCTCACTCAATCAGTCTCTTAACCCGAGTACGCGATATCAGGAACTCCGAAGCAAGGTACGAGTCAATTCCAAGAATTTGGCGATGCGGGGTCTCGGGGTCTTTGGGGTCTTTGGGGTCTTTGGGATCTTCAGTTGAGCTGCGCTTGCTGGAAAGATTCAATCAATGTTCAATGTAACCCTACTTTTGCATTGATGAAGATGGTTAGAACTAGGTAATCAATGAGATGATGAATTATTTTGAATTGAATATTTCCCCAACGACAACTCAATTCAATTCAATTCTATTCTATTCTATTCTATTCTATTCTATTCATTCAATTCAATACAATACAATCAGTTCAAAAAGCATTCAAAGCTATAGATACATACACCCGACAATCCACATACATACATACCTGGTACAGTATCCTCTACTCCGTACAACCCCTCCCTCCTCTCCTCACCGATACAGAAGATTTCTAATCGACCAACGATCACCACAACAAAAACCAGCATAACTCCGAAAAACGCACAATAAATTCAGTAAATGCCACAAATTCTCCACTCATTTTCACAGCACGGTACGTACATAAATAACACTTGCCTGAATACATGGAATTCCCACCCAGTTCTAGGACGTCATCTCCATCCTAGACTCCGTAGTGGTATTATATTTTGACCGAATTGAATCCGTCCGTGAGGTTATCTCTACCGAGAATAGGGTAAAGCTAGGTAGGTACTTACTAGGAAGCTATAGAGCTAGATGACCTGGCACGCATAGGAGAGTGAGAGGCTAAGAGCAAGAGCAAGAGCAAGAGCAAGAGCAAGACCCCACGCGTTGGGAGTTACCTAGGTATGATGTGTAGGTAGGAACCTAGGAGCTATATGGAAGCGCGTCTTGTGACCAGGAGTATATGGAGTGATTCTTGAGTACGTATTTAGAGTTTCACGGTAGTAAGCTAATAGGTAGGGACAGAAGCTTGACAATTAATAAATCAGATTAACTCCCGGTGAGCCCTACGGTGGTATATCTAAGATTAGTAGTTTTACATAATCACTCAACAAACCAATCACATTTCACTAGGTACCTAGCTAACTTTACCCCCCACAAAATTTATTTCCTCTCTCCCTCTCATCCCTTCAACTTTTCACGTGCAATATAAATGTTATATTCCTCCATTTCTGGATATCATATCACCAATATCTCTTTATATCACCCACAATCTAACCAATAATCACACAAGCACCTACCCAATAACCTTCCACACCATCAAACAACCCCCTACCTACCTAACCCCCAATCTCTCACTCAAAGACCCATCAAAATGACCACCACCACCACCACCCGCTCCCTCCCACCCCTTCTAGCACCCTACCTCTCACTTCCCTCCAGCACCTCCTACGAATCATCACTTATCCTTCTAACTAGCGTCTTGGGCGCTGGTACAAATTGGGTTTTGTTGAGATATCTAAGTTCTTTATTTTCTAGTACTGAAGGAAATGGGACTGGAAATGAGGATGCGGATAGGGAGACAAAAGTAGTATTTATGAGTTTTATGAGGGATATGAATTTTTGGAGAGAGGGGGCTAGGAAGATTGTGAGTTTTTTTTTTGGTTTTTTTGGGGGGGTTTTAGTTTTGATTTGATTTGAAGAGGGTTTTCTTTTTCTTTTGAAGGGCTGGATTGGAGGGTCTGAGGTGTTTGGAGAGGCATTTTTGAAGCAGTGGGAATACTTAGTTGTATACCTATTCTTTGTGACTTCTATTCTTAAGTGAGAAGAAATTCGTCAGATACGAAGGGAATAATACCAAATCAGCAGATCCCTAATCTCAAACTTCCTTTCCGTTCACATCTTTCCCTGTCCTTCCTTTCTATCTTATCCCAATCCATTATTCTCACTCACTAACACCTCCCATCAGAACCTCGACCTCGACAAAGCTACCCTTCAAAAACGCTTCCTCTTCATCGACGGTCTAACATCCCTTTATCTCCCTCAAACTCAACCACCAGCTTCTGGATCAGGTGTCATGCTCAAAAATCCTTTACTTCCCACTATCTCCCAAACACTCAATACAGCTATCACGTCACTGTCCTCCTCTTCCACATCTCAACCCCCAAAAATAATCCTCATAATCGACAACCCTGATTACCTAATCGCAAGTTCCGCCTCGCCAACCATAACTCAAGATCTAAACTCCTTACTCTTGACTCTCCGAGAAAAAGTTCATTCAACGATCCTAACAGTATCAATTGATACACCCCTTTTATCATCCTCTTCATCTTCCCAAACCCCATTAGAAACAAATAGCTCAAGCTTCGCCACTTCTCTCGCACATGAAGCCTCTCTAATCCTCAGTACTAGACTTCTAGATACAGGTGCTGCGAGAGATGTAAGTGGAGTTTTACGTATTACAGCTGGGGGTAATCCAGTCGAGGAAGTTGAAAATGAAGGAGGAATAGAGGAAAGAGAATTACTGTATTTTGTATCTGGAGATGGTAGCGTGAGGGTTTTTGAAAGGGGTCAATGAGGGCTCGGCGGTCAAAGAGAGGCTTTTGGAGATGTATGGATTCCTGAATTTCTGGAATCTGTCTTTTTCTGAATCGAGATGAGACAGATAGGAATTGAATGAGACGGAGTTCTAGGGAGAAGAGGAAAAGGAAGGAGAAAAGTGGATACATTAATCAGGTATTACGACCAATGTTGGAAGATATCATGAGATGAGAGAAGGGAAAAATACGAGCCATCAGGTAGCATCGAGGCCAGGAAGACACGAAAGAGCGTATGCAAGACCAAACTTAAAGGAAGAAAGAGGAGGAAAAACCTCAACCTAATCCCGGAAATGAAAACGAGGGAGAGTAAAGAAGTGTAGGATCAAGAAAGAGTTAGCTTAAGGACTCAGAAAAAGTGCTCAGCACGTTTTTCAGTTCTCAATTCTCGATCCTCAATCCTCATCCTCATCTTGGTGCGTGGATAGATACACCAATGATTATGACACCGGAATGGGAATTTGCATTTGCATAGCATAAAGGAGAGTGAGAGTAGCTGGATCAATAGGAAGAAGAGGATTTTATGATGCCATGGGGTGGGTAGTATATCCAATCGAATTAGACAGAGTGTGCGGATTACATAGAATCAGAATCATAATCAAATCGGATTGAACGATCCTCAACCCAGATCAAACCAAACCAAACCATACCAAACTAGCTTATCCCAAGTCAAATCATCTCAAACCACAAACCACAAACTACAGATTACAAAAAAGCCAAACAATAAACCCAAATAATAACATCCCAACCCAACCATAATGATAGAAGAAGAAGAAGAAGTTTTAGTTGTAGTTGGAGATGAGCATCGCATCGCATCGCATCGCATCGCATCAATTAGTCTATATATATATAGAATCAAAATACATCAATAACCCACCCCAAAATCAATACTCCAAAATCTCCGAGTAAACTATTTATATATAGTAGTAGGTAGGTAAGATCTTACATCAAGCCGTTAAGTAGGTAGAGAATGGTATATAAAAACAACCATGTCTATCAACTCCATCCATCAACTCCGTCCATATCAACTCCAACAATCAATCCCAAATTCATCTGTATGCTCAATTCTTAATTCTCAATTCTTATAATAAAGTCATCTGGACTTTTATTTGTTACATCACATCACATCCATCATCACACATTACACAAATTCATAGTCGTATCTATGTTCAATTCATCTCACAATCAACAAACGCCCAACTTGGCAAAGTAACAAATCGTCAAATCATCAAATCTCATCCTCATCCTCATCATGCTCATCCTCATCACCATCACCATCACCATCATCTCATCACACTCAAAATGATTGCAAATGATGACATTTTTGCTAGAGAACATATCATGTAAATGATCATGTCTTTTTTAAAAAAATCGGTAGCACCACCTCCTAACCCACCACATTCATAGCCTCCTATAGACATGGATCAAAGATCGAGAAATGTCAAGGTATCCGATATTGAGTCAACACTCATAAAAAAAGATTATGAAATTTCTCAATAATGTAGCCCATTTCATTCCTGTCCTCTAGCATATGAAAAGCCATCCATTCGCCAACCCTCGACCCTTATCAAATCCTTCCCATGCAATGTCAAATCCATTTTACTCGGATGATTTGTTGGCTGGTCCTCTAGCTCCCTTAGGTGTACCGGTTTGGAATCCATTCTTGAATCTACGTGGGACTTCCTTCATGTGACGCATGCGACCGGTACCGGTGGTCTTTCTTCTCTTAGCCTTCTCACCCCAGTTATCTATTTATGATATTTGAATTAGCACATGTTTCGTTTTGTTGTCATTTCATTCCTTCTTGATATGTCGAAAATTGAAAAGTATATCGTTGAGGTCGTCTGAATCGATTTCGTGAAAACGAATGGATTGAAAAAACGTACATTGACGGATCTTGGCTGCTGGGTAACCGCATCCTGAACATGTGTGCTTTTGGATGTGGAGGGATCGGCGACCTAGAAATTTAAACCATAAAACATCAGCCTCTTATTCTCCTCTGAAAAATATCCCAAAATTCTCCAATCAAGTCCTCAATCAATTGTCCACCTCCTGATCCCGACTTTCCATCCTCCTTCCTTTTCCCAAGAATTGAATCAAAACTAACCGCAGCGTCTGCACAAAGTGTGCGTCTTGTTGTGGCGCTTTCCGAAACTGGAAGTTCCCTTGGCTATAATTCAAAATAATCATCAGTATTTAAATTCCTCCTTGGTGTTGATATGTTGATATGTAAAATCGAGAATCGAAGGTTTACGCACTCATCTTGAATTAGGAACTATTGAATTAAATTGTCAGCGATTTTCCAGACAACATGTATGACGATGGCACATAAATTGGCGATAACTTACCTTGGGGTTGTCGTGGGGTTGTCGTTGGTTTCAATATCTCGACTTTTTTCGATGAACAGGCTTAATGGCGAAATAGTGGGAAATTTCTTTGGAAACCCTAAGCTAGGGCAGTATCATGTGATTCTTTTTACCGAAGCGAGATATTGAGGACCGTGCGGGGTTGAAAGTTTTGAGATGCCTCAGAACCTGATCTTTAATTATCTCAATCTTCACTAGGCGGTAAGGTAGGTCACCTTTACTTGTTGTAAATATGATACATGTAGCTTTCAGATATGTTATTGTTTATCGTATTCTAGGTGGGTATTCAAGTCTTAATTTTTCAACCTCAAAAAATCAATGTATAAAACAAATATAATCAATCAATCGTTCTAAAATGACGCTCCGCTGGCCCTCCGGGGGCCAGTGCCATAGAGGCAGAATAATTGCTGCACAGATACATAGGTACATATCTATAAAGTTCCCGTTTCCTTCGTTACCCTACGATTTTGGTATCTCGTATCCAACTCAAGAACCCTTCGAGGTTCCCTATCTACTAGGTATATAGGAGATTTCCCTCCCCTCCCTTCATTCCCCTATACACACAATTCAAGACAGTGTTCTGCCGGTTCTTTGGGAGGGTATTGTTGTATCTTATATTCATATTTCATATTTCCAATTCTCTCTAAACATACCATCTACGATCTATCCCAACCAGCCAACCAATAAAACAAGGGGTATCTAAAACTGATCCTCCCATTGCTTTCATTCCCTTTCCTCTCATAGAATTGTCTGTTCATCTGTACACCCACCACCTGTAATTGGACACGGCCGTTTCCAATGCATGTCCAAGCAATACTTTTCTCCTCCTTCAATCGCTCATAAAAACATCCATTCGCCAACTTTTGGCCATTATCCACAAAAACAAGCATAGGTACAAGCACCAACTTCCCCATCATTAAGTATGCCAAAAACCGTTTCCCTTCCGTTTCTCTCCTTTCCCCCCTCAACCTTTGACCAAAACGCCAATTCTTTCCTCTTCCTCTGCCACTCCAAACCAAACATCCACCAACAAACCTACAAAGTAATCAAATCAACCTCCGAAAAATCCGGCGGATTCCTGCCATAAACCACTCTTCCCTTAGCATCCAACGCCGCCCCCACATTACTAATCCAAATATTGGCACCAGCGTAATCCCTCGTCCTCCTAACTTCATCATCACTAACTCCAATATCATCTCTCGGGATCCACACCACTGGCCTTCGAGCTCTGAGCGCATAATGTTGAAAGGCATGTTTGACAAGACTATCTCTTTCTTCCGGAGCTAAATCTTCAATTTCATCATTGTAACCACCGTAAAGAGCATTTGCGATTTTTTGCTGCGCTTCGATGTCCTTGTGACGACGTTTTCGTATGATGGTTGGTCGGATTACTGGTTCGTCGATAGGTTGGGGACCAGCTGTGCCTCCACGGGCAAATTTTTTATGACGAAGATTTCGACCAGATTGTAATGCCCAGCCACCTGCTGCAGCAGCACCATGAACGAGGTTTGATGGTTTAAGTTTAGAAAATGCACCACCTCCATGTGTGGTAGAGGGATTTAGATTTTCCATCTCGATATATCCAGGTCCTTGAATACCAGCACCATCACTTTGTGGTAATGCTTCAGGATCTGCAATGGTAAGACCTAGACGTTCGGCTTGCATTCGATCAAATGCTTCATCACGAAGAACGGCTTCATCTTCAAATGTAATTGGTAGATATCGAAGGAGTGGACCAAAAGACCAATTGAGAAGGAATTGATAAAGAGCAGTTAATAGGAGAGCAACAATCATAATGATTGCTTGAGTGGTGAGTGCTTCACCTTGCTCATCCCTCGTCAAGAAGAACAGACCAATGAGGCACAATTCCATGACATATAAACCAGTAAATGTCTGATTTATAGCACGGGGATAAAGAAGTCCTCCAGTATCAATCCTGAATCGAGACACATAAAGCATATTATAACGATTTGCAATCCAAAGAAGGGTGAATGTAATAATGACGAAAATGATGATAATCGGAGAAACCACGCAATAAATTAAACCAATACAAGCGAAATTGGTATAAACTGGAAAGAATGATCCCCATGATACTGATGGGAGAGTTGTATTTCTTGTCCACTTTTGTCGAGCAGTATTATCAAAGATTTTCGGTAAAACGAACCAAAAGATCAGTGTAGTTAACTGTAAGAGTGTACCCGAGCTCACAGAAAATGCTTGAAGAATCATGTAAGAGAAAAAATAATTCGCCGCCTTCGGTAATTGTTGTGCAAGTGTTTCGGGTATAGACGTGATATCACTGGACCATGAGCCCAATGCAGCGACCGCACCACCGGATATAGACACGACCAAGAAAACTTGGACAAAGAGGAATGCAAAATAATACGTTTGAACCGAACCTTCCTTCTCATTGCCGGTTTGTGAACCTTGAGCAAATGCAAGATATCCCAAGATCGTTGGTACCAATGATAGCAAGATACTAAGTACAAGAGCTGGCAAAACACCTGCTATAGCTTGAAGAACCTTCTCGGGTATGACTTTAAGCCAATGAAGCCAAGGCGTACTATTAACGAGGGAAGAAATCTGGGATAAAGTTGATGTCCATGCAACAGGAATAGCCCATAACAGGATCATACCAAGAACGACAGCAGTAATAACAGCGGTCCTAAGCCAAGATTCCCACCATTTGATGGACATGTTATCCCAAAGGACATCATTAGGTGAGATCTCCACAGTACGTGGTGCCATTTGTTTGGGGACATGATAGGTAACACACTGACAAGCCATGTGGGCAGCTACTTGATGATTGAATTGAATAAAAGCCGAGTTCATGAGTGGGAATCTCTCTGGAGACTTTTGATCCAATTCAATCTCAAGGTTGAGCTGAGCGAGTTGTTCCCGACACCAATAGATGGTGTCAACCTTTGGACTAATTCCTGGAATACCGGGGAACCAACTAGGAGTCCAACTAAACCTAGGTAATCTATGCATCGGCCTATCCTTTTCCTTTAGATACTGTTGCCAAGCTGCAGGTGCCGCATCTTCCTTATAATCTTCATTGTACGCTTTCGGATACTCGACTCCAGGTCCATCATCCGATTTTAGGAAAGGAATGATAGATTTAATCACTTGCCAAGCACTCTTCTTCGGAGGAGCACCAGTTGCAACTCTCGATCTCGGACCGTCGCCTTGAGTTAGAGGAAATTCGTCGTCGTCTTCATATCCTGTTGGAACTGGGGATGGAAATCCTCCAGCGGGACCTCTCCAGAATTTCCACCAATTATTCGTTTTAAGGGCATCATTGGCACCGTCACCTCCGTATTCGAAGCGGTTTCTTCGTACTGTGTTGCCAACCGACTTTCCATCCCCGTCATAGCTTCGAGGATCACGTTCTGACGTTGAAGGACGATCTTCTCCTGCCACTCCTTCTTTTTCAGGATCCCGGCCATTTCCATCGTCAACGCCATGTCCATAAGGTTTCGGTGGTGGTTGTTGTTGTTTATATCTTCCATATTGATCATATTCATCATCCTCCGCTATCGACTGTGCGTCAAAATTCATGAAGCCATTACCATTAGTTTCCTCAATCGTCTCATCCAATTCTCTACCTAGCCCTATGACACCCCCTAACGCTGTTTCACCGACCTTTCCAACGACACTTACACCTCTGTTCAAGCCTTGTCCGACTGCCTCGAAGCCTTGACCCACGGCGGCGAATGGATTACCAATTTTAAATTTGTTTTTCGAACTGTGTCGTTTATGTTGGCGGTCTTCTTCCTGCCTTTCGATTTCCGCCTCCTCATCTACCGCATCATCTATTGTATGGGGAGCCTCCTCGCCAGTAGCTACCCCACCACTTTGCGCAAGCCTTTCCGCCAGCTCATTTTCCTCTTTGATTTTTTGAGCTTTCTCTTCCTTCGTGAGTTTGCGATTCGCCTTTTTTGCGTCAATCTTCTCTTGCTTTTCTACCATTTTCCTCTGGGCTTTCTTTGCTGCCCTAACCAATTCCGTCTCGGCGCCCTCCAACTGCAAATGGATCTGGTCCCGAAGATGGATCTTCGTCAACAACTCATCATAATTTCGATTAATCCAAATATTCCTAATTCCTCCAGGGAAGACATCATAAAGTCCAGCGAGTGCTTCTTTCGTGAGCCATTTATCCGGAATGGCACTAACGAGAACAGTCGTTGCTGAAGCTCTGAGTCGATGTTCTGCGGATGTTAAATAATCTTGTCGTACTTTGATATAAACCCGTAACTCCGCAAAAAATACACCACAAACCCAAATGATTGCCAACAAGGCAAGTACCAGATGTGCCCAATATCTATTGGTTTTGCTTGGCTGTATATTAGTCCAAGCTAATTGATCCAGTCCAGTCACATTTGGGTTCGAGGAAACTTCGGTGGTATTTTTATCGTCTGCATACTGTAAAGCCCAATCGCCACCTCTTCCTCCAATGTAGTTCATGGGTACAAGAATTGGTATTATGACAACGGCCATAGGTATGAAGATAACCAAAAGAGTTTGGAGGTATCGAAGGAAAAAGTAGGCGTCCAGTCCACACTTGTTGATAACTTCTCGATCTCGAAATTGAAATATTGTGAATAGCCATCCCCATGGACTTCTCGGAGGTGGTTCCGTTCGTTCTTTTTCGGGGACTAAGTAGGTCTTTGGTTTGCTAGAATTCAATCAGCGAAGCCCTTCAGTAATATACGTTTGCAGATAGCAAATTGCTTCATGGTAAATGTCCCTCAACTTACAATATCCGCGCAAGCTTGTTCTTCAAGAGCATAAAAGCTATCATCTGGACACCAAAAATGATAGCAGAAGATGCCATTGCCGTAAGAAGAGCCACCAGACTGATACCTTCAGAGCCTTGCGCCGACCCAGCCACGGTGGATGTGGTTGCGACTGCGGTGGCAGAAGTCGCCGACGGACTGTTACTCAAGATTGAAGACATGTTGAGTAACGTTCAACACCTTATGGATGCATAAGAGAAACTATGTATTGTTCCACCGAAGAAGATATGGTGGATGGATGTATTTGGTGATGTTCGTGATATCATTAACAAGACCGTATCGATTTCAGTATCGGTATCGATATCGATATGGATGTGGATGTCGAAAAGAAGGAACTAGAAGGAGAGAAGAAGATGATGAGGGAGAGGAAGAAGAGAAGATACTGGATGAAGAATATGGATATGGATACAAATGAATCATTGGGAAATAATAAGTCAATACTCCAGTGCTACCCTACCTGGGGTACAGTAATGCCAATGTCCATTCAAACACCCTATGAATACTTATTACCTAGTAGGCATTTAGAAATAAACTTGACCTTGTTGCCCTTTGCCTTGTGAACCATGAGAAGATTAAACAGGATTAGATTAACAAGTGTTGACAAGAAATCGTAATCAAAAGAGAATGAATGGAGTTATGGAGCAAGATTTCCAGAATCCAATGAAACCATTCGCCCGTGGACAAAATAAAGTTTATATATAACCCAGATGAAATACGACATGGATATAAATTTGATTCATATTAGGAAAGCTTAGTATGATGTCACGAATCATACTGGATAGAAAACTGGAATCCCCATGTCCAAACGATATGTAGCCGAGACAAGATTTCCACGATACCCAAAAATGTGTAAAAAAATGTGTAAAAATGTGTAAAAATGTGTAAAAATATGTTTCAGGTTCCTGGGTTCCTTCCCTATTGATTCGATATCAATCATCACTTCTCAAGCCTTTTCATCTTCGTCGTATCTAAGAACTCAGGGGAATGCGCTTATCGCATATCAAAGAATTGACGCCTGCCATTCATTTAGTCAAGTGCTAAAAAGATAACACAGAAGGCGTTTATGGTTATGATAAGAAGTCAATCTTCATTTTATTTTTATACTATCTATTCATAACCTTCTTCTTATTCGGGGTTTACGCGCGAGGTGTCCTCCGTAATGATTGTCAAGATATTAAAATATAAGTCCTCTTTCATAACCTATCGATAAGTGAAGAATAGAAATGATAGGTTGAAATAAAAACAAACAATCAAGCCACTGTCGCCATTAAGCATCGGGGTATTTGATCCTAGACATGGCAGTCCCCGTAAGCCACTCACCACAAAAACTTGAATTTTCAGGCTTTTGACCCCTGGAACTTTACTTCAACATGTGGCAGCATGATATATGAAGTATTTCTTCTTTGATACAACCATTCCACGTGGATCCGCTACTTTTTTCCTACATGAAGAAAAGATAAACGTTTATTTAAAAACTATCGAAACTATCGATTTGAAATATTACTAGTGTGAAGATAACCACCATTAATCTTTAAGAATCTCATATCCCAACTCCTCTCTATGGAATATCCTGAAGAAAACTCCATCCCCTTTCTATGAGCCCGTCCCTTCCCCTACCTCTTTTCTCCTCCCCTTCCCTTAACAATCTCATTCGATATCCGCAGCTCCCGTACCTAGACCTAAACTCCTCTTCCTCTCCATTTCATAACTACTCCGTAGTAGGAGCCACCTTCCTAATAGCCACACTAATACTCGATCCATCATCAATCTCTTCCGCATTCCATTTCAACTGCCAGACACCATCCGACACGGGAGTCGCATAGAAGTTGGAAGCGATCTTCGACGTACTTGGGTTCTTCCACATAGCCCAGTTACCAAATGACATGAAACCCTTAGTCGTGCCATTCGATGAAGCAGATCCGGTAAATCCAACGTTTGTTAGGGCTGTGGCACAAGGGTCGATGAATAGTACTGGAGATGTGGTGTTGGCGAGAGTAACATTGCCAGCGGTTGGTGTGATGACCCATTCACTGGATGAACTTGGTGCGACTTTGACGGTATTAGTATGATCGCTGTTTAAAGTGGTGCTTGTGGGACCTGTGGTTATTGGAGTTCTTACATGTGATATTTGTGTTAACATTGGATCCGGATGGAAATTTGCTACCCACAAATGCATTTCCTACATGTCCAATTAGTTTTGGGGAAATGCATGCGTCGTACTACGATTATCAACTTACCATCGGAGTAGTATACTGGTAGTCCACCAATACCTTCACCGTAAGCATACAAGCGGAATGGACTGGTGGTCCTTCTGTCGATGACCGCAGCAGATGCTGTCAAACATCCCAAGAGGAAGAAGAGGGAAGAGGTAAACTTCATGTTTTCTTGATCTTGTAAAGGATGTATGTGATGGCTAAATGGATGCTGGTGTTTACGCGAAGAGAGGATGATGATGGGATGTAAAGAGTGTTACAGAGATAATGAATATATTGAGAAACAGCCACCGACCTGAAATACGAAGAACTCACGGTTAATATTATATCGATAAGAAAGTAGATGTCAGAGCACAAAAGCTCGGTGCTGACTTCCAAAGCCCCTCCATCACAATATTGCATTCTCACGGAAAGCACCTCAAGCTACCAAACACTTTCTTGACCCCCTAACTAGTCAGACACAGATATCATGGGTCAATGTAAGCTTGCGCTGTAAATGGTAAAAGGTACACGAATTAACCACGCGAAATGACAAGAACTGCATGGCTATGGTCAGTGCAATAGCGAGCCAAGGGTATTCGTCGACTTTGTCGATCACTAGGAACAATAAGTTAAAAGCCACGCGGTGGTTAGGATGGATATTAAAACATGCCATTATATTGTACATGGCTGTACGCGAACTGAGTGTGGAGGTAAGCATGTGGAACGGCTTTCTCCCGAGAAGGATCTTCCTCGTCACATTCGGAAATTCTAACTTTACGAGCATGGGTAGTAAGTAAAAAGGAATTTCCAACAGTCCGAGCCATCGGAGGGAAAGAAAAATCGGAAAGATTTGATGTGTGAAGGTAAAGCGCATGGTCACTGGAAGGATATCCGGTGGCAATGTGTGCACGGTTCCCGAGACACTTCCGAAGTTGATCTTTCGAAATACGAAATCGACACAACCGATATGTGAACGATATATGCACATATAACAACATGACATTGTGATGAGAATGAATCGTCGGAACTTTTTGAAGAGCTACAAGTAGCTATCAAATTGTTCGGAACATTTAAGATCTCGATATCGCTTAAATCAGACCGAAAAACATCCGAAGATATAAACTTGGAAAGCGTATGTAAAATCTATATTTATAGAGTGAGTTGGCGATTAGCTGAAGTCAGTCTAATCGGAATCTTTCTAATGTATTCTCGTCTTTAAATACACATCTGAGGTGGATGATGAATAAATCGCAGACGGAAATTGCAGATATCGGAAAGATGCGCCAAGTAAGATCTTACCTCTGCAGAGCTACCCGATGTAAAGTTATCAAAATTAAAGTTCATTTAAGGATGCACGACGATCTCCCGCAGACCGTCACATCACCATCACTTGGACCCATGTTTCGAAACATATCCATATTCACTGCTTGCTTTTCTCTAGCCTCTTCCTCGGATCTTTCTCAAGCTTAGTCAAGCTAGTTTCTTTGGTACATGAGTACCTTGCAGATATGATCGTCTGCAGATCTTCCACTACTGCATGTCAAGCTTTAGGTCTATACATTTTAGTCCGGCCATTTCTATTTTCCGACGTAATGTTTTGGCTCGGAATGTTGTTCGTGCTCGGTCGGTGTACACCAAAACCTCCGACGTACAACATATTGATTTAATATATGCATGTCGATGGTTAAGGAGAGACAAATTGGTACCGTACTACCACAGCGGTACAATACGAAACTACCATGCACGGTGAACCATATAGGTACCATCGGGATTTGGGTCTTTTTTCCTACCAGAAACCGGAAGAAGGATAAAAAAACTTTTTCAGTTTTCTTCATTGGATTGAGAGCTAGTGCTGGATTACTAGTCCAGGTTAAGTGTAAGACTCACAAACACTTGCTCAGGCATACGAAGAGACAAGAGGACAAGAGGAGAAATCTTAGCTGCAAATAGCAAAGTCATATTATCCCAGGCGAAGGTTCCAACAACTAAATATCCGAATATTTTAAACAAACGAAGAACCGTCATCGAAGCTTGTACACTTTTAACTTTAGTGACCCCGGATTTATTCATCTACCTTTACTAGGAAATTATCCAAGGATGGATGCACGGACAACGTGCACTCCCGATACCTTTGACCTAGGACATATTGAGATGCTAGCATCCTTTTCAAGTTAATGTTGTGAGCCTCTCGCCGATGCTATCTCATCTTCGTATTATCCAAGGACGTTTCGGCTTGGTTGCCAATATGGCTGAAGTCATCCACTATCGACTAGTGAACTTGTCAAATGTTCATCCCAATACTATTTCAGACCAACCTTATGATGGCTTGGAGCACTCAGATCTTCTTCTCATCTCTAGCGTCAGTTTTAGTGCGAACCTGAGGCTTACCATGGTGGAGATACCTATGGTGGATAAGACTAATATTTTATATTCCAAGTCTCAACGGGGCTTTGTATTGACACTATATAGTAGGAATCAACTCGGGTGCTCTTGGAAACGAACTTTCACCATATGCATCTAAGTGGATTTGAGATATTTCATTGTGCTCGCTTCTACCTAAAACTCTTCTTAAGGAAGATTATTCCTTCCCACCAGTACCACCTTACTATTTATCATCCAGCACAACTCTTTTCCTTTCTCTCTCTCCCACATTCGCTTTGTTTCACTTTGGCATCCTCATTCGAGGGCTATAAAACCAGTTTATCCTCAATACCTTGCAACGGCCAAGTTACATAGGCTAGGAAAATCTTATAGAGGATTCCATCATGCGTTTCTATATCCTTTTGGCCTTGTGCCTTTCAATTGTCCAAATTCAGGCGACACCAACTTTTGGATTTTTCAATCCCATTGCTGCTCTTCAAGCAGATATCCTTAAAATAATGAACGAGGTCGAGTGCATGCTTGGCACAAAATCTTCTTTTATCCCCGCAATTCTTACCAAAGGCAATCCCAAAGCCGTTACATCAAACAAGTGCTCACCAACCAAAGCAACGGCCACTAGTGCTGCTGCAGTCAAAACTTCTGTCTCTTCTCTCCAATCGGTAGCCCTATCCAAATGGAGTTCGCTTCAAAGTTTATTGTCGACAACCACTACACTTCCTCCTATACTTACCACGAGTGTCACTGTCTCAACCGCTAAAACCGCTTCGAGCACTTCAGCTGTAGTGTCAACTTCGACAACTGCAAAGGCTACATCTCCAACTGCAACAGCAAGTTCCACAACAGCCAAAGCATCTTCGATCACTAGCCAAGTTACTTCTTCAGCAGTATCTTCTGCATCAGCATCATCCTCAACCAGCAAGACTGTAAGCTCGCGCATCGCGGTAGGAACTCCATGTGCAGGTAATACTGCCGCCGATAGATCACAGTGGTGCGACTATTCTACCAGCACAGATTACTACAATGAGGTGCCAAATACCGGGATCACCCGCGAGGTAAGAAACTTTTTCAAATAACTGATATATTTCTCTAATCTCATAATTTAGTATTGGCTCAATATTCAAGATGGCGTCGCTTCACCTGACGGAATTTCAAGATATGTTCAGACGGTTAATGGAAGTATCCCAGGTCCAACTATTATTGCTGACTGGGGTGATAATGTTGTGGTACATGTAACCAACAATCTTTCTGTCAATGGTTCAACTATTCATTTCCATGGTATACATCAAAATTATACCAATCAAAATGACGGAGTGCCATCAATTACGCAATGTCCCATCGCCTTCGGAGCTACTTATACCTACAAATGGAAAGCCACCCAATATGGTTCATCATGGTATCATTCTCACGTTGGACTACAAGCGTGGGAAGGTGTAGCTGGTGGTATCATTATCAATGGTCCTTCTACAGCCAACTATGATGTTGACAAGGGAACACTTATGCTTACTGATTGGGGTCACACTACGGTTGACGAGCAATATCAATATGCTCAAACTGCTGGTCCACCAGTCATGGATACAGGCCTTATAAATGGTACGAATGTTTTTGGAGAAGATGGTGCTAGTAATCAGACTGGTTCACGTTTCTCAACTAGTGTTACATCAGGCACCTCATATCGATTCCGTCTTGTGAATAGTGCTATCGATAGTCACTTTAAATTCTCGGTTGATAATCACATTTTAACTGTTATGGCAAATGATCTTGTTCCTATCGTACCTTACCAAACTCAGGTTCTCAACATTGCTATCGGTTAGTGTTGCCCTAATTCTCATCATCAAAAAATACGTACTAACAGCTTTCTTCCAGGGCAACGCTACGATGTAATCGTAACCGCAAACCAAGCTTCCCTCGCCTCTGATTTCTGGATTCGAGCTATTCCCCAAGCATCCTGTTCGGAGAATAACAACCCAAGTAACATCAAAGGTATTCTTCACTATGGGAGTTCAACCGGCATCCCCACAACCACCGGCTACAACTTCACCGATGAATGTGTCGACGAATCCCCCTCATCCCTAATCCCCTTCCTCCCAAAAACCGTATCGGCCTCCTCCAAATCCGCCGACGAAGCCGTAACCGTCGCCCAAAACTCCAACCAACTCTTCAAATGGTACCTCAACAACTCGACCTTCCTAACCGAATGGGAAGACCCCACACTCCTCATGGTCGAAAAAGAAATCACCACCTTCACCACCGCAAATAACCTCATCGAGCTCCCCAACGCAAACGAATGGATCTACCTAATAATCCACTCACGCATACCCGTCCCCCACCCGATCCATCTCCACGGCCACGATTTCTACGTCATTTCCCAACAAGCTTCCGTTTACGACCCTGCTACCGCAGTTGCCACATACAATCTTAATAATCCGCCTCGAAGGGACGTGGCTAGTTTACCCGCGGGAGGATATCTCGTGTTGGCTTTCGAGACGGATAATCCGGGGGCGTGGTTGGCGCATTGTCATATTGGGTGGCATGCTAGTGAAGGGTTTGCGATGCAGTTTCTTGAGAGGGCGAGTGAAATTCCGGGGATTTTGGATGTGGCGTCTTTGCAGGGGACTTGTGATCAGTGGAATCGGAATGCAGTTCATCAGGAGGATTCGGGGATTTAGGGGTTAGTGGCTCAAGGGGGTCTTTTGTATATATAATTTTCGATTTTCTTTCGTTTTTCTTGGATTTGGATGTGGATTTGAATTGGGATTTGTGGGGTGGAAAGTTGATGGTGGGTGGATTGCAGATGTTTTTATATATATCCCATGATTGAACCTTTGAGGATAATGTTAATGCTCTTTTTTATTTTATCATAAAGAAGAGAAGGAAGAGGAAAGATATCATAGATAGATAGATAGATAGATCGATGGCAGTATATATACAATATATACGTATACCTAGGTATACATCAAATAGTTCTAGAGTATCTATCTACCACCTAAGTTAATATAATCAAATCCAAAATACAACGAAAACAACAACGAAAGCAGTAAGTAAGTGAGAAGCAGTCTTATGATGAAAAGAAAATAATCTTATAATCTTATACAATACAATACAATATACTATACTATACTATACTATATTGCCCACATATGCATACCAGAACAAAAGAAAGTTGATGAAATGATAACTTGAGGGATGGGATAATAACGTATTTGATACTCGTACTGGGACTTATCCAAGGAGTGGATAATTCATGCATAGTTATTTATCTCATAACTTCGTGAGCGATGTAAGACTTATGACTTGCTTTTTATACTGACGCAGTGTCCTGTCTCATGACATATCATCTCATAATATCCATCTCATCCTAGAATTCTAAAATGGGAGATAGACGAGCATCTATCCTGCATTTCAATCAACCAACGAAGTACGAACAACTATTTCAACCTCCCAAAATCCGAACTCTGATTCGAAGTTGCCTTCGTACCCCATCCAGTTTCGAATCCCACCTCCCCATCCCTCTATTCCCTCTATCCCATTCCCTCCCACCTAACATCCTCTTCCCCTCCTCCAGTCTCCCAACTTCCTCTTCCGAAAACCCGCATCTCTCAATCTATTTGCACCCTGCGTTTTCCATTTCTGTCGATCGCGTAATGCTTCGAGTGCTTGATCCCAATCTTCTCCTTCCCCTTGAATCGTATCTTCAAGTTGTACGTCACTTTTTGGATCATAGTCTGCGTGGAATCGAGAATCCATTATTGATGTTGAGCCGAGGGAAGTAGCACCACGACCGCGGATTCGAAGGGGTTGTTTTTCATGTGCCGGACGGGGCCCGATTATTGAGTCTAGGGGATCAGAATCGGATGATTGTTCTGGCTCTCGGTCTGGGTGTTGTTTTGCGCGTGAGGATGAATGTTTATGTGGTTTATGAGTTGATATTTCTTCGCCTTCTGAGGTTGGTGAAAGGGAGCGTTTCCGGTTGCGACGGGGTGAGCGATCTCTTTCCCTATAACTCGATTCTTTACTTCGATGTTCTCTAGGTGAACGTGATCTCTCCCTATGTCTCCTCCTATCATCCTTTGTGCGCTCCTTATCCTCGGATGTACTCCTTCTCTTCGCTGTGATTTATTTTCTTCCCCTGAATCATCATGATATTTTCTCCGCCTGTCCTTAGATCTTCGTTTATCACCATCAAGTTCTTCATCCCTCCTCCCCTTCCGTACGTCTCGATTCTCTCTTCGATGACCTATCAATTCCGCAGAAATATCTATATCCTTCCTACGACTTCGACGATCACTACCCTCCCATCCCTCAATCTTCGACTTCGTATTTTCCACCCCGTCCTCTCTTTGAACGCAATCCTCTTTTCTTTTCCTCCCAGAATCCTCTCGTTTCCTCTTCACTGGTCCTCCTAAAATCGCCTTAATATCTCCCAATTGTCTCCTTCTAATATCTCCCGGCGCAACTTTACTTTCAACCTTTCTTTCTCTCCCACCATTCGATAAACCTTCCAATCTAGCTCTTGCTTCTGCTGCCTCTTTAGCCAATAGTGCGCTATTATGATTATCCGTATCTCTAATAATGTTGCGTAGAAAACGGGTATTGGGTTTTGGTTTATTGGGTGGAGGTTTAGATTCTTTGGCATAGGCTTCGAGACCCATGGAAGAGTATTTTATAGAGCTAGCCTTGGCATCTTGAGCTAGGAGGTTGGCGACATAGTCATCGGTTAGGTAGGTGTCGTTTGCCATGTTTGGGGTGAAATACGATTTGTTTGAGGTTGGAGGGTAGTTGCGATTGTGGATGAAGTAATGAATTGAAAGATCAGGAGATGTTCGTATTCATATAATGTTTGGTAAAGGGCCGTAGACTATAGTGAAAGAAATGGAATAGCGAAATATAGATATTGCTAGATTGTAGTGAACGGAATAGATGCATCAAACGTGAATATAGAAGTATGGAGATTTTGGGAGCCAGCCTTGCGGTTGCTATCGTATTTGCTGAGATAGGATGCATTGACCTCTTGATCGGATAATACCATGCAATTGTTAGCAATTAGCGCTTGTAAAGTCTAAATATAACCATTACAGGTGTGAATTTATACAGAATACTCACCGCCGGCAGAATAAATCAAAGTAAACAATGCATTTGCAATGCGACAGACAACCCCTCTGATTTTCAAACATCAGATGCCAAAACTTGCAGCTGCAAATACATAATCAGCAAAGATATTATTTCTATACTATTTTACGCGACATTGATATTCCCCCGATATACAAACCTTTACAGCCCATAACATCTGCAAACAACTAATCACAACCTAATAAATGGCGCTTTCACCCGAAAATACCCTCACCACTCTCCAAAAGCTTCAAAAATCCCACGAATTGAGTATTATAAAACTGAGTGAACCAATTTCTGCCCCTTTAAAACCAGGCGATCGAACATCCAATGGCTCTGCAGCTGATCCTCTCGAAAATCCATCTCCTGCTAGTTTAGAGACCGATTTGGCGCATTATAAGGTAATTCTATAATAATATTTACTTTTACATTTATCCACACATTCACACATCCTGCATATTGTTTCCCTCTCAAAACAAAGCAAAAACAAATACTAACCCCCTCCTTCCACAGGAACTCTTCTCCAAACTCCGCTTCTCCTACCTCGAACAAGTAACCAAAGAAAAATTCATCCGAGCCATCGTCGGCGACCCACCCCTCGTAGTGGAACATCAAGAAAACCTCGATTTAGAAGCCTCATTACTCCTCTCCAAATCCTCGCTCAAAGCCCAAAAAATCGAAGTCGCAGAACTTGTTGAAGAGCTCGAGAAACGAGGAAGAGAATTATGTAGAAAATATGAACATATCCAACTGCAAACTAAACAACTTTCCGAACTGCCGTTGAAAATATCGGGATTGGAGGAAAATATTCAAAAGTTGAAAAATGAGCAGAATGGGATAGATGGAGAGGGGATAAGTCATCCGAATCTTAGATTGGGGTTGGATAGAACGAGGGAGTTGGTGGAAGAGAAGGAAAGGGAGAGGAGGGATCTAGATAGACAGTTGGAACAGTTACAAGTACAGGTTCCGAGGAAAACTAAGGAGGTTGAGAGGTTAAATGCGGAACTAGTGCCGTTAGATGCGAAGAGAACTATTAGTGTTGCGGCGGCAAGAGAAGCGCAGAGGAGGAAGGAAGAGGGGGCAGGTGGGACAGGAGATGATTTGGAGGAAAGAGGACGTTGGTGGAGGGGTGTGGAAGGAGGATTGAGGGGAGTGTTGGGGGTGGAGAGCGATGCTTAGGTGGTTATTATTATTACTTTGGATTTCAGGTTCGGAGTTTGGTGTGAAACGGAGTTCATAAATGGAGATTTTGGTATAGGGGGACCATCAAAGGAGGAGTCTGTGCTTCTAAGCTTACATATGCGTCAATACCGTGGGTATATGATAGATAGATATATGGAAATATATCACATTTTATCACTTGATATCATTACATTACATTATATTGCACTGCATCGTATTCCTTCTTCCCTCCTCGCTCTCCACCCATTTATCTACCCATCCATCCGTCCGTCTGTTTGTAATCTTATATTCCTCAGCGCACCTACTCACTCAATCCCATCCATCCATCCATCTAAAATAATCTCACTTTGTCATCCCTTCCTCCACCCTTTTTTTCTTCCCCTTCCCGCCCTCTCCCTACCAGAACATTTAAATCGATTCTCATCCATCCATTGCATCCATCCCAACCCACGCAATCCAATCCAATCCAATCCATGTCATACCATACCATACCATTACTAACCCTAACCCTCACTCTAACCCAGCCACACAATACAGTACAATGAACCGAGAAGATCTTTCATTCCCTTCCCTTTTCTTTCCTTCCCTTTGCTATCCTTTCCTTTCTCTCCCACTCAACTCATTCACCTATTCATACCATCCCCTAACCTTCATATCCATCCATGCCCTCATACCCTAACATACACACGTTCCCAACCCCATTATCCATTCATCCACCCATTTATCATGTATTATTAGTAACAAAGTAAAGAAGTAAGAAGGAGAGAAAATATTATTGTAAACATGCATTTCCGTATTCTCCTTCCTCGTTTGACGAATCCACTCCTTGTCTTATCCCAAAACCCAAGCTACATCAGATAAAAGAAAAGTACATCTCGCCCTCATCCCATATTCAGGCATTGAAAGGGATGCATTCGAAAAAAACTTGCGTTTTGGAAAGGAAAGCGGGGCGGAAATGAATTGTATTGATATTGCATGTAATTTCGAACTAATGGATCTGTACTATGAACGAACAATACGTTTCCTGTAACAAGCTACGGAGTAAAGAAGTCAAGCTTAAGCATAGTATAAAGCTTCGATGAGATAAATAATGCCAAAGACTAAAAAGGCGATTGCCCCTCCTAATGTTACTGTGAAATGGTTAGTTATACGACCTTCAGAATGACAGAATGAAGAAGAACTTACCAACTCTTAAGCTGACTTTTCCAGCGATAGCTCTTCCTCCAATAACAGCCACTCCAGTACAAACAGCATGGCCACTAACCGCGCCTCCAGTTACCCACCAATAATCCTGACCAGCAGCCATAGCAATCGTAGCAATTTGACTACGATCTCCCCATTCACCTAGGAAAGTCATGACGAATGTTTGAACCCAAGCTGGACTTAATAGTAAAGAAAGAAGATTATTCAAGCCACCGGCGGCACTTTGAATTGTTGATCTCTTAGGAGAAGGAGATCGATCTGACGAAGTTGAAGGGCTTCTTGGTGGAGATGGTAGACGGGATCCTGATCTAGATTTTCTTGTGCTGGCTCTTGTACCTCCACCAAGACCCATTTCGAGAGCATATGGAGAAACTGATGATCGGCGTCTTCCTTGTTGTTTCGCCAAATGTTCTTTTTCCTCAAGTTCCATTTCGACTTCTTTCATTTCTTCCGTAACACCCTCATCTGGACTCATGGCTAAACCTTCTTTTAATAAACGTCCTCCAAAGATCAAGAATAATCCTGCGGCTAGGAAATTCGTGAATCGTTTTGGAATTAAAGTAGGAACTGCATGACCTAATACTGCGGATAGAATTGTCATGGCTATTAATGCGGAAAATGCGGCGGAAAATACGAGAAGTCTGTCATGCTTCATAGCCATCAATGCTGCAATCAAAAATGTCTTGTCTCCGATTTCAGAGAACAAAATCATTGTGAGGGAAAGAAGAAATGAATGTAAAGGTTGAATGAGACCCTCATTACCCTCTCCTTCCAATTCAAGCTTTGGAATGGCCTTTGAATCGGATTTGGTAACATCTAGGTGATCCTTGTTGGCAGAATTAGGAATTGGATGAGGATTATTGTTTGTCTTATCTGGAAGATCTGTAGGTTTATCCAAACCAGCGAGGTTGTCAGTGGCACCAATCTCCTTGTCATCAGTGAGTTTTTTAGTCGAATCCTTCTTCTGCGGATCTTTGCTGTCACCCTGTAACTTTTGTTCGGTGTCGTGAGGTATTGGAGGCGCCTCTTTAGGTGATGCTGGCTTCTTTTCCACCTTCTCTCCCGTTTGGCTTTCTTGACCCTTTCGTGTCTTCTCTTTCTCACTCACACCTCCCTCAGTACCTGTTGTGCCATGCTTAGGCAATGCTCGACTTGGATCGTTCATAACGCCATCAATGCTCTGAGGAATTTCGTTTCCATCGTCATCAACCATTTTTTCCTTCTTCGCAGTAGAAGTTTTAGTTGTAGGTGGCACAACCAATTCTCCATCTTCAAGCTTGGATTTGGAGTTCTTAGAATCTTTAGAAACTTTAGAGTCTTTGGAATCCTTGGTATCCGCCTTTTCAACTGTTGTAGCATCTTTCTTGGGGTCCTTTTTGGTGGTGTCTACGAATGGGCCAGCGTGTGGTTTTCCATCTTTTCCATCGACTGGCGCATCTTTCGTACCAACATCATATTTTGCTTTATTATCGGTAAGACCTGTAACAGCTGATGACGAATCGTATCCAGAATCGACTGTTTTGTCTATCTTTCCAGTTTGCGCATCAGCATCTTTCGCGAGGGCAGATTGTATGTTGTCTTGTGCCGCAGGAGACAGAGCCAAAGCCAATGATGGCAATAAAAGTAAAAGCAATGGAGATTGCTTCCTCCGGAATCTCATTTTGGATTATATCTTTTAATTGAACTTGGCAAATGTGATAGAGCTGTATTTGAGGATAAGAAGTATGATCAGGGGAATATGGATTCTTGGTTGTAAGGCGTTCAATGGGTAATTTGTATGGAGATGAGTTCCAATGACGTGTCTAGTAGTTTTTGAATGTAAGAAGCTGTCAAGTATCTTTTTTTTTATAAAAATGAATAACACATACCTCGATTGAATCCGCAGAAAGCTGTGTTGTGAAGGATAAAAGTTGTGTTGAAAGAAAGGGTTTCAAATAGTTTGTGATTATAACACATTATTTGTTAGGAGCAGCACTGAAAGAGGGAGGAAAGGAGTTCCACTTGTTAGCTTGTGGCTTGTCTCTCATGGTCAGCTTCAATTCTGATTGGCTGTACGATTTCAGCAAGTAGCTTATTTATTAATAGTATTCATTTTTTAACAAGGGGTACGTTTTTGGAGGGTCGGGGGATTCTCAATGGCCCCATAAAGTCTCACGCTTCAGACAGGAGAGGATTTAAAACCCCTGAATATGAAGACTTATCGATAAGTTGATAGATAATAAGTTGCTACACCGTGGTAGTTGAATTATACCACGGATTGTATAATTATGTATTGTAAGTGTAAGATCTTATGAATACTGTAGATAGATCAGTTCAAGGTTACAAGCAAATTTCCATCCAGATAATCAAGTAGCTAGGGGGTTGAGAAGTCGTCCATACCTAGTTACTTATACATACCTACTTATACTTACCTACTTATACTTATACATACCTAGTGCCTATACTAACTGCTAGGTAGGCACTTACGCATCTAGACCGGTTCTTGGCGTGTGAAGTGCGATTTGACCAAAATGACAACGACGACGTGTGCTCAGATGCAATACATTTCATGACGTCGTACCGTATTGATTCGTACCGTATTGATTGGTACCAACAAAATCTAATTGAAATAGTCCTTTTCGAACCATGGATACTTATCAATTATGGGAAAAGAAAACTGTAGATACCTACCTACTTAGTAAGATTACTTACAACATATCTTTTCTGGTGGGGAAGCTCTCTTAATATGCACATGTTTTCAAAGTACAGAGTATACACGTGATTGCGTGATTAATAGCCCCAAGCATCAGGTCTCAAGTCGTGCTCCCCGCTTCCATACTAGCAACACAAACAAAGCGCGTCAATCCATCCACAGCACAACATTATAAACTCCACCCAGCTACATTATCAAACAACATCAAAAGATCCACGATAAGGTATCAAATCTGCTGTGCGAAATACATTGGGGTACAGCTCATAATTTGATCGTCGCATCACGATATTTGAGATGGCTCGAACATCTGCGCGCTCGACGTCGCAAGATATCCCCTCCTCACCACCCAAACGCGAAAGTCCTATTCGAAGAGTGACTCGATCAACTCGTCACCAAAGTGTAGACTTGGATGAGTCCCGTAATAATGGAGGAAGTGTTGAGCGTGCGGATAGTGAGGAGGAGCAGAGAATTCCCAAAGGTGCTCGCAGAGTTGGAGTTGCGCGCAGGTCAGGTTAGTATTCTTTATATTGCCTTTGTTAATTATTCCTTACAAAGTTTAGACTTGTCAATACTTGAAGAAGATAGCGAAGTCTCGCCCGAAGAGGATGAGGAAGTAGAAGAAGAAGACGAAGACGAAGACGAGATAGAGGAGGATCCCGAAGCAACCAAGGTTGCAGATTTTCAAGTATATGATTTAGAGCATGGTGATCGTAGTAATTTGTCAGGTGAAACGCTCAACACATCACATACCGTACGAGTTATGCAAGCAATCGACTCCATTTCGGCTATCGAGACTCTTCCGGACCTTTATGATACTGCTTGTAAGATTATCAATAAATCCACGAAAAAAGATGTCCGTCCAAAAGAAATGGGCCGCCATCTTAGGTCTTTGAAAACACTTTTTGATACTTTGGAAGTTAACAAAGAGCCATATGGAGGAGAACAATTCATCGAGGTTGACATCGTGAAACAAAAGCTGTCTGGATCAATAGACTCTGTGGATCATAGTTCAGAAGGCCTCGGAGATAAAGCTATTCCTGTTACTGCGATTCTTCAATCGGCAAATCTTGCAACTTTGGTTGGCCAAGTCAATCAATTGCGCAAAGATGTTCAAGCTCCCGAAGAAGAACTGAAGGTATTTCTCCAGTCTTTAGATAAAACCTTCCCTCGCCCATTTGTATCGGAGTTTGCTGAGCCTTTGGATGAGGACTCTGAAGACAGCAAATTAATCAACAAAACTTTCGACATGGTGTTAGACATACGAACTCAGCTGTTCATAACTGCCTCACATCAGCTAGAAACGGACCCGGCGTTCGATCCAGATCATCTTCTAAGATCGTATTTTCTCGATAGCGCAGATGGGGGAGAAATCTGTGGTGTTGATTTTAAGGTTATTGGTCTGAAAGGGCAAAGTGAGAGGACCGACGAGAGGATAGATCTCATCCGTGACACTTTCATGCCTGCAGATGAGGCTACAGGCCCTGGCGAATACATCGACTTTGGCAGATTGGAAGTATTGTTCCCCAGGTCTGAGTTCTTTAATAATCTTGTCGGATATAGCCAAGACCGTTTGGCAGAGGTCGAGAAGATTGTGGACAGCCGAGGCGGTATCGAGAACGTGATGGAGCCACTTAAAGATCTTGTAAAAGATCTTGCATCCGATGGCGAACCTTCTATTAATGTAGACTACAAACAGGATGTTGTGGATCGTGACGATAGTTCAATATCGAAAACCAAGGCCTCTCCGCCACCTCGAAAACCAAGAAAAGAGTAAGAATTCCTTGCCAATTTATTATTCCATCCAAACAGCTAAAAATCGGATCGCCACTAATAATATTCCAGGCCTCATGCTGACCTAAAGGCTATATCGAAGCTCATGAAATTCAGAAGTCAAGGTGATAGAGTAGGCCCCTCTAGACCCGACTCTAGCACAAATGCTAAGTCTAACATCCGCGGTCCATCACGGATACAATCAGAGGGGCAACAGGAGGAATCTGAAATCACAAGGAATTTCAAGAAATTTACAAGTTCACAGGATAAAGAGAATAGACGTCCTGACCAACACCAGGGATCCAGAGGTGCTACGGTGCCAGCAGATACTTCACGGCGCGCAATGTATAGAAAGCATCCCAATGGTGAAAGAGTGGAGTGGAATGAGGATAGTCAAGGGTTTCTAATAGACTCTCAGCCAAGGAACAACAAGCGCAAAGGTCCCCTTCCTCCGGATGATGAAGCTGATAGTTCGGATCAAGGCTTTCAAAGCGATCAGAGAGCAGCTGAACCTACAGCTCGTCAGCGCAGGGTTAGGGTAGATGATGAGGTACTTCATCAACCAATAAATCACAAGCGGAAAGCTTCTTCTCCACCAGCAGCGCAACCAAATGGCAAGGGAGTCTCCTCAGAAAGAAACAACAAGCGCAAAGCTTCCTCATCTCCAGCTGTCGAGCCGGAAGACGAAGATCATAGCTCGGATCAAGGCTTTCAAAACCATCAGAGATTATCTAGACCCATGGCCCGCCCTACCAAACGAGCACGTACCGAAGCAGGTGAAAGTTCCCGGGCACAAAATTCACGTGGTGGGAATAGGTCTCGAGAAGTCCACTCACCACTTGTCGTCGATGATAATGACGATGTTGATGAGGTGCACAATCAATTTGCCCTAGTACGACAAGACCAACGCAGAAGAGAGAAATCTCGATCGTACCAAGTCAGACGCATGTCACCAGGTCGATCAAGAGGACGTTCAGTGACAAACCAAGACGATGATGAAGGCAGCCTACGACTGCCTGCTGATGAATATTCAGACGAAACGTCATTTCCATTCACCCAGGCCACTGCTCGTGCTAATGCAAGAGTACAAGCAGCCAAAACTGGCTTCAATAAGGCACAAACTCGTACAGAATGGTCTGATGGCGATACCCAGCTTCTCATTGATTACATCAGTGGAATCGGACCGATGTGGGCAGAGATTGAAAGACGTGGTGAGTTTGAACGTGCAAACATTAGCCAGGTTGGTTTGAAGGATAAGGCGAGGAATATCAAGGTTTCTATGCTATTGTAAGTGAAATTAACCCTAACCCTAAACTTAACCCTAGCCCTACCTTCGAATATGCACATCACTGTTACTAATATTTATATCAATACAGGGCCGGTCAAAAGCTTCCGCGAAACTTCGAAGGGGTTAAACTAAATGTAAATTTGATCAAAAGGATAAAGACTACATGGCCAAATTACGATCCATATACCGAAACTGGATATGGTGCATTCTAACTACATGGACATCGCTCAAAGCGGCAGAACGTGCTTCCATGAGTTGGCGATTTTTGTTGATACACAGGATTGAGTAAGGGTATCTACCTAAAAAGGTCTAATTCTTTATTTTCTTGTTTGCGAACCGATTGCACAGAACGGACCTTTGGATAGAAAGGATCAGTATTTACTGGTTCCTAAAGGTATCACATATGGCGGGTTAGTGAAGTTTGGCTGGGTTTATGGCGTCTGGATGGACGGGATATTGGTAGGATGATTATGATTATGAATATGAATATGGATATGGATATGGATTTGTTTTACAGGCGAACGTCATTGTATTTTGAGGGACTGGCATGGCTAAATGTGTGGTTCCGGGGAGTTAGAGGAGTTTGTCTTTATGAGGATGGGACGGACGGGGAAAGCAATGCATTTTCTTTGATACGACATTGTAATGATTTCATAAAATACTTCACGAATGTTTATATGCAAAACCCAATGATAAATGTATTTGATCATTATGATGTTTTAATTAACTTCAACTGAACTACTCGTAGAGGAGTAGCGTTAGCTTTGTAACACCTGGTAGCTTCACGCTCGGGCCATTTTACGACCGTTCAATGCCTGCCATTCACAAGGCTGAACATCAAATATTATTTCCGCCCTCAACTTCAGCCTTCTACATCCAATCCAATCCACGCCATGCACCCCCCCAAACCATGTCCCAACGTCTATTCTCCGCCCTGAAAAAAGGATCTTCCACGCTACACTTCTTCAAAGAATTCTCTTTCTACAGTATCATAATCGTATCATGGCTGCCCGCCGTGATCTTCTTTCAAGAACATGTCGCCGCGCTGCACACCATTAAGGGCGCTTCCATGTATCCATTTTTGAATAGTGGGTATCATGAGAGTCAGACGAAGGATGTATGCTTAGTTTATAAGATGAATCCTACTAAGGGATTGGAGAGAGGGATGCTGGTTTCTTTCAGGTTTGTCTTTCTTTCCTTTACTATATTTAGAGAAAAATTCAAATCACAATCACGGATACATTACTAACCTCCCTCCTAAAGATCCCCCTACCGTCCCGAAACCCTAGTAGTAAAACGCATCATAGCACTCGAAGGTGATCGCGTCTACACGCGCTCTCCGTATCCATACCCGATAGCAGATATTCCGGCGGGACATGTATGGGTTGAAGGGGATAATAATGCGGATGCGAGGAATTCGCTAGATAGTAATCATTATGGTCCTATTTCGGTTAATATGATTAATGGGAAGTTGACGAGGGTGCTTTGGCCTTGGGGGAGTATGGGGGCTATTAGGTGGGAAGGGTGGAGGGGGAGGACGAAGGTGATTAGGGGTGGAATTGGGGTGTGATGGGAGGGAGAGTAGAGGGGATGGGATGGGAGAGGGGATGAAATGAGGGGGTTCGGCGAAGAAGGGCTGGGTTTATGTTATGGATGTTTTTGGGTAATGTGTTGGAGGGCTGGGTTCTTGAAGATATGCATGTCATTTTCAATGTAGTCATCGGAGTATGCAGTATATTAGACAGATAGGAATCTCGAGAAGCAATCAAACCGTTTGATATCCTTTAAATAGTTACAAGCAGTGTCTTTTAAATGGTCGTGACTGGATAGTACAGTAGAACCTGGTTATAAGGGACTACATTATAAGGGGTAGAGTAGAACCTGGCTCTGGCTATAAAGGACTACATTACAAGGGATAACTCTTTATAAGGAATAAATTTTTCAACCACGTTTATTTTACATAGTGATTTTCGGCTTATAAGGGATTGGATATACGGGACTTCTCTTTATAAAGGATTCAATTGGTCGAATTTTTAGTCTTTTATACTCGGTTTCTGATTTTGATTATAAAACACTCAAAAAAGGCCGTCGACGATATTACATCACCTGACTAAGGTTGCCCCGCCCCCACTACAAAATACATCACACACTTCATCATCCTCCACCAGTGCTCCTCATCATCAACAACAACATATCAAACCATACCCCCTCCTCTCCCATAAAAATATCCCACAAACACAAAATGGGACATCTAGCCACCCTCGCCACGTGCAATCTAAATCAATGGGCGTTAGATTTCGACGGTAATCAAAAGCGCATTATTGAGAGTATTCGACGCGCGAAGAGCGCAGGAGCTTCGTTGCGCGTGGGACCTGAATTGGAGATTACGGGGTATGGGTGTCAGGATCATTTGTAAGGGATTTTTAATTTGGTTTTGGTTTTGGTTTGTTTTGTTTTTGGTTTGATTTTGAGTGGAGGGAAGATGTGATGGGAACTGATTATCTCATAGTCTAGAATCTGACACCGAGTTGCATTCTTGGGAGTCGTTGGCCGAAATCATTGCGCATGATGAATGTCGGGATATTTTGCTCGATATCGGTATGCCGGTTAGGCATAAGAATGTTAATTATAACTGTAGGATTATTTGTTATAATGCTAAGGTTAGTAGAGTATTGTTTCTTTTTTGGTTTGGTTTTTATTGTTTTATTGATTTGAAAGGATAAAATTTTTATAATGAATTTTTTGAATGTTTTGAATATTTTGGATGTTTTAAATATTTTGAATGTTTTGGATTGAATATAATTTGAAAATTTTTCTCTTTTTAATATAATTTCTATATATATTTTGAATTTGTTCGGGTTGTTTTGTTAATTTTTTATATTGATTTCGATTTTTACATTCTGTTTATTTTATATAATAGATTCGTATTATACTTTGAATTCATTGAAACAATGAATGAATTCAGGATTTGAACTTTTTAGGAATATCGCAATATGTTCAGACATTCATAACCTTTCAAACATTGAATGATTTCGGATTTTATTTCAGGCTGGACTATTGGATATCTTTTCATTATGAATTGCAGCTAATAAAACATAGATTCTACTCATTCGCCCTAAGCTCTCTTTGGCTTCGGATGGAAATTATCGTGAGCAGAGATGGTTCACACCATGGAAAGGGCAGAGGATAGTAGAGCAGTATTATTTACCAAGATTGATCACCAAAGTAACAGGACAACATAAAGTTCCAATTGGAGACGCTGTTATCAGTACTTACGACTCATGCTTCGGTGCTGAGACTTGCGAGGAATTATTCACGCCAAGAGCACCCCATATAAATATGTCATTGGATGGTGTTGAAATTTTTACCAACAGCAGTGGAAGTCATCATGAACTTCGTAAGCTGAACATTCGCCTCGAACTTATCAAGGAAGCTACTTTGAAGGCTGGAGGTATATATCTATATGCTAACCAGCAGGGTTGCGATGGAGATCGTCTTTACTACGATGGATCAGCCATGATTGTCGTCAATGGCAGAGTTGTCGCTCAAGCGAGCCAATTTTCGTTAAACGATGTGGAAGTGGTGACTGCCACCGTTGATTTAGAAGAGGTTAGGGCTTATAGAACCTTCAGATCCCGTGCCATGCAAGCAAGGGAAACAGCTCCATACGAAAGAATTGAAGCCGGAATGAGTCTTTCGAGTGATGCTGAAGATGTAAATCCTTTGGTGCAACCTACCAAGGAAATCTCAATCAAATACCACGTTCCCGAGGAAGAAATTGCACTTGGTCCAGCTTGTTTCTTATGGGATTACCTTCGTCGATCTCGACAAGCTGGATATTTTGTACCACTTTCTGGCGGGATTGATAGTTGTGCTACCTCGGTTATAGTTCATTCCATGTGTCGAATTGTCTATGCGGCAGTCAAGAAGGGTGATAACCCACAGGTTATTGAGGATTTACTTAGAATTGTTGGGGAAGAGGAAGACAGCACATGGCGTCCATCCAACTCACAGGATATCGCTAATCGGATCTTCCATACTGCTTATATGGGTTCCACAAATTCCTCATCAGAAACAAGAGGTCGTGCCAAAGATTTAGGTGAAAAGATTGGTAGTTATCATCTGGATTTCAATATCGATAATGTTGTTTCAGCAGTCACCACATTGTTCACAACAGTCACCAATTACACTCCAAAGTATAAGATGTACGGAGGAACACCAGCATCAAATTTGGCATTACAAAACATCCAAGCCAGACTTCGTATGGTTCTGGCTTATCTGTTCGCCCAACTTCTTCCGACTGTCCGCGGCAGAACGAAACCTGGATCTTTGTTAGTCTTAGGCTCTGCAAATGTTGATGAATCACTCAGAGGTTATTTCACAAAATACGATTGCAGTAGTGCAGATATCAATCCCATTGGCGCGATCTCCAAGACTGATTTGAAGAGATTTATTCTTTGGGCCAGTACAGAATTCGAAATGCCACTTCTTCAAGACTTCATTGATGCTCCACCAACTGCAGAACTCGAACCTATCACGGAAGATTATGTACAAAGCGATGAAGCTGATATGGGTATGAGCTATAATGAGCTATCAATATACGGTCGTCTTCGGAAGGTGGATAAATTGGGGCCATATGGAATGTGGACTAAACTTCTTCATGAATGGGGTCATGTTCTCTCACCACGCGAGATATATGAGAAGACTAGATGGTTCTTTTGGTGTTATTCTATTAATCGTCATAAGATGACTACACTTACACCGAGTTATCATGCCGAACAATATTCTCGTATGTCATTAACCTTTCATTTCCCTTTTTTCAACATTCCGTATTTCCAGCGACATTCAAACTAATTACTGACTTTTCAAAGCGGACGATAATCGATATGATTTAAGACCATTCCTCTATCCCGGCTTCTCATTTGCATATAGGAAGATCGAGAAAGCATTAAATGCCATGGGGGTAGCTGCAGACAAGAAACCAGAGGTAGACGGAGAGAAAAAGACAGAGTAGATAGATATTTCTTTCTTTCACCACGTATAAAGATAGAAGTTTGGGGAATTGTACGTTTATTTTTATAAATACTATATTTGAGAGGATATAGCTTTATTGCTGAATGGAAATTAAGTTCATAAAATGCGTCATCAAAGTCCGATTAATATCTCGTATGGGATCGAAGTATACTCTAATTATAGATGCGGAAGTTAAGTAAGAAGAGAGTTCACTTGGTGATCTTTACTTCAGAAAAATTACTAATCTCATCTTATCTATATATATCATACAATTTTAAAATTATATATATGAAAGCTAAGATTTATCTAGTAAATAGAATACAAAACTCGCGAGTAGGGGGTTAGAGTCGAGTGTTGATTATCTTAACGAATATGAATCTGATATGATGTACAGTGTTGGGTTTTGATGAGAAGTGAGCATGAAGAATAGAGAATGCAGAAATGAAATTTAGCTGCTATTATATATGTTTTAAGTTATAATTATTACAAATTTGGCTCGTAAGATTTCATTTAGATTTTTCTTTCTTCCACATATTAGCTGGTGTTCATGTTCTAGTCTTTTGCTCATGGAAGGAAAGGAAATAAGGAACTTATAATTTTTACTACTCGAGTATATACTTCAATTTTAATTTCATATTTGAATTATTGAGATATGAATAACTTTTGAGTTGGAAGTTTAAGATATGTATAAGCTTAAGTTTATGTATCTGCTAGATTTATTGAGACTGGGATTGGGATTGTAATTGTGATTATAATTGTGATTGAATTATAAAGTTGTTGTATATAAAGGAACAAGAGAATAATAAATGATATTTTTATATTTACTAAAGGCGATGATTGATATATATATATTTTTTATATTGATTTATTAGTATTTATATATTAGATTATGTTAATAAATATATTAGATAAAAAATTATGATTTCTAAATAGATGGTTATTATAAGAATAGAGATATAAATATAAATCAAAAGAAGAGAAGTTTTATTTATTTATTTTATAAATGTAAATATAAGCTGATAGAATTATATAGTATTCAAATAGTATCTTTTATAGCTTTTATATAATATTAAATCTTTAATTAAGAAATCAGATTTTTTTCTGAAAGAAATATTAGAAATATATTAAAAGAAAGAAATAGATATCTAGATTTGATTTGGAGAATAGTTATATATATATAGAAAATATCGTTTGTAATTTTATAATAGATTTTTTAAGGAATGAGGAAGATTGTTTTTATATTATTTTTAATGTATAAATGATGAATAAATATTTTGGATTATAATATAATTTTGTTAATGAACAATTTTGAATGATTTTGAATATTTTATATAATTACTTTTTGATATAAATAATGTTTGAAACGATATATATAAATGATATATTAATAATAATAATTTTTCATTTATAATTTCTTTTTAATTATAATAATAATGATGATATTGTTTATAGTTTGATTTTGATCAATAGAAAGTTCCAATTATATTAATTGAAATATTATTTTATATCCTTTTTGATATTGTTGTTGTTTTATAAAGTGAGTTTTTATTAATAGATCTTTTTCAATAATTAAAGGTAATGAATATATTATTTATAAATCTTGTATGATGGTTGGAAGTTTCATTTGTATCAGTTGAAGTGACATTCCATACTCATACTGATATATCAATGATGTATCAAATGTTATTACCGTTCAAAAGTCATTCCCGCTACCTAGTGGTTGCAAATACTAGTCTATACAGTCATACTCTTTTTGACAGCTAATGAGTGCGTTAATCTCCACAGTCATCTCATACTCTTTTTGACACATAAATAATGCTTCAAATAGTTTCGACGACTAAATATAGCATTTCTACGAATGGAAGTGTCATTTCATACTTATGTCGACAGATCAATCATGCTCCAAGTGTTTAAATCAGTCATAATGCTTTTGATAATCGCAAGAGTCAGCGTGGAATCTGCCTCTTCAAAGGGCTTTTAAGGCTCGAGGATCCCCCGTTTTCTAACCTTCCTTCTTCTTCTAGAACACAACAAAACATACATCTGCCAGCCAAAACAAGATCTTAAGACATCAAAACCATCTAGCACTCTGTCCAACTTCGACATCTCGTCTTGTTTAATCACACTATTGCAATCCAAAATTATCGACTCCAAAACTCTATCTCACTCGAACACCCCATCCTCGTCAAATAAGAATACTGAACAGTTAAAATGAGTTACCCCTACCAAATAGTTCAACAAACAAACAACCCAGCTCGAACTCCAGCATCGTCAGCGGCAGTTCAACCCTCAGGTAGTGCCAACCAAGATGCGCAAGGCGCAACCCAGCCAGATCATACAGCAACATCATCAACATCATATCAACCCTCAGGTGGTAGCCACCAAGAAGTCCAATATGTACAAGGCCCACGCCAGGTCGTGGGTCCTAAACCGGCAGCGGTTGCACACGCAGGTGGTGTGACCCCTGCTCAATTAAAAGAAGCACAAGATCAGTACAATAGTGCTCCCAGTTCGCAAAACCCTGCCCAATACTCGGCGACGGTACCAGGGGATGTCGCTGGAAAGAAAGAAAAATCGCGTAAACATAGCAAGAAGAGCGGTAGCAGGAGCCGAAGCGGAAGCAAGAGCAAAAGCAAAAGCAAAAACAAGGATTGCCGAATTCTTTAGGGAACGAGATATGGTTGCTGAACCGGTGCGTCAAAAAGCACTACCGCGTATTGGTGTTAGGGTATGATTCAGGGGTATGGTAGAGGTTCGGTTCATAAGCGATGGGATTGGAGGAAGGGAAGGGAGAAAAGCTGGTTTTTCTTTTGGCTCGGAACGAATATTTGAAGACGGATATAGAACGCGGGAGGTAAAGGGAAACTTGTTTTTAACACTGCACTTGATGCATGAAAAAAGTAACTAGCCTGACTTTTAGAAAATATGACTTTGCCATAATCATATATTCATGACCCAATGTGACTTGATATCGCCGTGGAGTTAAAACAAGCAAATTCAGACCTGAAAGTAATTAATGAAGTGGTCAAAAAATCAGTCGGGTTGACGGTGCTGACTGATAGCAAATAGCGGAAGTGCAGCTAACTGAAGTTTTGCAATCATTCAGTCAGCCAGTCATTATTTTCTCTTGGCTGATTCTGCATTTTTTATTATTTCGGAGTGATTTTGTAGGGGCCTTGGGGATATTTTGCAGGAATTTTCGGAATACTTGTAAGACCTTAGGAAAAAATATTCTTAACCATTTCAATTTCTAATTATGGGGAGATGATTCGCATAAAGTTTTGTGAGAAAATGATTGAATTTGATGAATTAGAAAAAAGGAAAAGATTCAAAACCAAAAAAAAGGTATAAGTATATCTTCATGATTTAAAATGATTCCAGTAACAATTAAGGATCATCCAATAGCTAATTCAGCGATTGATTGACTGGCTGCTCTGATAACTGGATAATCTGCCCCCCTGAATCATTTTAACCGGAAGCGAGTTATGATACATATAGTAGAAAAATAAGAACGATCTGACTTTACATTAGAAATGTGAAAAAATGATGAATATTAGAATGGAAATGATAATTAACCAAGTCATAATAAACACTTGATTTTCTATAATCGACTAATATCACTAGTCAACTAACCAGTATATAATCCTTCAACTCTTCAACTCTTCAACTCTTCAACTCTTCAACTCTTCAACTCTTCAACTCTTCAACTCTTCAACTCTTCACCTCTTCAAACTCCTCCAAAATCCAACCTTATTTCGATTCAATATTTTACTCTCCTAAAGAAAGATCATACCCACCTCAATCAAACATCGTAAGTAACATCCTCACCCAAGCTCACATATGAACAACAAATCTAACATATCACAGATGTGTAGAAACTTTCTTACAGAGTATGAGTGCAGCGACTGGCACGAGAAAGTCAAAAACGAGCGTCGCAAAGGGCACGGCACCTTCCACAAATGTGAGGCGGCATTGCAATATGAAGCCATGGAGAGACAACGTTTGGGCCCCCACACAAAGGTGGCACACATATGCAAGCCAATTGAGATTGTAGGACTACTACAAATTCCTATAATACAAAGAGCATGTCGAGAGTGCGAAGAAAAAGCGCTGGAAGCTGCGAAGCGTTCAAGAGAAGCGGACCTTGAACGAATCAGAACGAAACCACAACTTCAAGAAGTCACCGCAGCTCTGGGACCGGCGCCAAAAGAAGGGACAGGTGAGGTTGCAGGACCGAAAATGGCGGAAACCCTTCAACTCCAGGATTTCATTAAAGGAGGAAAAGATAGTGGCTCTCAACAAGAAAGGACAGAAGCTTGGATCAAGGATATGTCTGTTCCTGAGCCAAAAACCAAGGAACAAAGTCCCGACACATCGCGCGCCGCAGGTCCTAGCGGCAGCGGAAAGAGACGCAGAAGCAGAAAATAAAGGAATGATCTCTATGATAAATACTGGCATGGATTATGGAAGCCAAAAGTAGCTAGCTAGCTGATCATGAGTTTGAGTTCGACGGAGTGGAGTGAACTTTTACCTCTGGGCATTAAGCTTTGGGATGATAAATTAATAACAATAGCCTGATTTTCCAAAACGTAAAGTTTTGACTACTTTATTCATATCTCGTGTATCGTCGTTATGAAGTTATAATTGGAATAAGGAAGTGAATAGGCGAAGTGGTATGGTTGATAAATTAATATAATGAAGTCAGGTGTGAGGTATGGTATGTAGAAATATAAACTATAGCTGCGGTAATGACGAGGAGACTGATATTGAATCAATTAGTTGATCACTAGCCAACACAAATAACCCTAAAACTTTCAACACCCTATCCTAAGATTAATACCATCACCACATTATCCACTTGAATAATCAATCGAATTTATTCCAATACTATATCCCACTTGGCCATTATTAAAATAAGATCTCACACATAAGAATCAGAGTCATCAACTCGAATGTAACGAATATAAACTTACAGCACCGATAACCTTACCGTACTGAATAATTAAAATCCCTAATTACACCAAAATAAGCAACGAATAAATGAAAAATATTCTCCCGTAACGTCCTCTCATCTCCTCAACTTAAAGGAAAAGAAGGGGGTTTCGAACTTGTACAAGAGACAGATCAAGAATAAGAAAAAACCAGCACCTATCAGCATATTTTATTTCAAGAATCCTTAAGAGTTACTTTCCCAGTTCCCAGTTTATTGTTTAAAAATGAAAAGAAAGGAAAAACACATATATAGCACACTGCATTAACTATAATGTAAGCTAGCTAAGGTATCTCGCGATGAATGTAAATTGAACATGATGTCCATATAAATTAACTTTTGATAATAAACCCATTATTGAATGACTCCATCAATCCATCCATCCATACGAAACTCAGTCTTCATTTCATTTCATTACCCCTTCATTTATTATAAAACTTCGCACTTTTACACCTATCCCTAGTTTAATACTACGAGTACGTATTATCTCTCAATGTTCATCCCGTCGCACCTCCACTTCCATTCGCACCCGACTCCATCACACCCGCTCCACCCCTCATAGTAGTCTTCTTCCCGTTCCCATTATCGACCAAAGTACCCTCACTATCGCGCTTAACTTTTCTGTCTCCTCTCACTCCATTATTTCCCCCAGTAGCAAACTCATCCTCATGCATCCCACCTTCATTCAATCCAGCAAACTGATCATTCGGATGTGGTGGTGCAGGACTATCACTAAATGGTCTTCTCTGCGTTCCATATTCCTTCGGAGTTCCGAAATTCTTATCTGATCCATGAACATGACTAGCTCCACTTTCATCCAATTCCCTACCAACCATTCCCTCTTCCGCAAAATTTCCTTTATTTATAGCATGGGCTTGGGGATCAAAAGTTTCACCAACTCGACCAGCGTCTTGGCCTGGATTTGCGGTTTCGTACTCAAGTACCTTTATAAATTTGTAGAAGGCAGAGGCGAGAATTGCGCCGAGAAAGGGTCCGAGCCAGTAAATCCAGTGATAACCAGGGAACTGGCCGGAGACGACGGATGGCCCGAAGGAGCGAGCGGGGTTGACGGATCCGCCAGTGAAGTAAAGGCCTGGGATTTGTTAGAATATTTCACAGGATGAAGGTTTAGCGGATTTAGCTGATGATGTGTGAAAATTTAGGTAATATAAACATGAGTGAAAGATGGTGATATATACCTGTAAGTTCAGCAATGAATAAAGCAAGACCGATACCAATTGGTGCAATAAAAGTTCCCTTGTGTTTCTCAGCGGCAAGCATAAAGATCGTAAGGACCAATTGAGCAGTGAGGAACATCTCAATGAAAAGACCTCGAACGATTGATGTTCCGCCTCCTAAAGTGGTTCTAAATGTTATGGGACCAGGGAAGAGAGCAGAAACTAGAGCAGCAGCTGTGATACCACCAACGATTTGAGCTATGAATAGGAAAAGGCCTCGTGAATATGGGAGAGCGCCGACGAGACACATGCCTACTGTGACCTATGGATTATTAGACGGTATTCCATTGGGCAAGGAAAAACGGAAAAGGGAGTGGATATTCTTACGGCAGGGTTAAAAAGGCCACCGCTAATACGGAAGAAAACCCAAGCATTAACTGCCAGAGAAAAACCAAAACTTAAAGCTATATAGAGTAATTGGGCAGGATCGCTTGGGGTTCCGACGATGTTTGAATTGTTGGCTGGTGTTGCTAAGAGAGCCACTTGTGTACCTGCAAAAGCAAAGAAGAGAAAGAGAGTCGTTCCGGCAAATTCTGCCGTCGTTGCCACAAAATGATTACGTATCTTATCGTGCGAGTGAAGCCATCTATGGCCATGTCTGAGTGGAGTTGTTGTGTAACTGACTGTACCTGGTATCCAGCCAGTGTAATGGTTTCTATTTGATTGTAATGAATCTCTGCCCGCATGAGGCTCTCGTGACTTTTTACTGTCGTTGAAAAAAGGTAGTACAAAACCACCACCGCGTCTCGGTTCGTTGATGTTCATGATGGCTACTTGAGTGATGACGAATTGAATGAGGAGGGCAGTACAACTGGGTAGAGAATGTGAATTGAATAAATTGTCTATTTATATTGTTGTCACCCAATGCAATGAAGAACGAAAGATGAATGCAGTGACAAAGAGAGCCGAGGGCTTGAAAATGATACAAAGAAAACCCCGCATCGCCGAGATGAAATTGTAGATCTTGAAACTATAAAGCAATGGTATAACCGATTGCGAATACATTGATCCGCGAGGGGTATTACAGATACGTCGGATGTACGAAGCCGGAGAACTTGATAGTGTCTTGACGTAGTATGAAAAATCTAGGCCTTTGTATCGTAAAAAATGTCGGAAAATTAGACAAAGCCGCAGATAAACTGCACTACCAGAAAATGATGATCTTGTGGCAGATAACTCTTCGATCAGCTTGTAATCCGATACATGAACGCGGAAATGATTGAACCAATTGCGTCTTGAAATGAGCCAACTGTACCTCAAAGTGAGTGATGGCTCGATCTCACGCCTTAATGAAGATATAGGCTATCAAAAGAGGAACTGATAGGCTCATGGACAACATTGAAAGCTCGTGAAAAGCATCAGAAAGTTATGATAGAGTATTTGACAGCTCACGCTACGTCTGATAAGCTTTCCATATAAAACTTTTCAAGGCATGAAAGGTTGGCATGGATGAGGTCTCGATGTAGCTGGAATACAGTAATTACTTAGAACTACGAAGTAACGACAGTAACCACGGCTTCAGTAATCAAACCCATAGGCCATTTGAAAATGAGTCTACATCAAATCTGAAGCTGCACGTATTGATCCAAATTCAAAGTCATTGACGTGGTGTTAGACAGTAGATAGTGAATGGCTTAAATGATATTGATGAAATGGAGCGCTTGACGAATTGAACCCAATTGATATGTGGCATATCAAGGAATGCGGAATCACTCGAGTAGGCCGAGTGAGATATGAAAGAATTACTTTCTTGATTGCGATCTGAGAAGATGAATAATTTTGACAATAAATTCCAATGTGAATGCCAGAGCCACAGGATAATAGCTTTCAACCAAAAAGGAAGAGTTTTCATCCTTGTAGCTGGCCTTCGTTCAGGAAGGATCGTAGGGATTCGCTTTGCTGTGTTGGAAAGGAGTCGGTGGACTTGGGCTTTCGCAATTGATCTTGTAGGAGTGTATGCCAGGAGAGTAGGTTATGTAAGCCAGAGTATAGATAGAATAAATCCCTGATCTACTCGACGACTCATCGGTACCAACTATTGAAAATGAATTTAGAAGGAATACGAAGAGGAAAGCAAAACATACGAACGAAATATGGGGACTCGAGTACTAGCTTAGAGATCCACCGAAACAAGCTTTTGGTACATGGTCAAGTGTGGGATTTTGGATAGAAAATTCTACGAGGAATAAATAATAATCGTTTAGGAATAGCTTAAGGAATAGGTAGTTCTAGACACAGCCACAAAGATGTCCTGTTCGGAGAGGGGATTGATTCTTAGTACTTACTTCAATACCAGACTAGTGAAGAACATACCACCAGCGTACCTGGGAGGGGAATCGTATTTAGAGATTAGTAGCATGTCATCCAGGCATCGATTGATGTTCACTGCGACAGCGTGGAGCATCGGTAATTCCAACATTTACATCCCTTTGTGTTGGGTGGAACCAGCTAGTTATTCGTTATTACTACCTTACTGCTCGCTGGCATGGGAGCACAAATGAAAATGATTGTATTATCTATCATAAGAGTGGAAGTAAACCTAGAAAACCGGCGGGGTAATGCATGCTCTATTGATTCAATCAAAAATGAATGGCTTTAGATAGAATCAACAAACTTGCTATATATCTCAACCCCCTCTCCTCTTTCTATTATGGTAAACAAGCCACAAATCCCCTTGTATCACCCAAATGTGTGATCAACAACAACTGATTCATCCCACTCGCCTACCAACAACCTTTTTGTGGCTCAACTTCCGCTGCTGTCTTTCAACCCACGACGCCTTTCACCAACTTCAACCTTCCTAATTCTCCCTACCAACAGCCGCGTTTGTTTGTATTTTGCATCAAACATATTTTACAACGGTCCCTTTCCATAAAGTCGGATGCGATCAAGCTGGTGCAAAATCCAGCTGAGGAGCTGAAGGATTGTACTGTCGGCGCTTTCAAGATATTTGAGCTTTGAAGTTTAGTTTAAGAATACGATATCCATCATGCGACCACCAAGAATTGTATTAGTTATTGCCTTCCTCGTTTCTATATACTTTCTTACACTTTTATCTCTGCCGTTCTCTCATTCACCGGCAGATGTAGCTGCTTCTACGACAACCCGCAAGAGTGGCATACAATCATTATTCTCCTTCCGAGCTCCGTTCTCGCTGTTCCCTCCTAATGCAATCATAACTCTCACGAATGACAATACGACTGCTTTCCTGGCCAGGCCTGCTGCCTTTGGGCCTTTACTACCAAACGAAGGATTAAAAGGGCAGTTATGGATAGGGAGTGGTTTTGGAGATGATAGCATACGGCAAGGCCCTGTTGCCTCCGGGGCTGAAGGCGAACTAGGCTGTAGTGATGTGCCGGGTTGGGTCGAGAATTTTGCAAAGTCTGGCGCGATAGAAGGAGTTAAATCTGGAGATGACAAATCTGCGACGACTGCGAGTAAATCGAAAACAAACAAGAGGGCACATGAAGATGACAAAACTTTCATCGATCGTACATCGAGCAGTTCGGCAAAGGGTAAAGGTAATGTTGGAGGACCGTCGGCCGACGACGGTACCGATGATTACCTTCATCATCCTCTACCGGGATCAACAGTATCAAAACATACGGACAAGCAACCCACGGACCTGAAGGCAAATCATGCAGATATTCAATCTATACAGGAAGGTGCGGAAATCGCTGGAAAGGTTGTCTTACTGAGCCGTGGAGGCTGTGGATTTTTGGAAAAGGTCAAATGGGTGCAGCGTAGGGGTGGAATTGCTTTAATTGTCGGTGATGACAAAAGTGGCGGACCACTAATTCAGATGTATGCTCGGGGCGATACATCAAATGTGACCATACCAGCCATCTTTACATCTCGTACCACCGCACATTTACTTTCTTCTCTCATAGGGCCTGGTGCATATAAGGAAGATGCGCTGGATGAAGGTGGTAAGGCAACATTGAAGGTTCAAAAGAATGATAAGTCGAAGAGCGTTTCGAAAAAGAAGAAAACGAAGGAATCCCAGCCCACGTTTACAGCTACCCTTGCAACACCCAAAGCTACCAAGGCAGCTCGAACGAATTTGAAGAAGTCGTCTAAAAAAGCATCTTCAAAGGTTGAGGAGAAAACTACAACAATTGAAACACGAAAACCAGGTTGGTTTAAGTCGTTGTTCTATGGAACCGGTGGACGCGGTTCTATAAAGGACAGCAGTCGACCACCGAGCAGTGGTCAACTTGATTGGGTTCTTGTTGATGACTGGAAGGATGATGACAATGCCGGCACGAAGAAAATATCCACAGCCAAACTCACTGGTCAGGAGAAGGTAGATGCAGCGAAAAAGTCGCAACAAACTAGCAAGGGTTCAAACAAAGCTACATCAGGGGACGATTTTGTTATTGGTGTTCAAGATTGGCGTGATCCTGATTTAGTAGGGTCATCTGACAGCAAGGATTCTGAAAAGAACTCGGAAACAGGTACCACGAAGACAGGAGGGAAGTCTGACACAAATAAGGCAAAAAATGAATCACCACAGCCGACAACGGCAGGCAAGAAAAATTCCGGTAGTATCACCGAAGAAGAGAATGAAGTCACACCTAAATTACGAGGTGGGAGTATTACACCGGGTAGTGGAGAGTACGCACCTAAAGTCGCTTCAGATGTGGATAAGGCCAAGACCAAGGCTAAGGAGACCGGAGAAAAGTCCAGCTCAATTGGTAGCAAAACTAAGGGTATTTTGACAACTATCTTTGGTGATGATGAAGAGGATTTTGAGCTCATTGCGCCAGGATCAAGTAGTACTGGCAATGTTGATATGGATGATGAGAACGAAGAGGATGACAATGACGGAGATGATGAGGAAGATGGACTTTGGGTCACATTAACACCTACCAGCGGAGCTAGCCCATTCCTCGACACTCTATTAGTCCTAGTTGTCAGTCCGTTGGTGACTTTGACCGTGGTTTACGCGTTGCTGCTGCTCAGATCTCGTATAAGGAGGCGTCGTTGGAGAGCACCTAAATCTGTTGTCGAAAGATTACCTGTCAGAACTTATCAAACTATTAATACACCTGGCAGTCGATCTCCGACGGTGCCATCCCCAAGCAATTCCTCAGCAACCACACCACTTCTTTCACATACAACACCCAGCAGACCTCGTCCGAGATCACGGACGACAACCGGCATACCAGAGCCTGGAGACATCGCCCGTGTCAATTCAAACCCATTACATTTACCCGCGCTCACAACCCCTCAACCTAATGAGCATGAGAAAAATGTTGGATCACCTAGTCAATGGAAGAAGTATATGGGCAAGCAAATAGAGTGTGTAGTGTGTTTAGAAGAATACGTGGATGGTGTTAGTCAAGTCATGAGTTTACCATGTGGCCATGAATTCCATGTGGATTGCATGTATGTCCTACCTTCTTCATTCCCATTGATGATTTTAAATAACTAATGAATTTGCTAGAACACCTTGGTTAACAACACGTCGTCGAACATGTCCTATCTGCAAGGGTGATGTCGTTCGTTCTCTCGCTCGAGGATCACCTTCTTCTCCACGCTATGAAGCGTACCATGATGACGACAGTGACGATGATATACAGGCTCAAGCAGCGGAAACTGTAAATACATCTTCTTCATCGACCCTACCCATTTCCCGCAATCTTGATGATGAAATCGTAAGGGATCTAGAACAGGGAATATCTTCCCCTACACCAAGTCGCGCTAGCAGACATGTTAATAGGCGAGGAGAAAGTTGGAGGAGTATGTTAGTGGATAGTTCTATGAATCTGTTAAGCGGAAGTTTAGGATCAGGATCAAGAAGTAGAAGTCCCCGAAGAGGAGAAGAGGATAGGAGTCGGTGAATACTTTTCTGGAGACAGATATAACATTTTAATGGATGAGAGGGAAGGGTCATGAAACATGAAATGGGAAATGGGAAATGGAGTTAAGCAACTGGGAAGTCTATCTTTTTACTAGGTAATTTTATAAACATCTCCATAACTACAGACTCTTTCCACAACGTCGATAGACAGATCAGACAATACAGGAAATGTATGTTGTATGGAGTAAAAACGAGAATCCTTTTAATATGGTTATAGTGTAGAGGATGATATTGGGTAGGTGGGTTAGTAGTATAGCATAGCATAGTATAGCATAGGAAGGAAGGAAATGGATGTATGCATGGGATGCATAGATTGAATGAATGAACGAAAGGATATTTTTAAAACGAAACTCATGTCTAATTATGTCTAGGTAGGATGCGATTAAGGGATTAAAGGTTTCTAGGGAAGGGCAAGCAAGGTATGTTATGGTTATGGTTATGGTTATGGTTATGGTTATGGATGGCGTGGTGTGGTGTGATGTGGAGTGGTGTATATTGTTTATTCGTTTGGTTAGGTAGCTGGTTTGTTGGCTTGTTAGGTAGTTTTTTATAAATAAAGCTTTTACTTGAGGATGTTTCTTCCTGTGGGGGAGAGGGGTTGATTGGGGGGGGATTGTTGTGAGATTGTGAGATGGGTATTATTAGTAAGTAGGTGGATATCATTTGTGTATTTATACATTTGTGTATTTGTGAGATGAGATTTGTGGTATAGATATATAAGGTGTAGGTATGTATATGTGTATGTATGAGATGTTACCTACTTATCTAGTATGTATGTTTTTGAGGGGAAGTAGATAGGTGGAATGGATGGATGGATGGTGCTTAGTTGTTTGGATGTCTGGATGCTCGGTTGGATAGATGGGGAACGAGAAATGCACAGCGGACAGCGAGTTATGAGGGAGAAAATATATTAAAAGATATTATCAGCATGTCTTATTAGATACTAATATATATTTATTATAAAGATGTATTTAGATTATTTATTAATATTTGATATTTATTTATTTATTTTAATATAATAATTGATAATAACTTTTTGATATTATTAAAAATATATTTAAATTAAAATTATCATTTTTATATATTTAATATTGATATTTTTAATATTTTAGAAAAATCCTTCGGAACGGATATTAAATAAATTAATATGTGATCCAATAGATCCGTGATTAGTGATGCACGGGAACGGAGTATAAATGACCATAATACGGGGTAAGTAAATAAGTACGGCCAATCGGCTTATCTCCTGTCTTGCATGTGGAAGTGTGTCGGGGAGAAAAGTGCCGAGGATGTGCGTGTATGTGTGTGATCGATGATGTATGATGTAGTTCTTGGGCGGGTGTTGGGATTTTGAGGGATGATTGGGGATGGTTTGTTGATCTCTTGAACTTTATTTTTGTTGTGGTGAGGTAGAGCTGAGTAGGTAGGGTTGAGTAGAAGTAGAGTAAAGAAAGATACTTATGACCATTTTTAATGGTTGCTTTAACCTTATGAAACTTGGAAGGAAATATTCGTAACCTATTTGATGACCGATGGATGACTTGAATTTCTAAACTCGCGATACGACTTCCTTTGTATACTCGAGTACCTGTACCTACCTACCTGAGTAAATCTTTAACCTTTATCCTACCAACTTCGATTTCTTGGATCATTCATCTCTCTTTCGTTTTATACGAATCTTTTTCTATTCTTTGCTCTTCTTCCCTTCTTTTATTACGAGGCGGTAGACTTGTATCGATTGATTTTGGTCTTGGGATAAGAATTAGGTAATAAACCTCTTTTGGACGGAGATAAATTGATAAATGAATTATTGGTGGGGTGGATGATTGATTGATTGATTCACTTGATTCACTTGATCTATTGAGGTGTGCACGAGCGGGCTCTGCATGATCGACTGTTGCTTGAGGGTAGCATTGTGGGATATTGGTGGAACGGTAGTTGGTATTTGAAGAGCGGGTTTCTGGAGCTTAGGAAGGCCTTGGATTTAGATTTGGGATTGCTGTGAAGTGAGGAGAATAAGCAGAGAAGAGCAAGCAGAAAACTAAGGGAGAGAAAGAGAAAGAGAAAGGGGAAGGACGATTGCGCTACTTTTATCGCGACGAAGTCTATTTTATATATACCTAGGGCGTTTTGACTATAGGAGACGCAGTGCGCTGGGTTGCTACTAAGGTTAGGTTGAGGAAGCTGGATTCGACTCGATAACTTATTGCGCGGCGCATTGAGGTCGACGGCGCATCGAGATTCGCATATATCACGATACGGAACGAATATTATACAGGGTGACGCTGGTATATAGATTTATTAGAGCCTGGATTAGAGATTGGATTTGGATATCGGACGGAGTCAGCCAAGCTGAAATCATGGCCGTGGATAAATCTACCGACAGGATGGACGAGGAGAAAGGTTTCGCGAATGATATAGGTGCTGAGACATTAGAAGTTAAGAAGGGATGTGGATGGAGAAGACATGCTACAGAGAAAAGGTTACCTGGAGTTGCTATTTGGTTAGAGGTATGGTTGGTCCCTGTTGCGGACTTCCCCTCTCGATTTACTTGGCTTTTTTGTCACACATGTCGAGATGAATTTTCCGACATAAGATGAACTTAAAGATGGACGTAAGAAGCTAATTCGTATCTGCAAAGCTTATAGCAATTGCTCTCTTAGTCACAATGCTATATCGACAACAACATGCGTTAGGATGTTTGTCATTGGCGATACTAGGGTTTGGTAATACGTCTGCGAGACCTAATACTACTCTTCCTTCATTTGTGTTTGATTATGGTAAGGAAGTTCAGTTGATACATCAAATATGCATATCATGAAAGTACTCACTAACATGTGGCTGTTAGCACCGCTTGTTTGGTTGGACGAAGCAGAAATGTATTTTCCTTCCGACATGTACGCCCAAATCCTCAATACTAAACCTTATGCCAATCTTACTTTGATACCTAATGATACACTTCCTTCTCCGCTCGACCTCGAAAATCTTGATTTTTTGAATAATTGGGGTCCAAACGTCTATCTAACCTCCAATATTGATGTCACCACCTCCCCTGCTTACCTTACTGGCGTCGTCCCCTCTTCAGCTACAGGCCGTACCCAAAACGCCATCTCCTGTGCAGTAATCCTCTCCGATCACGGGGGTGGTCTCATGGATGTCTTTTACATGTATTTTTACGCCTACAATCAAGGAAACACAGTTTTTGGCCAGGAATTAGGTGATCACATAGGAGATTGGGAACACAACATGATTCGCTTTGTAAACGGTACTCCCCAAGCAGTCTGGTATTCCCAACATGCAAATGGTCAAGCATTTCTCTATTCCGTTGTTGAAAAAAGTGGAAAGAGACCTATTGCCTACTCGGCTCGTGGTTCTCATGCTAATTACGCTATTCCCGGTACTCACGATCATACGATCCCAGATCTGAATCTTCCAGCTGGCCTCCTCCAGGATTATACATCCAGAGGTACACTGTGGGATCCGATCCTCTCGTCATATTTCTACACATACGATATCCCCAGTAAAAGTTTCACGGCGGCAAGTGAAGGGAGTCCGGTCGGTGCAATGGAATATGAGGGCAAGTGGGGTGATGCTCAGTATCCGAAGAGTGATAGGAGACAGAGTGAGTTTTTTGGGTTTTGGAAGTTTGTTGGGGGGCCGACGGGCCCCGGTAATAAACAGTTGGGGAGGAAGAAGGTTTGCCCTGATAATGGGATTCTTTGTATTGTGAGGGATCGGTTGGGTCCTTAGGTCTGATGGGAGGGGGTTGAGGTTTTATTATGGTTTTTATGAGATGGTGAGATGGTGATCGTGTTTAAAGCATTTTGCTCTGTTCCCCTAGGCATGGAACGGTATAGAATGATTGGGTCGCTTTTGCTTCTGGATTTGGATTTGGTGTTTGTCTTGGTTTTCTTTCCTTTTTGGGTTTGGGTTTGGTTTGAAGAGATGAGAGAAATAAGAGAAGTGTCCATGTATGTTTTGTTCTGCTATACACGGAGGATATGGATATGGATATGGATATGAATAAGTGAGGGGGATTAACACCCGCACATGAAACGACAGAATGAACGATTGTGAAAGCATGGGAAAGCATCCAACAGGGTAGAACAGAACGCAATAAGATTATAGATTGTTACCTTTAGACTGTGGGTGGACTATGGATTGTTAGGTATGATTAGAGATCGGGACCTCGTTGAATATGAGGTTGTCAGGGAAGTGAAATAGGATGGCTGTGGGATGGGCTGCGTAGTATGGAATGGAATGGGATGGCTGGAAAGGTGGGATTTGAGATGGAGGAACGTTAGGCTTCGAGTAGGTATTTGGCTTTGGATTGGATTGGATTGGATAAGGATTCTGCTGTATGTGTAAGACCAGACCAGATCAGATCAGAGCGGATCAGACCTGATAATTAGTGATGGGATGAAATAGGTGGATGGATGAACGAGTAGATTGAATTACCAGAGTGACCAGACTGGATAAGGTTACTTAGATACGCTTCTTTGCATCTTAGGTCACATGAGAAAATATCTTAAGATCTCGTTTCGATTGGTCGTTATTTGCATATTAGAAGCTATTATCGCTCTACTATGCGCCTACAATGCAAACAAATCCATAAACCGATTAGTTGGTTTATTTAGATAACTTTTGAATGCTTTTTGATATCCCCTTATGATATGAAACCTTTTTACATGACCTCGACTTGGTTCTCATCACTCTCACTCATACTCTCATCTCCACTAACTTCTGCGTTTTCACGTTCTCTCTTCTCCATAAGTGCTTGTAATTCAGCATCATCGTTCTCAGTGACTGCCTTAGGTTCCATCTTGACAATTAATCCACCTCCTGCAGCTTCAATGTTCTTTCTGATATCCACGATTGCGGCTTCCAAGGTCGAGATACCAACAGACTTTTCCAGACATGTGCTTGTGAGAACGTAAAGTGGTGGAGAAACGAGCTTGACCTTGACTTGGTTATCGGCAGTGTTTCTGGCTTCGGCAGTTCTTAAAGCCGTCTTAACGGCATCAATTCCCTCATATCCAAAGCATGTAACCTCGACATCGGCACGAACTTTTGTTGGCTGTGGTGTAAGACGTTTTCCAATATATGATTTTAATTCCTCAGCGACGACATCATTAGGAAATGAGACATCTTGCCAAGTATCAGCGTTTCTTTTTCAATGTCAGTATACATAAAATATGAAAGGAAATCAGAAATTCCATACGTTATCGAAAGCTTGAAGGCATCAACAGCATGTCCATATTTCTTATTCAATGGCCACACAATCTTCTCGTACAAATCCTCGATAGGATGCTTTGTTTTTTCCGCAACGTGGCGCATAATCGAATGAACCATTTTACCCTTGTTGTATCGTTCTTCACATCTTACAATATCTTCAGGTGAAACTCTTCGTTTGGAAAGATCAATATAACCTGCAATGGATCAGATCAGCCTTCCGCCACAATGTACTATTTGAGGATCTTCTGCATACCCTTCTCCTTATCGACTCTGAGAACAACCACAACTTCATTACGGCCGACACGAATGAGCTTTTGAATACTTCTAATACGACGTCTAGATAATTCGGAGAGGAGAATCATGCCATCGATGTTGTCATATTCGAGGAGCTTAACATAGGCACCCATCTCTGCGATCTGCGAAGCTGGAGATTAGTATCTCTCCTGCAAGTCTGAAGGCGCCTAGGGTTCCCTACCTGCTTGACATTCACCATGACGAAGCTATCGATCTCTGGGTATTTTTCTTCATAGAAACGGCAATTTGTGAGAGACATGATTGCGATTGTTGCGCGATTGGGCGCGGGGTGAAAAATCTGTGGTTTCCGTTTGGCTTCCTTGCCGAATTCGACGGATTCTTCTAAAAATCAAATCTTATGGATGACTATGTTGTTGTTGGTGTTTTTTGTACAAATTTGAATTGGTGATAGATTTCTCAAATGAGGCTCCAAGGTTGAAAGAGTCACAATCAATCTTTTGATCGGATTTGGTTTGATGAGGAGGGGCCGTGGTGGGATGGTCTCGCTAAATAAAAAAAGCTGGAGAATTTTGATTGGTGCAATGACGTTTAGCAGTAAATACCTACAGTACATACTTACTGAAGCTCGTGAAATTGTTCCCTGGCTAAATTCCAAGGTGATTCGATTCCTTCTTCCAATACAACAACCATTGGTCTAACAGTCGTCGTACTTCAAATATGGAATTGTCGGCCGATATGCGAAAGTCGAATATTTATATATAGCAGGAGATTCTGCTAGATACTTTACATTCTTTCAACACAAAGCCATGTCCTCTGCAACTGTTTCCTCCCTTGTGGGAAGCTTGGATTCGACAATAGCTTCAGCTATGGCCTCGGCAACTGGTATACCAACAAATCAAATGGATGTTGAAGTCGCAGGATCATGGTTTGGAGTCTTTGGGAACATGACTATGTTCTTCATTAGAGTGATTCCGGGCATCCTTTACTGGGTTATAACTTTCACGACAATTACAATGCCGACTTTCCTCTTTACAATGTTTTCAACTAGCTTGACATTTACCATGAATGCTACCACTCTGTATGTGCTGCTTATTCTTTCCCTTTCTCAGTGCTAATTACTTATCCTAGGATGTTGATCATGGTGGCATTTGTGTCAACCATTAGTTGGTTCGTAAGATACCGATTTCTCAATATGTACTCTCGATTACCTCCGGAACCTCAGCGAAAGGAACCTCAAATAGACCTCTATCCAGATACACAAGACGAAGGATCAAAGTCAGGGTTCTCAAATTACTTGGATGAATTTCTGAGTGCTATTAAAATCTTTGGTTATTTGGAACGCCCTGTTTTCCATGAACTCACGCGCTCCATGCAAACAAGAAAGCTGATAGCTGGTGAAACCTTGAACCTGGAAGAGGAGAAGGGATTTTGTTTGGTAGTCGATGGATTAGTGGAGATTTTTGTCAAGTCGGCTCGAGAAGGACGTGAATCAGATACCGATCCCACGTCGTACGAACGAGAAGATTCGGATAGTGGATCTGGCCCTCATCGAGGTGGTCATCATCAGGGTTACCAGTTATTGACCGAGGTAAAGAATGGTGCACCTATGTCATCTCTCTTTTCTATACTTTCTCTCTTTACCGAAGATGTCAAATTGAGACACTCTGATGACGAAGATTTTGATGGAAGCGTTTCTGGTACTCCTTATGGCAATTCAGATCATCACGAATTTGGAAATAGCCATGAAGCTCCTCCATCACTTCCCACAAGTCCAATATATGGAGCCCCTACTCAAGATGGGCAAAGAAATGGTAGGGATCGTCGTGCTTCGGCAACAAATGTTAATGGAAGAATACCACCATTGTCATTGGATGCTTCAGCCGATATTCATCCACGTCGACCTCGGCCTAAGAGGCTGACTACAACTTCTGTACACCCTGACATCGTGGCTAGAGCTACAGTGGATACTACAATTGCTATAATACCTGCTAGCGCTTTCCGTCGATTAACCAGAGTGTATCCTAAGGCTACAGCACATATCGTTCAGGTCATTTTAACAAGATTACAAAGAGTTACTCTTGCGACCGGTCATTCTTATCTTGGGTTAACTAGCGAGGTTTTGCGCACTGAAAAGCATATGAACAAGTACACGACATATGAATTGCCGAATTTCCTACGCGGGGATGCTTTGAAGCGCTTGAAGGAAAAGTTCATTCGTGAAAAGGAGAGGATTGGCACAGAGGAAGGTAGCAAAGGTATTGCTTTGCATAATGCTGGAGCCGGAAGACGACGTAGATCCAGTCATAGTCTCAGAAAAGAGGCTACAATGCATGCATCATCGGTCAGCGCTTCTATGTCGATGTCCAGACAAACCTTCGAAGCACATGGTGGGGATTCCAGTGTCAGCCCTAGTCCTGGAGATCTTCTTACGAATATTCAGATGTCACGACATGGTGGTAGGAAACCTGCTTTAAGTGTGAAAGGTTCTAGCCCTCAAGTATGGCATCATGATGTTCAAAGTCCTCTTTCTCAAAGGACTTCAAATCCATTCAATAGTCCTATGAATTCACGAATACCTCTTCATCGTCAAGAATCGATTGATGAAGACGGGATGTTTAGGAAATCTATATTGGAATGCATATTCAAGGCTATTGGTCTTACGAACACTAAGAATGCCTTGCGTATGTCAGATTCTGTTGAAGGCTCCCCTCGAATGCTTTCATATGATCAGAAACGTCAAAAGGCATTTTTTACCAACAATTCCCTTACTACCAACGCCTTCGGCCTTATTGATCCCTACGAAGGTTCTGTAGATGACACTGAATCAGTGACATCTGGTGGGGTCAGTGCTGGTGGCTATCCAAGTACGCAGGGGCTTGCCCAAGAACTCAAGGATGAAGTAGAGATCGTCTACTTCCCAAAAGGCTCGGTACTTGTGGAACAAGGAGAGAGGAACCCTGGGCTGTACTATGTTATTGACGGCTTCCTAGATGTTAGTGTTCCTGTTGATGAGAAATCCGATTCCATGGTGTTAGGCCAATCTTTCCGACACTCTTCGAACGTCAAGAACGCCAATGATCCAATGCCTTCACTATCTAGAACGAAGACGGCCTCATCACGTGCTTCAGGGTCTGGTTTTGGTAGTGCAGGGCATGAGGGTAAAAAGCGAAAGACAACAGACCGAAAAAGTTTGGCACTCATCAAGCCAGGTGGTATTGCAGGCTACATCGGTACCATATCCTCTTATCGCTCGTTCATCGATGTTGTTGCAAAAACAGACGTTTATGTAGGATTCTTACCACGAACATCACTGGAAAGAATTGTTGAAAAGTATCCTGTCGTACTCCTGACTATGGCTAAGCGTCTCACCAGTCTATTGCCCAGATTAATCCTGCACATAGACTTTGCTCTTGAATGGGTGCAGGTGAGCGCTGGTCAAGTTATCTACCACCAGGGCGATGATAGTGATGCAATTTACATCGTCTTGAACGGCCGACTTCGACTTGTAGTCAATAATGACGAGGCTGGAATGAAAGTCATCGGCGAGTATGGACAAGGTGAAAGTGTTGGAGAACTAGAAGTCATGACGGAATCGGTCAGACCTGCTACACTGCATGCTATTCGAGATACCGAACTCGCCAAATTCCCAAAAACACTATTCAACAGTCTTGCGCAAGAACACCCAGGTATTACGATCAAAATCTCCAAGATTATCGCGTCTCGTATGCGAGCTTTAGTAGAAGAGCCTGTCTTCGTGCAAACTAAAGAGAAAGTTACTGGTGCTACGAATGATAAAGTATCTTCGACTGTCAATCTTCGTACTGTTGCTATACTTCCCGTTACTGCTGGAGTACCTGTGGTCGAGTTTGGTAGTCGTTTAATGAATGCTTTGACTCAAATCGGAGCACCTAATGGTGTAACTTCTCTCAATCAAGCAGCTATTCTTAATCATCTTGGCAGGCACGCCTTCAGTCGTATGGGAAGACTTAAACTTTCACAATATCTTGCTGATCTGGAGGAGAAGTATGGCCTGGTTTTGTATATTGCTGGTAAGTAATTTCTTTCTGGGACATGACAAAATGTGGCTTCCTAGGATCATCGCTAATGTTATTTCTAGACACAAACGTGAATTCGCCTTGGACTCAAACTTGCATCAGTCAGGCTGATTGCATTCTCCTAGTGGGCATAGCAGATGGCTCACCGGCTATTGGTGAGTACGAACGCTTCTTATTAGGAATGAAAACCACTGCAAGAAAGGAATTGGTATTATTGCATGCAGACCGCTTCTCATCACCTGGTGTGACTCGTGCCTGGCTTAGGAATCGAGTCTGGATAAATGGCGGGCACCATCATGTTCAAATGGACTTCAGAACTAGTGCTGTCCCAGTTCATTCTCAAACAAGAAAGTTCGGGACCGCATTGAAACAACGAGTACAAGTAATTCAGGCAGAAATCCAAAAATACACGTCTCGCCGTGTAAGACAATCACCACTTTACTCTGCAGAGACTCCATTCAAAGGCGACTTTCACCGGATTGCTAGACGTCTTTGCGGCAAGTCTATTGGTCTAGTTCTCGGAGGAGGTGGTGCGCGTGGTATATCTCAGGTTGGGATTATAAGAGCTATGGAAGAATCTGGAATTCCGATTGACATAATTGGAGGAACTTCTATTGGATCTTTCATTGGCGCATTATATGCTCGTGATGCAGATGTAGTTCCTATGTATGGACGCGCAAAGAAATTTTCAGGCCGCATGGCAAGTATGTGGCGCTTCGCACTGGATTTGACGTATCCATCTGCTTCCTATACTACTGGCCATGAATTCAACCGTGGTATCTTCAAGACGTTCGGCAATACTCAGATTGAAGATTTCTGGCTAGAGTTCTATTGCAACACTACCAATATTAGTAAAAGTCGATCTGAAATCCATACCAGTGGGTATGCATGGAGATACGTAAGAGCATCTATGTCTCTTGCTGGACTCCTTCCACCACTGTGCGATGAAGGAAGTATGCTTTTAGATGGTGGATATGTAGATAACCTGACAGTTTCTCACATGAAATCTTTAGGCGCTGATATCATCTTTGCTATTGACGTTGGCAGCCTCGATGACGACATACCACAGAATTTTGGTGACTCACTTTCCGGATTCTGGGCATTTGCAAATCGTTGGAACCCATTCTCATCTTATCCGAATCCTCCTACTTTGGCTGAGATCCAAGCACGCTTGGCATATGTATCCAGTGTTGATGCTTTGGAAAGAGCCAAAACAACTCCAGGATGTCTTTACATGAGACCTCCAATTGACGAGTATGGAACTCTGGATTTTGGTAAATTCGATGAAATTTATCAGGTTGGTTACAAATACGGACAAGAATATTTGGCAAAGATGAGAGATCAGGGTATTCTTCCTCTGGTGGATGAGACAGAAGAGAAAAAGGCATTGAGGAGAACTATGGCTCCGAGACGAGCAAGCATTTAGCGGGACTATTCCTTAGGATCCAGATGTTATAGTTTTTGCGCTCCAATATTACGGGGCGTTTTGGTGTAGATGAAATATGACGATGAAGGTATACCCAAGCATGTATTGATATAGGCGGTGGTCTTTTATCAGTTAGGCATATAAATTGATGGGAAACTTATTCAAAATGTATTTCGTATTTTCTCAAAGTGATTTTCAAGCATCTATATCTATAGTATTCTGTTTTGCCCTCACCTGTGATTGTACGAATACTCTGGAAGTTAATAAGCATTGCTTGTTAAATTCACAAATCTATCGGCACAGCTCGATTCAATCAATCGAACTTTTAAGGGTAAAATAATCTTACAATTTTGAGGACTCACCGGGATCTGGAGGGGTTGAGGAGTTCACTAGGGACAACCCACGTCAAATAAATGCCTTGGTCTTAATCAGGCATAAACAAATGTGGAAAGTTCCGGCAAAAAAAGTTGAGTGCATTAAAAAACATTTGTGATATCCAGCTTAATGATTTGTATTTGCCTACCAACGCCATAACAAAAATTCCCTCTTCTGCATATTCGAGGACTAGGAAGGCGATCAGCTTCGTAAATTGAGGAAGGGCCATGTCCCTGACCTCTCGTGTTGCCAACCTGTTTTCCTTCGGATCAGCAGGTTCGCCAGCAGAAAATCGCAACGAATTTGGGATTGTTGATAATGGAGTGGAAGAGGACGTCAATGTTAGAGTTGGAAACGGGCTACTCAGGTCGAAAAACATGGCACAGGAAGAGGTCGAAGGAGAGGGACGCCCGTCATATTTACATGTGAGATTTGTAGATTTTGGTCCACAGGAAAGTTACTGATTGTTTGTAGGCCATGATTGCGGGAGGAATTGGGGGAACCACGGGGGATCTTCTCATGCACTCTTTGGATACGGTCAAAACTCGTCAACAAGGCGATCCACATGTTCCGCCGAAGTACACCAAATTATCGTCTTCATATTCTACGATTTTGCGACAAGAAGGAATACGGAGAGGGCTATATGGAGGATGGGTTCCTGCTCTTCTTGGATCTTTTCCTGGCACAATTATATTCTTTGGAACATATGAGTACAGTAAGAGGCATCTGATAGATAATGGCATTTCACCATGGTTTGCCTATTTATCCAGTGGTATGTATGAGAAATCTAGGTTTAATTCACATCATTCTAATGACCCCAGGTTTTGTCGCCGACTTTGCAGCCTCGTTCATATACGTACCTTCCGAAGTCCTCAAAACTCGTCTACAACTCCAAGGTCGATACAATAATCCATTTTTCAACTCTGGCTACAATTACAAAAACACGGCACATGCTGCCAGAACAATAGTTAAGCAAGAAGGGTTCTCGGCCCTATTTTACGGTTACAGAGCAACAATCGTTCGAGACCTACCGTTTTCGGCATTACAATTCGCATTTTACGAGCAAGGTCAAACATGGGCAAGAAAATGGAAGGAAAGCCGAGATATTGGATTGCCATTGGAACTCGTAACAGGAGCGGCAGCTGGTGGTTTGGCTGGGGTAATTACATGTCCTCTGGATGTTGTGAAAACAAGGATCCAAACTCAAGTCATTTCCGAGCCAGAGTCTACTTTCAAGCAGGCATCAAAATCTACGAAAACCGCTTCCACTAAATCTACCCGTGCGAAGCCAACATCTACAAAACCTACAAAACCTACAAAGCACCAGATTAGATCGATATCCACGTCATCCCCTTCCACGCATACCCCGCGTCCTGGTAGCATTATTCTCGATACCTCTTCCGTCCCCACTGGACTCAAACTTATCTATAAGACGGAAGGCATAGCAGGCTTGTTTCGGGGAGTAGGGCCTAGATTTGTGTGGACAAGTACGCAAAGTAGTTGCATGTTGGTATTATACCAATACATCTTAAAGCGGCTGGAAAGCTCAAACTTGCAACGGGATCAAGAATCGATTGTATAATGGTAAGGACAGAGGGGAACATAAGGAATCATAAATGATAGGGCAATGTAGGATTATGTACAGCAAAAGTATTATGGTTGCATTGGGCGGCGTTTTGGGAAGTCTTGAGATTAGACGAATAGATGATCTTCACTTTTGTATATTGGTTCATGGAGGTTGGTAAGTTTGTGTTGTGAGCACGAAGGAAATGATGTTAAACGAACGGAATGGCTTTCTCGACTTGTCCTACCTACCCAATCGTACTCGGCAATATCCATTTGGCTGTGCATGCATGCAGCATGAGGTACGACATTTATCTTGGCTTTCATTCGTTCTAAATTCTTCAGGGCCGGCCTATGTCTATCTAGGCACAATTTCGACGTCGATCAACATCGCAGTACTATTTTACGGTCCCAATACCTGATCTCATCCAATTATCAAGAAGATTCAAAGTTAATCCACCTAGGAAACCTTGGAATAGATTTCGACGCTAATCCCCCCCACTTAGGCCCTTCTACTCTCGCTGGAATCCTCACTAGCTCACGGAATACGAAAGCCCATGACTTCATTCGTATAACACATTACAAGCAAGCATCAAGCATCAAGCATCCTTGAGCATTTCGAGTAAGTTGTACGGCATCAATACGGTATTTGCATATTTTTCAGCTAAAGTTAATGAGGGCTCAACGGTATTTAAACTGGGTTTACCTGGCAGCTAGGTCGGTGATAGGCATATGGCACGGCTCATGGTATGCTAAAGCTCGTATATGATGCGGCATTCCACTAAAAGCCAAAGTATGTGTATATGAGATTGCTATTGATTCTTGCGTTTAGGGCTTTTTTTTCTTGAACGATAAGGCTTGGCGCCCAGTATTCAGATGAGCCAGTTCACTTGTGTTACGTGAAGTCACGCAGGGTAGTAAGTTGGTGTAAGTATGTGTGATGTGTATATAAAGGTAGGTGATTTTCTTCGTTGTTTGTTGTGTTTGTTCCTGTATTCTGCATTCAAAATCTAAGTTGAATTCATCATGAAGATCTCAAAACATATTCCACTTTTTGCTGGATTAGTAAGTGCGGTTTGGGGGCAGGAAGATAATAGTTGGATTCAGGAGCAATGGGATGTTATTGTTGTAGGATCTGGCCCTGGGGGTATTATTGGTATGTATTTCAGTTGTGTGTAAAAGAAAGTGCACTGCTTATTTATCATGCTACAGCTTCTTCACGACTTGCAGAAGCAGGTCTTAAGACTTTGCTACTTGAAAGTGGTGGACCTTCCTATGGAATTACAGGTGGGGATTTGAATGCCAGGAGGCCAGTGAGTTTAACTTCTCCTTTGGAAAAGATTTATGATTTCTAATTCTTGATAGGGATGGTTAAGTGGTACGAATCTTACGAGAGTTGATGTACCTGGACTTTACTCGACAATCTTTGGGGATCCCAGTGCGGACATTCTCATGTGTGGTTCAGATCAGGTAAATGCTTATGGAGGTTGTACGATCGGAGGATGTTCAGCCATAAATGCTGGACTATACTTTGAGCCTCCGGCCTCTGATTGGGATACATATTTTCCTGAGGAAGTGAGTATTAAGCCTTTACAATCTTAATATACCAAGGTGTTAACTCCAAATCTAGTGGAACTCCCAAAACATGGATGCTGCTATCCAGCGTCTATACGACACACAACCTTCAACAAGCCTTACTTCCCAAGACGGTATCCGTTATCTTCAATCAGGATATAATGCCGCCAGGAAATGGTTAGTCGAAGGATTAGGCTACAAAGATGTGGATATCAATGCTGAAGCCGATGATAAAACTGGTGTATTCGGATACCCAATCTTTGACTATTCCAATGGTCAGAGAGGAGGTCCCACCACTACTTATCTTCAATCTGCTCTTAAGCGCAGCAATTTCCGTCTTCAACACGGAGTTCGCGTAGTAAGAGTTGAGCGACATGGTGATACAGCCACGGGGGTCACAGCTCTAGTCAATGGTGTCGAAACATTCATTTCGGTTACATCAACAGGAAGAGTAATATTATCAGCCGGAGCCGTCGTCAGTCCTTCACTCCTAATGCACTCTGGAATCGGCGATTTAGCAACTCTCTCCAGACTCAATTCCTCAGGAAAACTCTCCCCCAATCTCACAAGTGACGAATGGATAATCAGCTCCGAGATCGGAACCGGCCTTTTCGATAACCCAAACACATATATCGTACTCGAAAGCGACTCCATAGAATCCTACAAATATTCCTACGAGTCTCCCCCACCAGAAGATAAGGATCTGTACCTGAACTCCCGCAGCGGTCCCTACACCTTCGCATCCGAAACCTCCGTCTTCTGGACCACCATCTCGCACGCCGACGGAACAAAAGTCGGAGTCCAAGGCACCATCGGCTCATCCGGCTACGCAGACTACACCTCCAATCACAGCATCACCCTAAACGTCTACGGTACATCCGGACTCCTCTCCACGGGCTCCGTCATCCTCGACGATAACTTCATCCCCGGTTCTAGCAGCAGCGTGTATTATTCCAATCCGCGCGACGCACAGGATATATCCCAATTTATCTACGATATCTTTGCCGGTCTTCCAGCCGCAGGTCTCACACCTCTTAACATCCCGCAAAATTCTACTCGTGAGGAAATCGAAACGTATATCACGACTTCGTCGGCCTATGCGCGCGGTCAGGTAAATCACTGGAGTAGTAGTTGTCGATTGGGAAAATGCGTGGGTGTGGATACGAAGGTTATAGGAATGGAGAATATTCATGTGGTTGATGCGAGTATTCTTGCACCTGTGACGGTGAATCCGCAGTTTGCGGTTATGGCTGCGGCGGAGAAGGCCGCCGAGTTGATTTTGAAGAGTGTCGGGGTGGAGTGTGGGTTTTGTGCTAGTGCTAGTGCTAGTGTTGGTGCTAGTGTTGGTGTTGATGCTGGTGTTGGTGCGAAGGAAGAAGGTGGAAGTTATGGTGCGTATGAGAGTTACGGCAGTTATGCGAGTTATGGGGATTATAAGACGGAGTAGGTGTGAGTCAGATTGTTGGGTGAGGGGGAAGGTATGGGGGATTATTGGAATTGTTGAATGGATTAATAGGTAATTGGGGAGTGGGAAACAGGACATCAGGCGTTTACTGTCATTATCAAAGTTTGTAATCTTAATTGAATAGCAGATTCAAAAGTAGGGTTTATTGGAATATGGAGATATTGGGATATTGGAATTGAAAGGTGTTTTCTGAGTGGGATGGATAGGATCGCGATAGGATTATTGACTCTGATATGGATATTTTAATTCATTCATTCATTCATCTATACATTCATCATCATATTTCTTTTTTTTTATTAAATTTGAAATTTGAAATTTGAAATTTGAAATTCTGAATCTCAAATGTCTAATAGTTCTTAAAGATCCCAAAATCTATAACCCTACAATCTACAATCTACAATCTACCCCTTTCTCCTCCCTCCTCCGATAAACCAACCTCCCCCCAACCCAAACCCGCACCGTATTCCTATCATCCCCACTAAAACCCTTCGCGACTTTCTCTTCCTTTCCCAGCCGAAAATATCGACTGGTCCGTTGTTTCTGCTTCTAGCGCATCAATTCCACTATACGCGTCCTCCCCTCTTTCTTCCTCCCCCTCACCCTCCTCCTCCCTCCACCCCCATTTCCTCTTCCCCCACTTCCCATTCCTACTAAACCCCTGTTGAATCTTGCACCTCTTTCTCATTCCTTTCCCTTCTCTCCTTCCTTCTCCCCACCAGTTTCCCCCCAGCAAACCCATCCCCCAATCCCAGCCGCAACACACCTACTAACACAACTAGCCTCCCTTGCCGCAGACAAAACACTCGCACTAAACCCACCACTAACATCCGTCCCCAAGCCCACATTAAGCCCCCTATCCAACATCCACCTCACCCTCGCCATACCACTCGTTAACGCCGAATTCGAAATCGGACAATGTGATATCCCGCTCCCTCTTTCTTTAATCAAACTTGCTTCTTCCTCTGAAATATGTACCGCGTGCGCGAGAATCGTTTTGGGAGTTAAACATCCATATTTATCATAAACCGCAGCATAATTTGCGCATTCGGGGAAAAGTTCCCCTACCCAATTTATCTCTGCTCGATTCTCAGAAATATGAGTTTGGATCGGGAGATTCTTCTCTTTTGCCAGTGAACCCAAAGAGGTCATTAATTCTCGCGAACAACTAGGTGCAAATCTTGGTGTTAAGATAGGCGTCACGAGATCTCTGTCTGGATCAATTTTCTCGCAATGTTGAATACATTCCTTTGATCTCTGTAAACTCTGACTAGCATCCTCATCACGGTAATAATCGGGATTAGCCCCCGATGAACTATCCATACAACATCTCCCTACGAGCGCTCTCTGACCAAACCGTAAACATAAATCCGCAAGGAGATTTGTGGCTTCGACATGGATGGTTGCGTAATAAGCGGCGGTTGTTGTCCCATGTGATAACGTACGTTGGATTACGCGTGAGTAGATGGTGTGGGCTTTGGGAAGAGAGGTGAAGGAGGATTCGAGGGGAAAGGTGTAGGTATTTAACCAGTTTAGGAGGGTTGAGGAGCCGAAAAGTCCGCTGTTGGGGTATTGGGGGGCGTGGATATGGGTATCTAGGGGTTTGTTAGTTGGATGCTGTTGGGGAGGATTATCGTGATATCATTCTTTTCCATGATGGATGTTTATAACATCCCTTCCTTGAAGGAACAAACAAACAAAAATCCAAAGTCGAAAGTAGAAAAGGAAAAGAAGAGAGAAAAAAACTAACCAATAAACCCCGGAAAGAAAAACCTTTGCTCCCCATCCTGCAAAGAACTCAAATACTCAATCCCATAATCATTATCCGTTCCCATATCCCCATCCCCATCCCTATCCCAACCCAATTCCTCCACATCCTCTTTGACATCCTCCCAACCCAATTTCCCCTTATCCCCCTTCACACCATCATCACCATCACGACCCTTCCTCACAATCCTCACAATAACTCCACCCTCGTCCACAAAAACATACGTATCATGTCGAATCTCCAAATCCGTCAAATTCCTACAATGAATAAAAGTTCCATGAAAAATCTGTCGTTTGAGTATTTTTTGCTGTTTCTGTGGTAAGGTCATTGAGGAGGAGGACATCTTGGGTGTTTTGCTATAGTTATAGCTATAGCTGTCTCGATTCCTGATTAGGTTGTATCTTGTGTCTGTTGATTGGTTGTGAATCCTTATGGAAAGGTGTCGTGCTGTCTTTGCTGTTTTGCTTGTTCAGCTCAATACAAACACAATCTTCCAATCTTCCAATTCAACCAACAAACGATCCACAATCAAAAGACCAAAAGACCAAAAGACCAAAGTCAAAACCAAAAATAAAACCAAACCCCTCAAACTTTCATCATCCAAAAAATTAAAAATCCCACTTCTATAAAGATATTAAAATATTGTTTGCTGCCATCACATACATTACATTTCATTACATTACATTACATTACACAGTTGTTTCCAAGATAAGTGGATCCATAACATCGGCCGTCTCCGACAAGCTAACCTATCGGAAGGCGGCTTTTACCTTTGACCAATGACCAACAACCACACCAGTGAACCAGAGCTCAGTCCCATTTTCTAGTTTCCGATATCCAGGTTCACGGGTCAGGTTCGGGATCTGGCTCTGGCTCGAGCTCTGCCTGAAGTTTGAACATCGTTTATCTCCTATAGAGTAGGGGAATTTGAAGATATATTATTCGTGATTATTCCAGCTATAATTATTATAGGTTTAAGTTGCTTGTTATTAGAGTTTTTTGAGTGTGGTAACCTTAGAGGAGAAGTGATGCTGTTTGCATTTTTGATGATGGGGCTCTAATTGAATGGGTTACAGTGCCTATGTTTGCTTATTATAAGCTTATTATGGTTGAGTAATCCAAGGGATGATGCTAGCTATAGGAAGTGGTTGCGCTGGGTATACGTAGCTGAGAGGAGATATCAATCTATCAAGAGCAGAGTGATCAAATGGTATTTTATGTGTGATATTAATATGTTAAGATTATTCCATTGTTTATTGGCATTAATATTCATCTACCTATCTAATAATATATCTATCTTCTACGAAATACCAAAATTCTATATTCTATACAAATGTGAATGAAATCAACACTATTCAGTTCCTAGCAGCGAACAAACATCCATCCTCAAATTAACCAGAGGGATAAACTTGGATGCTGAGGTTACACGGAGTGCCCTCTAGCCACCAGGTATCCAAAGGGTGGAATCCACTACTAGAGCCTTGTGATTATCCAGTTGCATTTATGAGTTGTCGAAGGAAGTCTACCGCAGAAGTTCAGACCGGCGTCAAGTTCTAATCCGTAGAGAGCTGGTAGACTATTGAAATGATAATATGAATATATTCCGAAAGAACCAGCTTCGGCATAACAGCGAATAAGTGCCAATTTGTGGGGTTGCGTTGATCGATAGGAATATTTAAGCTTTTGTAGAAGTGGGCGAGGACGAGGAGGGCGAGGGAGAGACAAACGACAGTGGTTATGGAAAGTTCGAATTCGAGAGAGGCTAGCCAGAACCAGTAATTGGAATCAGATATTATCCGAGTTCAATCAAATGTATGAAATTATATCGAGTGAAGAGGAGATGAAGTTGTCGTAGAAGTACACACTGACAAAAGCGATAATACAAGTAGAGGTGGCGATGGAGAAGGCAATAGTAGAAGTACGCGGTAATGAAGGAGTCTCGAGGAGGTGGTGGTGGTAGACAAGAAAGTTGTTTGATCGGGAATTGAACGTAGTTCTTTGCCATCTTCTCTCCATAAACGATATCAAGTTGGACTGAGATCGAAATTCGTCAAGTTTTCAGCCGGTAGGAAAATCGTTGTTTGTAAATCAAACTCCGCGTCAGAGTCAAGTGGATTTGTCTTTTCGGCTTCGATGACGATCATTAAATCCAGTCAAGCCATTACAGAAAAGCCACAAGTTTTGACGAATCAAACAGTGCAGTCCTTCTTCCATTACCGTTTTTAAATGCATATATGGCTTTGCCTAGCAATTTCAGGTTATACCATCGGCCGAGGAGACAAGGTAAGAATTCGGTCGTTCATAGCTAGAGAGTTCCGATGGAGAAGAATAATCCAGGAGGGATTGTTTCTCTAATCAGATCTCTAGATCGGACCTGTAATAATATCTGAAGGATTGAATTGTGGTCTGAACGAAGGTTCGTAAGTCATTACCAACATTCTCCCAAGCTGCTGCATCCTCAAGATCAAATTTCTACCACGAGTCCACCTTAACTTGCTACTGATTCAGAGATTGCTTGGTAGGGGACTCTGTAAACATGACGGCCATTCTTCCAGGCCATTGTATCCCCTACATAAAATATTCCACCCCAAGCCGCATGTAGTTTCTCAACGACATACATTAGATTCTGAATACTCATAGGAGAGTTCTTAGGAGTATTCCTCAGTACCTCCTCATAACTCGAGCCACCAGTAATTTTGATACCTCTTTGACATCTCCAAGTTTGCAGACTACATAAAAATATTAAAGTGCCATAGAATCTGTGCGCCCTCTCAGAGACAGGGCTTCTCAGTAGATCGCGTATGTTGAAGCCAAGCATAACATGTTCTATCACTAGATTTATTGCTTGTAATTGTCCGTGTCGAGCTAGTGAGTTCATCATTGAAATTGCGGGACAAAGACCTGAAAATTCCCAGTAGTGAAAGTCGAAAGATCTTACATGAAGCTCGATATGCGTGATATGTTTGATGGAATCTTGAGCGATGGACCTAAGTGCATCGATTGCACGATATGGGGTCGGCAAAACAAATATGGCACGTTTCCAGAAAAGTTGCCTGGCTTCCTGGTAGATTCGCGGATGAACTCTCAAGAAAGATGCATTAAAAGCCTGACAATTCGGAAAAGATAAATTCATCTTGTCATATGAGGATCGATTCCCATATGCATATAAAATTGGGTCGAGATCAAATTTCCAAGATATTTCTTGCGGGGCCTTACAATAAGGCGCCAGATAAAATCTGGATGGGAATATGTAGCCATAGATTATCTCTCGAATTTCACGAGGAACACCCAGTAAAGAAGTCCTTTTGTACGTCCATTCTTGTAAATTCGCACTTTCCATCTCTGTTCTTGTCTTCGGCAGTGGATGGGTCTGAATTGGAGGAATGGTGAGATGAAGCAGAGGAATTTGAGATTTTTCCCCAAATGATTCTTCCCTTCTCACCAATACAGCTTTCGAGAGTAAGTCCTGGGAGGCGATAAAACTATGTCTGCGAGTAATTTGAGATTTACTCGCAAATGATTCCTCGTTACTCCACCATGTAGCTTCCGAAGATTTGTCAGTGATACTATGTCTACGAGTAATTGTCACTTCAAATCTGGAGTCTTCGCCAGAAAATGAGACTTTTTGCTTCTTAACGTCCATAATTGGAGAAGATGTATTGAAATGTGAGGCTGAGTGATTTAGGTAAAAAGTAGGACTGACTCGAGGTAGATGTTATAAAAAGGATGAATTGAGAATTGTATCCAGAAAGGAATAAAATAGTTAATAATTATGTCCAAAAGAATAACGTGAGTATTTCATTGAGAAGAAAAGAATCAAGACGTTCTATATGAATAAATGAAAATTACTATGAATGAAAGAGATGAAAAGGTGTTCAAAATTAAAAGGTTGGGTTGTTGGAAGTCTTAAGAGGAGACCAAGGCCACCAACTGTAGCTCCCGCTTTTAGTGCAGATAAGCGAGCACGATTTTGATTTCGATTCCGAGTTCGCAGACATAATGATTCAAGAGCAGAATAATGAGGAATAACATGGAATATTACTTTCTGTCCCTCAGTCTACTGCAGTAATACCAAGTTGGGGAAAGAATTTTTCAAGTCCCGAGCAAAAGTAAGCATCTAGCTTATACAACGGACGGAGAATGAAATTTGTATATATCACGTGACTTAACATGCGCACTCTATCTCGTGACCATCCCCCATCCAGCAACCCCTCGTTTCCGCTCGCACCATCACAGTTCTAGTCCTTTCTCCCTTTCTTCCGAGCCAACTATGAATCTCTCCATACGTCACATCCTCCGGCCCTGTTTATACTCTTTCCCAACGCTCACACCTCGCTACAAAACTTTTCCAAAACTTTTACCATCTAATGCAGTATACCATGTACGCCATTTACAACTTCCCGCAGTCACAAATTCCTCGGAAGAAAAGTGCTCCTCGGAAGAAGAGGCCACCCTAGAAGAGAATACCATCCCTGGAGCACATACCCGTCTAGAGGAGGAAGCACCCCCAGAATCCACATTATCTCCTCTTACGGACATCACTTCTAACTCTTCCAAAGTACCAAAATGGGAGGCCCGCAAAGAAGCAGAACACTCTTCCGATCTCTCCTATATCACAATACAGCAGTCACTTAGACCCCTTTTGAAGGAAAATGGTGGGAAATGGGTTTTGACCTCTGATGGAATGGGGATGAGGAGGATTTTTACGTTCAAGGGATTTAAGGATACTTGGGTTAGTTCTTTCTTTACAATTTTCTACTGCTGGGAATGCTACATTTGTATATAGATTTGAGGTTTAGATAGAGAGGGTTTGATTGGGCTTACTGGAGTTTTGTGCGAAGATCACCCTAAGAGGAGAGTTAGGATGATAAGTATCATTTGGTTCATCTCCTGAAACCTTTTCCCGGAGAGAACTACGAAAATTCCACTACTTTGCGTCAATCAACCTACGAAATGTCGAGAGAAATCAAAAGTTGGCATCATCACTAACACAACAATTAACCCTCAGAACTTCATGAATGCTATAGCAGCAAAATGCAAACAAGAAAAACATCACCCAGAATGGGTTAACGTGCGTCTCTTACATCTCCTCTTACTTTTCCTGTTACCTAACACCTCCCAGATCTACAACAAAGTATTCATCCGCTGGACTACACATGATCTCCCCGGTCTAAGTTCCAGTGATATCCTCATGGCCACATTTTGCGACGAACAAGCTACAATACACAAAGAAGTTAAAGAACAGGAAAGCCAAAAGGAAGCATCGGATGACATTGAAATTACCAAGAACGAGGAATTTCTCAATCATGCTTGTGAGGTCGGAAACAAGAATGGATCCGAAAACCCCAAGACCCCTACCGTGACTCTGGAAAAAGCACCCACTCCAGTGAATAAAGCAACAGCAACCCCAAAGGAAAAATCCAAGACCTCAAAATACTCCGAGGTTTACCAAAAAAATAAAGAGATGAAAAAGCTACAGGCAGAAGAAAAAGCCATGCAAAGAACCATCGACATGACGAACATACTCCGAGAAGCCGGAGAAATACGCCGAAGACGCGAAGCCCACAAACAACTACTCCGACAACATAAAGAGCGGAGGGAGAAGAGAGAAAGAACCGAGAATGGCGGATTTCTCTTATCCAAGATATCGGGCGGCAAAAAAAACGAAAAGTTGAAGGAGGAGAGGAAGGAGAAGAGGAGGATTGAACATCAGAATTTAATGAGGGAGCATGAGGAGCAGAAGAGGTTGAAGGTTTCGAGACATCAGGAGCGGTTGAGGAGGCATAGGGGGGAAAGTGGATTGGAAAATGAAGCGACGGGGATGAAAATAGATTGAGGGGATGAAGTATGAGGAGAATGAGGATGAGAATGAGAATGAAAAGGAGATGGAGCATGAAAATGAAAAAAGGGAAATGGAGAACGATAATAATGAATAAATAACCACTCAAGATATTCCAGACCTGTACAAATGAAAAGAGCAGAGTTGTTTCATTCAAGTCAAGCATATTCATTATTTAAGTACACCAATTCTCATACTCAAACCCGTGTTAAACCCATTCCCCTATTTCCATAACCCGCTCCTGACTACAATTTCTTCCTCTCATTCCTAGCAGCAATTTCATAAAAAAGACTCCCATCATAAATCCTCCTAATGTCTTCTTTTTTCATCCTCCCATCTTCCGGCCATAACAAAAGCCACGTCGCGAGCCCTAATAATCATTAGTACTAATTAATTCATCACCTTTCTTCCTCTTACCACCAAACACCCCCGGCCGAACATAAAACAAAAACAAAAGTAAACTCACATTCAAAAAGCGCACCACCCCAGCCAATCGGATCCGCAATCGACCTCTGCCCCTTCATAACATCCCACGCCTCCCTCAAAGAAATCGACTCCTTATCCCCCGTCGTGGCATATTTACTAAAAATCTCCTCGAATCTCTGAGGAATAAATCGACCCTCATGATCATATGTTCCGGTATCACTCCCATGTTTATCTTTATGGATTCTGTCTGTCCAGATACGGAAGAAGATATCAGGGATCCAGGATCCGGGTGGGAGAGTCGGGTAGGAGAAATTGGTGTGGATGATTAGGACGGCGAGGAGTGCGAGAAAGGGGTTGTAAGTTAGGCGTCGGAAACCGGTGTAGGTGTCTTGGGGCCAGATTATGCCGTCGGAGTCGGGGTCGAAGAAGGAGATGTGTTGTTGGAGGACCTGGGTAGGTTAGTGGGTGTGAAGATGGGGAATAGTGAGGATGAGGATGAGGGGGGAAGGGGAAGTGAAAGGAGGATACGAACTGTGAGGTGTTTATTGCGCTGAACATAATTGTCTTTCTGTGTTCCGTATGGTGCTTCAACAGATGCTGCTTGATTTGCTCTTGCAAGTCCTATTATATCCTCATATTAGTAAAACTCAAGTACATCCCCTTCTGCGAATCCACCCTCAAATGGCTGGATCCTCAACTCCTCATCAACATCCTGTCCTCTGTATCACACCAAAATCCAAACCAAAGAAATCAAAAGACAACCCACCCGGATCCCTCAATCTCTTCTCTTCCCCCCTCTCAAGGAACGGCATCCTCTCTTCCGTAACCGGACACTCTTTAATCATCGTCTGAAATCCTATTCCCCTTCCATTCTTCTCTTCTACAATCGCTGGGGCCATGTTTTCTTAATTCTTTTCTTCCTTCTTGATTATGACTTTCGATTTCCGTGACCAATCCAGTTGAAGTTGAATATTCCCCTCCAAAAGTCACTCTCTTTACGCAAATCAAATATCGATAACCACCTATCAAGATAAATACCAAAAAACAACTCAATTCAGGCTCTCCGAAAATAAGACTTAATAGATATTTTCAACTCCTTCCAGTCCGTTCGTTCCTATTGTTCACACTCTTCACATTCCTCATCACATCAAGAGTAAACAATAATTATATAGCAATCCCCAACCCATTTCATCCCATTCCATCTTCACATGCTCCATGCATCTCCTGATGATTACGTAGACTACGCACATTTCTCCCATTTGATAAATGTAGTGATGTAATGCCAATACAAGCAAAAGCAAGTGCCATGATTGGTATAGCCAGGTACGTATGTACGCGAGTATGTACGCTAGGGCTGCGAGTACTGTATGACGCAACCTTTGTTTGATGGTGCATTTGAGTACTTGAGTATATATGTAGTTGAGTATTTGACATGAGAAATATACTAGGTGACTATAGCCAGAATGATTAATTAATACAAGTAATGCGGGCAAGAGAGAATTTAATGTTTATTCGTCCTGAGTAGTAGAAATGGGAAAATAACATTATATTAAAAATTAACATCACATCAGGTTCTAACTAATTGAACTTTTATAATAAGTTTTATCATGAGAATACAAGTACGAGTATTCTAATTACTCACTCGAGTACCTATCTATCTAGCTAAAACTCTCAAACTCTCAAAACCTCCTCGTACATAAAACATGTTACACGGTGTAACAATAATCACTTAATTAACAGTATGTAACACCAAACCCACCGGATCTCTCCCCAACATGTCACAAACCTACCCGATACCCGCATATCAAACCATCAAACAAACCACCATCACACCATCTCGCTCCCTGCACGTACAGATCAATTCGAATCCTATCCAATCCAATCCAATACAACTAAATCCTCAAACCAAGTCCCAAACCTCAAATCCTCATCAACTCATCAACTCATCCTAACAAATTTTAAACATTTTTATCGAATCATCACCTCAAGCCCAGCTCAAAAATAAATTCCACCAGAAGTTCAGAAATTCCCTGTGATGCATCCCGGATTGTAATCTTACCCTCAAGATTGTAGTAAAAAAAATCCAAGATGAAACTTCTCAATAGAGATCAATGCCCATCGCCGACTATGGCTCGAAAAATCATAATGTTCCAATGGTAAGCTCTACATGTGTGTTTTATTGTACTGTACATTCCAAATAGCAATTCTGGACTATTCTCCCTTAGCCCATTTTTCAAACTCCTTCAACATATCCGGAGTTATCTGTCTCTTAATCTTCGGCATTGCCGTCAAAAAGTCGTTCATAACTGCTGGTTCCATTGTCCCATTCTTTTTACGTCTTTCAATAGCCGCATCAAAGGCTTTTTGACAAATACTCACCATTTCAGCTCCAGAGTACCCCTCTGTTAGACGAGCAAGTTCGGCTATATCAACGTCTTTTGCCATAGTAGATTCGCGTTGTCTAGCACGAATGATGGCTTCCCGACCAGCAAGGTCCGGTGGTGCAACATAGATAAGTTCATCAAATCGGCCAGGTCGAAGAAGTGCTAAGTCAAGATCCTGGGGTTTATTGGTTGCCGCAAGTACGGTAACACCCTTTAAACTCTCAATTCCATCCATTTCATTGAGTAGAGTAGTAAGAACGTTGACTCCATTATTCGAATTTTTACCATCTCTCTTTCCACCAATGGATTCAATTTCATCAAAGAAAATAATACTTGGAGCTGCGGCGCGTGCACGGGAAAAAATATTTCGGACAGCTCGTTCGGAGTCACCAACATATTTGGAGAGAAGTTCGGCACCTTTGACAGCAAAGAAGTTGAAGCCCATTTCAGTGGCAACAGCTTGGGCGGTGAGTGTTTTGGAACATCCAGGAGGTCCATAGAGAAGAAGACCTTTTGTTGGGGAACGGCCAAAATCTTGCATGATCTCTTGGTACTGGAATATTGTTGGTACTTTGGATTAAAAATGTAAAACAATCAAATAGAAAAGAACTTACATGAAAAGGTGTCTCGATCGCAAGCTGAATAGCCTCTTTAACTTTATCTTGTCCTCCAATATCACTCCATTTAACCTTGGGTGGTCGCAAAGTAATATCATGCATTGCACTTGGCCTTACCTCTAGGAGTGCATGCTCGATATCCTCTTTAACGATGAATTTCTGCTCGGGCAAGTTCTCCACATCTAACTTATCTTCCGCAAAAATGTGTGCTTCATCTAACAGAAGGGCGAGATCTTCTGGTGTATATGCATGTGTTCGTTCTCCAAGATCATGAAGAATCTCATCCCGGGTTTCAGGGCACATTTGAGGATTTAGAGACTTGAGGATAGCTTTCCTGGCGGCTGCATCTGGAACTGGTAGAGAAATAGCTGTAGTGAACCTACCTCGCTTTCGTAATGCAGCAGGTATTTTAAGCATATCAGATGTTGCCGCCGCCACGACGACTTGTGGTAAAGAGTTTGGAGGTTCATCCTTAGCAAGGTCTTCAAACCCCTCACAAATAGCCTCTGTCATATCTAACAGTGGTTCACCACCCTTCGTAACCACAGATTCAAGATCATCTATGATTATAATACTTGGCTGGTTAATCTTTGAATCCTTGAAAATCTTCTGGACTTCCGAAGGTTTGGTTTTACGATCGATTTTGCGAACTTTGCCCCATTCTGTACAGGCGAGTTTGTCCAAGACAAAGGTTTTCCCCGTTCCCCTCCCACCATGTAGAAGAACAGCAGGTGACCTACGAACTTTGGTGAAATAAAATTGACGGTTGAAATTACTCAGAAATTTGTTCAGTTTTCCAAGAGCTTGGTCGATGCCAGCAATGTCAACAACTTGAAGAGGTTTTTGCTCAACATTGCTTGCAGCCAATACGGCTCCACTGATTTCCGCAATTGTTGCAATCTTAACAGAAGATGAACCATCATCAAAAAAGCTAGCAACACCAGATTTCGATCCATCTATGGAGAAAACTTCAAAAGTCCGCTTTTCTCTTCTGTACATCACATCTCTAAATGTCATGCCAGGGTAAATCAACTCAGCACGAGCTACAATCTCGTCGTCAGCTCTGCACTGAACTCGCGGTAAAAACATGAAAACAACAACTCTTGACCTTTTGATAGTGGAAAAATCAAAGAGAGGAAACAAAAGAAGAAAATCCTACCAAAAAGATCCTCCAAAATACACCGCCAACCAATTCTAACATCCCCACTCAACTCTCGCATAACCCCTTCAACCATACCGATATCCTTAATTAGAATATCCTTTGCAACCTCTAGCTTTCCTGCTCTAGCAATGATCACATCATCACTCAATTTGAACCCACATGCCTCTTGGAAAGCCTTACTGACTTGGACCACTTTCCTACTTAACTTTTCCGCGGCCAACCAAATCACAGCTTCTCGTCTTGTATGTTCCCCTTCAGAGCTCTTCCATAGATAGCATGTTTCCCCATTTCTGACTTGAAGATCTAAGAGAACATCTGTGCAAACATATACGCGTGCTACGTTTTTGAAATCCGGTCTTTCTTGAGATTGTGCTTGATATGGACGAACTTTTAATTCCAGAATTTTAGATTCAGGTGCCATATTGAACTAATTATTTGAATATTTGAATGTTTCCAATAATGTCAAACAATCAAACAATCAAAATATCGACTTCCTCGATTCGAAGAAAGTAAACAAAGGAGGGGAAAATAAAAGAAAAGCTCATCGATAATGGAGGGGCAAAAGTAAATAAAAATTATCATTAGCCTTGCCAAGGAACATGGGTTCATGCTTAAAATTTGTATCAACGTTGTATCGCTGCACTGCACTGCTTTACTTCTGCCATCAAACTAATCTTCGAATGTAAAGGCGGTGAACAAAAATAAATCCGTAAGGCCAATTAATTTTCCCCATTTCCGTAGCCTTGACCCCTCCTACATTCATCCCCTCATTATCACCAATGCCCTCCCCCCGTTCACTACCCCCATCATTCCTCACCCCTTCATGGACTGCTCGCCAATTGCAATGTCTTTTCCAACGCCGTCACATATACCAAAAGACTCGCAAGAACAATGGAGATCCCCCGAAACCACAAGGTGAATCTCTCTTCGGAGCCCGACGTCTCGATCTTACTCCCCCTATAAAACCACCCACATCTCTCTTTGAAGAGCTCTTTCCCGAGGAACAACAAAGACCTCCTCGATATACAACCCCATCAAAACACCTCCAACATCCTGCACCTTCAAAATTTCCAAAATTACCTACCTTTGGCTGGACATCTAATATTGAGACATTCGATGAAGCGGAAGTGCGACGACGAGCTGCGGAGAAGGAGAGGAGGGATTGGAATTTGGTTGGGAAAGAAAGGGGAAGAGAAGAAGAAGATGCGGTTCAGAGACTGGAGGCTAGTGTTCTGATTTTGAATTGTGCTAGTAAGACGTTGGAGGAGAGTGATTTTTTTAGGTTGAGTCCAAGGGGTGAACATATTGAGGGATGGACCAGTGGAATTATTAAGAGTAACTTGTTTCTTCTCTGTCCTTTTACTTTAATCTATGTCCATTGATATATGTACAAGCTTGCAAGCTTAACTAACTACTCAACTAGTAATTCCCGGTCGCGATCCTCAAACCCTCGAAGCTCTAGGTCACTACTTCATACTCTTCTCCTCGCGCGCTGCAGCCCTTGCCTATTTTCATCGCACCATTGAACTGCACACCCTGTCTCGAACCTACCAACCCAATATCGTTCCGCTTCCAGATGCATTTCCCTCAAATCCCAATCGACCCCCTTCAACCCTTCCCAATTCAACCAAAGAACTTCAATCGCTGCTGCGGAATTTCACCCTCATCCCTCCTTACACTCGTCTCTCTCTCCGCCTCCTTCAAAAGCCCTATCGTCCAGCCATAACTACGCTCTTAAAAACTGGTTCCCCACTCACCCTTACAAACTCTCGCTCTCAATCTCAAACTCAAGACACAGTCCTTTTTACCATTACCATCACATCCACTGGTCTTAGTTCTTGGGGTCTCCGAGAAATTCTCGATAAAGATGGAAAACGTCGTAACCTGCATTGGCGTTTCGCTCGCGAAGGAGCCATCATTCGGGTTGGCGAAAAAATAAATGTCGGATCCGAAACGGGATATCGAGGGGAAAATAATATCGGGAAACAAAAAGCTTATAATACAAGCGCAAGATATATATTATCATTTATGGATAGAGCGGAGGCTAGAAGGTTTGTCAGGGAGTGGCATAAAAGGCCTTGTCCTTTGCAAAAGGAGTATAAAGAGGGTGATGAACCTCCTCCTATTGTTAATGCTGAGATTATGTGGTAAATGTTGAGTAAAGTGGATAGGGGGGGTAGAGTAGATAGAGGAGGAAGAGGAGAAAAAGGAAATACTGGTATAGGAGAGTAAGAATCTTTGAGAGATTCTACAAAAATGATATCGATAATAAGTAATTACTTCTAAACAAGTGAGGTGAAGGAAATCTTTTTTCGACATCACCATACTTGACTGTATAGCACAACACGTAGACATGTGACAATCTTGAGAATCAGAAGAAACAGAAAGAATACATTAGATGAATACAAGCTAGAATAGAAAGAAACCTATTTAGACTTGTATATTATAAACTAGTTATATAATTAATGAATATATTCTAAGTCGAGTAATACTTTATATTATAATCATTATTAAAATAATAATAAATATATTTATTATTTATTATTTTATTATTTTATTTTATTATTTATTATTTTATTTTATTACTTTATTTTATTATTTTATATCTTTCACTTTCACTTTCATTTTTAATTTAATTTTAATTTAATTTTTAATTATTCTCTATCAATTACTTTTTTATATTATAGTCTTTTTTTATATCCCCTTCTTATATCTTATCACATCATTTTTTAAAACCCCTTTATATTCTATACTTTAATCCCCTCTCCTTACATCTCATCTCATCTTATTTTGATCCTCACCTCTTTCATTTCATCATTTCATCATCTTCTCAAACCCTTCATTCTAATCTCGTTGTTCATCATTCATCACCTTTCTTAAAAAAGAATCCAAGACTTAAATAATATATTCTCATCCTTTATATTTATTTATATTTTAATTTTATTTTATTTATTTCACTTTTAAATACCTTTTATTTTATATTTAATATCCTTTTATATCCTTATATTCATCATCTCACTTCTTACAAACCTCTATTTATATCTATCCTATATCCTATAACCCTGTCCTCCATCTCATCCTCATCCATCCTTCCTCATCCTCATCTTTATCTTCATCCACTCTATCTCATCCTCATCCCTATTCTCATTCCATCCTGACCTTCTTCATCCATCCTCCACCTCATCCACCCTCACTTCACCACCCACCGTTCCTCCATATAACATCCATTAAAACAAACCAAACTATTCCTCAACTATTCCTCACCACCTACCTATACCTACCTATCCTTTCTTTATTTTATCTTCATCTTCATCTTCATCCTCATCTTCATCCTCATCCACCATTCCTCCTCTCCTCAGATATCCCTCCCATCCCTATCCCTATCCTATCCCCGAACCCCTTCCCTCATCCCTTCCTATACCCTCCATTCTAACCTCATCTCATCTCTTTCCATACCCTCCTCCTACACCTACTCTATCTCAATCCCTTTCCCAACCTCCTCCTTCCTACATCCCACATCCCTTCAAAATCCAAATCCTCACCCTCACACCCTCACACCCTCCTAATCATCACCACATCACCATTGCACATTCACCATTCACCACACACACAATCATCACACAAAACTTCAAGTAAGAAAAAAATACACAAACACAAAAGACACACGCCAATCAATTTACTACCAAATAAAAACGCACAGTACCAACTCCGGCTCTGCTCTCATAAACTAAATAAAGCTGATCTCTTAAAACGTTTTGTGTGTGTAAAGTAAACAAGTAAACCAGCCAGCCAGCAAGCAAGCGGCAAGCAAGCAAGTAATAGTTACGTTATGCACCACACCAGCACAACAACACCATTGTCTTATTTTTTGCACTGTGCTTAACCCCCTCTGTTTCTCTTCTCCCCTCACACCTCCCCTCATCTATGAATCATAAAAGTCTTCTTCTTGCTGCTCCTCCGTTTACTTTCCTAACATATCACATCAAAACGTCTATCCTCCTTCCACAAACATACACCACATAAATCCCTCTTAACAACATTTACCCCCATTTCCACCACCTTGACCACCTACATCTACACCCTGCTGTGTTGCCTGATCTATCTTACTCGTGTCCACGATTCTCTTCTTGATATCTGCTGCCAAACTATAGAATGCTTTTTCCACATTGATGTTACTCTTGGCTGAGACCTCAAGGAAAGGAATTCCAAGTTCATCGGCTAATTGTTGACCGCGTTCGGTTGATACAACTCGTTTATCTTCCCAATCGCATTTATTGCCTATGAGGATCTTGTTTACTCCTTCAGTCGCATGTTGTTCGACGTTGCTGAACCAGGTGCGGATATCTGTTGTGAATTGTTAGTATAATTTCTAAGAAAACTGATGCTCAAATCTGCCTTCCCGCCTCAATTCTCTTCTCTCTCCAACAGCATACATAACATTCATCCATTTTGCGTCCCCAATCCCACATCATCTTCCCCCTCTCCTCAAACCCAACCCCAAACACAAATGAAAAGAATAACCTACTAGTAAAAGACCTCTCATCCGTAACATCATAAACAAGCAAAATGCCCATAGCCCCCCTATAATACGCCGTCGTGATAGTTCTAAATCTCTCCTGACCCGCCGTATCCCAAATCTGCAACTTCACCCTCTTCCCATCAAGTTCAATCGTACGAATCTTGAAATCAATTCCAATAGTAGTGATGAAAGAAGGTGTGAAACTATCCTCACTGAAACGCAAGAGACAGCATGATTTTCCTACGCCGGAATCGCCTATCAAGAGGAGTTTAATCTGCGGGTGCACATCATGTCATTAGAATTTGTATATGCATTTGTAAATGTATTTATATGGGAGGTTGGGAGTTGGAATAGGATAGGGGAAGTAGAGGGTAGAGATAGATAGATTGATAGATTGATTGATTAGATTGAAGGGTAAACAACAACAGCAGCAAAACGACCCCAAGCAAATCCGACCAGAGTAAAACAGAACATACCAAAAAATCGTAGTTCCTCGTCCCGGCCATCTTGTATTATTCGCACTCGAGTAGTTGACTCAAGTACCGTCTTTCGTATATTTGGATAGCCTTGTTGGTGCGGCGTTGTCAAATCCTCAAGATCTGATCACTTTGTCCGTGTCCTTAGTTCTCGGTCTGGTCTGCACCTTAACCAAAGTAAATTCGTCCACCGTATTTAAGATCGCTGGAAGGGTGTGTGGGGTACAGGGTGTTGTGGGTCGTAGACAGGTACTTTATTATCGTGTGTAAGGGTGTTTGGTTGATATTGAAGAGGAAGTTTGCAAGAGTAAGATGTCGATATCGATTTCGAGAAGTTCGATTTGAACGATGCAGGATTCGCTATACGGCACTTCCCTTCTGCCAATGTTGTGATTGCTCTCTTGACCGTATGGAAGACCTTGATTAATCTCAACAGAATATGATTGATGTAATAAGTAATGGCAAGGTTCTTTCCTGATGATGATTGTTGATAGACAGCGGGATATGGAAGGTCCGGTTCTAGGTCGTGTACACAAAATCTGATAGGCAAGTTATCATATCAATTAAATTAGGTATGTCTGCGTCTTTTAACGAGCATGTGGCGTCTACCAAATCTGGTTGTGGCGTTATGTTGGCCAACGTTCAAGATCTGACAGGTACAGGGGAAGTTTTCCAGTATGGTTCAGAAATTGAGAAGATAGCACCGATTGTTTCTCTATTCATTGAAAGCACATAGTATATCAAGATTACAGCAGCAGTGAATGAAGTCTCCATTGGAGCACCAGTAACGGATCGGAGTATGCAGTTCCCAACAAAATCTCTACAAATATAGCAAATGAAAGGGTTTCATGTATAATAGTAACACGCACTGTCACTCAAGTAGGGTGATACCTAGTACTTTGGAATCTCTGAGCCTTGCGACCATAATTTCATTATTCCTTTATGCAATCCCATCATCTAATCGTATCGTATCGTATCAACACCACTCGCTATGCATATGTTCTTTCGGTACTGTACACCCCTGGATCTGTTACCTTTCCTTTCCCTTCCTTTCCCTTCCCTTCCCCTCCCCCTTAGCTATCTCAACCATCTTCCATAACTCCACCTAATTCTCTCCAAAACTTTGAGTTGCACCTGTATACCACTATTGATGTTACAAAGATCTCCCACATCTTCCAAAAACTCCCTCTCCACATCCCCAGGAAATAGGCTATGAGCTCTCTTTCTCAAAACATGAACCTCGCACAACAGTAATCCGTGATCTTTGTATGAGAGTAGATTGTTTTGCGTAGGCGTAGCAATCGTTAGGATACGATCAATATTTCTCAAAACTCTTGCTGTTCTTCCAGCCCGTTCGCCTCTTCGAAGCCCCTTGCGTGACCCAAGTAAAGTTGCAAAATATCTGAAAGCAGCAAAACAAACCATAACACCAGGCGTGAGACCTACAAAGCCAAAGACAAGTTCTTGACTTTTAAGCAGCGAATCGATACCATTAAGCGCAACCTCCACATCAACTTTAGTCTTTTGCACCTGAATCAAAACTGTTCTGATCAAATCTCCTCTGACCGTTCCTACAAATGGACGTTGCATATCCTTTTCATAAGCACGAAGAACAGGGGTGAGATCGCCTGCCTTGACTTTAGCTTTGATTTCAGAGATTTGAGCATCTGTTAAAGCGCCAACTCCATAATTTGCAGCTTCGGGATTGTCACGAGCGAAATCTACCACCATACGTTCAAGGCTTTCCATGTCGCCCTTAAGACTCTCTTTGCTCATGATGGCTACCTCGCTATCTTTATCATGACGAATGGTTCCAATGACTTTCCTGGTAGGTTCAACTACCCAATTCATCCAAAAGTCTTGAATGGTAGATCCGAGTTCTCTGATCCAGGTAACAATCTCTGCTTTTCTGTGTACTAAGATCCGTAGTATAGTCGAAGAGGAAAGTAATAACATGCTAGCCGGTAACCAATACCTAACGAGTCTTGAAGGTCGTCCATAAGCCGATGCAAGCCTTTGTGAATTCGTAACATGCTTTGGTACATGCGTAGAGAGAATATACTGTAACCTTCTGGACAGCTTGCTGGTTCTTGTTTCCGGTGAGATATCCGCACTCGAGATCTCCGGATCGTCCTCCACACTAGCAAACACAGTATCCTCGAAATCCGAAACTCCTTGTTCGAGAGCCGTAACATTGCGAAGTACATTATCCATCAATGCTACACTTCTTTCTACCACATCTTTCCATTCTGAGTTATCTGATTCTTCGGCCTTCAAAGCCGCACCCTCCTCATCGATATCAAAACTCAACGCTTCATCCATCAAAACTCCCAACCCACTAGCCCCCATCTCTCTGAATCTCTTTAACCTCGTCTGATTCATCTTGGCCTTTGCTCTTCCAATCGCAACCGGACTCATCACCCTCTTTTGCACCTCCACCACACTTCTCTCCCTAATACTCTCCCTCACCAACCCATAGAAAACACTCCACTGCCCCGCAACCCCTTCTCTCACATCCCTACCACTCTTCCTAACTGCACTCCCAGGCGCTTCCTTCAATTGCACCAATCTCTCCCTCGAATCACTATAAATATCCTTCCCCCAATCCCACAATCTCTGTGGCGAAGTCTGTATAGTGTATAACCCCGAATATGTATACGAGCCTAGAACTTCATCCCAATACCAAATATCATCACTAAGCGGAATTGTTTGTTCCAACAACGTATTCAATATCAAGCCATACGTCTGCACCGTCGCCTTACTAACCAACAACCACTCCAATTCCTTCTCATACTTTTTCAAATATGCATTTATACCTGCTCTACTAGCCCCAAATTCTCTTTCATCGTCTTCGTCATCTTCATCCTCATCTTCGTTTTCTTCATTATGCACCGCACCCTTCAAATCAGCCTGCTCCAACAATCTACTAATCCTCGGACCCGGAAGCAGCGCGGTAGAACTCGACGTAGTGCTCAATGCCTTAACAAGAGCTTGTAACTCAGCTATCCGCAGCGAAGAAGCGACTTTAGCATGTTGCGCAGAAACAAGGCTCTCATCTGCGGCGTATGGAAAGGGCGCAAGTTGGACGCGGTCGAGCTGGGCGTCGACTTTTCGAATTTGGCTATATGGCAGACACTGTTAGTGATTTGTATGCGAGTTGAATCAGAGAAGGAGCAAAATAGAATTGAAGAATTGAATCAGTATTAGGAGATTCAAATCAACAAATAAGTTAATCATTAACTCTCCAAGCAATTCCCATTTCCAAAAACAACCCCTCATCTCACAAACCCCCGCGCGAGAAAAAAAAAAACCAAACGCCAAATAAAAACAAATTTTCTTTCAAACATCTCCAAACAATTAATCACTTACTCTGCAACAATTGACATCCTGCAACCACCAGCATCGATATGCGATCTGTTTGCTTGATTCCCTGTGTTGTATCTGGGCGCTCAGAATAATAAGTTCAGATGTGATTTGTCCGACCAAGAGAAAACAAGGTTCCAGGATGGTCGGGGAGCTCTTTCGCTTAACCTTATGATCGTTATGTCGATAATTAATTATGGAGAGGCTTGAGATGAGAAACCAAATAGAGTAAATCTAAATCTTTTGGAGGTTGCCAGCTAGGTTGAAATGTAAACACAGTTGATGAGTGAGATATTTGAAAGCTTGCTTGGTATATCATTTTTGAAATATATATCATCTCTCTAAGCGCCAAGAGCTGTCATCATGTGCGTGGGGCATGCGAGGGGACAAAACATCCATTTATTTATCCTTAACAAAGGGAGCAGAATTGCTTCTCTTATTCTAAATCTATATACTCCATATACTTAATAATATCTACACATATATATGTACAAACTCCTTTCCGGGTCCTCAAAACGAATCTCTGGTTACTGGTCCTTGAAGAGATTGATCTCGTTCATTCAAGTCTAAACTTTCCTCCCCAAAGTCGTCCCAATTATTGACTTCTTCTTCCGGGGGTGGTTTCTGTGTATCAAGAGCAACAGCTCTCTCCATGATTTCAAGAGTTTTGCTTTTAGCATCCTTTTTCTCTCTGTAATCATTTTCTCGCATCATCGCAAAAATCACAAAAGCTTCATCTACAGCCTGAAGAAATTCATGCTGTCTAGGATTTAGCTTCCTTTTCCGCATTATCTGTCGGGTGTTTTTCAGTATGCTTCTCATACGCCCATCCGGGACGATTTGATGAACAGATAACATCTTCGTAATCCAGATGATGCCACTGGGTTCTTTGATGGCAATATAAGCCTTGAGAAGGATGGTAAGGCTGACCACATTAGGTCGAACTGTTGCGCTATGAGTCCGGGAGGCTTCTGTCCAAAAGACAATTGCGTCTCGAAAAAATGCATTCTGGACAAGGATATTGGTGACCTCATTGAACACATTTTCTGTGATAGTAAGCCCATGCTCTTCTGCCTTGGCAATCGCTTCTCTGGCAGATGTTAAGAACATGATTAGACGACTGCTTCCAGCAGACTCCATAAATTTTGGCAGCCGATGAGTAAGAAGCGTAATAAGGGCGTCGTCCAAAGCGTAGCCTTTCCGTTTAGCATCTCTGAGTAGCTCAATAGCCATGTGAGAATCGCCGTTGTTCAAATGCAACAACGCTCTTACTGTGGCACTTAAAACCGAGCCATGGATGTATACACCCTGTTTGCAAGCAGCTTTATATATGTCTACGACCTTTTCGAAACTACCCTTTCCCATCTCTTCAAATATTTGCCGGCGAGGGTAGTTATTATCCACTATAGATCTAGTCCCTTTCGGGATAACCCTTAATTTCTTAGCAGCGACTTCTTGGCTCCCTTTCGAATCTTTAAGAGCAAGTTGACGCAGATGCGCTAAGGTGAAATCATTTGTGTAATCCACAGAAGATCCCAACATCGCACGGTGTACTTGATATACTTGCTCGAAATTGAAATCCCACGTCTTATAAAGCTGGCTCAGGATATTATTGAACGAATCAGCGTCAAAACATGTAGAAACAGAGGTTGCGTATTCTATCCAACGAAGAATAGAACGAAGTTCTTTGGCTTTTGCATATTCGCCGATCATGATGTTGGAAGCATAAGGGGTCAAAGGTACTTGATATTTTTCAAGGAAACAGCGGAGAAATTCCTCTGTCTGAGCCACGGAATGTGATTTGGCATACAATTTAAGTATTGGTGGAAAGATATCGCCATAGACTTTGTTTCTAGGGTTAAGTTTCGCCATTTCAGCGAAATTGGCCTCCACATCGTCCCACTCCTCACACATCGCTTTGCCACGGGCGATTTGACCACGAATGAGAATGTCGTCTTCACATGGACCGCTTATTTGAAATAGTTGTTCGTGGTATTTGCCAGCGGCTCCAAAATCTCCTGCTTCTACACATAACTGGATGATGACGGCATATGCAGCTTGTGGGCGGCAAAGAGTCGGTATAACTGTCTTGAGGCGATCGAACCTCTCTTGAGTCTCACGAATATTCCTTTTTCCGCGCCATTCAGTGCCGAGCAGTTTTTGAAACCAGTTGTTCGACCTTATGAAATTGTCGCTTTTGATCAATTTCGTCGCCTCAATCAAGATCCGTTCAGCTCTGGCAAAATGCTTCAGTTCAAGCGCTCTCTCGAATAAAGCATCTGTAACACGGTAGAGTTCTTCTTGGCTTGGTGCTGACTTGAGGAAATATCTCAAGAATTGAGAGACAGCACCACGGAATTGTTTGGTCTGTATTTCGGCGATTATAAACGATCCGATAGCCTGATTAGATGTTTTGCCACGGGTAGCCTCGATTCGCCAGAATAGTTGCTTGGTCAAATCAAACATGTCGAAACGGCAGGTCAAATTGCAAGTTTCTACTAGGACTGGTCTCATTTTGTTCGAAAGTGGGCCTGGCTTCTCCTTGAACTCCGTAAGGCACAAAGTAGAAGCCCTTCGCAGCTTAGAAAGATAGATATCGAGGCTAGCCTCATCATTCGGACTCTTTAACAGGGATTCAATGACGATATGTGGCTCGAATCGCTTGAAGTCAGATTCGGAAAGCGTACTAGATTTTAGAACGATGTCAAGAATTCTCTCCATATTGTCCACCATAGAGTTTGTCCGACAAGCAGTAGATAGTACAATCGCTGCTTCTAAGAGGCATGTTTGCATGCTACTAGATCCTATTTCCAAGCCTTCCTCAAATGCCTCTGAGAATCGGCGCAATGCGGAACATATGGCATTCGGGTCCTTCCCATCTCCAAGAATCTGCTGTATGTCATTTGCCAGGCGCTGCTGACGATCCTCATCAATATATTCAGGCTTTTTTGTAGGATCATGTTTTTTCGGGGAGGGCAATCTCTCGATTCGTGGCGGCTTAAACGGAATTGAAGGTGGTATTGAAGCTACCGGCTCTGTAGTCTCGCCGGCTGTTTTATCCCTGACCACAACTACCTCGGAACTTTGGGCATTGCTCGAAGCGGTACTGCCAGCCTGCCAAAACCCATCATCCTTAAATCTCAAAACCTGTTCCTCAAACGTTTCTGCCAAATGTGCACTCGATTCGTGGTAATGCCTTGAGGCCTTAAGTTTCTTGGCATTGTCGTGTACCAGTTTCGCTCCGTGTATTCGTCGTCGACGGTCCTCTGTTAGCATACCAGCACTGAATGCGACAGTGCAAGATGTTCCAAGGGCGATGTTGCGAAGTGCTCGCAATGCACCTTTAGAAGGCACAGGCAAGGCGGATGGCATTTCAGTGGTAACAAAGCCATTGCATCTCTCATTCAAAAAAAGTTGCGGGTAAAGTGCCCGGTATACTTAAGTTTTGCGCAGAATGGTCCGGTCTGGACTGAAGTGTTGGTCCCAGCAATCTACAAACCCAGAACTTTTCAATCGCGAATGATTAGTCATCAACCCCGCGGCCACCGCTCCCGGTGAGGAGCTGGCACATTGGTCAAAAGTCGAATGCCATTTATTTGCGCATCATCGACCTTGGTAGTGTACCTAGCATCTACCTACGTATATTCTCGCAAAAGAAAAGAATTCGATATAGAATTAGTGTCTTCATTATCATACATACATAGTTACAGTACTTACACCCATCTCTCCAAGTTACTCCCTTTCCTACTTTCCGCTAATATGAACTTCCATTACCTCCATAAGATGCTTGTTCAATAAGCCCAATGGTATTTCTATTCCCATCGAACAAATCTCCATTGCAGTGATACCTAAGTGCGATTTACGCCGCTCCGTGAATACCCTCTTTATACGTCTTCGTTGGTAGATCTCCGAGAAAGTCAAAACATCAGCATCCTCGTTCAATACACGTTCCGAAAATGAATTATACGTCTGACGTTTTATTTTCCCAGCATGTTGTCGATTAGGAAGATACTGTATCCTATAGAATAGCCTCGTCACTTGACTAGTAGAGTACATCTTTCGTTGCAACTCCCTTGTTCGAATATTGAACAAGATCATGTATCAGACATGCCAAATCTTAGCACACAGCTCTAAAGCTATCTAAGAATATCAACATCAGACGAAACTCTCAAATCACGAGAAACCCCCATAAGCGGGGCGATAAAAACAAGCCAGCCGGCCACAGAACCCAACCAATAAAGTAACTCCAGTTACTCGACAACTTAGGTATCTCAACATCTCCTGTTGTACATCTAAGAATCAATCTGATATCAAATACCACTCCTCCCTACAAGATTAAATCAAACCATGACAAAGTACCTACCTACCTAAGTAAGTAATTACCAAAAGAAAACGGCAGTTTAAAATCGACCAATAGGATCGTTCAGGTCACTTGACTCTTAATCTACATCATTTGTTGCACATCTCATAAAATGATCTTACTGGAGTAGAAGCAGTTCGCGATTTGTAGTTGTAATTTATTTTGCTCCATAAAGATCAAACTCGCCTTCTGATTTGTAGTGAAGTGACAATGACATACATGACAAGAAACCTCCCCGCTTTAATTGTGAAAAACCGTGGCTTTTGAGATCGAGCTTCTGTTTGATGGCTGTTTAAATGCCTTATTAAGTTAAGTATTAAATTGCATTGACCTATAATCCAACTACCCTTATTAGTATCTGAATAGACATAAAACCACAACAAATTAGGAAAATCGGTTAGAACTATTTGTTGCTTACACAAAAATGATGAGTCAGCTACATTGTATCAACAATATCCATCGTTGATTTGCCCATCATCTCGCACAACGATTTTGGTATTCATCTGTCTATATCAAGCATCTCAAACCCAGCGAAATTCGGTAACCGAGCAAGGGACCTCGAGGCTGGCATGACGCGAAGCGGTTGTACTGATAAGGCTGAGGTAGGACTAAGCTCCTACGTGTGGTGTGGTATTGTCCGCACTCCTCTAGCTTGCGTGTGACATCTTGAAGCTCAGAAAAGCATTGAAAATGTCCGCATGGTAAGACTAGGAAATTCATCACGATGGTACTTTATTTCACGCAAAAATAACCAGTCAAAAGACATGAGATTGAGAATGAAGGAACGAATCTCGTAAGAGCTAATTGGGTAACGTACGAAGGTACTTGGGGGCTGGTGATTGTGTTGCGTGATAAGGTGGTGAAAATACCATCGGATTCTATTTATCCTAGGTTTAAGGATGATATTTTGCATTGAATGCAAGAGTTAGGTGATATTTGCCAACTTTAGCATGTACATTAGGCTATTCGATTAGATTGTGGACGACATAGAACTGGAAACTGGTTACTAGATAGATATATCTATATATTGTACATGAAATTGTTTAAAAGGGGACGTGTAATGTCGCATCAAGTCTGTCGACGCTTCCGCTATACGAAAGAGCCCGAAAGCTTCCCGCTCTAGAGTAAAATCATACAATTGTCCATGGCAGGAGATTGCGTACACAGTGTGTTCGCCGAATGTTCGGCATAATAGTTCAGTAGTCAAGGGCCTCCAAAGCACGCAGATAACTCTATATCTACGATCGGAAATTTGCAAAGTGCTATTATGCTATGTAATCATGCCGGAGAAGGTATATCATTTGTGTAACTTAAAGATGTATACTTGCAAAACTCAAAACATTCAGGCAGACGTGATAAGTTTAGTGCCCCATCCATTTGTGCGTCAAAAAGCTGGAAATTACTACCTATTATCGTGCCTCATCATACTCCAATTTCACCGATGCCAATCAATCTTTCTTCATAATTTTGGTAGCACCAACTGACAGCACCTTCACACGTGACATGAACCTTGAAATGCAGTCAGCTTACTTCCCCGCCCGCGAGAGGGCAAGTGATGATTTATCGTATACTTTGTGTTTCCTATGTAGCAATTAGCGTTGATCACTAAACTTCAAATAACTCCATAGGGGTTGGGGCGGCATATTTGAAGCAGAAAAGTTTCGTTACAAGAGTGCAGTTGTGGAGGACCAGGTAAAAGACAGTTATCGGTAGCCATTTCGTCCCCGTTTTCCCGTTTGTCTGTCATTTTTGTCTTTCCTGAAGAGCATGAGTTTCAGTTTATCAACATTAGCATCGACCTTTTGCGCTATCAAAGAAGTGCAATGTCTTCAAGTGCTGATGAAGAAAAATGCAGTGTATTAATGTGCAAGAAAAAGTCAGCGTTGCAGTACTACGTGGTCTAAGATCAAGCATGCACTCTTGTCAATTTGGTGCCAGGGTATGTATCAAACTGTTGATTTTATAAATCTACCATTCGCCGCTGAACGAACGGGGTTTTTTTGGTCGAAAGGGGTGTGGAAGCAACAATGAAAGAAGTTGAAACGATTCGGCTTGAATATCTCACCGACTCCGGCGGAACAACTGTAAGGGCTCAAATAATGGGAAAGGGACAAACTTTGGTGGACTTCTTCTCGAAAGCCAGGTAGTTCAAATGACACAGCCAATGCGAAGTCATCACTCATTAATCCGGCCCCGATAGCGAAATAACAAAAGGCGACTTACTTGACACGCGCCCTTCCCGTCTGGTAACCCTGAGGTCATGCTGTAAGGCTGAAGCGCGGCAATCTCTTAGCAAGCCCTCATTCATTTCCATGAGTACTATATTCCGCTTATAAGTGATAAAGCGCATTTATTGTACGGAGTACATGATGGATTCAAAGCACGGTACCCTGGTTGGAAGGAGATAGCACAGTACATGGGAATTCCGGAGTGTCGGATTCAGAAAGTCCTAGCGAAAGGCCGGGTGAGATCGCTGAAGGAGCTTGTACAGTATTGTGATATGTATATGAAGTAGGTATTAATATTGAAGTGATACTTCGTGGTAAGTATTGTGCATACATGTATGGAAAAAGAAAAAAAAGAAAAACGAATATAAATGCAATCTACTACGGAGGATCCAACAATAATCTCGTATCTCGTATCTCGACAATGTTCAGCTTCTGGGGGTAAGTTATCATAATGACAGAGATGATTACTAATCGGTCATTAGCATGAAATCCCCGATGAAAGGAACGAATCATTGCGTCAACTCTAATAAGTCCGGCTCTGATGTCTTCATGAAACCCCCCTGCGAATAATCGCTTTCCATAATGGGCCCGCAACAAAGCCGGAAAGGTCGGAGAAAGGAAGGTACGAATTAGTAAAAGCTATGTAAGCAATTAAATGATTAACTTGATTACGTTCCAATGCGACGAGGCAAAGAAATTTAGTTCGAGTTTAGAAAAAAAAGAACCATAAATACCTACTCCCTTGGAAAGTAACCATCTTATTAAGTTCCTTACTCATCATTTTCAACCTCCAGTCTAAAGAGATAAAATCAACATCAATATTAAAGATCGTTGCGGATTGATAATAATATAATATATATACCTATATAACGGAAATACCTATACCTCATACCCAAACAGAGACACAGCTACAATCACGTGTTTTTCTTTCTTTTTCGGAATTTCGCGGTTGAGTAGGTAGCAGTACACTTAGCCTTCCACGCCTTTAATCTTGGAATCCAAGAGGGAAATCCTCCGTATAAGCAAGCCAACCTCCATCCAGCCAGCCCGGATAACGGTGAAATCATACCAATCGACAAGGAGAACAATCCAGCCTTTTTAAACTTTACTTGATCATTTCCGTGGTACCGATTTACGAAGGTTTACCAACTTCCTACTTCCTACATACAATACATTACATTACATTATATTACATACATACATCTATACATACACACACACATACATACTACAAATATTAGTTATTCTTGACCTTCCCTTAACCCCAGTCATCATTGAAGGTCACGTCAACTTTCTGATAAATCTATTTGTCAACCAAATCAAAACTCAGGAAAAGTCCGAAAACCATCGACCCCTCAGCTACTAAAAAGTTCCAAAGCAATATCCACTACCTATCTAGGTACGCTTTTGATAACTTTCCAAACATGCAGTCAATTGCGCCCGCGCCTGTAGCACAGATGCAAAATCAAGTTCGTATTTTTCCTTTTCATCATGTTTACTTTTACCCATTGTCATTCCTTCACATCTACTACCTTACCTATAACTCCGGTGGTGGGCAGGACAATTTGACTTACCTCACTTGTCATACCCCTCCATTCAATTCCTTCCAACTTTCAATTCCTAAAAAGCCTCGAGCTTTCTCATTCGCGTGTTCGCGAATCTAATACAACCTCCCAAAAAGCTATTGCATCTTAAAGCTGACTCAGTCGCGCAGGAAATGAGTGCAGATAATGGTATAATATCCCCTCCCTTTCTTTAATATCCAAGCACAACAACGGCTTCTTGTCCTCCATCCCAGTATAGTATATGCGGCTATACGAGTCGAGTAAACAAAATTACCTTCATATAATTTTGCGCCGCAATCTATATCTCTCTTCCACTCCATAGCACTCCCCATGCTTATGTTGCTTTCTGCTGACGCGCCTTAATTCTTCCTTCAGATTTAAGAGCTCAGCTCCTAAACCTGACCTCGCAGTCCCAGCACCATAATACTCAGACACATGGCTACAATCACGACGTGCAAGCTTCGAGCAGCGCTTCACCTCACGACCATAATATAGATCCTGCCATCGGTGGACAAATGATGTCGGAAAGCGGAGGAGATGATGCAGATGGTAGAAAGGGTGGGAAACGCGAGCTTTCTCAATCGAAGCGCGCTGCTCAGAATCGCGCAGCCCAGGTTCGTAATTCCAACTCATATCGTGAATTTTCTCGTCGGCGCATTATTCGTGAGGTTGTTATGATGCGAAGTATCGCTCGTTTAAAAAAAAAGTTAACGTCGGGTTGAGATTTATGGTTCTCTTGCTTTGTCAATTCTCATGTCATCCAAAAAAATATCCTCCAACGCATTACCCAAGCTTACATAATCTATCACACAGAGAGCTTTCCGTCAGCGTAAAGAAGGATATATCAAGAAGCTTGAAGAGCAAGTTCGTGATTTTCATGCATTGGAGGATAATTACAAGGCAATTCATGCCGAGAATTACTCTCTGCGTGAGTACATTATCCGACTACAATCCAGACTCATTGAATCCCAAGGCGAATTTCCACAACCACCACCAAACATTAACTTAAGCCATACATCAACGCACCCTCATCCCCAACCACCTCAACAAAGGCAAATGGAGACATTAGAGCACATGCATCGTCATGAACCAGCCATCGCCCCAATGGCCCCAATGGGTGCACTTCAACCTTCTGCCGCCAGAACTCTAGCAGCAGCCAGCCTAAAGCACCCAAGTGAAGAGCAGCAAGGTCAGCAACAGCAACAATCATATCCTCCTCACCAAGAAAACAAACGTTTCAAGGACGACGACACTAATGATGAGAATCTCATTCGCTCACAATTGGGCGGTGGACAATTGACCAATGACAGCCTACCAACTTCCATGTCCATGTAATATCTCGCGCACAAAGTCTAACTTATTCTTCTTGTGCTTTTTTTTTCGGCGTTGATAAAGACGGAGGCTATTTGGGATGGTTCACTACGAAAGGGCACATGGGTGGAGTTCCTACTTATATAAAAAGTGGTACCTCACTCCTCACGGGTGTTTTATTCAATCAATATTCCCGCTTTGCTTTTGCCATTTCTTTCCCCGCCATGGCGTTTATCCTTCTTTCTTCCTTGTCTACATCTTCACTTCTTTCACGTGTCTTTATTCAATGTGGTTACCATATGAAGGGAGTGTGTTTCGTCCAAGGTGGATTGCGCATGCTGCGGGAACTTCGGACGTGTGCGTAAAAGCGGAGCAAAAGTGAGTCGTTCCGAGTAATCAAATATCAGTTAACTTTTTCGGCTTTTGTGATGGGATGGATGGATGGATGGATGGATGGGATACGATGGACGGATGTTTGGATGGATGGAAAGTCCGGCATGAATGAATGGATGGGTGGATGGATGGATGGATGAGATGTGGGTATTTATGTGCAATTAACTAGGCAGCTAGCTGATCTGTCTTATGGGATGGTGAGAGGTAAATGAATGAAAATTCAAAGTTTTCAAAAACTCAATTTTTGATCGATTCAATGTGTCATTTTGTTCTTGTTCTTGTTCTTGTGCATATACTGACTGTATTTTTCCACTATTGAACTCTGTTTTTTCTTTTCCCTCTCCCTTCCTGTAATATTCCCCATCACTTGTGTAAAGAGTAAAAAGAAGAGAAGATACCCATCGATCCATCCATCAACTTGTGACTTGACTCCTATCATAAGAAGCCACAATGATTGACTGACTGACCGATCAACTCGATGACTGATATCAACCGAGAGATTTTCATTGAATATAACGAACGCCTAAATTACCTAGCCAGACCTAATCCCCAACCTAAGTGTCGTCTTATCTCATCTCATCGCATCTCATCTTAAATCATATCATGTCATATTACATCATCATGTTATAGGTATCTAGCTACATGATATGATATGCTTCCTTCTTGGCTTGGTGATTACAGTACAATACAGTGCAGAACTGTGTAGATTTATCACGAATACGCATTTCCGAGGTCGTGTTCCTGCAGGTGTATTAGTTAACTTTGTTGCGTATTACTCATTACATATCACATATTCTTGCTCTCCACTCGCGGCTCAGACACTCTCCACCTTGCCCACTTCTTGCATTTTTTCACTGGGCAACCAATGGAGGGGGAGAAAGGAAAGGAAAGGAAAGGGGAAAAGAAAGAAAGGAAACCGGGAAAAAGCAAAAAGCGTAAAAACAAAACATACCTTAATGTACTCCCCACCCTTCTCAGCATACTCCTCCCTTGTAATCTTGGCCTCCCTCCACCGATCTCCACAACTCCACTTCGCGGCCCCCCTCCACGCATCCAACAATGGATCTTTCGCCCTCCTAATCTTCAGTTCCGTGCCCGCTTCCAAATGTCCCCTTAATCCCTCTCTCAATCTCTCATCAAAATTTTGCCAGAGTGTATTCCCGCCGGTCAAAAAAATGTCTTTAAGGAATTCCTCTTGTTTCATCCCTGATCCCGAGATCCGCTGCGTGAGTATATCGGCGGCAATCTCAATGATGCCCGCTTGATCTAAACCGGCGATATTGGGCTGAAAGATTACTTCTGGAACGCGGATCCGCTCGACGTTAAGATGGAGTTGGTGGGCTTCTGCTGTGCTAGCCGGGTTGAAGGGACGAGGCCCGCGCAGGAAAGCATGGATGAGTGATTTTGTCCAATCAGTTTGCGCATCTAGAGTATGCTGATCCGTGAATTCCGGGTCGTATTTTAGGAGGTCTGCTTCGAGGGTTTTAAGCATGACGCCGGGATCTTCTTCTTCCTCTTCATCACTACCGCCATCTCCGGTTTGGATGGTGCGATACACGCCCCAATCATCATCATTTTGACCGAAATTATCGTCATCACCTCCGCGACGGCGTTTTTTGGTCGGATTATCGGATGCGAGGTTAGCGATGCTTTTCATGCGGATTTGACTCGCGAGACTCTTTCTATTTCCGAGATCCGCTTTGAGACGCTCCCTGTCTTTGATTTTTTGGAGCATGAGTGCCCGAGCTTCCCGACGCTCTTGGAGCCAGCCTTCCAGATCATTTTCTCGTTTTTCGTCGTCTATGCGTTGTTCTTCGGCGATGCGGGCTTTCTCTGCTTGCTTTTCCGCTTTAGCGCGGGCGCGGGCTTCATTGTTAGATTTCATGAGACGTTGGTGACGTTTCTGTTTGAGACCCGCTTCATCCAGTTGGTCGTCCGGAATTTCAAGCATGGAGTAATCAGGTTCCTCGACCTCTTCTTCGATTTCAGGCCCACCAATATCCTTAGTCCTGGCTTTGCGGATACTTTTGTCGAGTTCTTTGATGGTTCTCTCCAGAGCGGCCTCGTCTTTCAACTCTTCAGCGTCAAGCAATCTTTTAATTTCCTTCTTCGTTTGATCTACTAATCTGCCCTGTAGATGTCTATAGTAGTCCAATTCCTGTTCCTTGCGGATTAATCTCTCTAGTCGCATTTTGGCGGCTTGTTCTTGTAGTCTTCGACCACTCTCTTTTCTCTTCTCTGCAATTTTTGCTAACTCTTCTTCACTTTTTTGTACCTCAATTACCTCTGTATAAGGGTATTGAATTACACGGTCTCTATCTTCCAGTCCTGTCCAGTCGAGATATTTGCTTACTTCCTGATCATAATCTCGTGATAAATAGCAATGGTCTTGTACCATATATTCCATTTGAGTAGCAGCTAGCTTCCCTGGAAAACTAGGATATTTGAGTTTGATGAGCTTTAAAAGATACTCGGCACTTTGTGATGCACCCCAATTCAATCTTGTTGCTTGAGTGAGTATAGCTTTCGAATTGTACACCGGAATGAGATGTGTAGAACTGTGAGAAGAAGATACAACAAGACCTGTCTTGCCACCGTTGTAGTCGTAGGAAAATAGAGAATCGATTCCGTAGGCCACAGATGGCGCTCCATAACATTCGAAGATGATTTCTGTCATAGCTATTCCATATCATTAGCATAATCTCTCAATGCGCGGGGATATTCATACATTTCCTTGAATATGGTAGGTTTGCGACAGCTTCTGTCATAACAATAGGCATATCCACTCGCCCTTCTGAATCAACCCCTAATTTGAGAAAGATACAATCCAAAACCTGCTCCATAACATCCCAATTGCTCACAATTCCACTTCCTGCTTCAAAGGCATTTCTCATATGGCCCTTAGCTGTAGTATCTGCGTATACATCGGCGCCAACAAACGAATAAGTTTTGCCTAACTTTCTGTCCCTGTATTTCGAGTAAAGCGGTAGAATATCGAGACGTGGTGAATCCTCAAAGGACCAGCCAGCTCGAGTCACCGATGAGCCTGCGGCGAGAAGTGTTAGTATCCGTGAGTCGTATTGTACCAGCCATAATGTGCGGCGCATAATTACCATTGTCAATTACTATCGCAGCTTGATCAGCCCCCCTCAACTTCGCCTTTTGATACCCATCCGGCTGTGGCTCAACATATTTGTCGAAGTGAAGATCCTTAGCAGGATAAAGGATAGGTGGAGGCAATGAGTTCTGTTGCTCCGATGCAGGCGCATCAATGTCCATGGCTGAGGGTGACATCCTCCTGGAAAGGCAGTTGTTGAATTAAATTGCTGTTTAGATCATTGTCCGCATGTTTTCGCGACCGAATAATTAGGAAGATAGTATATGAGTTAATGGTGAGCACTTGACTTGTAATTATTCTTCTTTATGATGTTGCCGCTTCACAAGGCTGGATTTTTGTAACGAGGCTGAAGTACATGTAAAAGATATCAATGCACATGTGGAGAAATCACGATTGCTTTATCTATAGCGCCAAATTTCGTCGAATATCTCTCAGTCACAAATACATCCTAATAAATCATTAAACCAATAACCATATTAGATTCAACCTCCACCACAGAACGCCTGCTCCCTTCCCGCGAAATTCTCATCAGTACTTTCACGACGGCTCCTTGAGACTGTCGGTAGCTTTCAATAAATTAGCTTAAATATTTTGATGGGAGGAACTGATTACCTTCTAAATGGAAGAGAACATTGGATTGATAGTTCTTGAACATATCTGCAACTAAAACAACGTTTGTGTTCGCGATATTAATCTCCTAATATGGATTCAGCTGAAAGTAGCTAAATACAGGAGACCGATAGACAACTCATACCTGCAGATTCTTGTTTAATAGCATAATTGCTTCATTGAGCTTCTCCTGGACGAGAATTAGTATGTTACCATTATGGGCGTCCTGAATAATACTTACTACGTTGGTTATGATTCGTGATAGTAGCAAATTTTGCTGATGCTCGTGAGGGTTTTCCTATAATATGGTCATTATTTTGTATAGAAGACCGACATACTGCGACTTTACCATATTCTCGATCTTCTTTGTATGATTTGATTTGTGAAGTGTGATGTTTGACGAGGTCAATCTTTTGCTAGGTAGGAATGGAGTAAATATCTCTATGAATTTCATGTGTTGCCTGATTGGTCGGCTGTTGTAAAGCTTGAAGCTCAGTCACCAAGGCGGAAGGGAGAACGAACTCAATCCAACTTCAAACAAATAACAAGAACAACCAACCAAAGTCATCAACTATGGCACCAGCAACTCCTGAAGCTGAAGCTCATCAAGCACTGATCGATCACCTTGATGTCCATTCAATACGAAAACCATTTCGCAATCCACATTGGAGACCTAATCAGCGTCGCAACAAGAATATCAAGACAATTCTTGGTGATGCGGTCCGAAAGGAAGCATCACTTATGCCGACACAAGACAACAGTGGTGCTGCAACACCTTTCTCTGAAGATAATACTACTTCAACGGATGGCGATATGACACCCGCACCTACGAGCGCGCCTACACTTCAGCCGAACCTTGCGCAGGCTTCCAAGAACCTATCGAAATTGGTGTTGGAGAAGAATATGAGGACGAACGGCTATTCCAATGCGCCTACTGCGACGTATACAAATATCGAATCGGCGCCATCATTAGCACATGCAAAGCATTATTGCGATATTACAGGACTACCAGCACCGTACACAGATCCCAAGACGAGGCTACGATATCACAATAAGGAAGTGTTTGGCGTTGTTAGATTTTTGGGTCAAGGAGTTGCAGAACAGTACTTGGAAGTACGAGGAGCGCATACTGTTTTGAAGTGAAAGACGATGGTAATTTACCACGTTGGTTCATCTGGAGAAAGTGTAATCATCGGCCAAGGTTTTACTCATACACATACAATGACACGCTTCACCACCTCCAAGGATCGCTAGATGACGCACAATTTGGATGGTTATCTTACGAGACGGATGTATATACAGGGAATAGAGTCGAGAGGGAATAATACATGATACCAGAGGGAAATTATGCGATGGAGATGAATAGAATCAGCTTTTGATGGTTCTTAAAAAAAGGACCAAAAAGGGTCAAAGAAGCACGAGGATATGTCTGACCGACAAAGTCAAGCTCATTCTACCCGCCAACCATCTTTCAATGGTTGGTTCAGGAATACGCTCCGGCTTAATCGCGATCATGGATGATATCTGCCTACTCTAGTAGAGATGACGGGGTACCGAGAACATATAGAGAATGAAACTCAGTCACCAGGACAAATTGTCCTGGTTCGTCGTGGCAATCATAATACTTTACCTAATGCAAGTGTTCAATAACTTGAGATGAAAACCTAAGAGGCAGCAGTAGGGTGCTTTCTTTTGCATACCATACTGGGAGGCAAATTGGCCTCAGTATCACCTCATGTTTGAACGTGAGATTACTGGTTGATTTGTTCTTGTGATCCTCAATTTATACAAGCAATTGATAGCTGTGGTGTAAAAATGTCTGACAACATAGGACTTGAGAACATCCGAGTAAAATTTATATTTAAGCTTTTGTGGTCCGCATATGACGCTAATTTCAGTCCCGAGCACGGACGCGTCCAAGCCTCGTTCTTTCAGTAAACTCCAAAAAAGAACATTAAGGACAGCTCTTCTTACTTTCTATCACCAGTTGTTGAAGTATTACGAGAAGGCTTTTCAAAAGCACCCTAATATATCTGCAAACTCTTAACTGCCGCTCCGCAAGCTGTTCAAAATGCCTTCTATGTGGTTATCGGATTCCCAGAGTAAGTACTGGATTCCTAACAAACTGATGGCCGCGGACTACTTTGCGCCGGGTGGAATTAGTCTTTTTCAGAACATGCTACGCTATTTGACAGGATGTATGCTAATAGATGCCTTGTTTAGAAATTGGGGTGGCCTTCTGTTCAGGTGGTAGGTAACATGCTATGGTTGTGCTTCGAATTTAGCATAGCTAATAAGGTTTTGAAAGGCGGGTTCTTCCTGATCGGTGGTGTCATGATGTTTTTTGACAGAGCTATGTATGATCTGACCTCTTGCAGCAAAATTCAAGGAAAGTAATACTAATGAACTTTCAGGCTCGCGATGGGAAATGTGCGTGCCTAGGTGTCCTCCAAAGCTGGAAAGGGAGTTTCCAAGCTTACAGTATATCGATATAGATTCTCTTTTTGATCGGGTTAACCATTATCATCGGACCTCAAAAGACCATGATGTTCTTCGCGCGGAAACAAAAGCTTAAAGGGACTGGAGCTTTCTTTGCCGGCCTTGCCCTCATCCTCATGAGATGGCCCTTTACAGGATTTCTGGTGGAATTATACGGCATATTTATCTTGTTTGGCGACTTTCTAGGGACTATAGCTGGATTCGCGAGGAACATACCGATTATTGGCCCATATATTGGAGCCATGGTTGATAGGAGCGGGGTTGCGATGAGAGGGGCGGAGTTGCCTGTCTGAAGAAAATATGCAGAAAGATACCACGTAACCATATAAGAGCTATGAAGGAGCATGGAACATGTTTATGACATTATGGGATGAGCTAATGGGCTAAATTCCGACGCTGCTACGAAGGTTTAGATTGTATATGAAGAGAGAGCATGGAAATGGCATACATCGGGCCTCCATTGACGTATAGACTAGACGGCGGTTTGTAAAGTAGAGCACGTGCTCCTTTATAATTCAACAACGAAACGTGAAGAGATATTGGAAACCGCCAAAGATATGTATTTGTACCATTGAAGTATTAAGACGTTGCCTTAAGCCACGTTGACACCAATATTCCCAACCTCGAACTGCAATTTACATTCTCCAATCGAAACGTTGCCTGAGGGAATGCTATCAAAAAGAAAAGGACGAGAACGCCATAGCCAACCAAATATATCCATTTACATAGCCACGCAGCATGAATTCTGCTTCTTTGCTTGTGCTGTTTTTAAATTAGTGAATGCTCTCTTGTCAACTCTCATTCTTATTCTAATAAACTCACTATAAAACATTTTACTCTGCGCACTCAAGCCATCACTCTTTGCCACCAAGGTATCAATCTTCTCGCCTCTCTCTAAAACACTCTCAATAGTCTTGTGCAACACAATCTTCGTTTCATCCAATTCCTTTTGGATCTTCATGATACTATCTGCCTGTTGTGGGTCTTGATATTTCACAATGTAGTCGTTTAATTCAGGGAATGTGATGGTCGGGTTGGAATTCGCCCATTCTGACCGTGGGTGTGCGTTTAAGAATTCGTCGACGACTTTGGAGAGAAGTTGATGGGCGACAAGGGCTGGGTATTCGTGGTCTGAAATTATTATGCCGCAGACACCTTCGGTACGTCCATAGGCATGGAATGTATTGCCTGTAATTGTTAGTTTCGAAGTGTTGTTGGATTGGGAAGAGGTGCGATTTACTATCTTGTTCAATATCTTGCCTTTGGCCAGGCTTTGTTCGTTCAGCGACTGTCTTACTGAAAACCGTCATGAATTCGCCATAACTGTGCATTAATTCCATTAGCCAAGCTCCTCCAAGAAAGATCGTACAGTTAATCTAACCTCGCCCTTGTGAATCGGCCATATGCGCTCAACTCTTTCACGCAACAAAGCTCGTGTGATGGCGTCTCCGAGTTCTTGATTATCTGATAGCGGTCAGCCTGATAACATCGTCATAGTTGGATCTGCGAACGAACTCCAATGTAATGCAACTTCATTTTTGCGGTATTTTGTGGATTGTAAAGGTCCTTGGAATTTCGATGACAAGAATAGGTGTAGATTTGGAAGGATGGGGCTTTGCTTTGTTCTTGATGTTGAAACTTGGGTCGTACAATTCTGGTCAGGGTTGTACAATCACATGGGGGGTTTATGACGCCGGAAGTTCTTATGCCCGAATTGCCCCACTGATTACTCCCCGCCGCGAGAGTCAGCTAGTTTTATTTACATTTTGTGACAGCTATAACTAATCCATGGTCAAGACAAATTGTCTGGAGAAGTTAGCAAAAGTTTATCAGAAATCATGTCTTCTTCAACTCTGGATTCAGCTGAGGAACAATGGCAAGCCCAGCTTGCTGCTATGAAAAATGCCTTAGCGGAGTTGAATTTGCCCCCGAAATCGACAAACGGTGAAACTAAATCATATGATATCGACGTCGATTTTGACGATGATGAGGAATTTACCTCTGGGATTAGTGGGGATGATGTTTGGGACTTCATCAGTGATGAAGATGACGATTTATCCAGCAGTGATATCATCGATGACTTTCCTAGTCTCTCGGATTCCGCTGGCGCAGGCAGCTATGGACCTCAATGGTTGAAGAGCAAATGTATGGATATTGCTCAGAGGAGGCAGGGACTTTCAGGGAATGACCTCCAGGAACAAATTATGGCAATCTTGGCTTCTGATAGCGGAGAAGAAGAGCTTCAGTCTACTTTAATTGACATGATTGGTTTTGATGATATTGACTTTGCTATTGAAGTTATCTCTCACCGGAAGGATATTACTGCCGCCTCACGCACTGCTGGGACAAGAGATGATGGTATTTTTACTGGAAAGTTACAGACTAGAAAGGAACGAGAAGCGGCGTTAAGGCAGAGAGATTATGAGCACAAGCATGCCGTGCTAGGACCTGCCCTTAATCGAGATGAAGAGAAGTATCCCCATGTGTATAAAACGCATCATGCGGGCAATATCCTGGACTCGAAAGGGAAGAAGTATGCTTTGCCAATGGGTAGTGAGAGAACAGAACACGAAAGATACTCAGAGTATACTGTTCCTGCTGGAAAGGTTGGAACGCTGGGTGCAGGTCGACGACTAGTCGAAATTTCTGAAATGGACGGCCTTTGCAAGAAAACTTTCAGGGGTTACAAAACTCTCAACCGAATGCAAAGCTTGGTCTATCCAGTGGCATATAAAACCAGCGAGAACATGCTGATTTGTGCTCCCACTGGTGCTGGTAAAACCGATGCAGCAATGCTCACGATACTTCACGCCATCGGAGAAAATGTTTCACCACATCCATCAGAGAACCCTGACTCATCAGAATTTGTGGTCAATTTCGAAGACTTCAAGATTGTTTATGTTGCCCCAATGAAAGCCTTGGCAGCCGAAATTACACAAAAGCTAGGTAGTCGTCTAGCCTGGCTGGGCATACAGGTTCGCGAATTTACTGGTGATATGCACCTTACTAAGAAGGAAATTGTCCAAACGCAAATCATTGTCACAACTCCTGAGAAATGGGACGTAGTTACTCGAAAAGGCACTGGTGATACAGAGTTAGTTCAGAAGGTCCGGCTTCTGATTATTGATGAAGTCCACATGCTTCATGATGACAGAGGTGCTGTCCTAGAATCTTTGGTTGCCCGTACAGAACGTCAAGTTGAGAGCACCCAATCTCTCATTCGAATTGTCGGACTTTCTGCCACGCTTCCAAACTACATCGATGTTGCCGACTTCCTTAAAGTCAATCGCCACGCAGGTCTCTTTTACTTCGACGCTAGCTTCAGACCTGTACCTCTTGAACAGCACTTCATTGGTGTCAAAGGAAAAGCTGGAACTCGACAGTCTCGAGAAAACATCGATACAACTGCGTTCGAGAAGGTCCGAGATATGTTGGAACAAAACCATCAAGTCATGGTATTTGTTCATTCAAGAAAGGACACTTTCAATACCGCCAAGATGTTGTATGAAAAGGCCATAGAGCAAGTTTGCATAGATTTATTCGATCCTTCTAATCATCCTCAATATGAAGCAGCTGTGAAGGATATGAAGAGCTCACGAGGTCGCGAACTTCGGGAGCTACTACCAAAAGGTATCGGTATTCACCATGCTGGTATGGCTCGTTCCGACAGAAATCTTATGGAGAGGTTATTTGGAAGTGGTGTTCTAAAAGTTCTTTGCTGTACTGCTACCTTGGCATGGGGTGTCAATTTGCCAGCTGCGGCAGTAGTTATTAAAGGTACACAGGTTTACAGTGCCCAAGATGGTAAATTCATTGACCTCGGGATATTGGACGTTCTTCAGATCTTCGGTCGTGCCGGTAGACCACAGTTTCAAGATACTGGTATCGGTATGATTTGTACGACGGCAGATAAACTCGATCATTATCTACAAGCTGTGACATCGCAAGTTCCCATCGAATCTCGATTCTCGAAGCATCTTGTTGACAATCTAAATGCCGAAATTGGTTTGGGAACAGTTACATCAATTCCCGAAGCAGTTACATGGCTCGGATACTCCTATTTGTTCGTCCGAATGAAGAGAGATCCTTTGACTTATGGTATTGACTGGGCTGAGGCTCGCGATGATCCGAACCTCGTACAGCGTCGACGACAACTATGCATTCAAGCAGCCAAGACCCTTCAGCAGAGCCAGATGATCATCTTTAATGAAACGACCGAAGAGCTTAGAAGTAAGGATGTCGGACGTATTGCCAGTCAATTTTATGTCCTGCATACTAGTATCCAAATATTCAACACCATGATGCAACCTCAATCATCCGAAGCTGATGTCCTCACTATGATCGCTATGAGTGGAGAATTTGATCAGATTCAATCAAGAGATAGCGAGTCAAAGGAACTCACCAGTTTAAGAGAGGACTATTCTCCTTGTCAAGTAAAGGGTGGAACTGACTCTTCACACGCTAAGACGAATATTCTCTTGCAATCTTACATATCACGAGCGAAGCTTGAGGATTTTGCTCTCGCCAATGACACGAACTATGTTGCTCAGCAATCTGCTAGAATATGTCGTGCGTTATTCATGATTGCACTTAATCGTCGTTGGGGCCACCAATGTCTTGTGCTTCTCTCACTATGCAAGTCTATTGAGAAGAGAATTTGGCCATTCCAACATCCTCTCCATCAATTCGAGCTAGCTCAGCCAATTCTAAAACAACTTGATGATAAAGAAAACCTTTCCATCGAAACTCTTAAAGAGATGGATGCAGCCGAAATCGGTGCCATGGTACACAATCCTGGTGCTGGAAAGACAATCTCAAGAATCCTTGACAATTTCCCTACGCTGAGAGTCGAAGCCGAGATTGCGCCTCTCAATAGAGATGTTTTGAGAATTCGTCTTTACATAACCCCTGAATTCAAATGGAACGACCGCCATAACGGTACATCAGAAAGTTACTGGATCTGGGTTGAGAACTCGGAAACTTCTGAAATTTTTCATCATGAGTTTTTCATTCTAAATCGAAAGAAGTTGTATGACGACCATGAACTCAGCTTCACCATTCCGTTATCGGATCCGCTACCTACCCAGATCTACGTGAGAGCTGTTTCTGATAGATGGCTGGGTGCAGAAACAGTGTATCCGATTTCTTTCCAACATTTAATCAGACCTGATACCGAGAGTGTTTATACTGATCTGTTAAATCTACAACCTCTGCCCATTACCGCTCTTAAGAACCCAGCTTTGGAAGAGATTTATGGCAAGCGTTTCCAATTCTTTAACCCTATGCAAACTCAAATCTTCCACACTTTGTACCACACACCAGCGAACGTACTTCTCGGATCACCAACCGGATCTGGTAAAACTATTGCTTGTGAGTTGGCCATGTGGTGGGCATTCCGAGAAAAGCCTGGCTCTAAGGTTGTCTACATCGCTCCCATGAAAGCACTTGTGCGGGAACGAGTGAAGGATTGGGGAGCTCGATTGACTAAACAGATGGGCTTGAAATTGGTTGAGTTAACTGGTGACAACACACCTGATACTCGAACTATTCGAGATGCGGACATCATTATTACTACTCCAGAAAAGTGGGATGGTATTAGTCGTTCGTGGACCACTAGAGGTTACGTAAGACAAGTCAGTCTGGTTATCATTGATGAAATCCATTTGCTTGGTGGAGATCGTGGCCCTATTTTGGAGATCATTGTTTCTCGTATGAATTATATTGCAACTCAAACTAATAACTCGGTCAGACTTATGGGTATGTCGACTGCATGCGCCAACGCTATGGACTTAGGGAATTGGCTTGGTGTCAAGGAAGGGTTGTTTAACTTCAGGCATTCCGTTCGACCAGTTCCATTGGAGATATTCATTGATGGTTTCCCAGAAGTTCGAGGCTTTTGTCCTCTAATGCAGTCTATGAATAGGCCGACCTTCCTGGCTATCAAAACCCACAGTCCAGACAAACCAGTGATTGTTTTTGTTGCTTCTCGAAGACAGACACGTTTAACGGCCAAAGATTTGATTAATTTCTGTGGCATGGAAGATAATCCTCGTCGATTCGTTAAGATGTCTGAGGATGATCTTCAATTGAATCTTGCCCGGGTGAAGGACGATGCTTTGAAGGAGGCCTTGAGTTTTGGTATCGGTCTGCATCATGCTGGTTTGATTGAATCTGATCGTTCATTGGCTGAAGAATTATTTGCCAACAACAAAATTCAGATCCTCGTTGCGACCTCCACTTTAGCATGGGGTGTCAATCTTCCAGCTCATTTAGTTGTTGTAAAAGGAACTCAATTCTTCGACGCTAAGATCGAAGGTTATAAAGATATGGACTTGACGGACGTTCTACAAATGTTAGGTCGTGCTGGACGTCCCCAATTCGATACTTCCGGAATTGCTCGTATTTTCACTCAAGATTCAAAGAAAGCATTTTACAAGCATTTCTTACATACAGGTTTTCCAGTAGAATCATCTCTTCATAACGTCCTAGACAACCATCTTGGAGCTGAAGTATCGGCAGAGACGATTACTACCAAACAAGACGCTCTAGACTATCTAACTTGGACATTTTTTTTCCGACGTCTTCATAAAAATCCTTCATATTATGGTCTCGAAATTTCAGCCGAAGAACATAACACTATCGCAGCTCAACAAATGGCCAATGACTATATGATCTCCATGGTCGACAAATCTCTAGAGGAGCTTGCCGAATCTAAATGTCTAGAAATCTATCCCAACGGCAACATCGATTCTACTCCTCTTGGAAAAATCATGTCCTACTACTACCTCTCCCATAAAACTATCCGTCACCTCGTCACTCATGCCAAATCCAACGCTTCATTCCGTGACGTACTTTCATGGATGTCTTCGGCAACTGAATACGATGAGCTACCTGTTCGTCACAACGAAGATCTCATTAACATTGAACTCTCCAAGAATCTACCTCTACCAGCAGACGCAGCTCATTTCAATGGTCTTCCTATGTGGGATCCTCACGTGAAAGCATTCTTACTTTTGCAAGCACATATGAGTAGAATCGACTTACCCATCTCCGATTACGTGGGTGATCAAACGAGTGTATTAGATCAAGCTATCCGTATTATCCAAGCTAGCATCGATGTTCTCACCGAGCTAGGCTATCTCTCAAGCGTAATGCAAATGATAAATCTACTCCAATGTATCAAATCCGCCCGCTGGCCAGAAGACCACGCTCTATCCATTTTCCCGGGCATACCCCCCGATTTCAAATCTGCCACAGGAAAGGAAAAACAAAAACAAGAAATTCCAACCACACTCCAACAATTCTCAGCGCTACCTCAAAACGCCTATCAAAATCTCAAACAAGCATTGCAGATTCCAAATAGAAATATACAAGCCTTTGATAAAGCAGCAAACATGATACCGAACTTAAAAATCGAAGTTCAAAATGTTACGGCATTGAAAATGGATGTAGTAATTAAGAGACTCAACGGATTAGCAGATAAGGAAGCGAAAATGTACGCCCCTCGATTCCCCAAGAGCCAAAGCGAAGGCTACTTTGTAATCCTCTGCAAAAAAGGAAGCAACGAAGTCATCGCCATCAAAAGATTAGGATGGAGCGCACCTAAAGCCAAAGGTAAAAATAGTCAAGATGGAGAATCAAAACAAAGTAGCGGTATAATAGGTATAGGAGTTAAACCAATAGCAAAAGCAACGATTAAATTTCCGGGGGTGGGAGAGGAGGGTGAGGGAGGGTGTGGAGGAGGGAGGTGGAGGGGGAGGGTGGAGGGGAGGGGGGGGGGAAAGGGTGGGAAGGAAGGGAACGAGGATAGAGGATAGAAGATACAAGATAGAAGAAGATGATGATAATGAGTACAATATATGAATAAATAAAATATTTATTATTACAGTATAGCATAGCATAGCACAACATATCCAATCAAATCATACACTATAGACAAAATAAAAGAATATCAATTAAAAAAAACACTAACAGAATAATATGAAAACATCACCAGCAAATAAAAATTAAAATTGATAATCTATTTATATACATATATATATACTGATAAAGAACTTTCAAATAAAAAATAAAGCAATCAGTGAACAACAGTGCAAGTTAATTGCGGTAGGGATAATATTCGATTCATAATAAAAGTTAGAGTATTCGTATAATCAACTGGTGATCTATCAATCTGTATCCACAGTGGTATATATATAGTACAGAAGGAAGTAGTATACTGTATGATGAATAGTAATTTTATCTTTATCATCACCTTTACCATTACTATCACCATCGTCATCATCATCATAATTACCATTGAGCATCAAAACCGAAACGTAACAACAAAAAAATTACAAGTGCTATAATCATAAACTAACTACCACCTAACCTGCTAAACCACGAACGATCGATCGATCCATTTATCATCTAATCTAAGTGAGATGATTCATTTTCCATCTATCATGCAAGCATATGCGTGTTTATAGAATCCCCGACGCCCGCAAAATAAAGCTTGAATCAACACCCATCCGTCCATCATATCATCTCACCTCTTTGTTTCTCTCTTCCATCTAATCCCAATCCCATCTAGTGCGTACCATTAACACCATTTGCCTCAACCTCCATTTCATCACCACTAGACTCTTCATACCCATCTTGATATTTATGCCAATTTGCCAATACATTTCCGATTTTTGGACTATTAGTCAGACGATAAACATCTTCAAAGTATTCCTTAGTCAATTCGAAAGGTCTAGCAGTAACGTTAGGAATGTATTTTCCAATCAACTTGCTAGGATCGATAGTTGTCTTATTAATTTTCTTAAGCAAGAAACTTCTGAATGGTTTGACACCACTTCTCAAGAATGTCGAGTGGAAAGGTACATCAATACCCTTGAGAGGGATTGTAGCGAACCCTCTTTGAAGATCGAGGGGTTTGGGCTTGGCTTCGGTTTGTTTGGCACATTCGCGGATGATTTCCACAAGATGTGCTTTGACATCATCCAGACTCAAAGTTTGCATGAGCTCTTGGATATCGATTCTTTGGGCTTTCAAGTAGTTGGTGACACCAGTGAGGGTATCAAGAGCTCGAAGATCACCAGCGCATACGTATTGCATGTTGGCAATGTTGTAGTTGACAATTTCCAATAACCAGCTAGTTTCTTCGGCAATGTTTGCAACAACATATTGAAGAGCCTCTTCGTTGAATGTTTTGGAAATTCTGCTAGGGTTGACAGCGCACATGGAGTAATTAGATCGTCCAGAAGCATCACGCTCGACAGCTACTTGCATAGTCAAGCCTCTATAGAAAACGACAGAGACTAAACTTTCAATTGGCATGACATCTGCCAAAGCAGCAAGAGCAGAGTACTCTCCAAGTGAGTGACCTGCGAAACTGCTGTCACGTTGGACAAGACCCTTGGAGCGCATATCCTCGAAACTTGCTTTCTCCATCAATGTCAAGGCAGGTTGTGTGAATTGAGTGGCGGAAAGAAGACCAGTTGGTGATCTGTAGGTATAGGATGTTGTGCGTTCGTCGACTTCTTTGAACATCTTCTCGGATTTGATAGAACCATCGGCACCAACAGTTTCGAAAGTCATAGACATATAGTTTTGGCGGATCGCCTTACCACGAGGGCCACCAAAGTGAATAGTAAGTTCTTTAGGATTGTTCTTGACAATATTGGTGATGGCGAAACCTAATACTATTAGAAATGATAATGAAAGGAGTAGCCTGAGAAACTTACCATAGTTGTCCATGAAGTGCTTATCAGCACGGTCCCACACTTCCTTGGCAACAGGGCTGCTAGCATACAACTCCATACCCATACCTTGCTCTTGAGAACCTTGACCAGTAAAGACGTATGCTGAGACTGGTTGTTCGACCTCGGCCTCTCCAAGTAAGACCTTGTCTTCAGTCTCCTTGTTGCTAGCTTCAACCTTGATGATCTTACGACCAGCAACCATACCGACATGCTGTAACTTAACTTCGATGTCATCGTTTGGAAGAACCATACCAGTCAATTGAGCATGGAAGCTGCGAACACGGCCAACATGGTTCTCTGCAGCCCAAGTCTCAACCAAGCTACGGACAGCTGCGCTAGAGTACATACCATGAGTGATAGTACCAGGCAAGTTTGCGTAGCTAGAGAAGACACGAGAAACGTGAATAGGATTATAATCACCCGAAACACGGGCGTACGTCTCGTTGGATGTTGGTGCTCTGATAGAGAGTGGAGTTTTGCCATTCAGAGGGATGGGGTTCTCAAAATTGATGGGTTGTTCAATAGAAGACCCATGGCGTTCAAGGTAATCAATGACAGGGTTACCGTGTGAAACACCAGCACCGTACTGGACACTTGCAACTTGGATAATCTCCTTGGTTGGAAGCTCCAACAGAACTTGACCACTAGTCTCAACATTTGAGAAAACGGTCTTGTTCTTGAAGCGGACAAGACTTTCAAGACGGAAAGTCAAGGTTTGGCCAAGTAACTCGTGACCTGGCTCGTCCAAGTTGAACCACTCCTTAGATCTCAAAACGGCGACGTCCTTCGAGGTAGCGAGATGAATTTGCATAGGTGTCTCAATTTTACGCTGGAAGGTGTTCTCAAAATCGGTATATGCACCTCTGTACAAGAATTGTGAAGTAACCTCCATTACTGGACGTCCCTCTCTGGTGATGGTACCGCATACCTCGACCATTTTACCGGAATCTTGATTGAGAACAGCATTGATCTGAGCTGTAGTCTCAACTTCATCACCCTTCTTCAGTGGCTCGGCTCCAGGAATCATGCGGAACCCGTTAGAAAGATGCACAAGCTTGAGAAGATCACCGTCAATTGTTCTAGGGAAGATCGGCTTAGTGATGGCTTTCCATCCAACGACAATAGCGAAATCCATAGGAGCGAAGACCTCCTTACCAGGTCGATCAACAAAAGCTTCCCCAGTGTTGCCGACAGCATGAACGAAGTCATTGATAGCTTCACTGGTGATGGTAGCCTTACCACCGTTGAAGATGCCAGTGACTGAGGCGTCGAGGTCAAGAGTCTCATCACCAAACCAGGCTCTCCAGTAAAATTCCTTGATACGGTCATTTCTATCACCCATGACTTCGCGTATTGGAGCGTAACCAGCCTCGGGGTGGTACGTGAACTTTAATGGAAGGGGTACCGGTTTTCCAACTGCAGTGGTTTCCTTGATCATGTTGACCGAGATCTCGTTCTTGCCAACCAATTTCACATCAATAACAGTAAGGTAGTGGTTCGGTCTGGGTTGCTCCTTGACGGTGATTACAGTCTTTGAAGGATCATTAGGATGAGTGATCTCAACAAATAGGCCTTTCACAGGAGAAAAGATTCGCTTCATTGGATTTGTTTGGAATTTTTGTCCTTGGACAAATACCTCCGAAGTGAAGAGAGCATGTCGCCAAGATCTCTTGCGGCCTGCGAGCAATGAGAGCCAAGCCTCGAGAGATGGAAGAACAGCCGTGGGGGAGTTTGACAATCGGTAAGTGGTCTTCTCGGCATCTTCCGAAATTGTGAGACCCTCAACGTCGACCTCTTCCTCAGTCTCAATGAGCTTACCGCCGAAGTATTCAAGCACTGGGATGGAGGCTTCATCTCCACCATAGATATCTCGAGTCAAATACTTGATGTGTGAGTTATGAACACCGTCAAGGATTTCCTTGATTGGCTCATCAACAACCTTCGAGTATTTGACGGCCATTGGTCCTTGCAAGATACAGGTTCTGCCGACATCTTGCCCGATGACAGCCTCAAGATCCTCGGATTGCCAAAGAGAATCCTTCTTGAAGAAAAATTCAAAGTTTTCATCAAGCGATGGCACAAAGGTAGTTGGCTTCTGACCTCTACGTTGGCAAAGCATGAGGAAGTGTTGCACATCTTGGGCATTGATAAGCTGTTTCTCAGACTCTGGGTAAGCAGCTAGGACCTTTTCCACAGTTGGGTATGGATCTTCCAAATCTGTGTAGCTTTGAAGCATGGATGGCTTTCCTTGACCAGTTGTGAAACGTTCCTCAACACGGCGGATGAAGTCGCCAGTGAGCTTAATGTATGATTTGTCGATCCAGCGAGACTCGTGCTTGACATACATCAAATCCACCATTCTACGAACAACTTCGCCATATGTCATATCCTCAAGATCGACGGTTTCTCCGGCTTTGTTTCGTCCAAACCACACCTTTTGGAAATCATCGTTCAACTTCCTGATGATGTAATCGCGGTTCTTCTTTAATTCAGGTACTCGCTTCTCCTTTGGTAAACTGAAAATCTTTGCATCCATCTCAGCCCAGAACTTGACACCGCGAGTCGCCAATTTGTGAATTGGCTCACCCATCTCGGATCGAACAGTGATAACACCACCGGCAGGACCCTTGTACGTCTTCTCCCATGCGACATCATCAAGGCCTTCAGCTTCAATGATGGCTTTCTTAGCGTTTTTGCTAGTATGTGCTTCCTTAGCTGTCATGACACGACTACCAAAGAGACATCCATCAAATGGCATTGGTGGATAGCCATAGTTCTTTGACCATTCACCAGTGAGGTAAGGATAAGTATCTTCTGCGCCACCGAAGCCACTGCCCGCGACCAAAAGAATATTCTCTTGTCTCCGGATACGTGAGTACATCGAAAGAATTGGTTGATGGAAATCCTCAAAGGAGTGATGCCCACCTCCACGTCCTCCAGTCCATTGAACAATCACCGGGAAAGTAGGGTTGGCATGTGCGATGTTGATAACAGCTTGAATGGCTTCCATGGATCCTGGCTTGAATGAAATATGTTTTAAGCCAAGGGTTTCAATGTATTCCTGAGCAACTTCAACGGATGGTACACCAGCACCAATTGTTAGACCCTCGATTGGTACACCTTCTGCACGCAGCTGTCCAAGGAGTGGAATTTGCCATTGCATAGCACGTGGGTTAATGTAAATAAGGTTAATGCTAATACCACGACCAGCTGGAATGGCATTCTCAATGTTCCTCAATGCTTCGGTCATAGTCTTGGCATTGTAATATCCACCTCCAGCCAGCTCAATTTGGTACCCTGCGTTCATCGTTGCAGCCACGAAATCCCAAGGAACAGTGCATGGTGTCATACCAGCAACCATGACAGGGGGTACTCCCAAGATTCGACTCATCTTTGTGTCCACGAATGTCTGACCACTTGAGGTCTTGACCAATTTTGGACCGTGCTCCTTTACCCAATCAACGGCATACTTGACTGCATGTTCTTCATCACGGTCGAAAAGCTCAGGTTTGTAACCGACCTCGGGAACCGTACCACTGACTGCACCAGCCAAGATAACCCGAACACCCGTTCCGTCCTTGTTCCGGCTGGTCAAAACACCGAGGCCAGACACACCACCAGGACCAAAATCAAGGACGTGAGTTGCATTTGGGAAAACTGTGGCCTTTTCCCATTCGACTGTGTCGTGGGTAATCAAGCGCACCAAAGCTGGCACGATATCGCCCTGAATGTCATCCCGAATGTCCTTTCCAGTGTTGGTGTCATAAACGGGAATACCCAATGTTTTGCTCTCAATCGCGACATCCTTTAGGTCTTCATTGATGTGAGTTGTGGCCTCGGCTAGATATTTGCTGTGGAAAGGAGATGTGATTGGCAAGAATCTATTTACAAATCTAACTTTGCGCTCTGTGAATGGGATTCGAGTTTGGTCGAGGCCGGTTGGAGCCTTGACTTTACGCAGTTGAAGGTTGAGACCGTACAAGGAAATTGGAGGTCCTGAAACAACCATATTTCTAGCACTATTAATGAGAGAAATGGCAATTTGTCTATCTTCTGGAAGATATTTGTTGGTCTTGTCGATATGTTCCTGGACCTGAGCCTGTGATAAGTCGCGAATGCTCAACATAGGCGTGGGTGTCCCTTCACCATGATCCACGGAATCCTGGAGGATATTGGGTGCCAGGGAAGTTCTCGGGAATGTCTGTTGACTTCTGGATCCAATCCAGAACAAAATTGTAAGTGCTGAAACTGCGACTTTGTCGAACGATTCCCAAGAGTCCGCAGCAGCAGTAGCAGCGGCTAAAACAATACCTTGAGAATGACCAGTTGCTCCGCTAATCCTTTCCCTGAATTGCCCAGGGGTGAGCCCTAGAACTCTGCAGGTTACAGCATAATGACAAAGCTGAACCAACCCAATCAATGGGAAACTGACTGGCGCCGAAACCAAATAGTCGATATCTGGAGTTGACTCGGGATCATGAAGCCAGGCCATGACGTCCAAGCCCTTTGGGTATAATTTCTCGGCTCTAGGGTCTTTTGACAGACTCTGCAACAATTCAGCAGATTCAGTGATCAAATCCTCCACAAAGACTGCATATGTGTTGTACAATTCTCGAAGCTCATCAAAGTATTCCTCGATATTTCCTTGTCCACCAAAAATATTATAAATCTTGGCTTCCTCGTCGCTGGCTGCTCTAAACAATGCTGATTCGTGAGGACGGATGGGCCTGTTACTAGCCGCACGCGCAGCGTAGTAGGACTCGACCACTTTGAGTTTCTTTGCATCAATTCCAGGAAGCGTAGCAACCAAAGCGTGAGCTTCATTGCCTCTCAAGAAGCCACGTTCGAATTCGTTCAGGACGAGTTTCAAGACTTCTTCATATGATCCTTGCGCATCATCCTCTCCCTCGTCGACTTCTTGCGCTACAAATCCGAGATACCTGGCAACAAGTTCAGCCACGGATGAAGGTTCGTCATCCTGTGCGAGTTCGTCTGTGGGCTCAGGAAGAGATGCAAGAAAACGGTCTTTGATCTGGGAGGCTTGAAAATGAATATTTGTGGGTATCAAAAATGAATGCTCTAATGAGCCATGTGAGAGGACGAGTGGTCGCAGAGATGATGAAGATCGTGGTGTTGAGACGCCCGTTTGAGGGCCGGTAGCAGTACCGTACATGATGGCTAGTGGTAGATTGTGTAGAAGTGATGAATTTGTCTCTAGCAAGTTTTACAGAAATCAGTAAAGGGCTCTCAGAAAACCTTGCAATTTCAGACTACTGCGTAAAATATTAGATTATTAGATGGTACTTACAATTTTCTCAGGACTCCAGGAACTCAATGAAGAGCAGGAGGGAAGGGACTCGATGTGTATTGTAAAAAAGTTACAGACAGTGTTTTATTCTGACAAGGATACAACCGCTCCACCAAAATGCCAATATGTAGGTGGGAGAGAATTAATGGAAGGAGCGAGATGTAAGGTATGAGGTATGAGATATGAACAGAAGTATCAAAAGTTTTCAGGTAGTAATCTGCATTAGAATCTGCCTTTATAAGATGTGTTATACTTTGAGAAGAAAAGGGAATTTTGGAGATTCCTTCCTTATGAAAATTGGTCAATGGTGGTGCTGTTGTACTAAACTGGAAAGCTCTTTCTACCAAAGCTTTCGCTCTCAACGTAACGCCAAAAAGTCATTCATCCGTGCAGGGGGGGAATAGACCCAATTTAGTTAAAGATTTGTTGGGGCACCAGGCTTAGCCGCGTAAGGAGGGGTGTTGCAAGTGCATTCAAGGGTCCTGGTCAATCAATTCAATCAGATACGAGTAGATAGCCAGCCTTTTTCTGGTCCCGTTTCGTAATCTTTGCATGAACGTCACTTGCAACACAAACACCACCTGGAGGGTTTTGTTTACTTGGTTGATTCAAAGGTGGAAAACTGATGATATAATATGATGTAGAATAGCAAAATCGAAAGTTTGAGTTTAGTACCGGTATTCTATCGTACCAAAGTAGTTTCCCATCAGCAGAATTTAGGCTGGATCCAAAGATATGCTCTGCTAGTACCTAGCTAGTAAGTATCCAACGTTTACTAGTCCAAGGACCCGAACATCCTCTTTATTCATGTTTTCTTTTCACCGAGTAAATATTCCGTATCTTCTCCAATATCAATATTCCATAGCGAGTGTGCAGTAATTATTACTTGACCCTCTTTCTCCCCTTCCCCCCCAAAACTGCGTGGCACCATAGCTTATCGTTTATCGAGGAAATAGAAACTAAAACGGTCTTGGTGAACATCTCGAAAAGGAATGTGTCATTCATGGTTACCTAGATGTTGCGATTCTCCTACAGTGTATAGTAATCTTTTGTTGAGTAGGAATGTCATATATTTGCTTACAGCATTCCCAAATACATGGTACGACATTCTGTTGGTGAAAAGTTAATCTGGTCCGTAGTCTTTTCGACACTTGCCAAACCCTTGCGCGGGCGATTATCCCGCCGGTTCTGCTCGATATTGATACAAAAACTAGATGAGGTCTCTAGCTACAACGATATCACTAATCAAGGAATCTATAAAAACGGTCTAATATTCGTCCCGCGATGAAAGCTAAGCTGAATGTCAAGAGCTTGAATCTTCCGCGATTACTATACAGAAGATTTCTTGAAGTGATGATGAATCACAACTTTATACCATCCAGTATCTGGTATCTTGGACAAGCCGGATCGGTCACCTTGAAGGCAGGGTTTGTACTTTTAACCCTGCTTTATGCATACAATCAAATCAAGGGGTCCAACGGGAAGGGGAGGAATGTGCCGACCTTTTCTTTCCTTTTCTTTTTGCTAGATATGAATAACCTTACCTACTAGGTAGCTAGGTACTGGCTGTATGTCTGTATGTACTATTGCACAGTACGTGTACATACGGCATCTCTATCATGACCTCGTCCGATACCACAGTGTATATGTAGGAAGGATAAAAAGTGTGTAACGGCTGGTCGTATAGATACTAGGAATACTTTACTCCGTAGTCCCTTGGCATTGGGTCATGACTTAAAAGGTCGTTGAGATGATTTTTTTAATCCTCACCCGTGCTTTTGAGGGGGGAAATTTATTAACAAGGATAAGATGATCAAGCTAAACCTAATTCATATCTAGTCTCAATCCTCACCCGTCTGTTGGGAGGAGGGCCAAAATGTTGTCAACCATTGAGATGGCTCCCCTTGTAATCCTAGACAAATACAATACTGCGAGAACGAGAAAGCGAGAAAGCTTCTCTCTCTAGCAATTATTGACTTGACTATTTGTCTTTTCTCCGCTCCACTAGAGTAGAAACATTAGAAGGTCCCCTCCTCTTCTTATTTGCTTCATTGATCCCATCCTCATATTCAAACCCTCACTTTGATTTTCATTTCCCTATTCAAATCAGTCATCTGTTTTGCTGATCTAGAAAAAAAAAGTCTCTATATCTTTTGTATTACTGGATATAGACTTTAGAGGAATTCTCAGGGTAGCCTTTTCTTTACTATTTTTTTTAGAGAGAAAAAAGAAAGAACTATCTTGGGATTCAAAATCTGACTTTGACAGTTTGACCAACTTTCAGAATCCCTTCGCAGAAATTCTTTTTATGATACCCCCATCGAATACAGCTTAATTTTCCTCCCGCACAATCTTCCACCATGCGTCCCGAAGTCGAGCAAGAGCTCGCCCATACGCTTCTTGTTGAGCTTTTGGCATATCAATTTGCATCTCCCGTAAGATGGATTGAAACACAAGATGTCATTTTAGATGAGAAGACCACCGAAAGAATCGTCGAAATTGGTCCTGCAGACACCCTTGGTACCATGGCTAAGCGGACACTCGCCTCTAAATATGAAGCCTACGATGCAGCAAAATCTATTCAACGTCAAATTTTATGTTACAACAAGGATGCTAAGGAGATTTACTATGATGTCGACCCAGCGGAGGATGAGCCAGCGGCTGCCCCAAGTGATTCTACACCAGCACCAGCAGCATCTTCTGGTTCGGCACCCGCACCAGTCGCGGCAGCCCCTCCACCAAGTGCAGGTCCGGCCGCACAAGTTCCAGATGCCCCAGTTGGAGCCATAGATATTGTGCGATCTTTGATTGCCCAAAAACTCAAGAAACCACTTTTGGAAATTCCTTTGACTAAGGCTATTAAGGATCTTGTCGGAGGTAAGAGTCGTCATTTCAGTTGCTCGAGTCGCAAAAGCTAACCATGGGATTTCTACAGGAAAATCTACACTTCAAAATGAAATATTGGGAGATTTGGGCAAAGAATTTGGATCAACGCCTGAGAAGCCAGAAGATACCCCTCTAGACGAGTTAGGAGCTTCGATGCAGCAAACTTTCAATGGCCAATTAGGAAAGCAATCATCATCCCTTGTTGCGAGATTAATATCCTCGAAAATGCCTGGTGGATTCAACATCACCGCAGCACGAAAGTACTTGGAAACACGATGGGGTTTGGCATCAGGAAGGCAAGATGGTGTCTTGCTTTTGGCTCTGACAATGGAGCCAGCAGCACGTTTAGGATCTGAAAACGATGCTAAGGCATTCCTCGACGATGTCACACAAAAGTATGCAGCAAATGCAGGCATTAGCCTCTCTACCGTATCTGCCAGTACCGATGCAGGTGGTTCGGGTGGTGGAATGATGATGGATCCCGCTGCTCTTGATGCTTTGACCAAGGATCAGAGAGCACTTTTCAAGCAGCAGCTTGAGCTTTTCGCTAGATACCTTAAGATGGATCTTCGAGCCGGTGATAAGGCGTTCATTGGTGCGCAACAATCGGAAAAGGCGCTTCAAGCGCAACTCGACCTGTGGAACGTCGAACATGGAGAGTTTTACGCTGCAGGTATTGAGCCCGTTTTCACCCCATTAAAGGCTAGAGTTTACGATTCTTCCTGGAATTGGGCTAGACAAGATGCCTTGACAATGTACTACGATATTATTTTCGGTCGACTACAAGCAGTTGATCGAGAAATCGTTAGCCAGTGCATTCGTATCATGAACAGGTCCAACCCTACTCTTCTTGAATTTATGCAATACCATATCGATAACTGCCCAACGGAGCGTGGTGAGACTTACAAGCTCGCAAAAGAACTCGGCCAGTCGCTCTTCGATAATTGCAAAGATGTACTCAACGAGTCACCTGTTTACAAGGACGTTGCATTACCAACCGGGCCACACACAACAATCGATGCTCGCGGCAACCTAGAATATGCCGAGATCCCAAGATCTAGTGTCCGAAAGCTTGAGCACTATGTGCGAGAGATGGCTGATGGCGGAAAGATCTCAGAATATGGAAACCGAACCAAAGTCCAGAACGATCTCAGCCGTATTTACAAGCTTATCAAGCAGCAACACAAGCTCTCCAAAGCATCACAACTCCAGATCAAGAATCTTTACGGTGATGTTATTCGCTCTTTAGCGATGAGCGAAGGGCAGATAATCCCTAAAGAGAACAGCAATGGCAAGGCCTCATCCGGTAAAAAGAATGGAGTCAAGATGAACGACGGAAAGATCAATGGCAATGCCAAGGCTGGAAAGGTTGAGACCATCCCATTCCTTCATTTAAAGAGAAAAGACGAGCATGGTTGGGAATACAGCAAGAAGCTTACAGGGCTCTATCTTGATGGCTTAGAGCAAGCTGCCAAATCTGGTGTCACTTTCCAAGGCAAGAATGCTTTGATGACTGGTGCCGGAGCTGGCTCAATCGGGGCTGATGTATTGCAAGGCTTGATCAGTGGTGGCGCTAAGGTTGTTGTAACCACCAGTCGATTCTCCAGACAGGTCACCGAGTATTATCAATCCATGTATGCTCGCCATGGATCCCGAGGATCTCAACTTATTGTCGTTCCCTTCAACCAAGGTAGCAAACAAGACGTTGAAGCCTTGATTGACTATATTTACGATCCAAAGAAGGGTCTTGGATGGGATCTCGACTATGTCATCCCATTTGCTGCCATTCCGGAGAACGGTCGTGAAATCGATAGCATCGACTCCAAATCAGAGCTTGCTCATCGCATCATGTTGACTAATCTACTCCGTCTTTTGGGTTGTGTCAAGACTCAGAAATTTGAGCGCGGATTCGAAACTAGACCTGCTCAAGTTGTCTTGCCGCTGTCTCCAAATCACGGTACCTTTGGAAACGACGGTCTTTACTCCGAATCCAAGCTGGCATTGGAAACTTTGTTCAATAGATGGCACTCGGAAAGCTGGGGTAGCTTCCTCACTATTTGCGGAGCTGTCATTGGTTGGACTCGTGGTACTGGTCTCATGTCTGGCAACAACATTGTCGCAGAAGGTGTCGAAGCTTATGGTGTACGCACGTTCTCTCAGCAAGAAATGGCTTTCAACTTATTGGGCTTGATGGCTCCTAACATTGTTGACCTCTGCCAATCTGAGCCAGTTTTCGCCGATCTGAACGGTGGCTTGCAATTCATTCCTAACCTCAAGGACTTGATGACCAAACTCCGAAAAGACATCATGGAGACTAGCGAAGTCCGACAAGCTGTCACCAAGGAGACCGCCATTGAGAATAAGATTGTCAATGGTGAGGACAGTGAGATGCTCTACAAGAAGGTCACAATTGAACCACGGGCAAACATCAAGTACGATTTTCCACCATTACCAGACTGGAAGAAGGAAGTTGCTCCACTTAATGAAAACCTCAAGGGAATGGTTGATCTCGAAAAGGTTGTCGTAGTTACTGGTTTTGCTGAGGTTGGACCATGGGGTAACTCTCGGACCAGATGGGAAATGGAGGCATACGGCGAATTCTCTTTGGAAGGTTGTGTTGAGATGGCCTGGATCATGGGTCTCATCAAGAATCACAATGGTAACCTCAAAGGCAAATCATACGCAGGATGGGTTGATGCTAAGACTGGGGATCCGGTTGATGATAAAGATATAAAGAGCAAATACGAGAAGTACATTCTCGAACACTCCGGTATCCGTTTGATTGAGCCCGAGCTTTTCAAGGGCTATAACCCGGAGAAGAAGCAATTGCTTCAAGAGGTTGTCATTGAAGAGGACTTGGAGCCATTTGAGACCTCAAAGGAGACAGCAGAAGAGTTCAAACGTGAGCACGGTGACAAAGCTGAGATCTTTGAGATCCCAGAATCCGGAGAGTATCTCGTCCGCATGCGCAAGGGTGCCACCCTACTCATTCCAAAGGCTCTTCGCTTCGACCGACTTGTCGCAGGTCAAATCCCGACTGGATGGGATGCTAAAAAATATGGTATTCCGGATGATATCATCTCACAAGTCGACCCTGTGACCTTGTTCGTCCTTGTTTGTACTGTCGAGTCTTTATTGGCATCCGGTATTACTGATCCATATGAGTTCTATCAGTATGTGCACATCTCTGAAGTAGGTAATTGTATTGGATCTGGTATTGGTGGTACCACGGCTCTAAGAGGAATGTATAAAGATCGCTTCTTGGACAAACCGCTCCAAAAGGATATCCTCCAAGAGTCTTTCATTAACACCATGAGTGCTTGGGTCAACATGTTGTTGATCTCCTCGACCGGTCCAATCAAGACTCCTGTCGGAGCCTGCGCTACATCAGTCGAATCCGTCGATATTGGTTACGAGACTATTCTTGAAGGAAAAGCTCGCGTCTGTTTTGTCGGTGGCTTCGATGATTTCCAAGAGGAAGGTTCATACGAGTTTGCCAACATGAAGGCCACCAGCAATGCTGTCGATGAAATCGCTCATGGCCGCACACCTAGGGAAATGTCTCGTCCTAATACCACCACCAGAAACGGTTTCATGGAGTCGCAAGGTTGTGGTATCCAAGTCATCATGACTGCCAAACTTGCTCTTGACATGGGTGTGCCAATCTACGGTATCCTTGGATTAACTACCACTGCTACTGATAAGATCGGACGATCTGTTCCTGCTCCGGGACAAGGTGTCCTCACAACGGCTCGTGAGAACCCAGGCAAGTTCCCATCACCACTTTTGGATATCAAGTACCGTCGCAGACAAGTTGAGCTCCGCAAGAAGAACATTAGGGCATGGCAAGAGTCAGAACTTGAGTACCTTCATGAGGAGATTTCGGCTATGAAAGCTCAAGGAACAGACTTCAACGAAAGCGAATATGCTCAAGACCGTGCACAGCACATCGAGCGCGAGGCCCTACGCCAAGAACGCGAGGTCCTGAACAGTCTTGGTAACAGTTTCTGGAAGAAAGATCCTACCATCGCACCGCTTCGTGGTGCTCTTGCTACTTGGGGCCTTACCATCGATGACCTCGATGTTGCATCTTTCCACGGTACCTCAACCGTTGCAAACGATAAGAACGAGTCTTCAGTCATTTGCCAACAAATGGAGCATCTTGGTCGTAAAAAGGGTAACGCAATTATGGGTATCTTCCAGAAGTACTTGACAGGTCATCCAAAAGGTGCTGCCGGCGCTTGGATGTTCAACGGTTGTTTGCAGGTCCTCAACAGTGGTTTGGTCCCTGGTAACAGAAATGCCGACAACATTGACCAAGTTATGGAGAAGTTTGACTACATTGTTTACCCCAGCCGCAGCATTCAAACAGATGGTATTAAGGCTTTCTCCGTTACCTCCTTTGGTTTCGGTCAGAAGGGTGCCCAAGCTATTGGTATCCATCCAAAGTATTTGTACGCCACTCTTGATGAGCAAACATACTCAGCCTACTGCACCAAGGTTGAGGCCAGACAGAAGAAAGCTTACCGCTACTTTCACAACGGAATGATTACAAATACCTTGTTCGTAGCCAAGGACAAATCTCCTTACACCGACGATCAACAAGGAGCTGTCTTCCTTAACCCAAATGCTCGTGTATCAGTTGACAGGAAGACGTCTGCTCTCACATACGCCCCAAACTTCGCCAAGAAGGTCATCAACAAGGAAAAGACAGAGAGCACAAAGCAGCTGGTTGAATCACTTGCAAAGGGCGCTGCAACAGCTGGTAACAAAGTCGGTGTTGATGTAGAAGATATCGCTGCTATCAACATTGAGAACGAGACATTCCTGGAGAGAAACTTCACCGAGAAAGAGGTCGCTTACTGCAAGCAAGCACCCCACCCACAGGCATCTTTCGCTGGGAAGTGGAGTGCAAAAGAGGCAGTCTTCAAGTCTCTTGGTGTTGCAAGCAAGGGAGCCGGAGCACCTTTGAAGGAGATTGAGATTACTAACAACGAAAAGGGTGCACCAATAGTCTCGGTAAGTTTAGACACCTTCATTTTTAAACGACATTCACTAACGAACATATAGCTTCACGGCGATGCCGCAACAGCAGCAAAGGAAGCCGGTGTAAAGGAGATCAGCATTTCTATCTCGCACTCCGATAGCCAAGCCATCGCAATTGCCGTTGCAACCTTTTAAGCTTTAGATTTTTCGTCTCTTCTTGTACAATGGAGTTAGGGTTTTTCTTTACATATTTAACTCGTACGGGCTTTGCAGGCGCACATCTAGTTCTGGTTGGAGCAATGTGCCTGAAGGGAGTAAAGCGATTTGAACGTCTTTCTAATGCGATGAGATGAGATAAACATGAGATAAACATGGGAGCAATCAGAAATTGAATCCACGTCAACGATTTGATGTAAATAGATAGTTAGAGAGAGAGACAGAAAGTGGAAAAATTACATTGATAGATTTAAGATTATTTGGTATTCATTGACCGCATTATCATGCATGATATATAAGAAAGTCTGGACATAATGCAGACTGATATAGAAGCAATCGATAGTGGGCCCTCGTCAAACGGGTGGACGGGGTTGCCGCTAGACCCAGCAGATAGCAATGGATACAAAAAAAGTATAAAAGATACCCTTGGTATATCAATTTCTTTTCAATAATTGATATGGTTGATATCTTTTGTTGTTGGCAGAATAGATTATATATTTGTTTTGTTTTGCTTATTTTGTTTTAGGTATGGGATTGTTTTTTGAGAGTTATGTTGTATGCCCCAGTGATGTTGTAAGATCTTAATGATTGTCTAACGCAAAATGATTGTCTAACGCAACATGCTTTACCAAGTATATTTGGTATGGGGATCGAAGTGGGAAGTGGGTGTGGGCAATTTGGAGAACTCACGTACTGGAGAACTCACGTACCACTTGTTATCAGCCCTGATCCACGCGGTGTTTGTGCAAGGCTTGATCGGTCCAGGGGCTGTGCTCATTCTGCAGGGCTTTCTTTCCCAGCAGAATAATAAGCTCTTCGTGGGTCTTGCAGCATGTTCGTTCTTAAGGTTGAGGGCTGAAGGTTAAGGGAAAAGTGGTTTCTGGTAGGTTTCTGGTAAAGTTCTTTAAGGCTATCTGTCAGCAACCAGAAGGGCGACATTGATATATGAGGGTAGCAATACAACGATTACTTTTACCCTACCCTTCATATTCTGTGCATCGTACTCCTGGCAGTAATACTTGGGAGGACTCGATATTGGACGAATACTTTCTTAGTATGGTTATACAGCATATACTACACTACCAAACGACTGGGCGACCCGTGTGACGAGAGTAACACATACCGAGTAAAAGGTCACTTACATATACATCCTGTAAATGAAAAGAGCCGCAGCGCTACACAACAAGTGATCCTTTCGCCTTCTTCATTTCTCCTCTAGACACAGACCTCACCTCCATTCATTTATTCATTCAAAGTAACTATCTCCTACCTGGTTACCTTGCGCAATCGTTCAATTTATCATCTAGATTATTAACTAGTACATCTTACATTACATACACAACGTTCTCTATATCATATCTTATACCGCGAATTGGGATCATTTCGTTGTTGGCAGATTGGATGAAACTGGATACAGGAAAAACGGATCGGATATTACGTACCTTTTGATTGATCGACAGAAGGCGAATCTCTATACACGTCCCTGAGAATCATAGACGCAGGATTATCGATAAAGGTTAGAACAAGTGGAAGCGGAGTGGCCTCTGCGCAAACTGCCGGACTGGGAACGGTTCGTGAGTGAGCAAGGTCGTCCTTGGTTTGGTGGTGCGCCCAGATATACATTTACGAACTACTCGCGAAGCTACCACAACATCCGCGAACTACAGTCAATAGTCGCGAGCTACGCTACGCTCGCAAGCTCCCGCCCACATGTCCGACGATTTCGCCGCTCCTGTAAAGGGCATCATAAAGGCACTAGATGCGGGGATCAAGTTGACGAAGAGGATTTCGAGAACGGCGAGTCATGGTCCAGAGAATTTAAAATATATCGCGGAGTTGGCACAGAATTTACAAAGGACTTTGGAGAAGAATTGTCAAGCTATTACGGATGCTTATAGAGATGCTGCGGGATCTTGTGGTGAAGCTTTTGCTAAGGCTTTACTGGAGGATGGTGAGTGTTAAGGAGGGCTATGGAGTTTTCTGGGAGTTATTGACTGATGGTGTGGTAGAATCTATTTCAAATCGATTGAAGGAAGTTAGAATTGATCTTAGGGATCAAATTGATGAATGCCAAGATTTCGATGAGAACCTCGAATCCTTTCAAGCATCAGCTTTTACCAATGTCAAACACCAATCGAAAAGATGTCGGACGGAATGTACTTTTATCTTCAACAATCTTCGAGATCGGATAGAGCAGACGGATCGTCATCATTTTCGGATGGAGGATAGATCTCCCCCTTTGAGTCCCGCACATTTACCGATGATGGAACAATCTCCTCGAGGACCATTGGCAACAGGATTCTCATATCCTACCACTTCACCATCTTCGCAATTACCCCCTTATTTCAACAAGCAAAATATCGAGGATAGAGTTCCCGTATCGAGTCCTTCCAAGAGTTCTCCTAAAAAGGAAAATCCATGGAGTTTAAGTGGGCCATATTTTGATGTAGGGCCAAGAACTCCTCCTCGTGGTCAATCCCCAGAGCCAAGTTATCAAGAATCGATACAGGCTACACCTCCTCCTAAATATGGATTTGATACACCACCACCGAAGCAAGTATTTATAGCCAAAGAGCTCGTATATCAAAGGCTTAGCGCAAATGAGGAATTCCTAGAACGAAGAAAGCAGTCTCGTATGTCGTTTCACAACGAATTACGGAAATCAGCGTCCTCGATTGAAGAGAACAGGGCTAGTGAAAGTTTTAGTGATGGATCAATGCTCACATCTCCTCGGTCCTCATATTCGTCGACTAGTAGTCCGATAGAAAGGCATAGTTCTAAAGGGAGTGGATATGGTGATTTAATAGGAAGGAAAAGGAGTCAAGGACAGACATCTCAAGGGGGAAGTTCACGGAATGGTTCATTGAGGGATCGAGATGCTACACCCGCATCTTCGAGTACAACGAAGCCGGATAATGAATACTTTCCTACTGCATCATTGAAGCCTCCAACGCCAATTTCAGCAACGCCATTAAGTCCAGGTATTAGCGACTATCAACCTTCGGAATCTGGGACATCATTATGGATGAAAAGTCCAGTTAGTCCACCTATGTCTGATATACATGATCCAGCTTCTTGGGGTAGATTGGCACCTGCAACCACCTCTCCAACTTCTACTGCATCACTAGCTTCCACACTACAACTGCCTGGTTTTGGAAATGGGGTTGAAGATGGATTAGAAGTCGTTCCCACTTTTGAAAGTGGTTTAGAAGTTGTACCAACTCAAGATCCTGAACCAGTACCAATACAACCTTTAAATCGCATTCCAGAAAATCGAAGTCAAAGTCAATTAGCAATGCATAGAGCTATCACTCCTTCATTGAAAAGTTTAGATTGTCCTATGAGACATGATAGTTCATTTTATAAATTTGACGGATTTTGTCCGGGAGCGAAATCGATGATTAGAGGGGAAACAGGATTTAAAGTTGTTAAAAGACCTTCGGTATGTAGGATTCCTTTGTCATTAATTTGTCAAAATTTCTTTGGATATTTGGTTCGCGTTTCCGCTAATACTTAGGTTTGTTTTAACTGACAGAAGGATCAGGGCCATTATAGTGCTACTTTGAGTGCGAGATGTATTAAATGTGCCTATGAAGTGGGTTGGAATGATGTGGAAAAGGATAGATTACTTGATCGTATGTACAACTTGTTATTTAAGGGGGGAAGAATGCTAATGTCGTATGGTTTCTAGGTTCTGGTATATATTCTAATACTGGTATTCGATGGCGTCAAAGATTTATCTCGAAATGTCACCTTAAAACAACTTCAGTGGATGATCCTATCTACGGTGTAAGCACTTCTCCCTCAACTCAGCTTTTAGGAGCAACAACTAACATTCCACTCAGTGCATATTCTGCGTTGAAGATCACCGCACAGTGGAAGACCATGATGCAACCGTCTTCTTTAGCGTAACATCCCTTTTCCGTCACCTAGCTCGTCACCCTCGTCCCCTTCCACAAGTAGCAGGTATAACAACTGTCTATGGCATTCAACCCCCTTCAGTCCTCGACTTCGATATTCAATTCACCATTCACGAACCCAAACTCTCTACTTACTGCATGTCTGAAATAGCATCTAAAGTAGCTTCTCGTCCTTCGGCTCACGCAACGATAACCCATCATCCAAAACCAACTGCTAAAACGTTTCGTGATCCTGATGGTCGATCAACTATGCATTTTGCAGATGGTGCAAAGATTGTGGGAATAACGTTCCCGGAACGTTTTCGTGGTAATTGGTGTATAGGTTATCATGATGGTGAACGTGGATCATTTCACGCAACGGCTATTTCTCTCCTCCCACCCCCGCGAGATGAAGTCAAAATTAATCCTCAAAGTTCTCTTCAAGCAGTAGCTAAATGGGATTGGAGACCCAAAGATAAAGATGAAGGATGGTTAAAATTTTCAAAAGGAGAGAGAATTTATAATGTAGGATATGCATGGCAAGACCAATGGTGCTGGAGTGGATGTACCTCGAAAGGAAAATGGGGTCTCTTTCCCAGCAGTTTCGTAAAAGATCTAATGAGTACCGATTCATCCTCTGGTAACGCAAAAGCATCTAAAATCCTAGGCACAGATATAGAGAAAAAAGAACGTGGGGGATTAGGAGCAGCATTTGGATTTTCGGGAAGTAAACCTAGAATGGTTAGTTTTCCACTGAGTAGAAATAGAAGTGCGAGGACTGGGCAAAGTCCAGTGCAGAGGGACGATAGGGAAAGGAGTGGTAGTTCGCTAAGTGGGTTTATGGGATATGGACATCATAGGGCGGCTAGTGTGAGGAGTAATGGAAGTTCAGCGAGTACGCCTAGTAGTCCGTTGGTATCGGTGCAGGCGGGTCTGGAGGTTGATAAGAGGCCGGGAACTGCTGGGGGGAATTTAGGTGGAGGGAGTGGTGGGGAGAATTGGTGGAGGCGGAGGTGGTTGGAGAAAAGTGGAGGTGGAGGGGAGGAGGAAGTGAGTAGTGGGAGTGCAAGTGGAGGAATGGTAGGGAGTAGTTGGTTGAGGAGTTAGGTGTATTAGGTGAATTGTGGAAGATTCAAGGAGGAAGGTGATAAAGCTGAGAGCGGGAAGGAGAAGACAAGGGAGAATGGAGGGGTGGATATAAGCCATGATAATTACGACATATACGCATGCACACACACACAAGACACACAAGCGAAAACCAAAGATACGGCAACCGTCAGCTGAGGAATAATACAGTCGGTATCGAGGCTGATATTTCACATTTGATATTTCACATTTCACATTCGATATAGCTAGGATATTTGGTACAAGCCGGTGTTGAAAACAGGAAGGACAGGACTGGATAGGACAGGACAGGACACGACACGACACGGAGTGGATGAAACGCACAGCTTGCTTGCTTGCTTACTTGCTTGCTTGCTTGGATTATTGGAATGGTTTGAGGTGTATGGATTTATGGAGATATGGAGATATGCATTACATATTAGGATTGTTGCATTGGATAGGATTGGATTGGGTTTTCGGAGTGGAATTTGAATAGGATAGGATAGGATATTGGATTTATTGGATACCATAGGGGGTTTTTTTTTGGTTGTTGTATTTGTTTTTTTATAATTGGTGTCCTTTTTCGGGGGTTTTAACTCTAGCTCTATATATAAATATCAATCTCAATATTAATATTTATCTATCAATTAATCTATCAATATCGATTGAAAATATCTTTTTTTAAATATCTTCTAACTGATTGTTAGTATTATTAATCTGATAATTATAACTAAAATAATATATATATATATATATAACTTTAACTTTAATTTCAATTCTAAAGTTTAATCCTCGAGTTATAAATATTAATATTCAAAATTTCAAAATTTCAAAAACTAACTTTTAAGATTCTTAAATTTTTTTATTATTTTATTATCAATAAATATCTTATACTCTTTACTTTATTTAATATACTTAACATACTCAGTATATCTAATATACCTTTACACTTTTTAATATTTTTAATATTTTTTTTATTTTTTTATCTTATTAATATATATTGTATATAGATATAGATATAGATATAAATATAAATATAAATATAAAGAGAGAGAGAGAGATACAAGCCTAGCTACCTAGCTACCTAGCTACCTAGTTACCTATCTATCTATACTTTAGATCAAAGGAGACAAGGTTAAATTTTAAATACTCTTATTTATTGTAATATGAATTATTCGTTTATTCGTTCATTCATTCATTCATTCATTCATTCATAGGATTGTATGAATGATTGCATGTATGAATGTATAAATCAATCAAAATGATCGATACTATTATTCTAGTATCTTCCTTTCCTTCCTCGACATATCTTCCCTCTCTCCCCTATTCTTCTATCCACATATGCAAATCTTCTTCCCGTTTCATTCCTCTTCCAAAACATCCATTCATTCATTCATCCGTTTGTCCGTTCATCCATCATAACAGCCTCATCATCATCATCAGCAGCAGCAGCAGCAGCAGCAGCAAAAGCAAAAACTTGCAGAAAAGTAGCAGAAAAATGAATCCATTGTTTGATATTTAACAGAATATTTAGTAGCCAACTTTAACGAGATAATCGACCAATTTCTGGACAGTCTCTGAAGTATTTCCGGCGATCATTGGGTCGACGTATCGAGCTATGACAATTGCTTGGACGGTTTTACCGATGACGAGACCATCTTTACCCTATTTTGAAAAGAGTTGAAAGATTAGCATGTATCTTTATGAATGTACCGGAGTAAAAGTATTCGAATACGTTGTATGCGTTGATTGTTGAAAGGTGGGAAAATGAATAATGAGATGACAAATGTATGTAAGGCTGAGAAATTATCTATGTGGAAATATGAACATACCTTTCTAGCATAGAGAACCTTAGTATCCTCATCCACTTTTGTAAGAACATATCTTTCGCCTGCAAGATGAAATCCATTTGCATATAAATCATCTGTCTTGCCATCAAGTCCCTTTTTGACCTCTAGCATTTCGGCAGGTGTGATCTAGATAATGTATGTCAGCGCTTGTCTCCGGTAAGACATCGTATACTTGTGCTTGGTATCCATCCCCAAAACCATCATTCCGTCTGTCAAAATGCGAAATCAAACTGGCAGATGTGTATATGAAAAGAATCTTGAAGACGGGATGGATAAATAGATAATGAGGATTTGATTTCGTACCGGGAAGTCAGGGCTGGTGGCCCAGCAAGAGTTTCCCTCCAAATTGTAGATAGCTCCTTTTTCAACATGTCCGCTTCCGCAAAGACTATTATTCCTATTAGTTTCCTATCCTATTCCATCTGTGTCTCTTCATCTCGTTATGGATTCCGTACCTTTGGTCGATATAAGCTGCGTGGAATCATTAGTAAACGTCTCCTTTCAACAAAGTATCATTCATAGAGGGGTTCCAAGGAGGGGTAAGCTCAGCTCCACCTTGAAGATGGAAAGAAAAAGATAAAAACGTACCCTGCCACGACATCTTGAAGTGTGTATGTTTGTTGATCTGAAGATTCGTTGAATTCTTGCGATAGTTTGAGTATCACCAGATATTGATTATGGACGAGAGGAAGTTGAGTGGTGATAAATTTTGATGAGGATCCAGTTTATGTTTCTGTAATAAGCAAGACAAAGTTGGGTAAAGTCAGTCAGTCAATGAACGGTAAATAAAAAGCGTTCCCGGACGGATTTTTGGTGCTATGGCTCGCTTGTTTAGTTTGATGGATGGATGGCTGGATGGCTGGCTGGCTGGCTGGCTGGCTTTGGTGGGGTTGAATTGCTGAGTTGTTGTTTGCGGTGTGTGATGTCTTGATGGGATGTAAATCATATAAAGTGGTACCGTACCTCTTTTTTTCTTGGTTGTTATTGATGTTGCTATTTGCTGTTTGCTGTTTGCTGTTTGCTGTTTGCTGTTTGCTGTTTGCTGTTTGCTGTTTGCTGTTTGCTGTTTGCTTATTACTTGTACAGACTTGAACAAAGGAGAAAATTGAATTGAGAAGATGATTCAGAGATTCAGAGACTCAGAGTATATTGTAAATGGTACTGAATGCAGAAGTGAATATAATGATTGAATTTACCTCATTAACCTACATACCTACTTTTTGATGCTCTTGGATAACTAGGTATTCATCTCATCCAAGATCAAAAAACCACCAACTACCTAGTAGATATCTGCATTAGACGAAACATCCCGCTGTCACAGGAGAGTAAAGCATAACAGTGCGAAGGAGGTGATGCTTGTTTGTGTAGAGCTCCTATGGGGGATCTTGGATCTTGGACTTTGATTGCATTGGAAGGAATATCAGCTGTGTCAATGTAGCTGTACGGAGTAGCTGTAGTAGATAATATATATGAGCCAGAACCTTCCAGGATTTTGACGAATGCTGCGTAAAGAACACAGCTACAAACAGCCACAGTATCTAGGAATGCATCTGCGTGTCATATTGTCTCATGAAGATTGAAGATGCTTAAGGTACCAGCTTTACTAACGTAGCTGGAGCTATAGCTACGTTACAATGCTACACTCCTCTCAATGCTATGTTATGCATAAGTGAAGGTAACTATCTAAATACAGAGTAGAGGCCAAAGTCGCATTATGATGTCTTGAAGGAATCATGCATGCTCGACGCATACTCTGTACATTCATTTGCACATTTGCACAAATCCTCACCGGCACAATGCATTCAACAGAATACTTGTACCAACGGTGAGGAAAAACGCATCGTGAGATGGCATCCGGAGGATTGATAGCATGGATGGCACGAAAGTAATATGGCAGGAGATTTCCTCCGTCGCCGCCATATAAGTTCGAAGCTCAGACACCCGACCGACACCGTACGTGGCAATTGATTGACCCTCTTTCAATTCTACAGAAGACCAAAAGGGGGAAATTTGTTGATTTTGATGGTACATGAACTTTATATCTTCAATATTGACGTGACGACAACCACAGATCAAAGAGTCGTCTTTTCTTCTCAACTCAACACATCGATTTGATCTCGAATAGGAACATGATTTCCGAGGCTTCTGTATTGGAATTCTACTTACTTCATCGGCTTTTACTTAGCATGTTGTCAAACTACATTTTTAAACTTTCTCTCATTTCAATCCTACTGGTCGATTGAGCATCTCGAATTCTCCGTGTACTTTATAGAAGGCTGTTGTCGTGTACAGTGTGGATTCTTAAGTCTTTAAAATTACTGTTAATTTCACCAGACTTCATTTCTGGATTCCTCAATCCAATTCCGGATGGGATGGCGGATCTACGGCGACCCCATTGAGGTTCTCATCGGAGGGTCCCAACTTCTCGGGATTCATCTGTATCATATTGTTATCTCGCCGACTTTGGAATTGTATAGCGCAGTAGGAGGACTCTTCGAAGCCAGACCATAGGGCCATATGTGTAGAAAGTCTCAAAGCCCCGAAAAATCCAATGAATATCATAAGATCCGACAGCTTTGAAGGACGTTTCAAAATCTACATCTTTATCGTCGCGGCATCATTTGAAACCCGGTAGGCTAACGTAGCGTCCGCCATTTCCATTTCGAGAATGTCTTTCAACGGCGAGAACTGGTGAACGCGCTTCTTCACTAGAGCTTTACCAAAATCACCCAGTCTAAGTTTTGTGAAGTGAAGACCCGCCGAAATCTCCTCTCAATGAAGTTTGTCTCGATTCTCGTATCGGGGATAATGAATGCATTGACCGTATTAGGTCATATGAAGTACGTATGCAGAGAATGTGTAAAATGCGTGTACGGTTGGTTGCTATGATATTCTGTAAGAGGTTGAACTTTCAGCTGGCTTCCGCCCACCTATCAATTAACATGAGTTCATGAATCCCCCCTCTGGCGCCTGGAAATTATCTTCCTTTTGTAATTTTTGCCCTGTAGGAGCCTCGCCCCAGGTTGCATTTTACGGGGATATACCGGTTGCTACGCTGTCTGAAGACCCTGGCATAGAAATTGCAGATCTTTAGGGATGGTTATCATTGATACATGCGAGGATATGAATTGCTTCTCTGTGAGCTTAAATCTTTATACTATGGATGACTTCAGTTTCTTTGGCATTTGGAAGACTCAATGGATAAGGTGCAAGAAAGACTCTAGAAAATAAAAAGATCAAACGATCATCTAGACATAGAAGAACACCTTGGCCAAACAAGGTTAAGCTTTTGCTTGCTCAGGTTGACATTCCTCAAATTGTTTCGTATCATCGTGAGCTGTATCAAAAGTTAATGGGATGAAGGAGGTAGGCGAGATAGGCGCTACAGGCTACAGTACTGTAATTGTAATACTCAGGGTTGTTCGACAATACACGAGCAGCCTATCCATGAAATGCTTGTGATGATCTTTACCTCAAGATGATCTCCCTGGCTCCTTTCACGGAAAACTCTCGCGCGTACAAACAATGAAGAGATGATGTTACTGTGAGGTCGGCGGAGATTAAGTACAAGTTAGTGCTTGGCCTGTATGACGATTACTGCCTGCTGGCAAAGTCGGTAGCGAATCCTTTACTGTTTCATTAGAGAAGAGAAGAGAAGAGAAGAGAAGAGAAGAGAAGGTGTTGAATGTGAGGGAGTAGCATGGCAAAACGTGCTTGTCACCTTGATATTGAAAACCGCCAAATCCAGAATGTTACATCGAATTGTTTAGATTTAGATATGGATAAAGTTGTTTCAATGGCTGCTATGCTAGGTACCACATTAAGTCTCCAGTTTCTCTCAGTCAGTCGGTGTTAAATTTGAGCCGCTTCACTCCATTAAAGCAATTGCACAGAGAACCCTCAAGATGATAATTTTGGTAAACAATATCTTCATCTTATCATTGGATCACGACGAGCATCGTAAGATTAAACCATCTCCACCACAAACATGGTCCTAATCAAAACGTGATTTCATTCGCTTGTTGTTACTGTCTGCATCCTCAAGGGTCATGTAGCACTTTTCGTAAGGGTCAATTAACCTATATCAATACAGAACACCGGGTGTAAGAACTTTAGAGATCTACACATCTCACAAGAACAACCAACCATATGTTACCACAAGCATATAAGCATATGTGTCTGATGTTTCGAAAATCCAAAACCGTTTGAAATCCCAAATCCGTATCCTCCTATAGCGAGTATAGCCTGTATAGCATCTATCAATTCCTAGCTGGTCCAAAGTCAAACAAGTTTGGTACGGGACGGATAAACTTCCTTACCCGAACCATGAAATGCTAATATGCCTAGGGAACAAATTCTCGACTCCACATCAAAACAATCTCATCCCATGTCTAGAGGACCCAAACCGTTGCAAAACGGCTAGTTTTGAAGCCATTTAAAGGCATTGATTTATCTAGCCTAGAAAGCTGTTGAATGGACTGCGCTCTAGATGTCACTAATTGACTCCATAATTTAACAACTTTGATGATAATTATATGACTATATGACTATATGACTATATGACTATATGACTATATGACTTATATGACCACATGACTATAATGATTATACCCATACCCGTATCTTTCGTAATCCTCCCCACTCGCTTGGCATCGCCTTGTTCAAAATTTCCCCCTTGTTCTCTGGAAATCTCCAAATTAAACGTCCCATCTACCTCAAACAATAATTCACAATATCCCGAGATACCCCATTTCTTCTACTTGCTCTAGCTTGCAGGGCTGAAGGGCTTTTTTTGTGCGATGCAACTCACAGATAAGTCATATAACCATGCTCCTTCCCGTTTTGTTATTCTTTTCTCCTCTTCTTTGTCATATCTCCGATTTGTATTCGATTTCTCTCTCTGGCAAAGAGTAGTAGGTAGTCCACTCTTTTTTCTCCTCTCTCGCCGCGATTTTTCCGCAATCCAAGGGTCTCCTGGTGTAGCCCGTCCACTCCTTTGAAAAATATATTCAGTCAATATAATCATTACACCATCTTTCGTCCATCACATCACACTTCGTCATCATCAACACTACAGACCGATTGTATTAGCTCAGGAAGGCTCGAAAGTATCCATTCAAGATCATATCCCAGGAATAAGCCATGTCGAAGAATCTTACTAGGTCGAAGTCGGTGATGGACCGTTTTAGAGGTCGAGGCGCACAACATGTTACGGATGATATACCGCCGCCCAAGATGAGAGATACGAATAAATTTCAAAAATTCGAATCCAGACGTGAAGATCAGCATAGACTTCCCGAAAGACCATCTACATCGGGTGGAACCAAAAAACCAAAAGGGAATGCTCTTAAGAGGGCTAATACTGTCAAGAGGGAAACACGGGATGATCTATTCTTCAATCCACTCAGAGCTCATGGGATAGATGGCTCTACTTTTTATGACTTCCCTTTACCTTCTACTCGGCCGCCATCTTCACCAATCGTACCAAAAGGGATAGATGGGCCTGATTTTAATACCTTTTCTTTACCTTCTACTCGGTTACCGCCTTCACCAATCGTACCAAATGGGATAGATGGGCCTGGTTTTAATACCTTTCCTTTACCTTCTACTCGGCCGCCGCCTTCACCAATCGTACCAAAAGGGATAGACGAACCTACTTTGAATAACTTTCCTTTACCTTCTAATCGAACCCCACCTTCACCTGTCGTACCAAAAGTGATAGAACCTTTACCGCGACCCAAAAGTCCTGATTCTATCAAGACAAGTGAAACCCTTCATCCTAACGTTTGTGAAGTCGAGATTGGTATGGCACTTGGAAGCCCTTCTCATCCACCAGAGTACATGCAACAACGAGATCAACAGTCTTACGAAGTAGAAACACCAAGTACTCCTCATCCAATTGACGATATGTCTTTCAATGCCGATTGTGTTGATGCTAAGAAGCAAAAGAAGGGACGGAAGTGGTTTGGATTATTTGGGAGTAAGAAGGAAAAGACAGCGACTCCATTCTATCAAGTTAAACCTGAGTCACAGCAAGAAATACCAATGAGCGGTCCTTCTTCACCAAAGGCCGAGCGTGGTAGATCTCGTGGTCGTTCAACTTCAAGTACAACTAGAAAGAAACCTGATATGAAAAGAGCGCAAACGGCACCTATGCCATTCACGACACCTGATTTACAGTTTCCATTCCAAGCTTCATCTTTATCAATTATTCATGCTTCAACTTTAACAACTATCGAAACTTCAGACTCAACAAGTATCCAAGCTTCATCGTCGACAACTATTCAAGCTTCTACTTCAACAACCATTCAAGCAGGAACTCCAGATATTCGTGTTCAAGAATCTATTGAAGTAGAAGTTCTACAATCAAATCCGAAAGCATTGCTCGAGAGACCAAAGCTTGATCTGGCACTTCCTACGGCAGAAATGGAAAGATATAGTGTTATGTTTGGGGAAATCTTACAAAATCCTTCGATTATCACTCCCTCATTACTTCAAAGACGTCAAGCAACACTTAATAGACTTAAGAGTGAGGAAGAAGCACTCGCTAAAACGGTTTGTATTCTTTCTAGTGCATTTAAAATACGCTAATAATCCAAATTAGGAAGCAGAAATTGAGGTCCGTACAAAGGCACTGTCGAAACGTAGGGGTACCTCACCAGAACCAAATCATAACAACTCATCATTCTCTCTCTTTCCAAATACACCCTCAAGACAAGGCCATCATGAAAACTCACCAGCACGAGAAAGGTCGCAGCTAAATAGATCTAACACCACTCCCGCTTACCTCTCACCTAATAGACCCTCATTTGCGACAGGTTTAGGAAATGATAGACACGCAGATCTTGTATCTGATGACGAAACGCTTACCTGTCGTCAGGGAAATGAACATCAAGGTACTTTTTCGAGTGCGTCTACCAAGAAACCAAGCAATCGATCGAGGAGATCATCATCGAGCTCTCCAAAGCCAAGACCACAAATTCACATGGCACGTACTTGGTCACCAGATAAATCCCAACCTTTTTCACCATCCTCCGCGGAAGACTCAGAGGCAGATGCAGGTTTCACAAATTGTCAAAGAAAAGATGTTTTATATAGCGCGTCACCATTAACAGCAACGAAATCAAGATTCGATGAAAAGGGGTCAACATGGCAGATGATAAATTCCAAAAAACAAAATCATCAAGGACCATCATCGGTATCTGGATCAACGACAAGTGAGGCTAGCACTGTTTCATCATCACACTCTAATTCATCATTTTCGAGTGTACCGGGTGGTTTAATTACTATTTCAATGCCAATGCCTGGGCAAGAAAACATGAGAGAAACAGGTTCAATGAAAACATCGACAAACGACCAAGCTCCGCGAGATCCCAAAGAGATGAAAATCCCCATCAAATATACACCTGGACCACGACCAATAATCTCATCATTCAACACTACAACTCGATCCTCAGATTCCGCACCTCGGCCTCCTCTCAAATCTCCAATGTTAGAAAGCCAAGGCCTTAGACCTAGGCCCTCGATTCAAAGGTCAGCTTCAACCGCATCCCCTGTCACCATCTTACCTCGTCCTCCACTTCGAATATCTTCTATGGCATCAAGCAACAACTCTTCAACCAGCATCTCCACACCACGTAAAATTCCTCTCCCAGTTTCTCCGCGTCCGCATCCTCATCGCTTCATCGCAACTCCGGTCTCATCTCCGCAACCAGAACCCTCCTACATTTCTCATCAAAAACAAGAATCCACCTACTCTATAACCCCATCACTTCTCGACATTCAAATAGATGACCACCTCGAAGTCCCAGGCGCTCGTTCTCGCGATCCCGAACAAAAACGTCTCGAATCAGCAGCCGGTGTCTCAATCGCACGTCAAATTTCCGTTTCACGTCAACAACGTCAATTACTCATTCCCATCAAAACTAGTGGTACAATATCCAGAAAAAACCCCTGCGATAGGTCTCCGGGACTGAAGAGTCCTTTTGATAGACAGAGTGAACGAAGTCCTATTTCTGCTGGATTTGGAGCTAGGAGGATAATGACAGGTGGAGATGCTAGTGAAAAAAAGGATTCACCGTTAGAAAACTTCACGGGATCAAGTCTTCCTGGGGGATTATTGTCAAATCAGAATGGGAGTGATGTGCGCGGAATTCGTATCCCAATCAGTCATCCACGTGGAAGAACAGAAATCCAACAATCTTCTAAACCCTCAACTCCGACTCTGATGGTTGTCCCAGACGTAGAAGAACAATGGGGTACAGGAAATTCGAATGGATTGATGAGTAGTAGAGATAAAGTGGAAGCAATGATGAAAGGAAGTAGAGGGAGTCCAGCGATAGGGAATAGTGAGTGGGAGGAAAAAAGGATGAAAATGAATGTTAGTCCGAGGACGGAAATGGGGAGTGAAAATCAAAAATAGGAGGAACGAGAGAGTGGTTGTTGGGGAGGTTTAAGTTCGACCTGATGGGGTTTTGATTCGAGGATATATTTGATAATGTTCTCTTTCCTTCCTTCTGTTCTTTAGAAGGAATGGCAGAGAGAAGGATTGCACGTCCACGTTTACATCGCGGAATGGCATAACATGACATGACATGGAATGGCAGTTTACGTTACATTACATACATTTCGACTTTCAACACATTCGCCATTTTTAGGATATTTATGGGAACGAAAACATACGGCTAAATACCTACACAAGATATTATCCATACTTTTCTTTCCATCTTATGTTTTATCTTATTTTATTTTATCTTACTATATTTACTTTACGAATAGCCCTCGGAACACAGCTATTTACAGTGGATAGTTGGCATTTCTCCTTTATTCATATTTATATTTATATCTACATTCGCATTCACATTTACATATTTACGTTATATACACTGTATAAATCATAAAACCAAAACTTCCTATCTCCCTATCTTCCATTCTTTACAGACCCCAATGATATAGGCCGAAAACAGGTTTTGGATACGATATAGCAGACGTGGCGTTATAGGGTTGATTTTAAGGAGGGGATGGGACAGGACAGGACAGGAAGGGACGGAAAAAGTAAATGGGAGGGGGAATTTTTTATACCACTTTTTTTGAGATTTTTTTTTCGTTGTTTGTTGATTAGTTGGTTGATTGATTATTTTTTTGGAGAGATTTTATGATTTGAGGATTTGAGGATTTTGGATTGTGGTTGTGGTTTGGGGATGAGAGTAAAGTAAAGAAGAGAGAAGAAGAGGAGGAGGAAAAGAAGTTAAATAGAATAACGAATAGAGAATAAGGAATAGAAAGATATTTTATATTTATATGTAATATTCATTCTCATTTGCTACTCTTGACAAGATCAGACCGATTATGAAGTTACTATTACTACAACTACTATATATCATCATATTTCCACGAAATCTTCCCAAGTCCCTCGATCATAAAGCGTCTTGAACCGAGAAGCCCTCCCCATCAATTCCGCCGGTGTATCAAATTCCACCAAAACCCCAGTATCAAAAACGGCAATCCGATCAAAATCAATAATATTCTTCAACACATGATCAACAGAAATAATCGTACAATTTTTGAATTCTGTACGGATAAGCTCTTGCATCGTCTTGGCAGTTTCCGGGTCAATACTATACTATACGTACGTACGTATTCATTAGCTAGGTCACTAGTACTTCAAGATATATTAATCGATATGTGACGAGAGTCGAGAAATACCTGCTTGTAGCTTCATCCAGAAGAAGAATTTTACCCTTCTGAATCAGCGCTCGCGCGAGACAAAATAGTTGTTTTTGTCCGTGCGAAAGATGTATATTGGTGGATTTGGCATCTAGACTACCTTGCCTCTGAATCAAATCCCAGAGTTGGACTTTCTTCAAAGCAGCAATGATAGTGTCATCTGAGACACAAGAATTAGGATCTAGGTTGACACGAATTGTGCCTTCGATGAAGACGGCATCTTGGGAGATGGTGTTGAGATTGGTCCGTACGATTTCTCGGGGAAGAAAGGATAAATCTATATTGTCTATCTTGAGGGTGCCGGATTGGATTTCAAGCATTTGGAGGAGGCAGAGAATTAGTGAGCTCTTGCCACTGTGGGGTGAGTTAGTTGGGATATAGATGGGTTTGGTTTCATGAATTATGACTTACCTTCCTGTTCTTCCGCAAACACCAATCTTTTCACCACTTGCGATTGACATGTTTATGTTTTTCAAAATAGGAGGGGAATCAGAACTTTACCTCTCAAGATTAGTATATATATATATAACTCTCAGTGATATACAAGCTCACCTATAAGAAGCCGACACATTCTCGAAAGAAATGGCCCCAGAAGATGGCCATTCCTCCAAGTCTATCTCTTCAACATCTGGTCGAACCTCAGACGGAGTATCACGAGAGAAAGATCGCGCTCTAGACACCGCGCCTATCGCGGTCTCCAAGCCCGTCCATGAAATAATAAGCATTGTAAGCGCCTGATTCGTACTAATGATATTAACAAGCGCCACACCCACATCACCATCAGTCATCGAACTCCTCAACGTCACAGCAAACACCACCACAATTACCACAAGCACAGCAGTCAGAATATCAAGCACGAATGCTAACCACCGCTGAATACATGCTAAGAGATAAAATGGCTTCTGTGCTGCATCCATCAGATCATGGTTCTGTTTCTGTAATGCACTTTGCCATCCATAGGCTCGGATCATTGCGAGTCCGTCTAAAGTCTCGAGAAAATGCGAGTAGAGCGGGGCTTTGGCTTCGATGTCAAGGAGTCGCAGTTGGCGTGATGTGAAAAGGTAATATCTTTGGTTCAGATAGACCGCAGCAAGTCCGAATGGGATTGTTACGGCAAAATACTTAGCAGTGATGCATACGATGATTGCCCGCATGATGGTCAAGACAAAACCTGGGACATGTAAGTATCAGCGAACATTTTGTGACATATTTTTTAAGTCATATGAAATTGTTAAGGAACCAAGGAATAAGTACCTTCAATGGTGTTGATGCTCGATACTTGAAGATTCGAGTCAATAAGTTGCATATCTTGGCTAAATCTACAAATAGTCAGCCTTCGAAACCTTCTAATTTAGGATATACTTTTTACCGATTCATAGTTGTGCCAACATCAGTGGTGGTTAAAAATGATAAAGGTGCTCTGATGTGCGGACGAAGTTAGCAAAATACGCATCATCTACTAATTCATGACACGGATTACTCAAGCGTAGATTTCACCATATTCTGATGTAAAACTTTTCCAGAGCGAGGTATGACAACCAATAAAATTTGCCTGGATAGTTAGCATACATATATATATTTACTCGACTAGGGAAAAGCGTCTCACCAAGAAAAACCCCATAACGTCACAAGAGCAGCTACGCCAAGTAAGGCGTAGACACATAAATACATGGCGACATCTTCATTTGGGCTCTGTTGATTAGCATTCACCCATTTCTGCAGCCAAAATGCTATACACCAAGTTAATATATATATGGCATCTGACGAGATTCCGGAGGGCTTACTTGAATACACCACGCAGAATGCACTTAACACTGCCATACTTAAAGCAAGTGCAACATTGCGGGGGCCGGATGCATTGCAGAAGTATTTGTAAATACTGAGGTCACCCTTTCGTCGTCTATTATCAAGTTCGGTACTGCTAGCGGTTGCTGTCTCTTTCTTGATAGTAGCTTCCCTTTTAGGCTTGATATTTTCCTTCTCGACAGATATTTCGGGTTCTTCCTGACTCAAAAGCCTACTCATATAACCTCCAGCCGACTTTAGTTGTGTAAAGTCTCCCTGTTCTAGTACTTTCTGCCGTTGTCCAATGGCAATGATATAGTTTGCACTGCTAAGTCGGTGGACTGATCGATCAGTATAAGTCTTAAACCATTTGAGTAGTCTTACATTTATTTGTCACTAGAATGACGGTGGTACCCAGCTTATTCAAAAGCCCTTCAGGTCCAAGGACACTATTGAAAACGTGCTCCTCTGTCGTAGCATCTAGTCCAGTCAGCACGTCATCAAATATTGCTATCTTCTTTCGCGAGTAGATCGCTCTAGCAATTACCTGCAAAGGTCAGCATGGAACTTTATCGCGACAAACCGATCTTACTATTCGCTGTTTTTGTCCACCGCTAATTGCTGTTCCACGACTATCTAGAATAGTCTGATCACCAAGCGGTAGATCATACATATCCTTTTGCAGTGCACACGCATTAATTACAGTTTCATACCAAAGAGGCTCAAAATCATAGACACCAATGATGTTTTGTCTTGCAGTTGCGTTGTAGAGCCACGAGGATTGATCGCAGAAGGACATTTCCCGTGAGGAAACATAGACAAACCCCTTTGAAACTCTGGTTTCACCAAGGAAAGATTTCACCAGGGTGGACTTTCCACAACCTACTGGCCCAACTATCATTGTTAACGAGCTGGCTTGTATCATAATATTTATTTCTTCCAACGTTGCCTGACCACCTTGGGTCCATCCAAATGTTGCATCTACGACTGATATCGCGATGCCTTTGCTAATGCTAGATTTTGCTTTCACCAGCGGCTTCATTTCGATGGTACCAACCTGAGAAGAATGTGCTCCTACAGAAACATTTGCTGAGACGAAAGTTTGGTGGGTAGGAGAGTCTTGCAGATATATCCTATCATCCTTTCGACACTCAGATATAAGGAATTCTTGAATGCGCGTGAAGGAGCCAATAGCAGACATCATTTGCGGGAATGTTTGAATCAGTATAAGCAAAGGCGATCCGATCAATGATAACACTGTCAAGGAAGTGAAGGCTTGCGTGACCAATAATCCCTGGTCCCCCCTAACACGACCGATGATAGTGAATAACGCAAAGGTTACCACAGGGCCTAATACTTGTAACATCCGCTAATAATGTATCAGATATTGGATCATACAATCATCTATTGTACAGAACTACTCACAAATGACTATGCTCCAAACCAAAGTTTTCGGTATTGAAACGAGGACGTAATCTCTTCTAGACGGACATGCTGGATTGTTGAAGACACCAGATCAGTTAACCCGTTCATTTTTATTTCTTTGATCGAGCTAAGCATTGAACTTTTTATTTTGAGCCGGTCTTGAATAGCAGCAAGCCATACTCCCTGACTTCTTCCTACTCTAGAAGACAGTAGCATAGAAATTCTAGAACAACCTGCTACGCAATCAGTCTCCGAAACATGGGTTAGAAACTGAGCACGTACCTAGGGCAAGAATTACTGGAATGACGCAAGCAGCTCCAAGTTGTCTCTCGAGCAAGTAAATGGCAATTGCGAGTTCTAATGGTGTAACCCATAAATTGTGAAATAGTTGCAAGCACTGAGCAATTCTTTCTACATCAGTGCTTATTAAGCTCGATGATGTGCCTTCTTTAATTGCGGTGCTATGCAAATTTTGCGTAGTTGAGTAGATGATTGTGACAAGACCACCCCGAATTTTGGTAACAGCTCTTAAGTTTTCATATGTGTACCAACCTGATGCAATCTGTGATCATATCCTGTCAGTCATTTGTATCTGACGGGAAGGAAATCTTACAGCTGCACAAAAGAATACCAGTATATATGCACCAATCAGACCATAGCCATCATTTTTATTTGCATCTAAGTCCGAAGATGTTATATAGTTGATTAATGTATTAATTAAAAAAGGTTGGGCGTATGTAAACCCAGTCACACATAAGCGTGGGAATACGGCTGCAAGCAATGGCCAAAGAAAAGTTTTTGCTGTCGTAAATAGCAGAGTATGTCTTTTGGGGTTTTCAACTACTTCAAATCAGGGAGGTCCAAGTAAATTGTTTGCTTGTAGCTTACCTGCTAGCCAATCTGACTGGAGGCTTTCCTGAAGAGCAGCGGAGCGAAACTCATTTTCAAGTTCATCGAGATCCTGAAGTCCAATAGTCTTACCTGCTCCAACTCGTAAAACTCGATTCAGCCACCAAAAAAACGCTTATATTTGCAAAACCACTTGTGGTCTCTCTTGGTAGGCTTTTGTAAATAGGTTCCAAATAACGTCTTTTTTCGATCATCTCCAACAAAAGCATTGCACTTTTCGACACTGTCGAGATGGTAAATATTACGGCAAGAATGTGATCTTCATTTATAAGCCATATTGTCCGGGTCCTGACAATGTCAAATAATAGTGATAGGCTCAGGTAGAATTGTAATATCGTGGAAGGTCGAACTGAACGATTGTGGTCCACGAAAGATAAAATGAAAATGGCAATAGCTTCAATGACCGTTACTGCAGCCGTCACCACCGAAAGCCGAGTCCGAATGGCATCAGGTCTAATCCATTGTACAAGAAGCAAAATCTGGAGAACAAGGTAGAGAATGCAATTGATCTGAAATTTTAGCGTTAGTGGCTTTTTCGCCATGGACAACTAATTTAACCATGAGAATTCTCAGCCCTGAAAGTTACTCACTAACTTCGATAACTGCCAAAAACTACGGCGAACTTTCTTCTGGCTTCCCAAAGTTGTACAAGACGAGCAGGGACGAGAAGCAGGAGGAATGCAGATGGTGCTAGTGATAGGATTGATTCCTCAAAAACAAGAGTAAAGTCGAAATTTCCTCGACATCCTTTGACTGTTGGCCCAAACGAATCATCTTGACCGGTCCCACACCAGCCTGGCTGGACGGTATCGAAGGAAACCATGTTCTAAGACCTGGAAAGTATGAACGGGATCGAAGGGAATAGCATATGGCAAAACGTGAATGATTATTTCCAAAAAGAAATGCAAAAGGGTTTAATTAGTCTTTTTCCAAAAGAAATATCAAGGCAGTTTCCAGCTACAAATCGTATTTGATATTCTAAAAGTCTTGGCTTTTTTGATCTTCATGAGTGTGTAGAAATTGTGTTTCAAGGTTGAATTTGTATCCTAGAGACAACCCATCATGGTTATAGGCTTATCTGGCAGATGCTATGCCTATTATAGAAGGTCGATAAGCACATTAAACAAGCACCAGTGAATCAGAGTGCCTGTCGTAACACACTCCGTACAGCCGTAGAGTGGGCTAGCAGGGCGACCCGACAGTTTGGAACCCAATCAGCTCAAAAGATAGAAGGTTCGCGGCGGCAAGCTTGATTTTCATTCGACTGCATAGACTAGCTCTCCAAGGTATTATAATTAGCCATTATATCCATCTAGACAATTAAAGAAGATTCTAATCCTCATTACTAACCTTAGATTCAACAAATCTATATCTACATCTTAATAAAACTTAATTCTTCGATTGTATCTATACAATAACAAAAGTTATATAAATTTATTTATAAAAAAAAAAAAAAATTTTTCATTTAAACAAAATATTTTTATTCATTTACCAAGAAATTAATTATCTTTAATAACTTTTAAATCTAATTAATTTTTTTTTAAAATTATCTTTTTTTAGATCATCTTTTTATATTAAAAACTTTTTTATTTTTGAATATAATTCTCTAAAATTTTAAATCTCAAATCTATTATAGAAATAATAATAATTTTTAAAAATGATTTTTTACTATTTTATTAATTGAAGTAAAAATTTAGATTCTTAAAGATATTTATATATTAGTTATATATTAACTATACTTAAAATACAGTCTATTAATTTATTATAATTTATTGTAAGATCACAAGATTATTTAGATTTCTATTTTTAAACCTCAATACACTTATAAGTTAAAGTATGTCAAGACTGGACTGTGTTTCGGGATGAAATGATTGATGATGTAAAAGTAAAGGATCATTGTGTCAAGTTCTGAGATGATTATTCTAGGAACCTTTCTCTATCTACTTCTTGAGATGTAATCCTACCTCATATGATAATTCATTGTATTTCAATCCTTATTTATACTTGCACTTAGATGTGTATATAATCACATCCGAAATCGAACTCCATCAGAACACTCACCGGATGAAAAGATGTATTAATTTTAGGTGTAAGTATGTGGTCTATAAAACGAACGAGGCAAAGGAAGAAAGTTTAAATCACCCTCTTTCCTTTTTCCCCCGCTCCACCTCCATCTCCCCATTAACGCCTGCATCCGTGCATTTCCTTGAATAGCAATTGAGTTTCCACGATATAATGTTATCGAAGATCTCAATTACTATCACCCCATTACCATAATATAAGTTATTTGTGAATCTCTCATCACTCATCTCTCGTGGTCGTCTATTTATCCATCCATGCATATGTTCTTCCAACCTCCACGGGTTTTTACTCCTCACCCAAAGTTCAAACGGGCCCAAATGGTAGGCCCTCTCTAAATATACAACCTCCTAGTTTCACTACATCTTTAGTGTACGAACAAACTGAGATAAAGATTTACTGAGCCTTCTTTGCTTCGTTCTCAATTTTTCTCTCTCTTCTCCTCTTAGCAGCTTCAGGTCCGCTCTCGGTACCCAAACAATAATCCCACCATCTGAAAGAACTTGCGTAATTCCCGATGAATTTCTCATGATGAGTGTCATGATGATCAGCTCCCGCCCAGAAAGGCAAGAAATGGTGCAACGACCATGGGAACTCATATCCACTATGAGCGTCAATCGCTTGGAAAAGTCTACACACAATCCAAATATACATTGTCAAGATATGTAAGTTTCCAGTGAGGAAAACCCAAAGGATAGGAGACCCGACAGTTCCGAGACCAAGAACCATAACTTCAATTGGAGATGCGTATTCAGCGGCAAGACCGAATGGTGCAGAGTATTGATGATGAATTTTGTGAATTTTCTTGTATAGCCAGCCGTAGTGCATAGCGCGGTGCATCCAGTAGTGCCAGGTATCCTCAAGAACGAAAAAGATAGCGACTTGATAGGCGATGGTGAAGAGAGACGGGAAGGGAACACCGGTGCCCATTCCGAAATATTTAGCCATGGGATGAAAGAGGTAGATTTGAGGAAGTTCGACGGTAAAATGTGAGAGGAGTACAAGTTTGGTACATGCCCATTGTTCGGCGGCAGTAGGGATTTTGTTCTGAATGGGAGGTATGATTAGCCAATGTTGATTTGTAGGTACTGCTATGAAAAGAGCAATTGCTGCGTTGTCATACCCCTTGAATCTTGTATTTGTTGAAATAAGGAATTTGATCGATAATAATCCAAGGAAGACTTCGCCCGAAATAAAACACTTCATGCATAACGAAACTCATGATACCAGTTGCAAGGACATCATTTTGCATGTAGGCATACCAACTCTATGTTCTCGATTAGTATGCGATCAAAAGTGTGGTGGATAATAGATGTAAGAATAACTTACAGCCCAAAGACGTTCAAATATGTTGAGATGAACATTATATTTGCTCAGCTCATCATATATACCCAAAAAGGTACCTGGAGTAGCAGAAATGGTTCCATTCGACAAGAGATCCATGATTGCGAATGATGGAAGGAAAGGAAAGGAAAGGAAAGGAAACAACTTCAAAATAATTAGAAGTTGAAGTGAAGGTGTGGGCAGGAGAAAAAGATGAGGAGGATGTGGATTAAAGAAGTAGGTGTAGGGAAGTGGGAAGAGATGTACTAGGTAGGTAGATTTACTAGGTAGATTGGATAAAGCCACTGGCCGATTATTTTATTATTATTTGCCTGTCGAACCACAATTGGCTGTCGGAAAGGAAAATTCCCGGTAAGGTTAGAGATGCTAGGTGGTGCTAGGTGGTGCTAGGTGGATGTGCTTGATTAGGTAAAGGAGGACTAATGGGCTCAACCTTTTTAAAGAGGATCACGTGTTTTGGTGGTATGGTTTTTCGTGTATCGGGATTTGAGAAAGCGAGGGATCATTTCTTTAATGGGGAATAACCACAATGAAGTGATGAATGAGCCGGTGTTTGAAACTTCTAATGATATTGATGAAATGATTGGTGACTCGGGATATGATGAATGATTCTATTGATCTAGAAAGGGATTCCCAAGCTATTGACTAACTGTATGTAATCTCCAGCAAATATCTAGACTCAATATTCACATCTTCAAATCCTCATTCCCCAAACCAATCAACTTATCGATTCGTGTTCGTACCTGAAAATCAGACTAAAATTGAACATCCTTTCCAACTTTTTACCCCTTTTTTACTTTCCCTGCATTCGCTCCAGTCCCTACAGATTCCTTCTGGAATATGGTTACGTAATCAACCACAAATTCCCAACTCAAGCCATTTTCATCCATCTCATCCGCCCACGTACCGTTATCTTAATCTGCCCATCGCAAATCTTTCACCGATGCCAAGCCACACGCGTTCAATCATCATTATCCATTGAAATCTCAGCCAATCATACTCACCAATTGTAGATAATTCCCCACTTAAGAAATCGGAATTCCTACGGCCACCCACACCGTGTTTACAAGGGGGTTTTGGTTATTTTGGACTTTCATATGATAGCGAGAAAGTCTAGAAATCGGGAAAGAAGATTATTGATGATCTGGTAGTCGTAGGAATTTAATCGTAAGATTCTTGGATATACTCAGTCCATCTTACACCTGATAGTTGAGTAGGGATCAGCTCATTGTTTATTGTTCGTCTTCCTAAGATTATGTATCGATTTTCTTGATCGGCTTGACTTTCTATTACCCAAGATATTTGACGAAATACAAGTCATTCCTCTCGTAGCAGATATCTGCAAACCCACCTACAACATCTCATCTCAATTCTCTCACATCCACCTAAACCCACCACAATGTCAAAACCATACAGCCTAGAATCTGCCAACGAAGAAAGACGACGCGTCTACCACGAAGCAGATGTAGTAGTAGTCGGAGCTGGTATATTCGGGTGCGCCATCTCCTACGCACTCGCCCAACAAGGTCGCAGTGTACTCCTCCTCGAACGCTGGCTCAAGGAACCGGACCGCATAGTTGGGGAACTTCTCCAACCAGGCGGCGTATCGGCTCTGGAGAAGTTGGGCTTGGCACATTGTTTAGAAGGCATCGATTCGGTGGTTGTAAAGGGATATGAGGTTATATATCATGGAACACCAGTTTCCATCCCGTATCCTATCAATGCGGGTAAGGCGCAAGAAGGGGGTTTTATGGATGCGAAAAATGAAAAGAGCAAGAGGCCTGAGGGAAGAAGTTTTCATCATGGGAGATTTATTTCACAATTGCGTAAAGCTTGTGCTGGCCATCCTAATATCACAATTGTCGAAACAGAAGTCACGGAAACGATAACGGGTGGTCATAACGAAAGTCAAGTTCTCGGAGTACACTCACAAACTACGAATCCATCAACAGGCGAAAAGAAGGCAGATTGTTATTTTGGACACCTCACTATAATCGCGGATGGATATGCCTCGAAATTCCGCAAGCAATACATCAACAAAACCCCCATAGTCAAAAGTAAATTCTACGCTCTAGAATTAATAGACTGTCCCATGCCAGCCCCAAACCATGGAATCGTGGTCCTCTCCGACATCTCTCCAGTCCTCCTCTACCAAATTGGCACTCACGAAACCCGTGCTCTCATCGACGTCCCAAATAATATTCCCTCTGCGGCCCCCGCTGCAGGCGGCGTACGAAATTACATTCACAATACCGTTCTCCCGATCCTACCTCCACAAGTACAACCTTGTTTCCTCAAAGCCCTCGAAGATGGAAAAATTCCCCGCAGCATGCCAAATAGTTTCCTGCCTCCCACAACCCAAACTAAAAAAGGAGTTCTCCTCCTTGGTGACGCAATGAACATGCGACATCCCCTAACAGGAGGTGGAATGACGGTAGCCTTCAACGATGTGGTCCTTCTCTCTTCTCTCCTTGATCCCTCCAAAATCTCAAATCTAAACGACACAGCCGCCATAAGTAAAGCTATGAAAGAATTCCATTGGCGACGCAAAAATCTCTCTTCAATAATAAATATCCTAGCTCAAGCACTCTATGCACTCTTCGCAGCAGATGATCCTCAATTAAAAGCCTTACAAAAAGGTTGTTTCTATTATTTCCACAAAGGAGGAAATTGTATAGAAGGACCTGCAGGATTATTGGCTGGAATCATTAGACAACCATTAGTTTTGATATATCATTTTTTCGCAGTAGCGGTATTATCGATTCAAATTTTGATGGGAGAGATTATGGGGGGATTGAGTGGAATATGGAAAGCACCGTGGGCATTAGAACAGAGTGTAGAAGTTTTTTGGAAAGCGTGTATAGTTATTTTTCCATTTATTTGGAGTGAGATGAGGAGTTAGTGGTGAGGAGATTCTTGAGCCGATAGAAGTGATGAAGTCATTAAGCGGTAGGGAAAGGGGAAATAGTATAATGTTTGATGAGATGAAAGAGATGATGGATGAATGGTAATGGTGTATAATGACGAGAGAGAGATGTATAGATGATAGATGATATCCTTAATATAATAAAAGTCTTTTATGACTTTTTATTATATTTCTTCTAGACGAGTATTATTAATAAATGTAAAATGAGGTAAAGAAAAGAAATATAAAATAAGAGATTAAAAAGAATTAAATAATAATAAAAGAAAATTTAAACTTATTTTATTTTATTTATTTTATTTATTTTATTTATTTTATTTCTTTTATTTCTTTTATTTCTTTTATTTCTTTTATTTCTTTTATTTCTTTTATTTATTTTATTTCTTTTATTTCTTTTATTTATTTTATTTATTTTATTTATCTAGTGTTATCTAGTGTTATCTCTTTGAATGAATATATTTTACAAGAAAAGGAAAAAGAAATTACATTAAATAATTATATACAATTTAAGTAAATAATCTTCCTAAAAATGAAGATAATAAAAGTAAATAACTCAATTATCAAGTAGTTTTATCTCTCAACCCAGCCCAGCTCATCCAGCTCATCCATTTCATCTCTGTACAACATACCTAGGTAGCTAGAAAGAGTATTGCCGTGAACAAACACACAAGCCAACGATAGAAAACGACAAAAATATCGTAACGCTAGAATGCGAAGAGCGAAAAAGGATTCCGGAAAATCCATCGAATTGTTACAAGCGTCATTTCCAAGAGTAAATGACCCTTTCAATACAAGAATCGATACGATTCACTCTGTGAAGATCTGCAACTTCCCTTTCGCTTCTGGATTAGATATATTGAGATTGAGCAATATTGATTTTCTGTTCAAGTTTCTCTTCCGAATATTCATTCATGCCAAGTATTAATCGGTGGTAGGTGAAACTCCGTCCTTTCCTATGAGACTCCATCAAGCTTTCTTAGATTTGGGTGGTGCGACAATGACTGAAGCTGGTTTAGGTAGTTGATTTTGTGGTTTTGACATGATTGGTGCTTCGCCCAATTTTCGCGTGGTACTGGTGTGTAATTTGGTGAAAATATCACGGTCTTCAAATACGACTGGTTCAGGTCTAAATGAATGTCTGGGTTGTAGTCTTCGTGGTACACTGGAAGCTATTTCTAGATCATCGCAAGAGGAGGAAGAAGAAGAAGAAGTTTTCGTACTGTTTCTGGAACTAGTAGCTGGGGATGTAGCTTTACAAAACAGTTAGTTATTGTGTAATGTTGAGTGTTAGGATAGATAGTATGAATTACCTTCACTTTGTCCACGACTAGATAATGGACTTCTACCAATAGCAGAATCAATTCCATGATTGGAATGTTGAGGTTTGGTTGGTGGTTGTGTTCGCGATTGAAGTTTCTCTGTTAAATATGACATATCACCCACTCGGTTATTCCATGTGGGATTGTAACTGTCGTGAGAGATGGCGCGTGGTGAAGATGGAATGACAGAATTGGATTCAATTGTATTACTCATGGATGATACAGTGGATAAAGCACTATGAGTACGACTGATGGTCATCTGACCTCTTCGTTTATGATGTTCTCTGATTTTTGTTCGATCTTCGTTTTTCCATGATGAAGGTGCTCCAGAAAGTGCATCGATTGCGGCATGTGTTGGAATATGTTTGTATGGAACTTTAGCAACTTCTTGTTCAGATTTCTTTTGTTGATTTTCGTCGGCGATGGTCTTTTCTTTATGTTGTTGAGCAGCCTTTTTAGAGCCTTTAATCTTTGAGAATATCGACATTTTTGCTTTGAGAATGGGCAATATGTTGTTGAAGGAGTTGAAGTGAAGTTGAAGTGAAGTTGAAGTGGAGTTGAAGCGGAGATGAAGTAGAGGTAGAAATAGAAGTAGAAGTCGAAGTGAAAGTCGAAGTAACAGGAGAGATATTCAAGTGATCTATTAATCGATTACGAGGTAATATGAAGCGCGAAGCTTGAAGCGTCCAGTATATCGTACTCAACCAGACAAGATCCAGCCAAAAGACATCAACATCAATATCAACATCAACAAACAAAAACAGCAAAAGATGTGCAGCAAGCCTTTAATATATACGAGCTACACAGCACCCAGTTAACCCAAGCGACCGTTTTCCTCCTTAGCGTAACCTGCGATGATCGTGATAGATAGATAGATAGTAGCTTCACAACCTCGAGCTCGACCATGTACTACGTACGTACTAGGCTGGTATGAACTTTGCACGGGTAAAATGGCGGGATGAAGTTGTATAATATCGACGAATCGAAGGCGTATTCGATGGTATCGTATCGATGAAAGCATGAAGTTAAACGGAACGATGGCTTTTAAATACCCGTCTGTGAAAGAAAAAATGATGTTGAAGAATTGTGAATTGTGAATTGTAATTGTGGAAGACACTGGTGTTGGAACTTTAGTAGGAAGGTGGGAAGGTTTGAAAACCTGTTTGGCTCATTAGTTTTTCTTAGTTCAGGAACGGTTCCTTCGACATGAATAATGTTTCAAGGAAAAGATGGATGACCTTTATTCCGATAAAAGGAAGGTTGTTTGATTTGTGCCTACTTCTCCTTTCTACCCGTACTAATAAATATATGGTTAAACAGTGCAAGATGACTAATATATGTTTTGAGGCTATTGATCTTGTCTTCGCTTGGAAGGTACAAAAGGAGGGAAACTCCGCCTTGGTGATTTTGGGGTAGGAAATCGGAATTAGAAAACTATTTGATAACAGGCTTTTATCAAATTATCCTGGGTAGTATGTATGATAAAAGAAATATGAGTGGTAGAAAGATACGATAATGTTTAGGAGATGTGCCGACGGTTTTGGAAAATAATATATTAACTGTAGGTACTGCACCAAATATGTACACTGTACTCTTTGTTGTATTGGTTTGTATTGGCTGTGTATCACAATACCATGTCATACAAGATATAGTGTTTTTGATTGAGAGTCCGATTATCAGCTGGATTAGAATCCAGCTGAAGTTTATAGAAATACAAGAGATGTAGGAAATTCTGATAAAGGGGGGATAAGGGATAAACTTGATTTTTATTTGACTTCAAAAGTCTGACCATCTGAAAGATGCTCATGCTGCCCATATGAAATTGATACCTTACTCTTGTGCCCGTTCTTGTAACCGTTTTTGCATCCTCTTCCTTCGTATTTACTTACCTAGGCATGTTGCCTCTATCGTGCTTACTCGGAAACATCCATAGATCTGTAACGTCTTAAATCCCATCAAGTACCTACCTAGGCAGACATTATCCAGAAACCATAGAAATATGCACATCAATGTGACCACAAACGTGGTAATAATTCCAGTCCCTGTCATCTTCTTTTAACACATCAAGTTCCTTCGTCCCATCGTCATCACTTGTACCTAGCAACTGATGAAAGCTTTTTTGGTTGCTATATAATTTAAACCGTATGCATCCTGCTCGTGCACCGGAACATGTAAGACTTACAGGATGCTAAGTATAAACTTTTGCATGCAGCGCAATATTGTCGCCGATTAAGCCTACTTCGAATATCTGATAGACTGGCATGGAGCACAAAACTTTCAGGTTGGTCCAGACATTTTGAACGCCTCGTGTTCTTCTGGTTAGAGTCCCATCTTTCGAGTGAATTTCTTGGTTCCACCTACCTTTTCATTTTTGAAGGCAAGCGAAATAAATGACCAATAAACAATTCGATATGATTATCTAACCTTGAATTGGTGATCCTCGATATCACAAAGCGTACATATTAACCTTTCTCCAATAACTCGACGCGCGGGAAAAGTGTGTGCCGGCAGACCAACGGCTAGATGGCCGGGTGAGAACCATCAATCTTCGTTTGTTGACTCCCGAGGTCCTTAGTGATCTTTAGTAACCTTAATCCTTATTAATTCCGACATGTGTTGAAGGACACTAGGTAGATAGACACGGAGCATTGCCGAATTAATTTTCGGTAGCACTTACCACCAGTACTGCGAGAAGTAGGTATGCGAAAATTGTCGCATCGATGGTTGTTGATAAAAGGAGTATTATTTTTTCATCGCCCTGCCTGGGCCATGCAATACATACCCTGGAAAGTAGAGTTGAAGGTTAGCATGCAGTTAGGATGATCGGACCCATGAAAGAACCTACTAAAGAATTTTCCGATGAACTGGAACCACCGTGCAAGCGGAGCTGAAAGCCTGGAACAGACTGTACCCATAATACCCTTCAGTCGGAATTAATTAGATCGCATGTGGAAGTATACTTGTAAGTACGAGGTAGAAAAGTCAGTCAGTAATGTCATTGTGTACGGAGGAGGTACTTGAATAGAACTCGAAAATAGGTGAAGAATCTGTGAGTATAAAAGTCATATACACTGACTGTACAATAAGTATCTCGACGGAAGAAAAAGAAGAGCAATGGAAGCTTCGCTTTCCAAATCACGATCAAAAGAGGGACTATTAGCATGCCGTAATAGAACATTGAAGAATTAACCGCCACATTTTTGAACCATGCAACTGCCTATTGAGGCTGAAGCCCGGGTTCTTCTCTCTCCGTCAAATTCACTTGCAGGTTGGCGCAAAGATTTATCAGTATACGGAGCATATCACCGAATATTAAACTGCCGGTAGAATATTTGAGTAGGTTGTAGGTTGAAGGGTTGGGTTTTTTGATCGGCGAATACCAAGTTAGTCGTTCTCGAAAGGAACGAGAGGGGGAGGGATAATGCACGGCACAGACAGTGAACACCTCAATCCTAATGATCGACCTACTAGGTTTAACTGTCGCCTCCCGCGTGCGCATATGAGCCATACTTAGCTAGTAACACTTGGTATGCATGATGCATAACATCACATACCGGTAAAGACTAATGACTTACCCTGGCCCCGTCGTCCGTTTATAATATTATAATCTTTCTTTCCACAAAGGTACATAACACAGACCTTGGGGACTTTGAATCATCCCAATTTCTGTTGACCACCGAAATGTCCGTAGCCTGATAATAGGTTGTGAAAACGTATTTATTGAGCTAGGCTCGGCTATTAGACAGAGGTTGAAAGTGTTTATGGGTTAAATTCCCAGCCAGTCTGAACATTTCTGATATGGCGTTCTGCTTGGGTCATTATTACTTACAATAATTCTAAGAGAAAGTTGGACGAGATTCTTTCCTGGATCCCTGCCCTCTCTTTTTTTCTTCAATTGTGCCAAACCAATCCCTTATTGGTCTCTAATGATCTTAGCTACCAACATGAGCTATTACACAAGGGTTTTTCCAACAGCCAAGAGCAGCCAACTTTAAGTCTCCCGCAACTGAGATACTTGATGGACTATCTAGGAGAGTTGTCGGAGGGAAAACACCATTTTTTCACGTTTTTCCTTTTGCTTAGCTTATAGTTACACAACAGCTACTGGTAGTATAGCTCAGTAGTTCCCCAAAATCCATCTCTCGCATGTCTTCTCTAGGGGTAACCGAAAAAGGCCTCAACTGGTGCAGGTCTACTCAGTATATCTCGCTTCTTCCACATCATCAGAACTTATTTGTCTCGTTTCGGTGACGGATATGTGCGTGGTAGGGAGGATGAGGTTCTGGAATCCTCTTCGCCCTAAAATCGGCAATTTTCAAAGTTTGATCTGAAAAGGTTTGGTGTGAAAACGGGTACGGCAGGAACAAAACAGGCGGCACGGCGAGGTATCAAAAAAGTTGGGGTACTTGAGTGGTTGCAAAGATACTATGATGAAGTCGGTTGTTCAGTGCATACTTGCATATCCAAATCTAACCTTATTCATCCCAACTACCAAAAGATAAGGATTGGTAGTAGAGAAACTCAAGAGGCTATTGAAAATAGACATCTTACTAGACGAAATATCCTAATAGACTCACTGATTGAGGATGATTGTGGAATCCGCCATGATATTGTGAGTAGATGTGATCTTACTATCGAATCTCAAATAAGTCGAGAACCCAAAGTCATTACAAGGATTCTTCGCTTATCGGACCCTTACGAAACTAGTATGTATGTAGAAGACAAACTGGGGCTGAACAATACCTACACACAATTTCAATTGCATTTCTTGATGGGGGAGATTCGAACACTTAGCTGTATCCAATAATTGTTTCATACAAACATTTCTCCAACATCTCATCTACTCAAAGATTTGAACAAGTTCTTCCTTCACAGTCCTCTGCCCCGACCTCCGTTCAATCAATTATGCATCGGAAGCTGATCCTGGTCAGACAAGGGATAGAAAAGTTGAGGATCGATAGATATATGTATGAAATCCGTTTGGGTATTCCCCATGTCTCAAGAAGCGCGTGAAACTAATGCCGATTGGAAAGGGTCCAACAATTGGATAACAAGTTAGATTCGTCTAATGACCAGATTTTATATGTAGGTGAGATCTGATATACATGCGGGTTACGGTTCTGCATCTGCATATACATACAGGAGATGTATATCATTAGAGAAAAAAGAGTTTCAATACAACTCCTCGGTACAATTTAGTACAGTACAAGTACATACTGTAGCTCCTCGTACACGAAGATATTTCGCTTGGAAATTGTTTATCATCTCCAATTTTGAAACATCAGGACAGAACATCGGGTAAGACCATGATTGGCTGATTGAAATGTAAGATATGTAAGATTGGACCTCGGAATGAACTAAAGCTGCACACGTGATAACGGGCCCAAATGATCCCACCTTGATAAGATCAAGTGTTCTAATCAATTATTAATCAATCATTAATCAATCATGATATATCGTACCAGATCTAAGGGTGCAGCAACATAGATTAAATGTGCAGCAAAGATCATCATAGGTATTTCACACATCGAGTCATTGTTGTTGATGCTGTTGTTCTTGATGTTGTGATGTTCTTGATGTTCTCGACGTTTGTTTGATCACCAATTTCTATATTTATCACATCTTGATACCGACCCGTACCCGTAGAACTTGCTTGCCTCACATTACCTGGCACTTTAGCGAGAAGTTGAATGTAAGTTTAAGTTCCACTTACAATTTCATCATCCCGAGCCCGCACGCCAACAAGCAACTTGAATTACCCGGCACAACAATCCAAACCCCATCGCAATTCAATCTGATTAACCTTTCCAAGTAATCACCACCGTCGCTTACTACACTCAATTCTTATCTCATCGCGAAGAGGTCACTTCGACACCCTAACCAACTTCTCAGTTACGCGCGACTTCGAGGCGCAAACAATCCACGGTGGCGTTCGTTCTCACCCAAACGCAGTCGCAACTGTCCCTTCAACAACACTTAGATATCTCATCCGAGATATTGGAATACGTCCAAGGGGGACTGGAGGGGGAACCACAACTTTTAATGATGGCGCAGGCAGGAGGGCCTATTCTTAATCCGCCAAATGACAAGAGAAGAGTCAAGGTCTATGAGTTGCGCGAGGGCGACTGGTTTGATAGAGGTACTGGCTTCTGCAGGGCTGATTTCATGGTCGTATGTTTACCTTTCTTTCTCAATCTTCATGCAAACACCTATTCGCTGCGCGGCCGTCATTCTTATCCCTATCCTTCTTTCCACCACCTCCGGGATTTGTTGCCTAATCACCTTGAGTATACATAGGATAATGGCTCGGAAAAGTCAGATCCCAGTGTAGTGGTGCAGTCGGAGGATCAACCAGGTCGCATGCTCCTTGACACGAAGATAGTTAAAGCGGATGGATTTCAGAAACAGCAAGGTATATTGGATCAGCGCATGGTTATCACATTTCATACTAATGGATCTCTTCCAGAAACCCTCATAGTATGGACAGAACCGGATAGTGAAATGGATATGGCTCTCAGCTTCCAAGAAGCCGAGGGTTGCGCGGCTGTTTGGTAAGTGGCATATCGCGATCAACGCGTAATTATATTGTGGCGCATTCGACTGATAATTGTCACAGGAGATTTATCAATAATATACAATCCACCCTCAGCGCACCCGGAGGTATCAGTATAGAGGGTAAGTTAATTAACCTTCCATATCTCCGATTGTGACATTCTACATACCTTTATGATGCTTATAGTATTCTTTAGAAGATAGTATATCAGAGGATCTCATCCCTGAGCTAGTGATTCCAACCTCACTCCCCCATCCTTCACTTGGTAACCTGCACGAGCTGGAACAGCTATTTAGAGGATTGAACAGCACAACGGGTGGACGCGAGGCCCTTACGAAAATGGTTATAAATGAATTTTATGTCCGAAGGTTAATACCTCTCGTTGAAATGGCCGAAGACATGGAAGATCTACCGAGTTTACATCGACTTTGCACCATGATGAAGATAATCATATTGTTGAACGACAGTTCGATAATAGAAGATATCGTAACGGATGAGGTAGTCATTGGTGTTGTCGGAGCTTTAGAGTACGATCCGGATTTCCCAAGCCATAAGGCTAATCATCGACTTTGGTTAGGCAAGAAGGATAGATATAAGGAAGTTGTTGAAATACCCGATGAGAACGTGATGAGAAAGATCCATAATACAAATCGGCTACAATATCTCAAAGATGTTGTGCTCGCTCGGATCTTGGATGACCCAACGTTTTCGGTTCTCAATGGCCTCATCTTCTTCAATCAAGTCGAAATTGTTCAATATCTGCAGAACAATGCAACAGTCCTTAAGGAACTTTTTGGAATTTTCGGATCACAAGAGACAGATCAGGAAAGGAAGAAGATGGCCGTCTTATTCATACAACAGTGCTGCGCCATCGCGAAGAATTTACAACAACCAGCACGGCAAACTTTATACAACAACTTCTTAGGACATGGTCTGTTATCTGTTATTAACTTTGCTCTTCGACATAACGATGTGGGAGTACGGGTAGGAGCCACAGATGTCTTGGTTTCTATGATCGATCATGATCCTCAAATGATTCGTCAAACAATATTCCGACAAATGAATGAGAAGCAAACCCCGCTGACCGATTCCCTCATTGATCTTCTTCTCGTAGAAGCTGATTTAGGTGTAAAAGCTCAAATAGCGGATGCGATCAAGGTTCTCTTGGATCCAGGCAACCACAATGCACCACCAGTGGAAACACCCGCCAAAGGTAACAGTGAAGTTACAGTTAGACTTAGGCCTCAGGCAGACCCTCAGCATGAACTTTTCCTTAATCATTTTTATGAAGACTCGGCGAAGAGATTATTTAAACCTTTGGTGGATTTGAAGAGGCGAGAGAATATGAACTTCACTGTCCATCAAGTGTCTTTATTCATCTATTTGATAGAGATCCTTTGCTTTTTTATCAGGCAGCATATGCACCGCAGCAAATATTTCGTGTTATCAGAAGGACTAGCTCAACGTATTTCTCAACTTTTGGGGAGCCCGGAGAAATATCTGAAATTAAGTAAGTTATTGTTTCCTTGATAACATGAGCTTTACTGACAAATTCTAGCTGCATTGAAATTTTTCCGAAATTTAGTTGGTTTACAAGATGAGTTTTACAATCAGCAGATGATGCAAGATTGTCTCCTTGAGCCAATTTTAGATCTTGTGATTGAAACAATGCCTCGAGATAATCTTTTAAATTCAGCATGTTTGGAGTTCTTCGAATTCCTCAAGCATCACGGTTCTAACGAAAAGGGTTTGGTCAGTCACTTGGTGGAAAACTACCGAGAGAAACTTGAGTCAATCACCTACGTTGACACTTTTAGAAACTTCGTATATAAGTATGATAACAGCCAAGGATTTTCGTCGAATATGGAAACTTCCTACCTCGACACGGAAGATGAAAGTCCGAAGAGACTTGAACCAGGTAAAGGCAGTAGATGGGGCTCAGGTATCAAGGACTTGGATGCTGAAGAAGAAGCATATTTCAATACCTCGGATGATGAGGAGGACAAATCTTATGACGGGAGCTTGACAAATGGAGCGTCACTCGTCTCGAAACCTTTAGTTGATTATCCATCTGATGAAGAAAATGAAAACTCGGAAAACGATGTTTCTGTGGATATAACCGCTGCTTCACTCTGCCAGAGCCCTTCACTAAAATCCCTTGCTTCAAAAGATTCCAGTGGGGACGAATTTGTCATGACTCCTACTTCTTCCACACCTACACCACCAGAAAGATCATCGGAAAAGCGCAGGAGGGAAGAGGATGAGGAAGATGAACTGGGCAAACTTTCCAATCACAAACGAAGAAGTTCGACGAGTTCGAATAGCAATGTGGTTAAGAGGAAACAGAGCTTCAACAAGGCTCGGGATGGTGGTAACGGACCTAAGAAAATTGCTATTAGTTTATCTCCAGCTATCAAAACTGGTGGTGGCAGTCCTGGTGGCAGTACGAGTTGAAATGCTGTTACGTCGATTTGCAAATCTTTTTTAAAGGAAGATTGGAATATCTTCAGAATGGCGCATTTTTAGTTGCACGAAATGGAGTTTAGGCGAAGGAGGGAAATGAGATGTCAGTGATTGATTTGATATAACATCACTCAGTCCAAAGGGGTGACTGCGATTACTTTGTTGGTATTGCTTTGAATTTGGCGCCAATAGTACAGTTTTGCTTGCCCCGTGAACAATATTTTATATTGTTCCTTTGGCTTCGGCTTGTTTTCCGCGTGGGTTGAAAGGGAAGGGAGGGAATGAAAACTGCGGAATAACTTGATCGCCGATACTTGTACAGTAGAAAGGACGGAGATTTCTGGAGTTCTCTCATTCTGATAGGAATGAATGGATGGATGAATGGGGGGATGGAAGGAGGAAAGGGAAGGAATGATTAGGATTGGAAGAGGAGAGGAGGGGATGAAAGAAGGGAAGGGAAGGAATGATTAGGATTGGAAGAGGAGAGAACAGATGAGTTGAGATGAATTGATACCATACATGTCGAATAGATATTGACATTGACATTGACATTGACATTGAGATCATGATGAAAATGAGCATTTTAGAGCCTTGATAATTTTTGTAGATCTTTAATATCATTTAGTAGTAGTAGTAATACTTCTGTCATGCTCACGGATCCCGGCGCTTAGTCATCTTCACTTATCCCTCGAATAATACATCAAAACCTTCAATTTATTGAGCCAATAGCAAGTTAAATCCGGCCGGGATTACTTATAAACAAGACTATTAATTAAAGAATATAAAAAAAATTGAAATTTCAAAAGAATACAAATGAACAAATTAAATTCTAAAATGAAAATTTTTCTTCAAATATATAATATAAATGAATTAATACCAGGGGCCTACGCCCCCCGGACCCCTGGCTTTTCGAGAAAGTCTAGTAAAAATTTAAGTTTTAAAAAGTTTATAATAAATTTAAATATTAAATATATATCAGGGTGTAGACAGAATATCGACTTGTTTTTGATAATTGAAAATTTAATATTCTTATTATTATTATTATTATTATTATTATTATTATTATTATTATTATTATTATTATTATTATTATTATTATTATTATTATTATTATATAAGTTGAATGAGATGAATTGAATGAATAGAATTGAATTGAATGAGTAGAGTTGAATTGAATGATTTCAGAGTGGAATGATTTTAATAGAGTCGAGTTGAATGATTTCAATTGAGTTGAATTGAAAAAAGCTCCAAGTCAGATTTGCCTAAGGTTGTAAGGCTTATGCCAAGCTTTTTGTTAGATTTTTTACCGGGGTATTTTAGACCAATCATATCTCAACCTTAAGCGAATCTCATTTTCCATCACCCACCGGGTAAACCTCGCGTACAGCAAGGTTATGGAGTCGGCAAGCCGACAATGATTTCAAATATATAAAATTTCAGATTTGCAATCGATTAATTATTGAGTACTTAATTGTTGAACTTATCATGATTTTCATCAAAGGTATTTGAGGCTATTCACAATCCTGGTAAGGTTATTCATATTCGACGAATCAAAGCTTTGGAATTGCGCTTCAAAACCCCACATCACAAGGCTACCTACGCAAAACTAACGACTGCCGTATCAACCAATTGGTGTTTCACTCGTATTGATGTAAATGTACGTATGAATGCACAGACAGACCTGCACGGAACTACTTACTACGAATTATGTATGGAATTAATTGTGGGGCGTAAGGCGAGGCCACGATTTACTTTACGTTAATGGGTGCTGCGAGTCTGCGACCGCTAGATTCGCGATAGAGAGTGTACTGTGATTGATTAGGTTACTGTGTCTTTTTTTTTTTGGTTGTGAATGTGAATAGTACAAAAGGAGAAAGAACGAAAGAAAGAAATAAATACGAATTGATTTTTGTGTTTGTGTTTTTGTATTTCTGTTTATTTATTTATTTTATTTATATAGATTTTGTTTTTGTATCTAGATAGTTATTGGGTTAGATGTGCGTTTGCGTTTGCGATTGAGATTGGGGATTGCGATTGAGATTGAGATTGCGATAGCAGACGCCTATTGATTGATTGACTGGTATATATTACTTACTTACTTACTTACATACGATACTTACAATACATAAGTCAAGGCGCGGAAATATTGATTGATTGATTGAATTTGGGAGAGCACGATACAATACGATACGATACGGGCAGAGAATTGCGGAGAAGAGAAGAGGAGAGTAGTGCAATTGGTGGATTCGGATTTTCGAATTGAGGAGGTGAATTGGGTGAATTGAGTGAAGGATTTCTGCCAGTTGTTTGGTTCTGGTTTTGGACAGGAATAGGAATAGGAACAGGAATTCAAGGACGGGGGAGATTGAGGAAGAATCGAGAGACTTGAAAGAGAAGAAAGAAGACATTGATTGCGTGCGCAGCATTGTTTGCGATTATCTACGAATATATCTGCGGCATCGAGAGCATTTGGAGAATTGATACGAGGGAATAATAGACAGTGTGGAGGAATTGCTGTTAGGGACTTTACAAGTGGAGGCCTCAACTTTTTTTTGCGAATTCACCTGCGATATGGCTGGGTTACTGGAGCTTCCGTTGAATATATTAGGGGAATTGTTGGAGGTGGTTAGAAATACGCCGGGTCATATATTATTATTGGTTTTGGTGGGATTGGTAGGATTGGCATTGGGTTGTGTGAGTTTATTTTTCGTTTTGTCTTCGGGATTGTATTTTGTGCTGGCTTCTCCGATGAGGATTGACTCTGGTATTTTAGAGACTTTTGCTAATGAGGTACTTGTAGATATACATATTTCTATTACTGGTCGCTCCAGTCCCAAGGCCACCTTACCCATCAGAAAAATCATACACAACAACCACTCCTTCAGGAGCCACAGAAACTAAATCCCTAACCTGCTGGTACGACAGTTGGGTTGCGCATCGCGAAGCCTCTGTTTCAAAAACAAGTCCCCCTAGAGAAAACGATGTCAGCACCGGGTTTATCGAACCTGCCTCAATAGAAATGAGTCTTGTAGTCCCAGCCTACAATGAAGAAGAACGATTAACAGGCATGCTGGAAGAAGCTGTATCCGTTCTAGATAATACATATGGACGGATCTCCAGAGGAAAGGGAACAGGAACAGGCTATGAAATCTTACTCGTAAATGATGGGAGTAAAGATAAAACAGTACAAATCGCATTAGATTTCTCGAGGAAAAATAATCTGCATGATGTTTTGAGAATAGTGACGTTAGAGGAGAATCGAGGAAAAGGAGGTGCGGTTACGCATGGAATGAGACATGTGAGGGGTGAATATGCGGTATTCGCTGATGCGGATGGAGCAAGTCGGTTTACGGATTTGGGAAAATTGGTTGCAGGGGCGAAGAAAGTGATGGATTCTGAAGGGAGAGCCGTTGCAGTAGGAAGTAGAGCTTGGTTAGTTGGAAGTGACGCGGTCGTTAAGGTAATTCTCTCTCATATTTTCCCATTCTTCTATTTGCTATCCATCAAATCCCCAAATCATCTACACTATCATTATAAATCCCCTCAAAATACTAACAAAAATAGCGTTCCGCTCTTCGCAACGCCCTAATGCATTCTTTTCACTTACTCCTCCGTCTCCTCACTCCACCAGCTACATCCCGTATTCGCGATACACAATGCGGATTTAAGCTTTTTACCCGCGCGGCTCTACCTCATATTATTCCGTATATGCATGCTGAGGGATGGATCTTTGATGTTGAAATGCTTATGTTGGCTGAGAGTGCGCCGGGGGTTGGGGTAGGGGATGAAAATGGAAAAGTGGAGGGAGGAATAAAAGTCTCGGAACAAGCAATTGGTTGGCAAGAAGTTGGTGGTAGTAAGTTGAATGTTATGTGGGATAGTTTGGGGATGGCGTGGGGATTGGCGGTTTTGAGGGGGGCGTGGGGTATGGGGGTTTGGAGGAGGAGGTGAGGTGAGGTGGGATGAAGTGAAGTAAAGTGAAGCTCTTCCCTTTCCTGAGATCTTGCCTGTAGATTAGTTGGTAAAGAGTATGGTGCTGTAGATATGGACATGGAGGGTATGTAAGGATAGATATGAAGATAGGGACAGAGAGAAAGAGTAAGAAAAAGAAAAGGAATTAATTAATAGACCGGCGTTATATTTTCTCGAAATCAAAATTCAGATTGAAATTGGAATAAAAATAAAAATAATTAAGTTTTTATTTAATATTATACTTTTTAATCTTAAACTTTAATCTAAAATTATCTTTTTAATTTTTTTGTATATATAATAAAACGAGCTCTTAACGTTTTAACCGCTATATTAAATAGATTTTATTATTGTTTTATATAATCTCAGCTGTATCAGTGTGAACCTCACTCCATCAAAAAAGCTCATAGTCCTCATCCATCAGTATTTTTCATTTCTAATTCTCAGCATCAATATCCTGTTTAGAATATACGGAGTGATTGAAAAGTATCTGTAATTTCGGATTTTTTAAGACGATGAATGGAGCTGTGTTTTCATGATTTATAGAGTTCCGGCGCCGGGGGAACCATTTTCCCACTTCAAAGTAGCACAATCCAATCAGAATAATGCTTTTAACTTTCAATCCGATTTTTGCAAATCTTATTTCTTTTTCATTCTATAATATAGACTGAAATATACTCTATATACATATATCCATACGACATAAAGCTAGTATAATACCTATTTCAACATTATCCTTACTTACCCTTCAACTCATATTGAAAATAATTAAACTTGTCGGAAAATATCCAGTAAGAAACTCGTCTCTACCACCGATTCCTACAGAAGGAGTGCTACTCAAGTCAAGCTTCCTCAAACAACAAATTTCCATCTACTCATCGTCGTTGATATCGATTATCGTCTTCGACCATTTGCGAGCCGGGACTTTACGCGTGAACAAAATGTCGATCTCACGGAAGGACCTGTTCTTCATTTCTGGAACCCAGACCCAAGCCATGGAGGTGCAGACGAAGGCGGTGCCAGCCCAGATGTAGCCGCTCTTGCCGCCCAGGTTCCACTTATCAGTGTTGAGCATGTAGCTAGAAAGGAAGATGCAAGGGATATCGACCAAGTAATAGGCAGCTCGTCCGATACCAGTTGTCAGTGGCCTAAGACGAACGGAAGAGGTCTCGCCAATGATGACCCATGAGGCAGGGGCGGGTCCCAAGCAGAACAGGACGGAGACGATCAAGGCAAGTGATGCTTGCGCATTGCTAGCCGCCGTACCACCGCCAACTGAAGCCGAAATACCGAGCGCGACTAAGAATACACAGTTGATGAATTGACCATAGACATAGATGGTGCGTCGGCCGAGGTATGTAGTGAGGACCCAAGAGACCATGACCATGATCCACTGGAGGCCAGAAGTTACGAGGCCAAGTGCAAATGCGGTGTTGTCTGCCATGCCGGCCTCTAACTTGGTGTTAGTCTGCTATAAGGTTGCAGGAAATGGGTGAACTTGCGTTTGAAAAAGTAAACCGCTTGGTTAGCGATCAGATTACCTGTCAGATTCTGAGATGCGTACACGCCGCATACAATCAAGGTGCGGTAGCGATCAGTACCTTTCCACAGTTCAATAAGACTGGGCTGCTCCACGCTCGTCTCAAGCTCGATCGTGCGACGTATCATTGCGACTGCGTCAGCGGGATTATCATTTGCACTCGCGCGTCCAAGGCGTTTGATAGCCTTCTCTGCCTCAGCCAGACGGCCCTTACGTACGAGCCACCAGGGTGATTCAGGCGCAATGAAGAGTAGGATAGCGAGTGGAGTAGGGAATATCCACTGGAGTGCGATGGGAACTCTGATATGATTGTTAGTACAGATCTTCTCGATGGCATCTATGGGAGCGGACGAACCTGTACGCTGAGGAGTCGGTCTTGGATTGGTAGTGGTAAGTGATACCGCCGACAATGATCGCTCCAATAGCCCAGAACATCTGCAACATCTGCGTCGCTGGAGCTCTCAATCTCAGTGGCACAATTTCAGCACAATAAGCGGGTGCATTGGCGATAAAAATACCCCACGGAATGCCTTCCAGGATCTGGGCCGCGAAAAACATACCCTGGCTGTTACCGAAATAGAAGATGAAGATGAAGGCGTTCAAACACATGAGACCGCCAATGGTTGCCCATCGATATCCAATCCGACTGGTAATGGGACCTGCGACGAAGACCCCGATGAAGGCACCCACTGGTCCGCTACACTGGAATGCTGACTGCCATGAAGCTTCGATAATCCACTTATCGGTTTTTGCGCTGTATACACCGAAATCGTGAGCGAACTGAGCTGTGGCTATGAACTGTCCCATCAAGAAAACACAGTAGGACTCCATAATCTATCATAGAGTTAGAGAAATATCTGCCTGTCATGGGCAAGAGCTTACAATCGTGCATGACATGACAAATGCCCACCAACTGGCAGCGGGATAGGCCTTGATAGCCTGGATCACACTCATGTCATGTTCGATCTTTTCAGCATTGACGGCGCGCATCCGGTCGTAATCGACCTTCTCGTCGACATCGTAGACAGGTGTGCCCGTGGAGGTGGGCTGCGCTTCGACCTCCACTAAGGTCGGCTTTTCTTCTGTGGTAGAGTTACTCATATTAACGATTTCTGAGAGAAACGTGAGAACGAAAGAGAGGTAGGCACAATTGGGGGTTTTGGGGTTCTTAAATATTTATCCCTGCGACAACACGCATAATCCACACAGAAATAATGGGTCGCTCTATTGTTCGCCCGAACGCGGAGAACTTGGGGTAATTCACTGCGGGGTTGTTAGCGCCATCTAGGTGGTTTTCACTGTTCTAAGCGGAGGAATTAGATACTTGCGTTTAAGTGATAAGGTTTAAATCATTTCTTATTGGATCCTATTAGAGAGTCAGTTGACACAGCTAATGCAGTAGGTGCAGCAGACGCTGTAGGGATATGCTAAAGCTCAATTTTAAACTACAAGGTTATTGCTGTCAGCCTGTATCCCCATTAGGTGCCAGTGGCCGCCGCCAGCCTGGTTCGTGCGATATACCTGGAATGAAGAGTCAAGATTGGTCAGAATGACTCAAAACTAGACTTATCCTTGATAGTTTTCGAAAAGGAAGATTATAATTGTATTTAGAATTAATAATGATATATAATATCTTCATTTGAGTATAATAATTGTCGGCTTGCCGACATCACAACCTTGCTATATACAAGGTTTACCCGGTGTAGATGATAGAAAATGAGAAACTCGCTTAAGTGAATCACGATCTTGATAATCTGATTGGTCTAAAATACCCCGGTAAATAATCTAACAAAAAGCTTAATATAAGCCTTATAACCTCATACAAATCTGACTTGAAGTTTTTTTCAACTCAATTCAATTAAAATCATTCAAGTTTATTGAAATCATTTAAATTATTCAATTCAACTTTATTTATTCAATTTATCTCATTCAATTTAAAAAAATAATAATATTTAAATAATATTATAAATATTATAAATATTATTTTTAAATAAAAATTTTCTATTTTCAATTATCAAAAACAAATTAATATTTTATTTATATCTTGATATATATTCAATATTGAAATTTTCATTAAACTTTTTTTGAAAAGTTAAAGATCTAAAAGATACAAATCTTCAATAATAATGATTGAAATTTTTATTATAAAATAAATAAATAAAATTGAAGAGATTATTTTAAAAAGAAATAAATAAAATTGAAGAGATTATTTTAAAAAGAAATAAATAAAATTGAAGAGATTATTTTAAGAAGAAAATTTTTTTATATATATATTAATTTAATATTTAATTTAATTTAATTTAATTCTATATTTAAATTAATATATTTATATATATATATATATATTTAATTAATCAAGACTTATATTTATTAATATTGATAGAATAAAAATACTATTATTAAAATAAAAAATAAAATAAAAAGAGACTATACAATTATACACAAATACAAGCTAATAAACATCAAATGATTATATTCCGAAAATAACAATTTTAAAACAAACAGCAAATATCCCTCCCTATCCTCTATAAAAAATACATGGTACTTGAGTCTTGCGGGCCCCGTACCCTAATCCCATTTCGAGATAGATAGATCTAGATCTAGATGGCTAGTATGTGTTGTGTTGTGTTGCTGGATGCTGGATGCTGGATGCTGGATGCTGGATCTCAGATTAGACGTGGCGCTTTTAGTGTATGCAATGAGAAATCGGATGGGCTATGCTTGTCGGGGTTTTTTAGCTGCGGCCGAGACCGGACGGACCGGTGTGGAGGATGGGAGGAGAAGATGATAATGCGATTCTTGTGTTGAAAGTGGCGGTAGACTCGGGATCGTTACGCACGCACCTTGCCTTCGCGATTGTTAAACTTACGTATAGAAAACAGCATTACAATTTGGAAAATATAAAAATGGGTTTGTTATATCTGTTGTTTGGTTATATATGTATATTATACTTTGGATCGATTTAAACCAATTCAATTCAATTCATAAAATATCACATCATATATTATATATCCTATCTCCCAATACCCTATCTTCTAATCTCTTATATAAATAATCACAATTCAAGTCTCAAATCTTCAAATCTCACCCGCTATCCCATTCTCCATCCTATCCCATCCCATCTTATCCCTTTGATCCCTACCTCTATCCCTACCTATCCATCTTTCTATCTATCTATCTACCTATCTACCTATCTATCTAACAAAAACAGCTCTTACACGCAAAAAAAAGCCTGAACTAAATAAACTAAACTAACGAGCATACGATGATATAAAAACACAATACAACATAACACATAATAAACATATAGCGGAAACCCACATACAGAGGAAGGGGAGGAGGAGGCATATATAACATATCAAGAGCAATCCAAATACACACCCATTCACCTACACTCTGCGTATGCATTTCACCCTCCATCCTCTATCCTCCATCCTGCATCCTGCATCTTCCGACCTCCACAACAGAAAGGCGTGGAAAGGTATTTCTATCCCTTTTTCTTCTTCATAGTCTTCTTCATATTTCCAAGTCCCTCCCACCTTCTTCTATCCATCCATCCATCCATCCACCCAAATACACTTGTGAAATTTATTGAAATCGTGTTTCATCTCCTTCTATCCTATCATAACATATCATAACATAACATATCCAAACTCTATACAATATATAGGGAATAGGAACTAGCACTCCCCCTTTCCACTCCAGCTTCCACTTCCACTCCCCCTCCCCTCCCATTCCCACTCCCGGTCCAAGCACAAACTTAACAATGAGAAGAGCAAGTTTGAGATGAAAGCACTCCTAAACCCCTAAACTAATAAACCCCAAAAGTAAGAGGTAAATGGTAAAAAGTAGAAAAAATAGGAAAGGGTATCAACTCTTTCTCTCTCTCTCTTTTGTTTCTTTCTCTCTCTCTCTCTCTTCCTTTCTTTCTCTTTCTGTATGTGCGTCTCTCTCAAGCGCGCTCGCTCTCTTATTCTTTCTGACTTCGACTTCGACTTCCGTTTCTATTTCAATCAATATGGATATCGATATCCAATCTTCCAGGACTAGAGTCCCGTCTTCCTTGTGCTGGCCCGGACTAGGTCTTCAGTGGCAGGAGATGAGAGTATGTAAACCCTTCATTCATTTCCACTTTCCACTTGCCACTACCCCCTTTCCTCTCTACCGTAATATAAGAGTAAAGGATTTCGAGTTTAAAGCTTCCCAAGATACCAGTGGGCATCAAATAAATCCAATCACGCCTGCTCTTATTCTTTAAAGGCCCCACTTCAACCCCTAACAAGCAATACCAACATTCAACAACATCTACTCCTCCTCTTAACCACACCACCTTCTTCATCCCTCCTCTCCCTTCCATCAGCATTCCACCCCGTATTAGCCCCTGCACTCGCCCCTGTAATCCCCACTTCACTTCCCCCCGCCGAGGTCCCACCCGTTAATCCAAGTAACCAACTCCTCCTATCACCCCTACCCACCCTAAAACTACCACCTGGCCTCATAATCCCATCAAAATAACCCGTTTGACCCTCCATTCCCGTTCCATCGGGATTCATCGGTGTTCCTGGCGTTTGCGCCGCACTCATCAATTGTTCTCTCATTTTATTATTCTGCTCGACCAATTTCCTCGTAATAACTCTAAAAACTTCTTCTACACCCTCTCCACTCTCCGCACTAACTTCATGACAACAATCCCATCCAACTTCCATACCCCAGAATCCCGAACTTCTTTTACTAGAAGGCGAACGTGCGCCTTCCATTCCAGTCATTGTTCCTTGTCCACCTGTTCCCCAAATTCCACCTCCTGAGCCGGCCCAACTCCCAGGACCACGTTCACCTCCAAGCGCTGTAGCGGGTGGTGTACCGCCCAATACAGATGTGACATTTTCGGCAACATATGCAATACATCTTTCAAATGGAACTTCCCTTGCACTAGGATCTTTAGCTACGAGATCAGCTTTGGTGCCCACAATGTGTAAAATGATATCAGCAGGAAGATTGCGACGAAGTTCGGTGAGCCAAATGGACATTTCGTTGAAGGAGGTTTGAGATGTAATGCTATAGCAAAGGATACAGGCATTTGCGCCGCGGTAGTAGAGGCGAGATATGGATCTGTGGGTTGAAAATTGGGTATTAGCATGGCTTTTTTGGTTTTGCTGATCTTATTCTCATTCTCTCTTTCTCCCCATGCCATCCTCCACTATTCCCATCTCCACTTCACCTCCGCACCCACATCCCACATCCCACATTTCAAGACACTAGCCCACTCCCTCCCCTCAAAAAACAAGATAGAAAAACGCTCCCAAAACATACCTAAACCGTTCCTGACCCGCCGTATCCCAAATCTGCAATCTAACCACAGTATCACTCTCTGCATCCACAACTCTTTTTGTCAAAAAACTTGCTCCCACAGTTGATGTCGTAGTTTTCGGATTAAATTGATTTTTTATGTAGCGGAAAAGAAGGGATGTTTTGCCTACGCCTTGGGCGCCTAGGACTACTATTTTGGCCTCTAGGGAGGTACTCATTTTTGTTGTTTTGAGGGGGTTTGGTGGGTAGGCTGGGTGTTGACGGAGGTGGAGGGGTTGGATGCGCGGGTGTGTAATAGGTATAAGTATAGTAGGAGGAGAATGACTGGATGGCGTATGTGTATCTTAGAGGATAGGTAGGCAGGTGAATATTTCGTAATATCCTCAGATGACTGGTTTCCGCGGTATAAATTGTCTTGGTTGCCCCCTTCGTCTTCTCGTCTTATTATTCCTTCCCGTCCTTCTACAATGACTCGCAGATTATTTCCGTCAGTTTATTCGCACAATTAGTCTCCAAAACCAGTATGAATATATATCCTCTCCGTATTGATCGTACTCCCAAAAACGCACGTTCAACGGGTTTATTCCAAAGTTTCTCGGCGCCCTTTTCCAAGTGTCTCAAAATCCTCAAATGAATCCCTACATATGCTCCCTTAGTCTTTTCTTCTTCTTTCTTGTCTTTCTTTCCTCTAATTATCGCATATATCTCCTCTATGTATCTGCCGTAAAGTAATTCGTTCTTCTATCTCTCGTTTCTTCGATCGATCGTTCTTTTGTAAAGTATTCGTTCCTTTCGTTGCCTTGCCTTGCCTTTCCTTTCCTTTCCCTATCCAATCCAGCTTTGTTCGTTTCGGATCGTTTCGTAATGATTCATATGCTCATATATTTCTCAATCCATCTCATCCTATTGCTCTCGTTCCTGGTGTCATATCGTCATATCTTCATATCTTCATCTTATCATCTCATCTCATCTCATCCCAAAATCCAATATCGTATGTGCGGCGTAAGACCTCAATCTCAATCTCAGTCCCAACCTTAAATCCAGCCCCTCGATTCAAATATTCGCTCAGAAATATTCGTTCAGAATTAGTCCAAATATTCACTTCTTCATAGATATACCCTCCGCACTTCAGTAAGTAGCAGCTCTTCAATCCAGATCTCAACCTCGACGTAGAATTCAGCTTCGTTTGCAGTGATACCCAGAGTCCAGCTATCTGAATCTGAATCTCAATCCCAAACCCTCAACCTTCATTCACCACCTAAGAAATCAAACCGCACAAACAATGAATGAACAAACACAATAATAAAAATCGTCGTGCAGTTCAGAATCCTGATAGCCGTATCTAATCAGTAGGTATCCCCGTTTCCAAAAACCTTCATTCAAAACCTCGGAATTTAATTTCCAAATAAAGTGTACCTAGGTAGGTGTCCGATGAAAAAAACAACGAATCAATTTTTGATCAATAAATCAATAAATCAATTAATCAATCAATCAATCCAGCTACGTACCCGAGTATATACTAGATAGTAATCTAAACTACACAAACAAGTTGTTGTCGAAAATATGTAAATAAATAAATAAATAAATAAATAGTTCAACTAGATTTTAACTTAACCACAACTATCTACCCTAGGTATATCATATACCTAGGTAAGATCTTTACATGGAAATTAAATTTACCATTCCCTTCATTCACTTGCTCACTTTACCACTCATCCATAGTAATTTTCCAATTTTCCAATTATCCATCCAATTCATCCATCCAGCCAGCCAAGCACCAAACATGGGATCAACCCACCAACTCACTAACTCACCAATGACGCAGCCATCTAGACCATCACAGATTATGCATCAGAGATTGTGCCTAGCCTAGACACTCACCACTCACTCCATACACTCACTCCATCTCACTCCATGCTATACTCCATACTCTCTAAATGACTCCATATAATAAACCCCTGCGATCATCATCATCATCATCATCATCATCACCAAACATAATCCATCCTCCCATCATCATCATCACCAAACACAATCACCAAACATACACACAAAAGAAACTCGGGGCACGCATGACAACTTATGCATCATGTGTTTCGAATAGCTTCGAATAGTTTCGAAATAGTTTGAAATAGTTTGAAATAGTTAAAAGGGAATGTGAAACATACTAGATTTACTTAGCTAGTATACCTAGTCTACCTAGTATGTGCCTAGTATGTTATGTTATGTGAATGAATGAATGATTGGATATGAGATCATATGAGATATTAGAAACGGAAGGAAATGCATGTATGGGATTTTAGTTTTCGGTTTGGATCGGTTGGACTGGGGTGATGATCGATCAATCGGTGGGGGAAAGGAATATAAATCGCCGCACGCACTGCAAGTAGGAGCTTTTGATCCGAGGTATACTTGACTCTTGTTGTAGGATCTTTATAACATCTTGTCTGTCACATTTATACGTAGTGTATGTATATCATATATCATTTAAATTCTGGTAAATACAAATCCTCTATCTATATAAATCTGACACCATAAAAAACAACCCCCATCTACAACTTCGCCTTAGCCTTCTCCGCAGGGTTCGCCAAAGGATCATAAATTGCCATGCCCTATTCAATATTAGTCAAGAGCCTTTTAGCATCAAACAAATCCCAACTTACCAAATTATCAGCGGGAACCACGGTAGTATGTGAACTCAACCCTCTGGTATCAATCAATGTTGGATTCAATTGATCCACACTCGAACAACCAATCAGTCTCATGTTCATTTCCATCTCATCTTTCAATAATTGCATAGCACGATCTACTCCCGCCAATCCATATGCACTCATTGCATATAAGAATGGTCTACCGATTCCGACACCTTTAGCACCTAAGCACAGAGCTTTAATGATATCCGTAGATCTTCGGATGCCACCATCGATGTAAATCTCGATACGGTTCTCCCACCCACGTTCTCGAAGAACAGGCATAACTTCTGCAAGAACTTCAATACCGGAACGAGCAAAATCTAATTGACGTCCTCCGTGATTAGAAAGCACAACACCTTGAACACCACACTCGATAGCTCGAATAACATCTTCCACTCGTTGAACACCCTTAAGAAGGATAGGCATCTTGGTAATGGATTGAAACCAAGGGATGTCCTTCCAGCTCAAAGCTGGATCGATGAAACTTGAAATAGCTCTTGCTGCACCTTGGGAATTGTCTGTAGATTGTCCACTGCTTGATTGAACAGATGATCCTACATCGGTAAACTTTGAACGCATATCTTTTTCTCTTCTTCCTAATTGAGGCGCATCAACTGTGATGAATAGACCCTTACAACCACGACGTTCGGCATGCTGAACAATCTTTTTGGTAATCTCTCGATCCTTATTAACGTATAGTTGTAGCCATTGAACCTGACTTTCCCCTGCTGCATCCACGATTTCATCAAATGAGCAAGATGCTAGAGTTGGAATCATCTGTATAACATTGTGTTTCTTTGCCGCTCGAGTAAAGACGACCTCTCCTTCAGGATTTCCAAGTTTTCCTAATGCTGTAGCGGTGACATAGAATGGGATATCGCATTTCGTTCCAAGCATGGTTGTACTAAAATCGACCTTTTCTACATCCACAAGTATCTTTGGTCGAAACCATATCTTGTGAAAGGCAGAATGATTTTCTCGCATAGTCTACTAATATTAGCAATGGCATAAGAATTGAGGAAGTGGAAGTCCTTACGATTTCATCATCAGCACCACTGGAATAATATGCCCAAGCAGTCTTCTTCATAGTTCTTCTTGCCACTGACTCGAAATCCATCAAATTGTAACATTGTTCCAAAATTGGCATACGTGCAATTCTTTCTTGCCTTGCCTCTTCTTCTGGATCAAATTCTTTTTCTTCCTTCTCGACTGTGCCCATATCAACTGGTCCTAAATGTTTCGATTTATCCAAGAATTTATCGAGAGTATCAGGTGGATGAATTGGTTCGTATTCTTCTGTTGCATCTTTACCCTGTATTGTAAAGTTAACACGGCATACATTGAGATATATGGGAGAATATTTACAGCATATTTGAGAATGATCTTAGGTCCACCAGGATGTTCTATTTATGCGATTAATATGAGTCTTCTCGGTGTACGATATATATCTTCATACCAGGTAAGAACTCTGTAACATCATAAGCTTTTCCCTACATCAAAATTAGTCATTGCCGCCCCAGCCCTGAAGGGAATACATACATGAACAATAACCCAACATGATTCTCTTGAGTTATGTTCTGCCACCTCCTGTCCGGTCAACTTGGCCATTTTGTCGTTTAGCTTGTGATAATGAAATGCTTTGGGATCTTTAAAATGGCAACGTCAATGAAAAGAAAGGAGAACGGGTAAGAGAAAGAATGATTGATGGTAAGTATCAAAAGATTCTAAGAAGAGAAGAAGTTGAGTGTAGATAGATAGGTATTATCAGCATAAATAAATAGTTATGATTAGGATCTACCGGTAGCAGATAGGATAGTTGGGGACTCATACTCGTAGCCTCGGGAATAAACCTTGTACATGGGGTCCCATTAAGGAACTGAATTCCATGCCCCGGCATATCCAGCCTCTCATTTTAGATTCAGATTCGCTTTTTCGGATGAATGGCGAACGAATGAAAGAGAAGGTACTGGGGTATGTTGACTTTTCAGGTATGTAGCTAGTGCGTATACAATAGACAAATAGACTTCAATTGACACTAACAGAAATGCCTCCGAGTCGACGGTGAGTATGGAGGTATAGCATTGGGAAATGTTCAAGGATGATTATACACGTATTCGCTGCAAAGAAAAGTTATGGGTTCGATAGATAGCTGCGTACCTCCGTAGTAATGATTTATCTCCGTACCTCCGATCAACAACGATGGAGAATCCCAACCTATGAGATGCGGGGAGAGCTACGGGTAAGGTTAAGGATGAAAAGAATTTGACCAATGAAATGTCAGGCATTAGATACCTAGGTATTGTTTGTTGAGATGAGATGGGATATTTAAATTATTAGGATATAACATTAGGTGCCTATTGATCATTGGGAATTCTATTTAACTATCATCTCAAACTACCAGAGAATATACATTACTTCCCAAGGCTTTAGAGGGTATATCGCTATGGTATCAGATTCAAACATTACATGTCATATCTCGGTCACGAACTTGAGAGGGCCATAATTCCATGTCCTCTCCATAATATACCTGCTAGTAGCAACGTAATTCCCATTATGTTCATTACTCATAGCTCTACCACCTCGACTGGATTTCCTATATCCGTCGATGATTGATACACAACTGCAGCATTGATCATCAGTCCACCATTACCACCTGCTGGGCCAACCATTAATCTTTGCCATAAAATTCCCTTCACTCCATACCATATCACTTTCATGGCATCTACCCATGCTAAACTAGGTATCAGGTCCCTAATCAAACCTCCTGTCTTTCTCTCCATTAGCCTCTCATAAGCCTCTTGTCCCTTATCCCAAAATACAGCTTGACGGCCATGTCCGGAGTGTATATGTCCAAAGACGTGAAGTCGAGGTTTAACCTTCCATATTTCTTCAAGTAGGGACTTGCAACCTAGGTTGATGTCAAGATGGTGTCGAGGAGGAGAGTGTGTAATTAGGATGTCTGTGTCCTTCGGTATGCGATTTTCCCACGGTGCATGATGTCTTTGATATTGAAAACTATTAAATTCAGGTACAATTAGCATTCGAAGTCCACACAGAAAACCACAAGTTTCTTACGCAAAATCAGAACCACCACATTGAGGGATATCCGGCGATCCATAAACTTTCAGTTTCCTCCCCCCTTTGAATTTTAGCGTTATAGCTTTATTCTCCAAATAATGTAAACTTTTAAAGTTTAAATTCTTCCTCCTATCTCCTTCTTTCCTCGACCTGGGATCAAAATAACTATCATGATTTCCACAAATAAACACTTTCTCTCTATGCGGTTGTTGATCCAACCAATCTATTTGCGCTTGGATCTCTTCCACGGTGCCGGCATTGGTCAAATCTCCAGCATGAATTAAAAGATCGCCATGGGGAATCGGTAATGTATTGCAATGGGTATCTGAAATGCAAACGACGCGAACAGGAGGTTTGTTGCGAGGAGGTTTGAAGGATGCGCCTCGAAAATAGAGGAGAATTGTGTGGAGATAGAAGATCAATGTGCGAAGTGGAGATTCGAGGAGAGAATCAAGAGGGGTCGGAGGATCGAATATATTGTTTCGACGAGACCATGGGTATATGATTTTTTGTTTGGGTGCCATGATTGAACTGAAGTATGTCGGCGCCAGTTAGTGGAAGGTGGATGGATAAATTTAACAATCTGCCGATAAAAATAGATGGAATATGATATTTTTAGGACAATCCTCAATTAAGAGTTGCCCTTCTTTCCGTTATATTGATTAGGATAAAATCGGCAACAATTTGATGGTCTATCAACATTAAACTGGCACCGGGTAGCTTCCTAACAAAGCCGAGCTTTCAATTGATTATTCATAAATGACCAGGATAAATCCAAGATCCAACAAGTTGATCTCCAATTTTAGCGATGATTCCGTCATGGGGTTGTTTTAGTGGTTTACTGCTTCATTGGCTTGATTGAATGAAGCTTATGAAATATTATCAATGTCAACAAAGAGCAGGTTCTGCTTATTTACCAAGTTTTAACCTCTCCCTCTCCCTCTCCCTCTCTCACTCAATCATACCTGCGCCTACTTCAATCCATCAAAGTCCCGAGGGCAGATTTGCTTCGACGATATGGCTTCCCTCAAGGCTGTTTCCGAGCCAAACACAGAGCTTGGAAGTGCTTTGAAAACAAATTTTGAGTAAGTAGATAGGAAGAGCTAAAAACATAAACATAAACATTAGCTGATCAATTCTTTTGCAGTGTCGACTTTGTAATCGATTATCGTTTTTCTACTTCAGGTATGAGAGGCCAGGTTCCCGCACTCAATCGGACGACAACTAATGCAACCCCTCCAGACAAAGACCACGCCGAAGCACAATTCGTAAAGCTTATCGAATCTGTTCATGACGTTGGGTTAACGACTGAAGTACGAAATGGAGATAATTTTGGACTTCTAATATTCGTCAAAGCTGCTAAGGAGAGACTCAGATCTGAAGTATATCGCTCGCGAGTACAGGATTGGTTATATGGAGTTCGAATAACTGCACCGGCGAAGGATATTCATGAAGCTTTCGAGGTAGAACCAGTGACTGAGGCCGAACGATTGAGATTGGTTTATTTGTTAATTACTAAATCCAAAATTGAAGGTGGTGCCGGGATTACGCCTAAGAGAGGGGAATGGATGGGAGTCGAGTCGATATTTCCCCTCCATGATCATGCATTCAATAAGGCTTGGATTACCGAAATCACCACAAAATATCTCCTAACCACCAAGGATCTGGAGGATATTAAGAACAGATTTGGAGAAAGGATTGGTTTCTATTTTGCCTTTTTACAATCTTATTTTAAGTTCCTGGTGTTTCCTGCCGCATTCGGATTCTGCGCTTGGGTTCTTCTTGGTGAATACTCCCCGATATATGCCATTGTCAATGGCATATGGTGTATCGCCTACACGGAATATTGGAAGAAGCAAGAGACGGATCTTGCAGTACAATGGGGTGTTCGAGGTGTATCAAAGATTCAGCGCAAAAGAGTGGATTTCAAACCCGACAGTGAGATTACGGATCCTATTACTGGAGAACGAATTAAGTTTTACTCGCCGGTTAAAAGGTTGAGCCATCAGTTGCTACAAATACCCTTCGCACTCTGTGCTACCATCTTACTAGGAAGTTTGATTGCATCTTGCTTTGCCATTGAAATCTTCATCTCAGAAGTCTATGATGGGCCATTTAAAACATATTTGGTATGTACATGAACCCTAAATTGAGAATCCAGCTAACCATAGGAGACCTTCTTGCCAACTGTCATTCTTACTGTCTTTATGCCGACATTAACCGTTCTCTTGACGAGAATTGCCTCAAAATTGACAGATCTTGAAAACTATCAAATAGTTGCCGGTGAGTAATCACCTAGTATTCTGCTTTGAGTTTCACTGACCTCAAATAGTACATGAGGCAGCAATGGTTCAAAAGATATTCGTACTCAACTTCATAACATCCTACGTGCCAATTTTCCTCACAGCATTTGTCTACGTTCCGTTCGCTCAAGTCATCGTTCCTCATCTGGACATTTTGCAAATGGCAGTGAAACCATTCGCCGAGAACGATGAACAGATGACAATATCAACAGCTGGATTTCAGATTGACCCTGATCGATTGAAGAAACAGATTATTTATCAAAACGTCACAGCACAACTTGTTAATTTCGGTGTTGAGGTCATCATTCCATACGCCAAGAGAATGGTCTTCAGAAAATACAAAGAAATTCAAGCAGACCGTACCACAAAGCGCAGAGGTTCTTATTCACCAGAAATGGATCATCCAGAAGAAATCGAGTTCTTGACTCGCGTGAGAGATGAAGCCGAACTTGCGCTCTATGATGTTGCAACAGATTTCAGAGAGATGGTCATTCAATTCGGTTATCTATCTCTGTTTTCAGTCGTCTGGCCTCTAACGGGCCTCTCATTCCTCATAAACAATTGGGTTGAACTCCGCGGTGACGCCGTGAAAATCGCACTTGAAGCTCAACGACCTGTTCCATGGCGCGCGGATTCTATTGGTCCATGGATCGAGGCTCTAGGCTTCTTATCTTGGCTCGGTAGTCTTAGTGCCGCTGCTCTTGTTTACATTTTCTCTGGAGATGGTATTGGTCCAGATGGTACACCGAGTAACATGACAGGATGGGGTTTATTACTCACCATGTTCTTCTCGGAACATATCTATCTAACCTTAAGATCAGGCATCAGATTAGCATTGAGTAAAATTGATAGTCCAGGATTACAGAGAGAGCGAAAGGAGAGATTTGCTGTTAGGAAGTACGTTATTCCTGTTATGTTTGCGTCGTTTGTGCCCCTCATTTCGTTGGTTTGGCGTTTTTGACTTTTGGGTTTTATTTCGGGAGACTAATGCATACGTGTGATGAATAGACAATACCTAGAAGGAATGAAATCTCAAGAAGCGACTGAACAAGCTTCTCAGGGAGGAATGAGTCAAGGAGAGAAGATTAGTAGAAACACATTGGAAGAGAATGCTAGGGAATCAAGTTTAAGGGGCCGTGGAACAGTTGAGGAGAGGTATGTTTTCTTTCATTTGTGGGTAGGCGGGAGTAGGGTAGAGGGAAAAAGAGGTTGCGGTATCAATTTTGATAGATCTAACGAACAACCAAATAGATTTTGGGCACGACAAAGAGGACAAGGAGAAACTATCGCCATGGGAAAAATTTATATTAATAAAACGATGCTCACTTTTGGGTCCGGGCAATCAAAGAAGGAACTTTGATTATTTTATGAGATGCGATTGATGGATGGATGAGGGAATTGACTTTCTTCACACCTCTTTAGTATCAGAGTGTTTAAATTGGACTTGACTTGAGGTGGGGAGAGAGGAGGAGAGGGGTGGAGGAGAAGAGGAGAAGAGGGGGGGTTTGATAAAATGAGAAATATATAAAGCTTTGATAGTTTGGTAGTTTGATATGTGTACGCGTGTATGCATACGAAGGGGAGATCATGAACTAAACTGAATTTGAATTGAATTGGATTCAATAGATGGAATGGATTAGAATGAAAAGCGCTCTTGTTGACTCTCTGCTTCTATTTTATCTTACCCTGATTCTCATCTGGTGATCTCATACTCGAGTATTAATTATATCTATCATCTTATTGATTATATTTCTAAAAGAAAGAGATAATATTTTGTAAATGTACAACGAAAGGTTTAAATATTTGAAAAAACAGAATGATTAGATTGAAACAGTGAATGAGAAAAAGATACGACTTTTGAACATTCAACGAAACAAAATCATTAGCGATAGCAGGGTGTGGGTGTGAGTGTGAGTGTGAGTGTGAGTGTGGGAGATGAAGATAGAGAAACCAAATTTTTTAAATTTTTTTTTGGAGAAAGATAATATGAAGGAAGGTATCTATTTGTTTTTGGGAGTTTTTAAGTGGTGGGAATAAAATGAAATTTTTGACGAAACTTTTTTGATCAAGCTTTTTGATTTGAGAAGAAATGCATTGTGGGGAAGTGGGGAAGTGGGGAAGTATCTAGAGAACATGTGAGTTGTACAACAATTACTTTTTTTTTGGCAAGTTTTGTTGCACGTCTGATCCGCAGATGATATGATTTGCGGATTATCCGCGGATAATGAATGTATGTATCTATCTTGTTTATTTATAATGGGGCGGATTATTTTGAGAGGCAGGTCTAATGAATGGATAGATGGATGGATGGATGGATGGATGGATGGATTATTCATGGGCGGATTGTTTTTGTGGAGTTTATGCTGTGTAGATAGATACGTTAAGGTATGTTTGGGAGTTTGAAGAAATGATATGATGGGATAATGGAGGATTGGTGTGTTTTATTTATATTGGAGAAGTATTGGATTGAAGTGAGCTGAGTAATAGAGTGTGGATGGTCATAAGTGAAGATGGAGTTAAGGTGAAGGAAATAATGAAGGAGATGATGAAGGAAATACTTTAGTGGTGAAAGGATGAAGTTTTTGATGTGTTTGATTGATATCGTGTTGAGTGAGTCACTTGTTAGAGAAAGTAGTTGAGGATATTATTATAACGAATAATAAATATATTTAATATCTTAAGAATAGAGAGATGTTTTTGAATATATGATTTACTTACTCGCTTCCTTTACGTTACATGCAACCCACCTCTTCCCCTCATCAAAAAAGAAAGAACCCTCCTTCCATTTATCCCATCTTTCCTTCCCCCAAAACCAAAAATTCCAAAAAAACAAAAAAAATATGATGAGAGTGGGATTCGAACCCACGCCTGTTTCCAGACCAGGAGATTCATTCACATGAAACGTTTGTTAAGCATAACCTTAACCTGGCGCCTTAGACCAACTCGGCCATCTCACCTTTTTGGTTGTGATGGGACGTAGTGGTTTTGGGGTTATATTATTTAGTGAGGTGGATGATGGGGTGTTAGGTTGCTTAGGTGCTTTGCTTTGGTGTGCTGGGTCGCTTTTAGATTTAATTTAGAACTTGTAAGATTAGAATCGATTTCGATTTCATCGGCGAAGTGATCATGAACTAGGTATATGATGTCACGAATGAGATTGGTGTATTTTACTCTGCTTAGAGTATGTATGTCCTTGTGTATTTCGCCTTACATATATCCAGATGTGGAGTAAAAGTTAAAAGAGAACAAACAATTCTTGTTAATTCTTAAAGGAGGTCGAGAATATTATATATATAAGTTTGTAAAATAAAAAATAAGTTTTTATGTTTTGATATTTCAATATTCTTTAAGATTATGAAAAATAAAAAGATGTCTTATTATTTATTATTTATTAAAATTCAGAGTAAAATCACATGGATTATAATTATTTAGAATTTATCTCTTCATTCATCTCCCCATCCATCTCTTCAATCATCTCTTCATCAATCAACCCATTCCTCCATCTATCAATCCAATCTTTTCTCTAATATCCATTCCCCCAATCACCCAATCATCCAATCATCCACTCATTCCTCTCCTCCAACCCAAATCCCCATCTCCTCACCCCCTACCTCATCTCAAAACATCACAAATGAATTCAAAAGCCATCAAATCCAAGATTACCTAGATAATCAAAAAGACTCCTATTATCTATCTACCATATCCCATACCATATCCCAATTCCACCATAGTAATTTAATCTAATTTACCTCAAGCCTGTGACCAATTTAACACCCTCGCTATGCTATACTATACTCACTAGATACACTTCTACTATACTCTACTATGATAATACTAACCCGAACCATTTATCCAATATCCAATATCCAAAATAATCTTAAAAAGGGTTAAAAAATACGCCTTTCGTGTAATTCCCGCAGATGCCATATGCATGCATGTATACCACAATGCAATGCAATGCAATACCTATAGAACTGGTGAACCAACCCGTCCCATCCAAAATCTCTAAACCAACAATATATCAATCCAATCCAATCAACCATCTTAATAATCCAACCCAAAACGCCATTCTCACACACCATTCTCACACACCATCCCCTCTAATCCCAACCCCATCTAAATCGGCGCACTATCCCTCCTCTCCACCCCCGCCCTCTCCTCCTTCGAATCCTCCCTACGCCTATCCAGCACCACACCTCTCGCAAGCCACCTCTCCATCTCCGGCACCAATTCCCCTATACGAAAAGGTTTCGTAACGACACTATCCATACCCGCCTCTTTCGCTCTAGCAATTTGTTCACTTCTCGCATTAGCCGTTACGGCTATAACTGGTACACGTCCTTTGACTTTTCCTTCTTTTTCCCATTTGCGAATTTCTCGCACGCAGGTAAGACCATCCATTATTGGCATTTCAAGATCCATTAATAGGATATTACATGGTATTCCTGGATCGCCTTCTGGCAATGTGGTGGAAAATGTGGATTTTTCGAGGAATTCGAGAGCTTCCAAACCGTGATTCGCAACGCTGACAGTACAACCTGCGCTACGGAGCTGTTTGCTTAAAACCTGATCAGTTAGTTAGTTTGAAATTTAATAGTATAAGAAAATAACATACTTTTTGATTAACGATATTGTCTTCCACAATAAGAATATGTTTTGGGGTTGATGAAGCCGGACTTTGAGAACGGCGACTTATTAAACTATGACGAGTTGGTCCTTTGACTCGAGCGAGAGAATTATTCGCGATGATATTATTTTGCGCTTGAGCATCCATTTGAGGAACAAAAGAATCCTTATCTTCAGGTGGTTCGCAACGGCGAGCGCGAATGTAAAATGCAAATGTACTTCCTACCCCTGCTTTGGAGGCAACTCCTATTTGACCACCTTGAAGCTCTGTAAGTTCTCGAGAAATAAACAAGCCGAGACCCGATCCACCATATTGAACATGTGTTCGTGGTGAAGCCTGGGAAAATCTCTTAAATAAGAGATTGCATTCGGTTTCATCGAGACCGCGGCCACTATCTTTAACTTCAATATGTAGATATACAACTTCTCCATTACCCCATTCACTCTCTGGTGTGTTATCTTTGTGAGAATTGGTTCTTGAAAGGTAGACAAGACCTGGTGTGCTAGGAGGCTCGAGAGCTGCGCTCACAGTGATAGCGATATTTCGTTTTGCTTGAGTTTGTGTAAATTTAATGGCATTTGTGACGAGGTTGATAAGAACTTGTACTAATCTACTAGGATCCAATTTGATCCAGTCGATACTGAGTTCTTCAAACGTGGGAGATACATGAAACCTTAGAGCGACGTCACCTTTTTGTAATTCTCCATCAAATATCTTGAGTGCATTTTTGATCATAAGTAATGGTTGTACTTCGGTTGGAGTGACGAATAACAAATCTGAATCCAATTTACTCAAAGTCAGAATATCATCAATGATTCTTTTCTGGTGTTGAGCACAAAGGACAATCGTCGAAGCTGCATCTGCATATCCATGGACTGCTTCTCGTGGAAGAACAATATCACTAGTTCCTCCATCGAATTCTTTGACCGAAATTCCAATCATATCTGCACACTGGATGATTGCCGATAATGGGTTCCTCATTTCATGTGATGTCATGTCGATGAAATTCTCTTGTTGTCGCTTTAATTCAACTGCTTCTAGCATCTTTCGTTTCTGGAAATCCTCTGCCCATTTTTGTCGACTAATATCTGTCAAGCAACCTAAAACACCAACGACCTTACCGTCATCTGCCTTTTCAGGATATGCAGCTTGTATTATCCAAATTGCGCCATCAATCTCTTCATCTCCAATCTTATCAGCACCTTTAAAAAGTGCTCGTAACCGAATTTCAAAAGAGACAGGTTCGCCAGCCATAAGCTTTTCCCATTGTGCATCCATTATGGGCCAATCTTCCTCCATGAGTACATCATACCAGCTCTTCAGAACAAATTTGTCAGCAAACAATCTAGGAATAGGGAACAAGTGGATTTGAAGGAGGATGCAAGTACATCGAGGCTAACGAGCTATGAATAGAGCTGGTGCCAGTAGAAATGGTATATTTTTATTGATATAATAAAATGCCTGAAAATCATCGGACATGAATGACATTGCAAAATGTAATATAGGTTTGATATTCCACTTGGACGATGATGTGATGGATTTCCAGTACCAATCGAGCTCTGAATAAACTTTAAAGTTTAATGAAAGCATTATTAAAGCATACTCTGCAAGATAAAACTTCATAATTCCCCCCAAATAATTTGAGATAAATGCGATGCTTTGGTTTAGTTCTGCGAGGATATAAGTAAGAAGATCATAACATACCATGGGAGTGTTGACATTTCTCTTTTGTTCCGTTAGATCATAATAAACTTCGTTAGCATAGAGTAATCTTCCCTCAGCATCAATATGAAACATTCCGACAGGAGCTAGATCAGCCATCCTCCTAAATCGACTTTCGATTTCTGAGGCTTCATGAGCTTGAATTTCAAGCTTCCTTGAAAGTCGATTCCGATCTTGATAAGCATGTTCGGCAGCCATACGACCACGTTGAATCTCATCTTCAACGAGTACTGCCGCGGCCATCGAGGTGGCTAGTTGTCGGCTGAGCAATTGTATGAATAATCTGTAGTCGTCATCGTATTTCCGTCGAGCATTGAGTCCAAAAATAAGAAAGCCGAGAACATTCTCGGTGGTTGCTCTAATTGGCAAGAAGACAACTGTATCCCAAGCAAGTGTGCCCTGAAGAGCTGCGGTCAAGGATGCAGGGATGGTACCATCTTTTCGATGTAAAAGCGTAGGCGAATCTGATTTGACAAGGTCACCGAAACTTGGTAGAAATTCTTCCATGGGGTTTTGAGAATTGATATGCTTCGGCACGGTTTTGTCAACACCAGGAACTCTTACAGTGCCTTCCAACACCCAATTACAGTTATGACTTGACGCCGAAGATTCCGAAAGTGTTTCATTAACATCATTACCAGCGGAATATAACAAAGCAAAGGGTAAGTCTGGATGATCCGGTTCGAGTCCACGCAGAAGCTGCTGCCAAAAGTCCTTGGGTTCTCGAGATGAAGCAATGAACTGCCCAAGTCGTAACAGAAAGAGCATCCTGCGATCTGCAACTACTTGTCTGGTGGTGTCAAATACAGGATTGTAACTACCTATAATGTTAGTGCGGCTTCAACCAACCAAATTTCCATAGGAAGAATTTAGACCTACAAGGCAAGGTTACAATTATAACTGTCGCAGCTGAATGGTAGAATTGACAAAGAAAAATACGTCTCCTCCAAATACCCATGCCTTTCAATGTAAAACCTTGCATCATCCCTGGTTGAAGCTGTACCAGTTTCATACGCCTTGTCAAAGATTTTTTTGAACACGCTTTCAACCTCAGGCCATGCTTCTACAAAAGGCTTCCCCATCATCCCTGGATGCTTCTGTCCTGTGACTGACACATATGGTTCGTTATACATTACAACTCTGGATTGACCACAATACATTGCCGCAGGTCTTGGATCTGACATCAGGAAATTGCACATCCTCCGTAGCCCAACGGGCCAAGAATCAATGGCTCCAAGCTCTGTAGACGCCCAGTCAAAATTGAGGAAAAACCTTACATGGGGTGATAGTTCTACTATCGTGTCTGGTGCGAATATATCGAATGGACCAAGTGTGGTACTCCCTACTATAAGATCCTCTTTCAAAGTGACTGGTTCCTGTGCTGGTGGAAATATTGATATTTTATCTTCCCGATGAAGTCGATATGCCTCCAGTTCAGATTCCAAAGAGGATCTAGACGCGTCGTCAGATTTTGACATAGATCGTGCCTTTCGAGGCGAAAGGGTTTGCGATCGCTGGATCGGAGGTTTGTCCCCAGCGATATCTATCCTTCCACCTACATCTCCAGCAATGACCCTCCACCTATTCCTCATTGTTTGTGCAGTCCATCTCACTCCACAATATAGTGTTACGGGTAATTTTCCATCGCTGAAATCTCCCCCTGCCCATTCTAAAAATTCCCTATGCTTTTCGTCTTGCGTAGCCACGTCCAGGTCAAGAGATTCTCCGACTTTGCTTCCTAGAACTTGCAATTCCTTTAAGCGCGGATTCGTATATATTGACGTTGTCTCATCGAGTTTCGTGAGGTCAAGTATAAAAACTGCCCTTTCGTCCGATTCGAGTAATTCGAGAACTCCTATATTGCGCAAATCATCCTGCGGCTCGAGAGGGCTCAAATTTGGATCGACAGGTACCGATATGATCTGCGCGGAATCTTTTGCTTCTTCATCTGTAGACGAGGTTATGGCGAGGCCGTCGAATACCGATGGCAGATATTCCATCGCAAACTTTACCGCATTTACCCACGTCAGTTGTTTTCTTCTCCTGTTCGGAAATAGGTCTAGCCGGCCACCTAGTCCCAGTCCCTTCCTCACTTCAAAAACTCCAAAGAAGTCAGGAATCGAATAGCTTAGCTATAGCACACAGTTCTACTCAAAAAGAATGCCGAGACTTCGTTGTTCTGTTGTGGTGGGGTAATTCTGTTACTCTGTTTGGCTGTTTGGCAAATATGATTGATGCGATGAAACGATAACAACATTCATTCATTCCTACTGGAGTAGCATAGTAATGAAGCGATGGATGGATGGATGTCTGTATGTATATATGTATATATGTTTGTAGGGGGACGTACAAAGAGAAGAAGTTGCGCACTCTGCATCGAGTTTGTGTTCTTTCTATGTGGATTCGTAGCCTGAGATTTTGTGTCCCCTTCCTATTCTACGAAATAACAAAATATTTCGTACCAGGTGGGACAGACGTGATAGACTTTGGAATGAACACAATATTGGTAACCTTATCATAGAAATTTTGAGAATATTTTCCTTTCTTCCATAGATTATTTAAAAACATCAGACGATTGAAGAGGAAACAACCGATGTGTTTGCGACGATAATCTTGTCAACCCACTCGGACAATTTGCTGTAGATAGAACCGTTTTAAAAAAAATGTTATAATTACCAAATCAGTTGAATTTGTTTGATGGAGCGGTTGCAGCATGCAAAGGAAAACGAGAACGTTACCGGTATATCTTTTCGTCGAAACCGGCTCTGTTCCAACAACCCACGAATTGAAAGAGGAAAAAAAACCAAAAACGAAGCCCTTCATCTCTATGGAGGAGACGAAACTTAGTATGAACGATCAAGTCGTTGATGATGACGATGATCTAAAATGAAGTAGATCATTGGCACTCTGATCTGATAGCACAAGATCTGTTCTCCATCTTGCTCGAAATTGATCTGAAATTGACTCAAAGAGAATTTAATGTCATCGACGGCAGTGTGGCTGGTGTAGACCAAGTTGAATCCGGAAAATGAAATTGTCGATCTATGTATAGCACAGCCACCGTCGAGTTCTCAGGAAATGTTAATCTGTCTCACTCATGATATCGATATCCTTCTGTTCTATGGAAAGATGGAGATGCCCAGTGACTCGGAGTCATACTTGCAGGAGGGTTTGCGGCAACAGTTAGAAGGGGATATATGATGAAGATGTTCATGTATTGATAGTATAATCTAGGTGGCCCGTTTAAATCTGAATCATGCCTTCTCTCAGTTAAATTCCTCAAAAAATGCCGACATGTTTTCATTAAACCAAGCTTCCTCTTGAATAGGAATCGCATGCCCAACACCTTCTCGAATTTCCGGTCTACTGGGTTGGAGAAATGCGATGAGCTTCTCACCATGAGGAAAAGATATTAGCCGGTCTTGTGTGCCACTGTATGGTGTGTTAGTCGTTCTTCAAACATCAAGTACCCGTACTAAATGGGTTTAAATCGAAAAAACTTCAAAATATACTCACTGCATGACGGCAATCCTCTCCCTTCCCACTTTGTCCCCCAACTCTTTTATTTGCGCAGGGCTCTTGTGATGCCAGCCGGCAGCAATCGCCTGCAGCAAAAATCCGATTGTCTTGAAAGAGTTAGGATCGAGCCGTTTGGTTAGTTCGGCGGCAGCAAAGCGTTCATAGTTCGTGGAGAAGTGTGCATAAGGAAAAGGGTGGCCTGGTGGTGGTTCCACCAAGGGAGTTGATTCCGAGGGCAGATGAGCTAAATGGTATGAATTAGTTGGAGCAGAGAAACAGCAGAAGTCATGGAAGTTAGAATAGTAGGGATATGAAGTAAATCCAAAGGTAAAGAAAGGATAAACAAACCAGTATCTGGTAATGATAGCCACGAAGCGGGAAACAGTGACAATGATGCATCGAGAACCGATCGATCAAGTGGTTTAGGAACGAACATCATAACTCTAGTGCGCAGATGTTCAAAGAAAGTGGTAGTGTTCTCGACAAAGGCAGCCGTGGAAAGTAAGTTGAGAGTGGCAATTCGATTTGGTATTATTAATGCCTGTAGATGATGATTAGCATTAACCTTGAACGATGTAACTAAGAAATTACATGGATCACTTACCATTTCTTGTGCAATCATTCCACCCATACTTACTCCAGTGACGTTCAGTTGTCTATCCTTCGTCCAACCTAGATGATCGAGGAGCTCAATACAGTCTTTGGCCATTTCCGAGGTAGAATATCGTAAAATAGGGGTGTCTGATGCGCCCATACCTCTATTATCAAACACCAACGACGAATACTTATCTCCCCTTTCATGACCAAAGTGCAGGGTTTGTCTTTGCCATGTTGACTTGTTGGACCCTAAGCCCATGAGCCACTGGATGGAGACCCCGGATTAGCGGTTGATGTATGGATCACGTGACCACATTGGAATCAAGTTCTGTTCAGCGGAGCAAAAGGCTCTGGAGGTATAGAGGGAGGCGGCGATAATGCCGAATAATTGTGAATAATATCGATGGTATTTTGTATACCGGGTCCCAAGACATTGATGTTTGAGCTTTGAGCTTTGAGTTCTTTCACTTCCTCATTTGCCGGTCCGCCATGCACTTGCATGTGATATATATGTGTAACACTTAAGGTCCAAAATCATCAACTTACCACAACCTTCGTCTCTCCACTGCCATGAACCTCCCAATCAATATTGAACGGTCCCCCTCTACCCTTGCCGACCGGCAACTTTCCTTTTTTCGTTGGTGTGAGTCTCCATATTGTATCTGGATAGGATTTATGCGCGAGGATTTCAGCCACAGTTGGACGTTCGTCAACAAGTGGTTCACTGTAAGAAATACAGAATTAGTTCTCAATTCCTTTTGATAATATTTGGAGTGTTTTCACATTTGGCCCATTATGTATTGAAGTAACTTGGATGGATTTTGATGGATTTGTGGATGGTTTGGGAACGGAAGGAATGTCCCGGCTGGTAGCTGAGCTGACCTTCATTGGGTGAAAGCGCTTAAACCCAACCCGACCGTGGGTCTTTTTCAACACTACAACAAATTTTCTTCAACATTGGTATCAAGGTATCAAGATGTCAATACATCAACACCAACACCAACACCAACACCAACACATCATCGACATCAATTGGAATATAAGCTGTATTCTTTTGCTACACTTTTTTAGCTATGGGTTGCACCGATTCTAGCTTTATAGCACGATGCAGTCAGTGTTTGGAACCAAAATTTCATACCTGGTTCCCAATGTCACTTTTGTAATCCTGATAAAGCAACGAGTTACTCAACTACAGTCACGTGACACACGCCTTCATCGCGACGTTCCGTGGTTTGACATTCAAACAGGATATCATACATATTCACACTCACAGTATTATTCCATTAAATGGCCAAGCACAGATGCGAACTTTTTCCGAATGACAATGATCAAAACACCACGAGGTCGACTTTAAATCTCTACGAGCCTTAAGAGCTTCAGCACTATTGCACGGTGCATGATCGAGGCAAGGAACGCGAATTAGTTTCATGGAATATATATTGCTCTTAAAATTTTGTGAAATATACAAAGCTTATATGGGCTGCCTGCTCCTTCAATCTAATCAAGGTCTTGTTCTGTTGGAGTTGGCATCTAATCTCCAAGCTGATCGATCATATGATGCCGGCCATACACCATTCTTTCCTGGTGCCAAAATACCCTTGGGATCGAGAGCATTCTTGATCTTTTCGTTCAACTTCATCTGCGCGTTGTCGTTCCAACCATATGTTTCCGCAATCTGGTCCATTAAGGCAATGTGAGTTCTATACTCTCCCCACCCATTATCGGCACAAACTTGAATGAGCTCACGAATAAGCTTGTGAGCTCGTAGCTTATCGTCCTCACTTTCACGGTCAAATACTAAGCATACGATATGATGCATCTCGCGCATACCAATGGTGAATGTTCCGATGAAATCAAACCCTGCCTCAACAGTCATCTTTTGAGTAAGAGCGTACTGCTTGCTCGCATCTTCACCAGAGATCTTGGAGATAGGTGAGAAGAAAATATGGGCACCATTAGGTACCCAGTCTACCCATGAAAGCTCATCAAGCGTTGGAATACCTTGTAGGGTTTGTGCGCGAACGTGAAGAACGCATTTCTCCTTGATATCTTCTGGAAGGAAGAATTTTGCACCTTCAATAGTTCCGAAAGCATCCTTAACTACTTGCCAAAGTACATCGCGCACAGGCTTGGGGCCGTATAAAGCGCCGTAGAAATTCCAGCGGCCAAGATTTAGTTTCTTAGCTATGGCATCGAGTTCTTCTTCATTTAGGGGCCGGTCAACGTCGTAGTATGATTTCTTGGTCCCCATTACTCCTGCATCAAGGAGGATATGTCGGATTGAAGGCACGTTTTGGATGACCATTTGTAATCGAAGGGGACGGATGACATCAACGATTTTTGGCAAATCGGAGTCTTTTGGGAATGTGATGAGATAAGGTTGGTAACCTCCTGGATTTGGCATAAGCTAAAAAAATATTACGGTTAGTATTCTTGCATGGCGCAAAGAGACAGGCAATTATATCACTTACCCAAATGCCCATCTTTGTCACAATACCAAGGTTACTTTGTGAGAAGATACCATCATTGTAGGGCCCAAAACCGTAGGGGAATAACTAGAAGTCTGGTAAGCTCGAATACTGTCACCCTGCGATTGGGCTTAGCATACCTGCCAGCACTTGTTTCCTGGTTGTTGATCCAAACTTGCCCCCTCAACTGTTGGTTGCGTTGGGTCGGGCAAAGCTCCCATACCAGTTCTGATAAGTTCTCCGGTAGGAAGCACGACCTCGAGACCGCAATGCATCATGAAGTGATCTGCTTAAAGCATCAGCAAGTGTTCCCTTTTCAGCTATCACAGATCACACACCTCCGTATGGAGTATACCCTACGCCACGCTCAATAGTGTTTCCAACGACAGAACCACCACCCAGATCTGGAGTATCAATCCAGAGTTGATCGTCCAATTTTTTCTCCTTCAAGTAGTCGTATAGACTAAAGAATGTCACACCAGGTTCTAACAGAGCATATGCTCCTTCGGTGTTAACCTCTAGCACTTTGTTCATGTTTTTGCCCATATCTAGACCAATACTTCCAGGAACTCTTGGGGCTGCCCCTCCATATCCTACATTTCTACCAATTGAGAATGGCCAAAGCGGGATCTCGAATTCATTGCAGAGTCTGACGATTGTTTGGACTTCTTTGACGTTGCGGGGTGCAATAATGGCGGATACTACAAAGTAATCTTTGTCGAAGATGTGGTACATATCGTGGGCTTTGGAAGGGTCGGTGTACAGTTCTTTTGTAAGCTCTTCTTTTTTCTTAATAATGACAACATTTTCGGCACCAGTTGCTTCTTCAGCGCGAGAAATGAATTCAGCAAATTTTTCTGAAGTAGTTCCTGGTGGTAGGGCAAGAGGATCATTTGTTCCTCGTGTAGCAGCTGTGTTTGGTACCCGAAGGGCAAGAGGAGTGCCAGTGGTAAGGAGCTGGGCCGACATCGTTTTTGGTTGAGGACAGGATGCAAGTAAGCTTAGAGATGTGCTTGAACAAGAAGGAAGGATTAAATCGAGTAAAAAGGAAACACTCGGATATGCCGATCGTGGGATAGATAAACCTGGAGGGCCACTGGAGGAGTATCAATGCTTGCAGCTTGTTTTATAGTGGACATGAGTTCTTATCGAGGCATGGTCTTGTGGCAATCATTGCTATTTGGTGGGCCAATTGCGGAGCAATTCTAACCTCATAGACACATTGCGCATCTAGATCAGACCAAACTGACCCCGACGCCGAAGCCCTCTTTGACCGGAGACATTGCGACAGAAACTTAAAAGTAATCCATATCTCTAAAACGTGGCAGGAATAATGCTATATCCATATTGGGTTGTTGTATAGTCACACTACAAAGGTTCCAAGTTACATCTTCCCCTCGTTCCGAGGCAAGAAATTAGTTTCAAAGTCCCACAGGAGCTGAGGTTTTAAGGGCATCACATGAATTACATGTGGGTCAAATGCCCTTACCATGCCTGTGGTTCTAGGTTCGTGGAGCTATGCGTGGCAAGATGAAGGAACAGTCTATCATCCAGTGGAACAGACAGTTTAGTCCGAATTTCCGCTATTCTTCCTTTTGATAATATCATGGCTAGATATGGAAGTTTCAAGTGTCAATCCTACTTATCACAGTTCGTCGTGCATGCTGTACACTCCTACTCTCGGCATAAGCGCAAGCCGAGCCGACAAAATTTAGCCCTGCTATCCACGTGTGGAAGTCGAGAGTCATAGGAACAGCTTCTTTTCTCAGGAGATTCAAATACGAATTGCGGGGCTGATAACCTGGTCCTTGCAATTTTTCCCTGTCATCTATCACGGGACCCCGGAAGCCGCATTGGTATCCTTGGAAACCGTTGCGGCGGTTACCCCTAGTTCCTACGGGAAATCCCCACTCATAATTTGGAAATTCTATTTCCGGCTCTAGCTTTTCCTAGTGTTAATGGATATGGAAGCGGGCCATACGGAGTGCGAGATTGATAATATAATAACTCTATAGTCTACCGGCAGTTGGTAACGGGACGGATGATTACCAGGCGTCGGGAGCTCCATATATCCTGTACCTAGCAAAACATCCGGCTACCGCGCTTAAACTACAGTCTATTGAGAAGGAAGATTCTCGTGTCAAGCAAAATACTTCTCCTAGTAGACATCCCTTCAAGCTCTTGATTTCAATGGTCTCTAAGACTTCTGAGTACAGTCAGAACTCGGCTAATTGGGATCACCTCAGCCAAAAATTTAGAATATCTGATTGGGAGAATCTCTTTGGGTGGGCTACTCCACTTCAAGTTTTACATCCTCCAATTTTGCTCCAGTTTTTATTGAAATCATACTCCATTAGGCGGTGCAAGCAGTTCATCCCGCAAAACTTTACTTTATATTTATAATAGTCCACCTGAGTCCTTCTCTCGGTCTGATCTCCACAGTTGACATCAGACATGTCGACCGAATCATGTCCCGGTCTAACCCTAGCGACGGCTCCACTCACCGCAACCGACGACTACTCCAGTAGAGTAAGCCTTTTTTCAAATAGGCCTAAACTCATTCCGCTAAAACGAAAGTCCTAAACAGGAACTGTGGAAATTTGGGAGATTGTCCGCAAAGACCGCGATAAGTTCATATCCTGGAACGGATTTAACCCCTATAGTACTGACCTGACATCACCTCGAGAAAAGCTTCTTTTGTCGATCCTGTCATAAAATTGGCTGTAAGGAATATTCAGTTCTTAGCTAGCACGACGTGCTCCCAAAAAATCATTGGTCAAACAGACGGCACGCTATATTCCTTATTCCATTCGTTAGTGAATCTCGATCTTCCTTTTTCGGACCCCTGGTTAATGGTTGTGGTGAACAATCTTCCAATGCTATATTCGTGAGGGTCTCTAGACCCAGTATTTTGTCCACTTTGCGGATAAGTTACTGTCTCCAATCATTGTAAAAGTGTAAACGAGCCCATATTCCAAGTGGAGACTCCATTCTTTATATTTTGTGATTTTCGTTAGCGAAGCTCTCTTCGACGACGACTTACGAAGTATATCAAGTAACTTTACCATATTCACGTGGCCATTATCTGATTGTGCAGCAGTTCCGTGAGCACCCACCGCCGACAGCAGTCAGACATTAAGTCTGGGGCGTACAGCGCCGGCAGGATGCGTCATTTGTCAGCTCTGGGACCTACCATCATCTTGGTGATGTGGATAGAGACATTTGCTGCAGCCTTTTTTGTAGGACTACGAATGTACACTCGATATTATATCGTTCAAGCTACAGGTTATGATGACTGGCTCATTGTGGCCAGCATTGTGAGTGACAAACACCAACCCTATGTTCTCTTGAATCTAATGCTAATACGACCATTCATGTACAGCTATTGTTCATAGGATACACCTCCTTTTGTACTGTAGCCGCCGTCTATGGACTGGGATCTCACTTTTTGGATCTCACGGAGGCTCAGTGAGTATTATTGATTCTTTCAATCTACAAACCTTGATGTTGAGCTTCTCGGTTCGAATATCCTAATTATGAATTTTCTTCACTTCCCCATACAAGTCCAACTCATCTTTACCTTAGGTAACTGTGTTGGAGAATACGTACTGAGTCTTTTTTGTTCTAGATTCGTCTTGTCCAATAAGATGGAAGTCGCTGGCCAAACCTGCAATATCATCGCAATCGCCACCAGCAAGTCCTCCGTAGCGGTCTTCCTTCTCCGTCTCGTCGTTGTTCCTTGGCATAAAGTTTTCCTCTGGGGTTGTATCGCCAGTACCTCTATTGTGTGCATCATCTGCGCCACTCTCGACTTCTTCCAATGCTCACCCATGCCGGCAGTTTTTAACCCGTCCATACCTCATACTGTTAATTTCGATTTCACGGCGAATGCAATTTTCTCAGGAAGTTATACGACTTTGATGGATTTTGTCTTGGCGCTTTTTCCGTGGTATTTCTTGGCTGATGTTCGGATTAGACGAAAGGAGAGGTTGACTATTTCGTTTGGTCTTACTTTGGGTGTTTTGTAAGTTCTTTTTCTGCCAAAGGGGCCTGTGGAAGTCGCTTGGGTTGATGCTGATAGGAATTTGTTCTAGTGCAGGAATTTGTGGTATTGTGCGAGCCATTGAGCTTGGAGGATTAGCATCTCGATTAGATTATACTTGTAAGTTTTCCAAGCAATCCTCTTTAAAAAATCCAAAGCATTCCAAAGGAATAAAACTAACTAACTCCATCCCCACAGACGACACAGTACCGCTCATCCTCTGGAGCTCCAGCGAACTTCTAGTCGCCATAGTCTGCGCCTGTATTCCCGTACTTCGACCCCTCTACAAGCTATTCCGCGGCCAAGAAAAACAATCAGTCGAATCTAGTGGTCCCTATCCCAACAGAAGCGGAAGTAAATTAGGTCAGGGGTACGCATTAAGTTCTCTGCGTCGCGACGAATTCGCTGCGAATGAAAGGGCGGAGGGAACCTCGAATTCTCATAATAATAATAATGCGCATGATGATGATATTGAGAGGGATGCGGCGGCTGGTTTGGATAATGGAAGTGATGAGAGTATTTTGAGGGATGCGTGGAGGTATGGGATTAAGGAGACGAAGGAGGTTCATGTTACTTATGGATAGGGGTATGAGGGGTTGTATGGGAATGGGGAGATGGTTTATGGGACTGGACTGAGGGGGGTCTTGCATGGTTGGTTATATGGGAGGTATATGCTCGGGTTAATGATATCTGGAACGGATACTAAAGTTTTCCGAATTTGCCGTTTGTGTAAGGTTAATACGATATGTGGCGTTGCGGCATCGAATGGTTTGTGGACCCGGATTAGGTTATCTATCTACGGATATATGTGTATGTTAGATGTAAGATAGGTTATGGATCATAGATACCTAGATCATTGTTACGACCACGGGTCTTACACTAACCGATCGGATGCATACGAGATACGATTTGAGCGATTTAGTATAGGATTGAGGTGGTGTGGGGAACAAATGTATACAAACCTTGTTAAGCTTGGATCCACAATAATTACAAAGTTATATATATTGGAGTATCGGAGGTTCGAAAGCTTCATGGCTTCTAGGTACGAAGATCTATATAGCTAGGAAGGATTCCTTATTGTAAAGCTTCGTACTCAAGATCAATCATTTAGTATACTCTACTATTAGTTACGAATTGCAACCATTGATATTACTTTAAAGTCTCTGCTTAACACCTAGTTATAAACCATTCGAGGATCCAGGCCACTTCCACATGATCTAGATCGCAACCCTCGTAACAATTATGGATTTATAAATTAGATTAAATAAGGTATTCTAGAATGAATAATTGAATAATTAAATTATAATATTAATACTTACCTCTTAACAAAAACAGAATTTTTATATTATTTTAATTAAGATTTGTATATTATTTATATATTATTATAATTAAATTATATATATTGTATATTATATATTTTAAGATTACATTATAAGGTTCACCAGCTATATATTGTTTAGGTTTCTCGGTAGAATTATACCGATGTCTTGTAATACCTTGAGTATTCTAAAAGTAGAGTGAGATAAACTTTGAAGGGAATAATCTGGGTTGAATGGATGGACGGCTAATGGGTTGGGTAAATGAGTATAGGAAGTATAAGAGAGGTTTGGTCTTTCTACTGGTATTTTTATATTTTGCATGGTGATTACTTTATCTCGGGATGTGAGTTGGCCCAGGGAGGATGAGGTGGCATGAGAGGGGTTATGTTTAAGAGGGATAAGAGGAATGGGTGGATTTGATATTGGAATAAGGTAGGAGGATACCGGGATGTGGGTAGGCTGGGGTATGTGAAAATGTGAGATTGATGAATGCATGTTGCTCTTTTGGTAGTGGGCGGTTGGGATATGATGTAGATGATTCACTCTAATGAATCTGCTATATGAGTATATCGATCTTGTTCCATGTAATTACTGATGCCCGGTTCACGTCCTGAATCTCTATTCACAGCTTTATGATTTCAATAACAGCTGATCACATTTCATACATTTCCCAATATCAGATCCTCGAAACATAATTATTGCAAGACCTAAATCCTGCAAAGAAACCAGTAAACACAAAAAATCCATTATAAAAGAGAAATCTTCAAAACAATCCCTAATTAAGATAAATCAACGCAAAACAAACTCCTCAGTCTTAAAATCACTTTCCATAAATTCCCCATCCATAATCCCATAAATATAAGCTTCCCCAATCAATTCCCACTTATCCTCCCCCACGCTGCGCACAACAAATGGTTGTACCGCCCCAAAAATAATAATTATCACATCCCCAGGTAATGAATGTCCAGGTAAAAGTCCTACATATCCTTGCGTAGATATAAATGGTCTTCTATTTTGTTGATACGCCATTGCATTTTTGTACGAGGCATATGCTGCCGTCTGAATACATCTTATATACTCCGCAGTATTTGCTTCGAATTCTTCTTCGGTGAGATGTTGATCCGTGACGCTTCTGGCGTTGTCGGAATATAATTCGATACTTCTTCGATGGTCGTTGTAGCCCATTAGCGACATATCCGTGACGCGTGTTCGAAAGGTGTTATTGGTCGTTTGGTCTGCGCATGGTATGCGCCAATGTGCTCCGAACCATCTTATATCATGTTGTGATATGGGTTTTGTACTTTTCGCGTTTATTGCTTGACCTTGCTCGCAGAAATGTGTTATTTCGTCAAAGTATCGGGTTGTATTTGCGTGGATTTTTAAGTATTCTTCGGTAGTTCTAGACACGATACCTTGTCTGTTGTCGACAGTAAATAGAGTGCCATGAACCATGACGGTGTCGACTCTCGCACCTCTTAATCCGAGGACCCTCGAATCTACTTCTGCAATATAAGGTGCAATATAAAGTGAAGACTGCCCTGAAGCAGAAAAGAGAGCGGCCCTTTTGGTTTCACAGGATGGTTCTAAGAGAGTAGAAGTGAAGTCCGGAACCCAACTAGGAAGGCCGGCCAAACTCTTTAGTTGCTGACACCATGCCAAAATATCAACATTACCATGTTCCAGAAGAATTCTTGAAACAGATGTAAATATCTTCACTGTTTCATCATCCGAGTCAACATTGGTATAAATGGGCTGTATGTTTAACAATGAGGCGTCCGAAGCCATTCCCAACAATCCATAAATTCTATCTCGTGGATACTTTGCTTTCCTTAGTAACTCTTTAGATGCTTGAATACAACCTCTCTCTAGAAGTCTAGCAAGAGTTGATCCCCCAGACTTTTGATGCTGTTTTCTGGTCCCCAAAAGACGGCTCAGACTAGGAGATGCTACACTCAAGCATCTAGCGATTTCACGTAAAGTCGATCCCTCAACGGAATCATTAGCTGATTTGTGTAGTCCGTAAGTGTTCACGACCATAGTTGATTGCATGGCGAAGAAAATCCAAGCCGCCTCAAACCATGGACGGAAGGGTACGGTCTTTTCACCACACGTTATCAACAACTCTTTGCCAAGACAAAACTCTTGCATGATCCAAAGACGGTTCCAATAGTCTCGATTCCCAATCTCATACCAACCGACGTATGGAAAGTTGAAGCCAATATCCATAGCAAGTTGGTACAATGATCGCTTCACATCCGCGAGCGGATCGTCTAGTCTCGGGCGGTTGAAACCGTAGCCTTCATGGTCTTCACGGATATAAAATTCACAATCTCTCATACTATCTACCGTAACAGAAAATATTCCTGCATCGAATGCAGCCTGTCCTATAGTTAGAGTCGAGTCCATGGCCTTGTCGGTTTCAGTAGTTCCACCGCCCAGAAAGACATCTACGAAACTTGCACAAGTGTAGATATCTCTCATCAATTTAATTTGCTCTGCCTTCTCGTCTGGATCATCTTGATTGATACATATCGCATCTGCCCAGAAGACCATCGGTATTGACTCATGCCGAAATGTCCTTAAAGCCTGTTCCAAACTAGTGGTAACTTCGATTTCTGTCTCATCGAGCAGAATTTTTGCTCGTGGGAGAGCAGGGTCGCCCCAGCAGTAAGATAGAGCATGGTACTCTGGATTATCTCTCAAGGATACCACATGTAAAGTGCAAGACACTGTGGTTATTTTAGTAAGTAGAGTATCTAATGCCGTGAACTTATACGAACCTGTCGATCCATAGTGACAATTATTTGAATCTTCTTGGTCGCACAATCCATCCGATTGTGGCGTGCAACAGGTAGCTCTATGGCCTCTTGGAAGGATATGTAACACTCGGATTTGAAGCTCATGTGAATTGATAGGAGTGTATTGATAAGACGACATCCTGTCAAAACGATACCAGCGTATCAATGTAGGAGGCGATGAAGCAAGAAACTTGAATCATTGTAAAACATGCATTTTGATAAGAATCATCTTGACTCTAGCTGGATACTAAGGAATGCCCCCGAGAACTTACAGGCGCCTCATTCCTAATGTTGTTACCGGCAACCTGAGTTCAGCTATGCTATTTAGAGCGAAAGAACCCACGTTGAATTCATCCTTGTGCGACAGCGGCATGTGAGAACTAAGCTGCCAGTGAAAGTACTCGAGAAACATCTTTACAGTAGTAACGAACATGAAGCTATCTCATCTTTCAGACCCTCCTACCTATTGTTGCACATGATATATACATCCTCCAGTTTCAATTGGTTCAAACACTTATAAGACTCAATCAAGCATCTGTGACGTGAAAGTTCAATTCTTAGATCATTGAGGCAAGCTTAAGGAAAGCGGACAAAAAAGCTCGCGGGAAAAACAGATGCTCCCGGTGAGTTCCTTCTCACTTGAGCGGAATAAAGAAGCCCACTTTCACCGGCCAATAGAATTGCACATTTATTATGTAATCACTCCGTCATACAATATTCCCCCTCCGTGTTGATCTTCTTATTGTTCATGCTAAACTTATAATAAACGTTGATGCAATGTATTCGAAACAGAAATAAACATGGGACAAAGTCAATCTGGTACAAGCGACAAACATGTTACAACAGAGCAGTTGAGCCATGAGCTAGTAAGTTTTGCGATCCATGGGAACCGCCGTCTTAAATCTCGAACCACTTCCTTTGAGAACTTATAATAATTTGCAGGCAGGCTCGGAAATTTGCAAAACGATGCTTTACATCCCTCGAATTGTTTTCGTTTCAAGATGTCTTTAAGAGTCTTGCAGATCACCAAGATGGAGTCGCATATTTTAAGGAAGATACCATCGCGCGATTCCTAGAGATTCCGGATATATTGGGCGCATCCCCAATTATATATCAAATGGTAACCTACCTTGGTGCATTTCCATTTGGTCAGGATGCGCCTGTGGTTTTGGGATTCGAACAAATGATTATGGTGGTGGTAATAATGACAGAGAGATATCAGAGGGTGTTGAAGAAGGGCAGTAGGGATCGGACGAAGCTACTATTTCGGAGTCTGGCAGTTTATGATAGAGGGGAATCTCGTGCGCGGATCGAAAAGGAAGATGATAAGACGGGAACAACTTCTCCGCTATCAAAAGGAGAGAGTGTCGTTCAAAATCATGTCCCCGGTTTCGCTGTCGATGCAGCTGCGAATGATGAGGATGAAGAAGAAGAAGATGACGATGATCTTGCTTTAGCTGCACTTGAATCGCTGGATGCCATTGATGTTTTTCGACATGGAGATCCTCCCATAGCTCAAGCCACGATTCCATCCGACAATCTCAAAAAGTTGATTATGCTACTCCTATTGGTAGCACCATTAGGAGTTCAAGAAAGTTTAGCTCACCATACGGAAAGACTTGCCAGCTCACAATTGGAAAGTCTTCGGAAAACAGCGGATAACATTCTTGCAGCTTTTGTAAACGTGGAAAAATCCCCTGGCGTTAAAATACATCAATTCAACACTGTGATACCTATTTCCCTACCCTTTATTTTTAATGGCTTCAACCCTCTTTTTGAGCATTTTCTGTTCTCTAAGAACATTGACTTTACAAAGCGAAAAGATTCATCCGAAGCGCCACCTCTAACACCCTTAAACGCTGAAATAGACCAGCCTCTTCTTCCGCAAATAGGTGAGATTTTGGATCTAAACGTCCTCTCACAACTCTCCTTTTTCCTTCCCGGAGAATCTCTCTTCCGTCGTCTTCGACTACTTTATTCTGGTGGTGATGCAGGATTTTCTATGGGTTCCTTCGAAACGAGAGTGTTCAACTGGCGTGCCCCAACCATCCTCTTGGTGGCCGGAAACAGAATTGAAGACATTCCCACTGGTGGCCAGGAAAGAAATTTTGCAGACACATTACCACCCAAAAGATTTCCCAACAGTGGCAAATCATCAAGAGTTGTTTTCGGAGTATATCTGTCCCAGCCTTGGAAGCAAACTCACAAAGAGTGTTTTGGAGACACCGATACACTTCTTTTCCAGCTCGAACCTGTTCATGAGGTCTTCCACGCCTCGGTAATTAATAAGGACTATGTAGCGTTTTCCAAACCTCCATCCGCCCATCCATGTTTATCATTTGGATGTCCACATCCCAAAACGAAACAAACGGCTGGACTCTCAGCTCATGTGAATCTCGGCGCTGTGTCACTATATCTGGATTCATCATTTGAGTTTGGTGTCTTTACACACAACTATACGTCCGGTGGAGGAGCATTTCATAACAGTGAAACTCGACGCAGTGACTTTCAAGATCGTTTCGAAATCGAAAGTTTGGAAGTTTGGGGATGTGGAGGTGATGCTGAGGCTCAAAAGCAAAAAGAGATGTGGGCTTGGGAAGAAAGAGAAGCAGAGGCTAGGAGGAAAATTAATCTTGGGTCGGGTGATATTGAAGCTGATAGAGCGTTACTGGAAATGGCTGGACTGATTGGGGGAAACAGGAGTGGAGGTTCTATGAATTGAAGATATAAGCTCGGAGTTTTGGATAGTTGGGCATTGATGGATTTGGGACAAATACAGCATGTATGGCGCGGGAATCAAGCTTTTGGGAGGTACAATCTTGCGGGATTTTGGCATCTTCATAAAAAAAACTAAACTTGCAGCCCAGATACTTTGGATATGAAGAATAGTACACCTTTGCTGCATGATTGTCCCATAGCCAGGCCCATAGCAAAATATTGATGAATGAATGGAGTTTGTACATGTCCCTTTCTTTCCCTTGAATATTACACAATCTCCCATAACCACCAATTAACACCAAACACCAGATCTTAATGCTATACTCCTCCTTATACACTCAATTTTAGCAACCAAGCACCTTGACTCTCCTCACTTCTTACCCCACACCATACCCTTCATCTGATCCACGATCCCATTCTTCGTCTTTTCACCCTCCTCCCCAGCCGCACTCGCAGCATCAGCTACCATAGCCGGAGTAGCCGAATTCCCCTCCGCCCTCCTCCTCCTCTCATCCCTCATCCTCCTCATTTCCTTATCCTCCTCATCTCTCGCCTCCAACTCTCTAATCCAAGCCTCATTCTTCTCTTTCGCTTTCTGCTCCGCCAACACCCCCTCAAACTCCTTGCGCTTTTTACGATCCGAATCCCAATACATAGATCCGGCTACCATGGCTAACAATGTAAATCCCTGTGCGTATATACGCGCGCGGAACATGCGTTGGGTTCGGTTGTGGTCGCCAGCGCGGATGGAGCGGGTTGCGCCGACGAGGGCGAGGGTTGTGAGGATACAGCCTGGTGGATGGGTAAGTTTATGTATGGATGATGAAGGAAGCAAGGTTGAGAGAGGAATGGGAATGTGTGAGTAGATGGGTGGATGGAATTACCTAGTGGGATGAGAGGTTCTTCTTTCAGACGACGAGTTAGTTTCTGCAAGCGATTTTCTTCGTAGAAATCACTATTCATTCATCCATCCATCTCATTAGCTATGTACGGGTAAATAAATAAATAAACAATAAAAGCTTGCTGTGGAAATGGTACATACGTATCGCCATCGAAAGATGACGGTAATGGAGTATTGCTCGGCATTTCCTATTAATTGATGGATTGAATATTTCTTTCCTCGTCGGTGCCAGCCAAAGTATCACGAACTTCAGATGGTGAATTATCGTGAGTTTGTTGATGTCCAAAGCTTTGGCTTTATTCAATCAATGGATTTGCCCCTCCAAATTCAATCGAATCATATAGGTCGTGATATCATCGGCATTCTAGGATCCCTGCCAAAATTTCAGTGGAAAGGAGCTCCGATATCGAAATTCGCGAAGCAAACAAAGCAAATGAAACGGTTCCAAAATTTATGACTCGAACTCGACTCGATGAAATCTTTATAAATATCAATCACTCAATTGCAAAATAAATATACTATTTACGGATATGGAGAACGGTGTATTGACAAATGGAGAGACTTCCTCATCTCGTCCTCGAACTCCCACTCTCAATTCCTTTTCTTTGACAGAATATACCACCAATCCATCCCCGCCATGCGAAAGTCCCAAATCGAAAGTGAGGAGCGTCGTCCCCCAGGAATTTATTCTGCCAAATGGATATCCCGATGTAAGTATACTCCGCTGCATTACTACAATGATAATTAATCAATTGAATACAGTATCTCCGACTTATCCTCACGTCTCGAGTCTATGAAGTCGTAAAAGAGACGCCCCTTACCCCCGCTATCAATCTCAGTAATCGATTAGAATGCAACGTCTTATTAAAACGAGAAGATCTTCAACCTGTGTTTAGTTTTAAATTAAGAGGTGCATATAATAAAATGGCACATTTGGATCCGAAAATTAGCTGGAAAGGTGTCGTTGCTTGTTCGGCTGGGAATCATGCGCAGGGTGTTGCGTATTCGGCGCGGAAACTTAAGATGCCTGCTACGATTGTGATGCCGGAAGGAACACCTAGTATTAAGCATCTGAATGTTACGCGACTGGGTGGTTCGGTGGTCTTGCATGGACAGGATTTCGATGCTGCGAAGGAGGAGTGTGGAAGGTTGGAGAAATTGCATGGTCTGACGAATATTCCTCCGTTTGATGATCCTTATGTTATTGCTGGTCAGGGTACCATTGGTATGGAACTTCTTAGACAAACAAATATTCATAAGTTGGAGGCTATTTTCTGTTGTGTGGGTGGTGGTGGGTTGATCGCGGGTATTGGTGTTTATGTCAAGCGCATTGCTCCGCATGTGAAGATTATTGGTGTCGAGACTTATGATGCGAATGCTATGGTTCAATCACTTGCAGCCGGAAAACGAGTGGCATTGAAGGAAGTCGGATTATTTGCAGATGGTGCGGCAGTCAAGAATGTGGGAGAGGAAACTTTCAGGATTTGTCAAGAGGTCATTGATGATGTTATTCAAGTCACCACGGATGAAACTTGCGCAGCTATCAAAGATGTTTTCGAAGACACAAGATCTATTGTCGAACCAGCTGGAGCTCTTGCATTGGCAGGACTTAAGAAATACGTTGCGGCCAACCCATCCCAAGATACATCCCGAAACCTGGTAGCTATCGCTTCTGGAGCAAATATGAATTTTGATCGTCTTCGATTCGTGGCTGAACGTGCAGCTCTTGGGGAACGAAAGGAAGCTCTTCTCAGTGTCAGCATTCCTGAAACTCCTGGAGCCTTTTCTGAACTCATTAAGGCCGTCATGCCACATGCCGTCACCGAATTTTCATATCGATATGCCACAGATACCGTCGCCAATGTACTCATTGGTATTTCCCTCACCTCACCAGCATCTCAAAGAGATGCAGAGCTCCAATCCCTTCTTTCTCGCATCTCATCAGGCGGAATGAGCCCCATCGATCTTTCGGGAGATGAACTTGCCAAATCACACATTCGATACTTAGTTGGTGGCCGCTCAGGAGTACCAAATGAACGACTCTACATGTTCAATTTCCCCGAAAGACCCGGTGCGCTCGAGAAATTCCTCACAACACTGAGACCGAGATATAATATCAGTCTTTTCCAATATCGCAATGCGGGAAGTGATATTGGAAAGGTCTTAACTGGTATTGTATGTCCTGATGATGAAGTTAAAGATCTGGAAAGATTTTTGCAGGAGATTGGATATCCTTGGACGGATTGTACAGAGTCGGAGGTTTTCAAGACGTTTTTGAGATCTTAGATTATGATTTAGAGTAAGATATGATGGGTCATGATGATGGGAGATGAAGGCCAAGATATTCATGAGCAGTGAAGAAATGCTTTTTATGAATGGGGTGATGCATACTATTAGCTCGGCGTTTTTAGGATGATTTTTCAGGCGGTTTGTTCACATTGTAGAAAAAAAGTCCTCGGCGCGATGACTTTATATCTTGCGTAGTAGGTAGTATATAATGAAGATATTGTAGAATCTACGAGTTAGATCTGTTACTTGTATTCGACTTTTTGTGCAAACTTTTATAGTGGAATTATTTTTATCTTTACCTGCTGAGGATAAAGCTTCGACTAATACTAATCAAAAAAGCAAACTCACCGGGAGTTCTCGAATCAGAACTGAGGTTTAGGTTCTGAATGTTATCGAGAGGGATAATTCTGTGCTTTTCGTAATAATTTTCCTTTAGATTGATAGATGATGGATTGGAGGAGTAGGAGTATTTGAGATGATTGAGAATGTTTTTTGGTTGTGGTCGAGTTACTATTTACTACTTACTACCTGGTAGTCGATCATTCCTCATGAGACAATCACATCCCACCTTCCGTTCGCGACTACTTTTGTTAATAAAGTATATCATATATTTATGACTTCATTATCAGTTATCATCCATATCGGAAGGAGGAAAATAGATTTCTGGGCATGAAAACTTAATTCATTCGATCAATAAATCCAACCCAATGTACCACAACATATCGCTATCATCACACAACATAAAAGCATTCCTTATTCTTTCATACAAACGCATGCATACAAATATCATTAAAAAACAACCTTCCTTATTCCACCCTCCCACTGACAGCATCCTCATCTGTCAAGTAGGCTAGGATGCATCCACTCGCTTTCTTCATCTTAGGATACTTCATCCTCTTCATAACCGCCAATCTGCATTCCCTCTACGATACATGGACCTCATCTACCCTCTACTGTGTGCGCGAACCATATACAATCACCACGCTCTCTTCTTCATTCCCTAATCCTAAATGTTTCCGCACGAGAATCGATCAAATTACCCAGGTTTTGCAAGATGTGCCCAGCGGGGACCATGCTGAGAAAATTACTTGGTTGAATGGTTTTGTGTTGCCCGGGATTATTGAGTCGCATGGTCATATTTTGCAGTATGGGGAGATGTTGGAGAGTGTTAGTTTGTATGATGCGGAGAGTGTGGAGGATGTGAGGAGGAGGATTAAGGAGTGGTTGGCTAGACATCAAGGGGAGGGGTACGGAGAGAGAGAGAAGTGGATTAGAGGGGTAGGATGGGATCAAGCTCATTTTGGGGGTGTGATGCCCACGGCTGTATGTATTCATTCATCTTTATCTCAATATTTTCCGTGATGTGAAAGAATTTGCTGATGGGATTCATAGAAACAACTTTCTGAGGATCCGCAATTAAAGAATTTATATATTATGCTCGATAGAGTTGATATTCATTGTGTATGGACTTCAGAAAAAGTCCTCTCTCTTCTTTCGGATCCGCTTCCTGAAGCTCCTCCTGGTGGAGAAGTTATTACCAATCCTGGACCTGGTGTCTTTTGCGATAATGCAATGGATAATTTTATCTATCCTCTCGCACCAAAGCCGGATATACCTCAGAAAGTCCGCTGGCTCAAAACTGCAATGGGAGAGTTAAATAAAGTAGGTATCACAGCCATGAGTGACGCTGGTATGCGAATGGAAGATGTGAAAATCTTGCAAGACTTGGCTAGAAGAGATGAACTCAGTGTTAGAATTCGAGTCATGGCGGAATGTGAAGAAAGAAATACTTTTTGCCATCAAGACTTACGGACAGTGAAAGTTATGAGGGATGGTTCTGGTGGTGGTGATATGCTGTTGTTTGGAGGAGTCAAACTCTTTGCAGATGGAGCTTTAGGTTCTTGGGGGGCGGCATTATTGGAACCATACTCGGATAAGCCTGAAACTAATGGAATGATGTTGATCAATGAAACCGAATTAACGGAAGTTGTTAGAAAGGTATTTGGCCGCTGCCTTTCTTTTGCATATCAGGTTTGCTAATTCGTCAAGTTTTACCATTGGGATTACCAGATCAATATCCATGCTATTGGTGACCGAGCTAATAGAGCTGCTATCAATGCATTTGAAGCTGTTCTAGGATCTAATTGTCATGGGTGCAATGAGGGAAGACGACTGAGAATCGAGCATGCACAAATCATAGTAAAGTTCCCACATCTATAATCGACATTTTTTCTAACAAATCCCCCAGCATCCTGATGATCAAATACGCATTGCAAAAATGGGCATCCTTCCCAGCATACAGCCAACACATGCTACATCCGACATGGCCTACGCAGTATCTCGTCTAGGAGAAGAGCGTCTCTCCAACTCCGCCTATCGCATGCGGTCATTCTTCCCTCTCTCACACAACAACAATAACACCAACAAAACCTCATCATACCCCGGTCCAGTTCTCGGCTCAGATTTCCCAGTCGAACCTCCAAATCCTTTCCATGGTATCTACGCCGCTGTTACCCGTCTCAATCCCAAAACTGGTACTTCGCCCTCGGGACCAAAAGGTTGGTATCCGGAAGAAAGTCTCTCGATTAAACAAGCTATTCATGGTTTCACGCGCAACGCAGCTTGGGGTTGGAACTTGGAAAATAAAACAGGTGCGTTAGAGGTAGGGATGTGGGCGGATTGGATTGTGGTTGATAGGGATGTGATGGGTATGGATGGAGATGGGGATGGGATGAAAGTGGATGCCTTGAGGAGTTTAAAGGTGCTGGGTACCTGGGTTAAGGGAAAGAATGTTTGGATGAGGGAAGATGGGGTTGTGGGGATTGATGGGGTGTTAATGGAGGGTGCTGGGTTTTGGGGGATTACTGGGTTAGGGAGGGGCTTGGTGGGCAGGGTGGGGGATTGGTGGGGTGGGAAGGGGATCTTTGAAGAGACTTGTGAGAGGGTTGGCATGGCATGGCATAAGGTGGTAAATTGAAAAAATGAGTATAGAAGAAGAAGAAGAGAAAGGAAGGGAAGGAGAAAGACATCCTCCAAGAAACAAAAAGTACATACCTGAATACCCTAGATACCTAAATACCTAAATAGCATTAGAATAGAAACCCCTCCTAGAGTAACCCTTAGATAGAATATATATAAAAAATACATACATACATACATACATACATTAATTATCACTGTAATCGGTACACCTCAACACCTTAACACCTCGATATCTTAAGAATCTATCTATTTATCATATCATATCATACCATATCCAGGTATTCTGTAATTAGGTAGGTAGGCAGGATCTTTACCCACCTAGTAGGTTATGAACGGTTTGTTATAAAAAAGGAGGAGGAAGGAGGAAGGAGGAAGGAGGAAGGAGGAAGATGTCTAATTCTAAGTGATTGTCTAATACATAATCTTACTTAGCAGTTTCGTTGTAATTAGAGTTTAGATTTGAAAGTTAAAAGTTAAACTGGAGATGGATGTTGTAGGTTATAGATAGATTATCTTATTAGATTTTATTAGAGTTCTTCTGAGTTTGATTTTGATTTGGGAAAATCTATTTAGTACTAGGTATCTAGTAAAATCGTGTATGTAAATTTCCTAAATGCTCCATCCATCCATCCATTCATTCATTCATCCAATCCCTAAATATTATACGCCGATCCATCCTCTCATCCAGTTCAGCCTGTCATTATAATCGTCGCTCATTATTAGATTCGTTATCTGATGTACTCAGATACAGACAAAGATCTAGATCTAGACGCAACCAAGCGTTTAAAGAACAGCGTATGCACTGGCATAACTTACGGATCCATCATCTATCCTTACTACCTCGTTACTACGTTCATATCTAACGAATTTAAATTTGCCCTTGTCGTTTTGCAGCAACCTGTCTTCCTTTAACTTCTCAATCGCTGCCATGGTGACACCAATTGGATGGCGTCCACAAACTGTATTTCCTGTTTCTTCTAGGTTGTTGAGGAATTCTTGATGCTTTCCCCCGGATATCGCTTCCATGGATAATTTATCAAGCTTTCCTATACTTTCGTGGATGGGTGGTTGCGTGGGCGACTTGTCCCGTCGTGATAATGAGTACCCAGCTGATGTATCGTTTGCGTTTGTGGAAGAATCGGAGGGCAGATAATATGTATATTGGAATCGAGGACCCCAGTGACAAAAATCAGAACTCACGATGAAGACGCTGGTTTCATCCGCGAGATAGGGTGCTAAGATTGCGCCGAATTTCTTCTCGGTAGATGCATTGGTGTTTCCGACCAAGATGGGGATTAGAGATGGAAAATCGGAGGGAGAATCGAAACTCAAAGATAGCATCTTGTAAATGTATGGAAGGTGCATTTCGAGAGAATGTTCTGTTTCATCTTGATCGCTATTCATCGTTTTGAATTCTCCCGTTTGGGCTAGTTCGGAAACAGTTGCCCGATCGATACTCAGATCTCCAAGTGGTGTAGCGTATGTAGAGTGTTTGGATAGCGCACATTCCGATAAATACCATGCGTGTGATGGACCTAGAAGAAATATTCGTTTGGCGGAGGAGAGATCGAGGGATCTGTAGGCCCAGGCTGCGGCGGGCCCGGAGTACGAATATCCTGCGTGTCTTTGATGGTGATGGTTAGATGGATTCCTTTTGGGGGATAGGGAGAACTTACGGTGCGATTATTACTCGGGCACCTGGAACGGGTATTTTTGTATCATCGATTGAGGAGGGGACTTGGGATAACCATCCATCGAGTTGGGTGGATAGTGTGGAGGGATTGGATGTATACCATGAGCCGGCGTGGCTGGCTTCTCTGGTACTTCCCATGTTGTCGTGGTGAGTTATGGTTGATTATTGCTTTTGGATTTGTGTTTGTTTTGAATGATGATGTTAATGAGTGATGATGATGATGATGATGATGATGATGGTGATAAGTGGTTGTTATCGGAGAAAGGTCCACAGCGGGGTGGTGGGGTCAGGAATGGCGGGGTAGATAGTAACTTAGTAAGTAACCCCAAGTCCTATATCCGAAGTTTAGACGGCACAAGACTAATAAAGAATTACCTCATCTCATGAATGATTATGTAAGTCAACCTTGGCTTTTCTATTTCGTCCCAACAGATCAACTTTTTCAATATTCATAATATTCATCAGCCCTTCAAAGATAATCGATCAGTATAATCGATCAGTATAATCGATCAGTATAATCGATCAGTATTGATAGGATCAACTATTTCCACCTACCAGACTCAAAATGCTGAGCTGGTTACCTACTTACTCACTTACTCACTTACTCACTTACTCACTTACTCACTTACTTACTTCCTCACTCAGTGAAAATGCTTCTCAATTGTCTAATTCTAGGCTGGGAGAGAGAGAGATGATTCTTTTTGCATCGAGTCGTTTGGTTCCTGAACTAGTGTCTGGATAGAATGTCTTGACAAACTGAGTCCACCAGGTCTTTTTGATGTGTTTTACGCGTCTTTTAACATTCTCCCCTGGCATTAACACGCGTTTGGTGACGACGATTTGATGTCTAGATTGTCCATCTCGAATAAAAGAGTGGTAATATCTATATATGGCCTCACCTTGCATATTCAGATCTACTAAGTATATTAATTCTTTCTAGGCAACAGTTGGGCGGTGAGTAACGTCCAAACATTATGTGCTGTTATCATAAATGCTAACGGTGATGTGATTTTTTATTCCGCAATTGGGATAGTGCTTACTATCTCACTGATACCCCTGGACCATGGATAAGTCCTTGTTTATATATCATTCTTCGAAACCCCTATTTTGAACTGAAGTTGATTAGCAATTCAAAATCGAAATCGAAATCATGGCGAGTAATACTTCAAGTCTTGATCTTCCCATCAATGATTTTGGTCCAGCCGAACCCTTGAGATTTGACTTCACTCCATTATTCGAAGATGTTATCTTTTCAATTGTACCATCCGTCATTCTACTTTTCTTATTGCCAATTCGAATATGGATGCTTCGAGGTCAACCTCGAAAAGTTAATTCGAGCTTTTTGCATGGCAATAAATTGGTATGGATATGCCATTCAAAAGACCCGGAGTCAGACTAATTTTACCGTAGCTATTCTTAGGTGTTTTCACAATCATGCAGACGATTTATCTGATCATGAATACTACAAAGTCGACCTTGAAGACACGAGCAACAGTGCCTGCTGCCGCTCTTTCACTTGTAGATGCTCTCGGCTTGTTTGCTTTATCACACCTTGAGCATGTACATTCTGTCAAACCCTCTGCTCTTATCAATGCCTGGCTTTTACTTACGCTACCTTTCGATATAGCCAGGGCAAGGTCACTCTGGTTAGATAACGCCAATACTTCAATTGCTGCAGTCTTCACGAGTACTCTTGGTGTCAAGATTATGGTCATTATTGCCGAGGCAATAGAAAAGCGTCACATTTTACTTGACAGATATCGACACATATCACCGGAAAATACTAGTGGTGTTTATAGTCGCAGCTTCTTTTGGTGGCTAAACACTCTCATGACAACTGGATTCCAGCGGGTCATAAGAAATGAAGATTTGTATCCCATCAATGAGGAAATGAGCTCGAAATACCTATATGTACAAGCACAAACCGCATGGGATAGATCCGACCATAATCGTTCGCATTCTTTGCTCTGGTCAACCATAAGAGCCACAGGACGGGTATTTTCTTTTGGTATCTTACCCCGAATTTGCATGATTGGTTTCAAATATGCCCAACCTTTCTTACTAGAGAGAACCGTTGGCTTTGCAAATGACGAGACTCAGCCTGATAGTATAGGATGGGCTTTGACTGGTGCATTTGGTATTGTCTTTCTAGGTTTAGCTGTTTCAAGCGGGACCTATTATCACATGGCTTATCGGTTCAACACGGCGGTACGCGGTTCTTTAGTAAGTTTGATATATGCTAAAACTGTTGATTTGAGCATTACTGCTCTTGACGAATCGGTTGCTGTTACTTTGATGGCGAATGATACAGGTAATATATTGTTTCATCCTTATATGGAAACTTCTCATTTTTATCACAGGTGCGATCTGTCAAGGCTTCACATATATACACGAGCTTTGGGCGGTACCTATGGAATTAGTCGTAGCGATGTACTTGCTCTATCGGCAACTTGGTTTAGCTTTCTTGGCTCCTTGCTCCGTTGCCTTACTCTGCACGGCAGGCATTCTTACCATGGCAAAGTGGATGGGTAATGCGCAAAAGATTTGGATTAGGGGTATTCAAACCCGCATCGATGTCACAGCTTCAATGTTAGGGTCAATGAAGGTAATTCTACCAACAAAATTTATGTGCAATTTGCTAAAATACTGTACAGGCTGTAAAGATGCTCGGGTTTACGGACATCCTCACAACTATGGTTCAACATCTTCGTGCGAAAGAAGTATCTCTGTCTAAATTATTTCGGAGACTTCTTTGTGGCCGTGTTTTCTTAGGTATACCCTCTTACGTCAGCCATTGGAACACCTATCTAAATTGATATTTAGCAAATTGTACTGGTATTATGGCGCCTTTAGTTACATTCACAGTCTTTGTAATCTCAGCCAAACTTACAGGCCGAACATTGAGTACCTCGACAGCATACACATCGCTATCATTAATTGCCCTTTTGGCAGAGCCAATGAATACATTGGTGAGGACCATACCCGAACTCAATGCTGCTGTAGCTTGTTTTGAGAGAATCCAGTCCTTCATGTTATCGGATGCACGGAAAGATCATCGTTTGCCATTGGCAGGATCTCAAACATCGGCCACTCCCACTAATGCAACCCAGGGCATTGAGCTACATGATATGTCACCCAGAGTAACTCCTTCACCCATGATCACTGCGCAAGATGCTAGTTTCGCTTGGAGTCAGGATACTTCCGCCGTGGTAGTTGATTTCAGCTTTACCTTGCCATGCTTTCAATCACTTTTTATCATCGGTCCAGTAGGCTGCGGAAAGAGTACCTTACTTAAAGGATTACTTGGTGAAACTCCCTCGTCTAAAGGCTTCATTTATACTAAAACAGCAAAAACGGCATACGTTGAGCAAAGCCCATGGATTCAGAATGGCACTATAATGGATAATATTCTCGGCCCATCAACATTCGATTCGCCTTGGTATGATCAGGTTGTCCGAGCTTGTGCCTTGGAACATGATATTTCTATATTGCCGAATAAAAGTGGTAAGTACTCCGTGTCTAATGATTTTTTATTCATTGTGATTTTCAATATCCTACTTGAACTCAATAAGAGTCATGTGGCCTTACACTTCTGTGTTTTCTCTCATAACTCGAAAGATACAACTTACATGAATGTTTACACTAACACAAATCTAGCTACGCGCGTAGGAAGTGGAGGTATTTCTCTAAGTGGCGGCCAAAAACAACGACTAGCACTTGCGAGAGCCGTCTACGCCAGAAACGAGTTCATCATTCTTGATGATGTATTCTCTGGGCTTGATCCTGAAACGGAAGATCAAGTATTCAAAAGACTTTTTGGAAAACAAGGACTCTTCCAAGAAATGGGTACCACTGTTCTTCTTGCAACTCATGCTGTTCATAGGTTAGCATATTCAGACTATATCATCGCAATGGACCAATCGGGTAAAATCATCGAACAAGGTACTTTTGATCTTCTGAAGGCTAGTGGTGGGTATGTGGAGAATCTAGCTACTCGACATAAATCAGAGGTAGATGATGCCACAGAAGCTAATACAGAGGAGTTGACCACGAAGCAAAATCCCTTTGCAGCTGTCGAGAGCGATGATCTCGTGAATGAGGTAGCGGATCTCAATCGACAAACTGGTGATTTTTCAGTCTACAGCTATTACTTTGCCTCCATTGGTTGGATACCAACAGTACTATTCTTCGGTTTCGTGTTTGTATTTGGAGCAGCATCCAAATTACCGGAATTTGCTTTGACTTATTGGACAAGAGCTGTAGCTGTTGAAGGTAATGAAGCAAATCCATACTGGTTAGGGATATACGGGATGTTGTCTGGCGTTGCCCTGGTTGGATTCGTGGCAGGTGTTTGCCAGTTGGCATTATATATGATGCCAAAAAGTGCAAAGGTCCTTCACCAAAGATTATTGGATTCCGTAATCGGAGCACCTCTTTCTTTCTTCACAGCCACAGATACTGGGATGACGACAAATAGGTAGGCAGAGTTTGCCTCATATTTTCTGTTTCTTACTGACACTAAATTCAGATTCAGTCAAGATATGTCTATACTTGATGCAGACCTGCCATATGCAATGGTTGATCTAGCCTCGTCTATATGTCAAGCAATAATGGGGGCTATTCTAATGTCTCTATCTGCCGGATACTTTGCCGCAACTATACCGGTTGTCGGTCTAGCAGTCTGGGGTAAATCACGCACATGCTTCATATATCGATAACTACTAACTTCTAAACAGTACTACAAAAATTCTACCTCAGGACATCGCGTCAAATACGTCTCTTGGATCTCGAAGCAAAATCTCCTCTATACTCTCACTTCATTGAAACCCTTAGTGGTCTGACCACCATCCGAGCTTTCGGCTGGACTGAAAAATTTCGTGAGCAGAATCTCACCCTGTTGGACGCATCTCAAAAACCATACTACCTTCTCTTTTGTATTCAACGTTGGCTAGGCCTTGTCCTTGATCTTCTCGTGACGGCTCTTGCAGTAATCCTCATGATACTCATCGTGAAACTCCGCACCAATATCAGTCCCGGCTACGTTGGTCTCGCGCTCTTAAATGTCACGACATTCAATGAAGCACTTGCTCAAATCATCAAAAACTGGACAAACATGGAGACCGCCGTCGGAGCGGTCTCTCGTCTCAAGAACTTCTCTGCCACAACTGTGAGCGAGAACTTACTCTCAGAAATCGAATCTGTGCCAGAGAACTGGCCAGCTTTTGGCGCCATTGAGATAAAAAATGTAAAAGCCTCCTATACACCCACTTCCGTCCCGGTAATCCACAATCTCAATCTCTCTATCAAACCAGGCGAAAAAATAGGAATCTGTGGTAGGAGTGGAAGTGGCAAGAGTTCTCTTATTGCAGCTCTATTCCGCATGTTAGAACTTCATCCCGGGAGCTCTATTCTCATTGATGGTTTAGATATTAGTACACTTCCTCGACAAACCGTTCGAGCACGCTTAAACGCTATTCCTCAAGATCCCTTTTTTCTACGCAGCACTATCCGTATCAACGCCGACCCTTACCACCTTCACTCCGACACAGCAATTATCTCCGCGCTTGAAAAAGTACAACTTTGGTCTTTGATTTCCTCTAAAGGGGGGTTAGAAGCCCAGCTAGACGCAGAATTCTTTTCACATGGCCAAAGACAGTTGTTTTGTCTTGCGAGAGCTATTTTGAGAGGAGGTAGAATTATTGTGTTAGATGAGGCTACGAGTAGTGTGGATAGCGAAACGGATAAATTAATGCAGAGGGTTATCAGGGAGGTTTTTGCGGGATGTACTATTCTTGCAGTTGCGCATCGATTAGATACGATTGCGGATTTTGATCGAATTGTCTTGTTGGGGAAAGGGGAGGTCGTGGAGACTGGAACATTTGCGGAGCTGATGCAAAGGGAGGGAGGTGCGTTTAGGGAGTTGTATCATTCGTGATTTGGGGCTGGATACAGGTCCGTGACTTGAATTCGCTACGAATTACGAGTATACTGGTCATAACAGAGATAAAGGTGCGGATTTCCAATATTAGATATCCCCGATATTAAACCAAATTCCAATTTTCTTTCCACCACTCAACCCACTCGCTAGAAATTAAAACCATACGGAGGAAACGTGGATGAGTCGACCCCTTCCCCGCTTATAATTTACCACCACAACGGTAAAATACCCACACTAACCAAATCCTTATCAGTCATTTCGGGAGGCTCCGGATAGGGCGCAGATTGAACAATTGAATTAACACGTATCTATAGGAATATCTACGGAATTTTAAGAAGTTCCTTATATGACTTGCATACGGCAGGAACACGGAAATGTGAAATGAAGACGGAGCAGATGGTTGCAGGAGGCGTTGTGGTGCGGCTGAGGCGTTATGCAGTGGTAATCTTCCGCAGATTCGTCGGCTTCTTGTCGTGGTGAGACTAATTTGTGTGATTGATTGTTGTCGGCCGTGTCTTATCAGTTGGTGAGGAGGATTGCCATAGCGTGGGATTTTGTTCGTGTGTATTTATGGGTTTGAACTTTGAACACCGAGGCGGATGCGGATGCGGTAAGATGGGAAGATGGTTGCTCCACTTGCTTGAGGTACGGACTTGAGAACCGCATATTCCGTAGAGTCAGAAGTACATGTCAAATCACTCAAATAGAAAATGAAGTTGTTGGAGATGTTGGGTTTGCTTACCTCACTTGTTACGATAATTTCAATATTGGTGTCAACATGAAGATTTCTAATTAATTAGCTAATGAAGGAAAAGTTCCTAAATAGCCATGTTCGTGTAGAAAATCGATATCAAAAAAGAAATTCGCATTATTCGCCAAGTACTCTTTTTCAATCAATAATTAAGGATGTCAAAATTAAACTTCAGAGCACTATGGATAGAACACCGATAGTACCGTAAGTACACCAATCAGAAGCGAAAATGAAGGGGTTCTTACTTCGAGGGGTAGTTAGGCGATGAGAATTGGTATTGACAAAAATTATTTCTTTGAATCTTTTCGGCCGCTTGATCATTGATCAGTGATAGATAATCTCACTAATCAAAGGCAACCATCACCACCCACGTAAATTCGGCGAAACCGAACGATTTTATTATGCCTATCTATTATGCTCTATCAACCCATCGTATCACAAAATGTTGGTGCGATGCTGGGTAGACCCATTTCCTTTTTCTTCTGTTATCAGAGTTTGGCCCGTTGGGTAGCTGGGTGGATACGAGTTTGAGTTGAGGTCAGCACGGCTGTTTGCAAGGAATGCGGCTCCACCAGAGATAATGGTCGAGGTTTGATTGGAATGGCTAATCTTGGTGTGCTTACCTACGGAGTAGATGCCTGATGGATCCTGATTTGTTAAGCAGGAGCTGAGCCTTTATTAGAAGGTTGAAGAGAAGGTTGAAGACTATTTGAGCTGGTGTATATCTTGCGAGTGTCAACTTGTTATGTGAATTAGTTTCTTTGGGGTGTAATATGTTGATTTGAGAGTAGCGTATGAGGTATTTGTATGGCGAGAAAGTGTCAGACTGAACATTAGGGTGGAATTGTTCTTATTCTTATTGGCCAAACTGTTCTATATCCAAGATTTCTTTTCCTCTCTCTACCAATTTAGCGTTCGGAGTTTTATACTTTTTGGCAGTACGTACGAGTATTGAGTTACAGTAGTAGATTTGTGGGGTAGTGTATTCGTACCTAGTCGAACTTCTAAAAGTCTGGATTGGAGGCCGAGACGAATCTTGTCCCGTTAGTTTTGCTTGGGAAGGTGGTTTTGGGACGAACTTATAAGCTATCAATGGTGAGTTTAGCCTGATGAGTGGTTTGTTGATCTGGAATGATTCTGTCTGTTGATGCTACCGAGTTTAAGTATATATACATGACGTTGTGAAACCTTCTCGTCTGCATAGAAGGTTTTCGAAGAGTACATCCTCATGCCTTTCGGCTGCATCGGATGTAACCTCCCTTGATTAACCTCATTGAACGCCTTGGGAAACGCCTCCAGCACCACAACGCCCACGAACGCCTTCAACGTCGGTTGTTGATCTCTTCACCCTGATATTGCAACCCTGATCTCCTGCATGCGGGGACAAATATACTTTCGGAGCTAATCACATGATATCTCTCATTCCAACCAATCGGCCAACTTATTACTTATTTGGAATCCAGCCACTCTTATCTCTCTCAGCTAAGCACTAATATCCGAATTTCACGCGGCTTCTTCTCCATACCCACATTTAAACCCTCCCAGCTTCCCAAGCCTTCGCATGATGCATTAATTAAATCCTTTCGCGGTCTGATCCTGGATTATTTTATGAATCTGATTCGACGTGGCAAAATGTGGAGGTAGATCTTAGTCAATTTTAGAGATGTCATTGTGTCATAAATATTCCATGACAACCAATGTGCGGGAAATCCTATCGAAAAGACCAGAGAAAAGTGAGAGAGAGTAAAGATACCTTCCTTGACAAGCAAAAGAGGAGACATAGCTAATATTTTAGTCTGGCTTGCTAAGAAAATGAAGTGGATCATTTTTGACAATACCACACAAACTAGGTACATCTGTCATGTCTGGAGATCAATGGATTATGGAAATGTTATGGGAAAGCTGTGAGTGGATGTACTTTTTGGGAAACCTAGCCGGCCCGCATGCTTTCTCATCTAGGTATAACTCATGATGATCATTGAGATGGGGTTTCCAGAAAACTAATATAGACCTGCACTTCCCTCCTCTCTTTTTCTCCTCTTTTCTTCACGCACCATAATACCGAAACACCTCGAGAGGTTTATTTGAGTCGGGCACTCAAGTTGTTGAGCCATATTCTTTCTTTCGAGTCGCATTTACTTTTCTGTTTAATTATTGATACCCCTCCATCAACAACAAACAGCACTCGACACACTTAACTCTCGGCTTTCGTCATGGAGGACTCTAAATCTCATGATCCCGAGAAGGGTCAAACTCGAGCTAGCCGCGCCGATAGCATTACCCAGGAGGCTTACATGCAAGATACACGCGCGCCTTGGACTACGAGGGTTGTCGACAGTTTCAGGAGAGATCCTAACGCTGCTGTTACGAAACCAGCTCAACGGGGTCTTGATGGACGTGAAGAGCCTGTTTCAGGTTTCGATCACAGGGCTGCTGCTGAAGCTACTGCCAATTCTGGTTTGGCTAGAGAATTAAAACCTCGTCATTTGCAAATGATTGCAATTGGTGGTTCTATCGGTATGTCATGTCTCTTTTTGCACGCAAAAGTCAATTTACAATGATGAATGTAAATGCTAATTATATTGTAATAGGTACTGGTCTCTTCGTCACATCTGGAGCTGCTCTTTCAAATGGTGGTCCCGCTTCTTTAATCATCGCTTACGGTATCATTGGTATAATGTTGTTCTGTACTGTACACGCTTTGGGAGAAATGGCTGTCGTTTTCCCTGTCTCTGGTTCCTTCTCCGCCTATTCTACTCGCTTTATCGATCCTGCTTGGGGTTTCGCAATGGGATGGAATTACGCTATTCAATGGCTTGTTGTCTTACCGCTTGAGATTGTAGCTGCTTCGATCACGCTAGCGTATTGGCCCGGTGCAGCTGATACCAATTCAGCTGCTTGGGTTACGATTTTCTTCGTGATTATTGTTGCGATCAACTTCTTTGGTGTAAAAGGTTATGGAGAGGCCGAGTTTGTCTTCTCAATCATCAAGGTTGCTGCAGTTATTGGATTCATTATTCTTGGTATCGTCCTCAACTGTGGAGGACAAGTTGGAGGCGGAAAGTACATTGGAGCTCGTTATTGGTATCCTAATAGCGTTGAACCTGACTATTCTGGTTACTCCAATATCGCAAATCAGAATGCTGATGGAAGCCCTATGCCAATTGCGTCTGGTTCATTCCACAACGGCTTCAAGGGTCTTTGCTCTGTATTCGTCACAGCCGCTTTCTCTTTCGCCGGTACTGAGCTTGTCGGTTTGGCAGCAGCTGAAACTGCTAACCCACGCAAAACCCTCCCAACAGCCATCAAGCAAGTTTTCTGGCGTATCTGTCTCTTCTATATGGTTGCCTTGACTTTAGTCAGTGTTCTCGTGCCATACGGAGATAAGCGACTCTTGGGATCCAGTTCTACTGATGCCAAAGCTTCTCCATTCGTCATTGCCATCAACAATGCCAGAATTTCAGTTCTTCCTTCTATCATGAACGTTGTTGTTCTTATCTCCGTTCTCTCCGTCGGAAACTCTTCTATCTACGGTTCTTCGCGCACTCTTGCGGCTCTTGCAGAACAAGGTCAAGCTCCAAGATTCCTTGCTTACATTGATCGTAAAGGACGTCCCCTCTTGGCTATCATCTTCTCATCAGTTATTGGTCTTCTCTGCTATGTCGTAGCTGGTGGTCAAACAACCGCTGCTACCGCTCTTAACTGGCTGTACTCCCTTTCTGGTCTCTCGTCTCTCTTCACATGGGGATCAATCTGTCTCGCACACATTCGATTCCGTGCCGCCTGGAAAGCACAAGGTCACACCCTTGATGAATTAGCCTTCACATCCCAAGTTGGAGTTATCGGTTCATGGGTCGGTTTAATTCTCAATGTTCTCGTATTGATTGCACAATTCTGGACGGCTATCTGGCCCATTGGTTACGCATCACTCTCCCCATCAGGGGTTGCTCAAAGCTTCTTCTTGGCCTATCTAGCCGCTCCGGTTGTCTTGATGTTCTACATCCCATACAAGATCTACTACAAAACTCCTTTCATGAAGGCAGAAGATATGGATTTGACTACAGGAAAGAGAGATTTGGATACCCCGGCATTGATAGAACAAGATCGTCTTGAGAAGGCGGCATGGCCTCGCTGGAAGAGAATTTACAGGACCATATGTTAAAAATCCCAAGGTAAAGGGAACATGGCGTTTGGGTTTGCTTTTATTTATATGATTATGTGTATCATATCTACTACGTTGTTTAATGATTGTCTTATTTTGGTATCTATATACTCGATAGATAGATGAGAGAGGGAAGGAAGGGAAAGGAATGGGAGGGATACCATGAAGCTGCTGGCTGAAGCTGCGGCTGCGCCTGGGATTGGGTTCGCGGTAACGTTGATATTGATCAATGTGGTGGCTGGATTGGAAAGAGGGAATGCTATAGAGAAAGATTCAATGATATATTACAATATACTTTGATTTATCGTCTTTTGTTGTGTTATGTTTTGTGTTGTGTATCGTGTATTTGTATGCCGTACATGTGTTGTGAGAGTGTTAAACTTGCTGTTGTGATAACTGTAGCTCATAATACTATTCTTATTATTATAACTTGTAAGAATACAATACAATATAACATCTAGCATCTACAATTTACTTTACAAAGTCACATACCTTTCCGAAAACTAAAGATATTGAGAAGGAATTATAATAAAAGTTATAATAATCATATTAAAATTATAATTATTTCACATTTATTGTTTATTAAAATCATACTAAAATTTATATATAATATATAAAAAGTGTTTAGTATTTTCTTAAAAGAGATTCAAATTTATTATTAATTTATTAATAAAGAAAAAAGTTTATATTTTTATAAAGAAAATATATAAAGTTATCTAAATAGAAATATTTTATTTTTATTTTAATAATATAAATAATACAATATTAAAATCCCTTTGAAGAGATAAAATTAAATAATTGAGTTTATAATTTATTATACTAATATTTAATCTAGAGCTTCAATCTATCAAAATCAAAATTAACTACTTATTAAACTATATAAGAATTACTACACCATCTAAGAATTATCAAGTATACAATATACTCGGTGATTTAGCCTGAAAGTAATCAAGTAAATTTATTGTTTGTTGTATATCTGACAAGAGAATGAGGTATATATATTTAGTCCCCTCCCTTGGAGCATTGCATAGGATCTCTCTCGTTCGTAAGGACGAAAGATCCAAGAGCTTCTTAATTAAGACACTTCTTGAAAACCACAATGCCTTAACTATCATCTGAGGTTTAATTATGAGAATAATTTCGTCTCATGTATCCGTTGTTTTGGCGTCGTCGTCGCGCTCTCGATGACGGAGTCGTCGCTTATACGAGATAAATCGTTGGCCATGATGAAGCGAGCCGTAATGGCTTCTTTGACTTCATGCCTCATATGCTGGAAGAAAGAGAACGGTTGACTAACGAGCCAATGTGCAAAGGCTGTGTGGTGATAGATACCGCGCACGACGGCCTTACCCTCTACTGAGCTGATCATGACAGGACGTCGGAGGCGCGCGTATCGATCGATGTTGCTCTCGTAAGCAGCATGAACAATAAGAGCATCCTTGTTTGTGGTTGGGAGGTGAAGTGGCAGAGGATTGTAGAGTAGGGAGACATGCTCAGGAGCCGGAGGACGGCTATATGTCTGAGGAGAAGACGTCTGCCGACGTTATGATCCTCGGTGATATTGAAATAATGAAAGCGATTTTTAGGCCACTTCTCCCAAACTTCAAATGTCACATCCAATGATGAGAGCACTGCCGTGTCATCATTTAGACCCCGTCGCTATGCGTGGAGCTTTCCAATTCACCGAGCGCGTGTAATCATCCATGACGGAGTACAATCGGTTGACTCATGATAAGATCAAATATCTCCTTTGAACTGACAACGCCAATATTATCCCTTGCTTCTTCAGCTATGGAGATATCCCGGAGCAAATCGAGTTCACGGTACAAGTCGACATAGCCGCCAATGGCACATGCCCGAGCAACGTGGTACCGCATGTCGGGATATTTCCGAACTAGCCCACGATATGTGTCGATAGTTGCTACTTGTGGATGCCAGATGCAGTATGGCTTCTCCTCATCATTTGTCATAAGGGGAATCTTATTGCTCATGATCAAGCACGCGTTCCTAGCGCGAGCCAAAACTTTATTGGTACTCTTAGCGCAGACTTCATTCATCGGCTCAGACTCGGCAAATGCTTCGTTATACCGCAATCCATGGACTATGCAAGCTATCATCCTAAAACTTTCAAGCTTCGCTGGAATGAGTTCTCCTCGCATGGCGTCTAGACAATCCTGTTGTGAAATCGAAGCCTCAGGGTTGAAAGCAGGCAGATGAAATCCCGGGCTGCCTTCGAGTTCCGGATCCATTGCGAAATATAAATAGAAGTCTTGAGGACACAATTAGGAGGGGGAGAAGGAGAGTAGATGATGATCTATTACCCACGAAGTGTCGTAGACACTCTTTTGTAATCTAGTATGAGTCATTTTGTTAGTGCTGCAATGGTTTATACGGGTTTATAGATGACTGATATCAAGGCTGACTATACTATGAACGGCAGTGCGTATAAAGCTCAATACCAACGGGTTAGTAATTACCTAGGTATATAGAGACGAATGAAGCTTTTGAAGGCTGTGCCGCAGTCTTTTTCTCCATCTGCAATCCATTGTTGTTGACGCGGAACTCCGGAACTGTGAAATCAGAAATATTAATCATGATCAGGGTTCGTTCACCCGAAAAACCAACTCAAAAGTGGAAGCTGGTATACTTGTTAGCCAATCGCCACAAAGGCCCTTCACCAACAGAGCTAGGCTACATAGTCATTAAATCCACTGATGCAATGCTCTAGAAAGTATCAACAATTGAACCATTGTGTCGGTAACTTAAGAGCAATTCTATAAGCTGATAAAAACTTAAATACCTCGCTTATTTCCGCCCCCGCTTAATATTGCCTGCTTTTTGTCGCTGGAGGATCTAACAAACGGCAGGCAGGGCTCAGGATGAAGTTGGTTTAAAATATTTGCACAATTACATTCTATACAATGCTCCGGTTTGTGAGGATTATTTCTTAGTCGTTACTAGAGTGGCAATATGACAACCTGTTCTCGGGCTATGGGGGGTACCAGGTGTTAAGATAACACTATATATATATAGTAATTATAAGAAATACAATTTGAAATTAAGGTAACGATTTACTACTTAAAGTAATAGCGATGAATGATATGAATTTATGCTAAGCTCAAGGTCACCGTTTACAGAACGTCTAGTCTTTTCAATATGCTAAGTTCATTGCTATCCTAGCAATATTGAGAAACTCGAAAAAGAGTGCTGCAGATATCGTTGAAACTATCATATACCAAGTGGAGAATCATCAGAGTGAGATCATATGGTGTTATATATTGTGGTTATGAAATAGCAATTGGATTTATGTAATCTAAGCTAGTACTTAATGGTAAAAAAGACATGTGATTCCAAAATAACTTCATAACGGTACAAATATTCATTTACTCATTCATCCACGTCCCATTTCCTCATTTCATAAACTTCCTTCCCATGTCCAATGTCTCCTCACATTCATCTCCTCGCCCCCACCACAAACCCTCAACCCAACACCCACCCAATATAAATCCCACATACAAACTCCTCAAGAATGACCAACAAGTCCCGCCTTAGGCGCCCCATCTGGATTCGTATCCGCGCCTTCAAACCCAAGCGCCGTATTCCACGCATTCGCGGTACTCACATCCTTCGTCCCAGCGGCACTAATCATCGCCTTAGCCTGCGCACACGCCGTCTTTGCCGCCTCATTCGCATTACACACATTAGTCAACTGATCACAGATACGATTTGTGATGATATTAGGATTAAGCGCTTCTTCTTGCCCTTTGTTGACCAGGGGATCAATGGCCTGAAATGTAAATTCTGTGTCTTTGCGACCGTTGAGACCGGCTTCGAATTTCATTGTGGGGACGCACAGGCCGAAAGAGAGACCGGATATGCTGGAGGCTTGGACGGTGCTGCTGCTGTTTGTGGAGGAGGTTGAAGAGGAGCTGCTTATGGATGTCGGTGCTGCTGTGGCGGATGTAGCGGCCATGGTAACAGTTATGAAAGTAGTACCTCCACAAGCAATTCCGCTTGAAGCCGCGGCCACAGCAGCTACAGCCACACTAGAAACACCCGATGAAGCAGCACTAGGTGTAGAACCCGAGGCCGATACACTACCTGCCGCAGCGGATGAACCAGATGGAGTTCCCTTATTCCCCGCCGCATCCGTAGTAGTAAAATTCGAGAATCCCTGCGCAACCATCACATCCGCAACACTAAGACCATCGGCTGCAAAAGGCGTCGTGGTACTCTTTGCACTATTTGCATTTTCCGTTTCGCTTCCCACAACAGAAGGATCAATAAGTGGAACTACACCACGTAGAGCAGCCGTAGTAGGCAATGTAGGATCGGAGCAAATATTCGGGACGGAAACGACGAAAGGGTTGAAATTCTGTTCGGCGGCTACGAGACCGCGGGCTGCGGAAATGACTTTAGAATCATTGCCGAGTTGGGCAACGATGGTGTCGGCTTGAGTTAGTTTTCCACAGGGGTTGGCGGCGCCGAGGAGGAATTGGATGGATTGTCCTCCGAGGGTTGCTGCGGCTCCTGAGGTGCCAAAATCACTCAGGGCGGTGATGGCGGCGATTGCTCCGTTTCCTTGTTCTTGGCCGAAACTAGGGCGGATGGTTAACACATGTGTAGGATTCGACTCTTCCTAAGGATGAACATACCGAGCTTCGACTAAAGCCACCAGCAAAGAGATGAGGATAGTTTTCGAGAACATGTTGATTTGATTAAAGGTTGATTGGTCTAAACAGGTATTGGTGTTGAAAAATGGTGATATGAAGATGATTGTTTAAAAACTAAAAGATTGGACCAGCCTAATGAAGGATAAATTTAATCAATGTATAGAATGATAATATAGTAAGGAACGAGATGTAGTTCACAGAACTAAATGAAAGGAAAGACAGTCAAGTCAACTGTAGAGTGAAAGAACGACCGAATGGATGATGATGATGATGATGGAAAAAAATCTTCAGGAGAAAGATCATGTTCTTATACACGAAGAAAGTGAGAAACTTGCCCCCCATGAACGGTGAGATGATATTACACTGTGCAGATTTTGCATGCTGGCGGGAGATCATACTTTGCGGCGGTTAAGCTTGTGTCTACACTATGCTATGTACCAGTTGACGATAGCAAGGGCTCCCAGGAGATGGGACGAAAAACCAGGGTTGACACAAACTTCAGATGAAGAAAACCTCACTCAAATCAGTGACATTAATCCAAAAGTATGAGAAACCCAGTAGTTCCCGCCTTCACCAACGTTTAAGAGATTACCTTCGAATCCACAAGCTGACAAAAGAGTGATTTTGAATCATTCCAGACATCAGATGAAGACACTCGAGTCTCAGTTCCCCATTCCCAAACATCTTACGCCTCTTCCACCTGTCCACCATAAAGTCATAACGGTAACCCAGTCTTAAGATTTGAGAGGGGTCGCTGGCTTAATGTGGTCATTCTGCAAAACATACAAACCACTCACTTAAATCCGGGGAAACAAGCAATCAAATAGATTGTAAGCTTAAGTATTTTAAGTTCAGGTTGATTAAAACTTTATCAGAACCCCTGCATATCAACGTCGCTTTTTTTTTTTATCCTTCGTCTGAAGACATGGCTTGAGACGAAGTTGAGACAAGGGGGGTTTTAACAGGGGTCTAGCGAGGTTGTCGGAATTTCTAGCACCACCTCGTATGGGTTGATCGGCCTGGAACACCAATGCCAATTTTATCAGGATATTTTGCTGAGGAAGAATAAGGATATAAGGGACGTTTTTGAAACCTTGAGATGAATATTCTTAAACGTGTTTTTATATGATAAAATTTCCTCCAACCAAAGTTTTGCCAGAGTATTATGACGAAAAAGGAAGAAAATGTTCAGAAAATCGGAAAGAATAGTCGTGTTGTAACACTTCCATCTGTTGCTCTCATCTTTCTATATTCAATTCAGGCGCATGAAATCATGCTGAACACGGTTCATCCGATCTCACAAATCGTAATAATACGATCGAATTAATTATGCGTTCTTCTCTCAACCCTCGCTGGCATCCCATCAGATGGCTTAGCACTTGCGATTAATTCTTGATAAGCACGATCTCCTAATATTTTGTTAGCAAAAATCATATTAAACCATCTAAATTCTTATAAATGAAAAACCTCTCACCAAACATCCCACGTGTACCATTCAGAGTACCACCAGGTTCTTTTCTTCCAAGATTTCGATCCCATGCCTCATAATCGGATTTTATATCAAATTCTCTCAATGTCATCGCCATGATAATCTTCATTTCGAGAAGAGCAAGTTCTTGTCCAATACAATCTCGGGATCCTTTTTCAAACGGTCGCCAAGCATTCTTTGGGATTTCTTGAAAGTTGTCCGGAGCGGGCATAAATCGTTCGGGAATGAATTCGTAAGGGGAAGGAAAAAGATCCTCGCGGTGGTGTATAGTATGAACGCAGACCATTACCAAGAAATCCTTAGTGGGATATTGTTTGCCTTCATAGTTGAGTATGAGATCATCTCCGTGTCGTGCTGTGTCTGCTGGTGGGTATCTCCTAAGGGTTTCCTTGATACAGCTATATACGTATGGTAACTGGTTCACGATACTCGGATTTTCCTTGATCATGTCTCCAGTTTTTGCAACATCTTTTCCAAATACTTTGTCCAATTCGTCGCGTGCTTTAGCTAAACATTTGGGATTCTCGCCTAGGAGATGATATGTGTATGCGATGGTACTTGAAGTTGTGTCATGACCAGCAAAGAGAAATGTTTTCATTTGATCAATCGACACTTGCTTGAATGTTTGATCCAATCCTCTATGTTCCAATGCGATATTTTCCTCCTCTTGCTGAAGAATATATTCATCCAGAGCAACATCAATAACAGGCTTCTTCTTACTCTTCGAAGCATTTCCTTCCTTCTCTGCAAATCGAGCATCTAAAATCTTATCAAGATAGCCATCCATTTTCCATTCATAATACTTTCGCATAATCGGACCTAATGGATTGAAATTCACCAGCGGATTCGTCGCCACAATTTTCGGTGTCCAAGAAATAGATTTTCGAAAATATTCGACTAATTCATTCTCTGTAGTTTGTGAATTTAGACTGATATCCAGAACAACATGGCCCATGATATCAATCGTCGCAAACGCAGCCGCTTCTTCTATTGGATGAACCTCTCCGGAGTCCGCAAGCTTCCCTAAGACATTACGAAAAATTTCCGACTCGTCAACAATACTTGGGATAAGTGTTGTTAGATGAGCAAGAGCAAATCCAGGATTAAATAATGCCCGATTGTTCTTCCATTCCAAACCGTCAGTAAGTAGAATACTTCTTTTCCCAGTAATATGCCCAATATATTGTTCTGCGACAGGTGATTTCGGAAGTGAATAATTCTGCGTGCATTGTGCTGCGAGATTCTATAGAATATCAGTCATGCTCTGATAAATTCGTCGGAGTTGATTCATGATGGAAGACATGGACATACTGGATCACAAATGATGATTTGTCTCCATCGAAAAAATGGCCAATTGTCCAGTATGAACATATCTTTTAAGTTGTATTTGTTGTATATCATGGTCATAATTCCATGAGGATGCGCGGTCATAGGTGCATGGGCATATTGATCACCCATCGATTTCAACGTGCCTAGTATGATACTGAAAGGTGGGCAAGGTATCCCTGATGCCTGTCAAGTTGATCAGCACATGTAGATTGGAGGGAAGGTTTTATATCTACATATTCTATGTATGATTTTCTGTATTGAACAAATCTAACTACCCAAGCCAGGGTAAAGATTACTAGAACCGTGGTAATGAAGGGGGTGAAGTTATTGGAAAACCAAATATAGTCATCGATATCGACGTCAGTTCCAGGAGGGGACATAGTTTGATTGTCCATTTTGAGAAGATTTTGTGAGGGTTTGAGGGTCACAATGCCACCGTGTCTGTGAGCTGTAGTGGAACTCGGGAACTGTTGACGATTATCTCGATAGGTAACACATTGTGTTCCTACAAGCTCACGTGAAGGTAGAAATCTGTTGTCAAGTCATAATCTCACAAAATGTCTATGATTGACTTGCATCTGAGTACCGTGCTTAACCTTAATAAGTGGGGGACAACTGTCTCCACAGACTTCACGATACCTTCAGAAGCGGTTGGTTCTAACTCTATGAAAGCAACGAATCAGTTATTTACTGACGCTCGATCAGTACACGTTATTGATTGCCAATTAATGATTTACTAATAGAGGATCAATAAAGGTCTCATTTTTGAGACAATGATTTGTTCAAATTATAAAACGAGATTGAATATGAACAGTTTCAAATTTGATAATCAAACTACGAATCTTCAATCGATTTTATTCTTCTCGATTTTGAAGGGAAGGAGCTAAAAACAATAAAGGGAGAAAGGGAAATAAAGGAAAAGAAAGAAAGAGAAAGGAAGAAAGAGAGGTTGAATCTCTCTTCCCCTCCCCTTCCTTCCCCTCCCTTCCCTCTTCTTTCAAAAGTCTTATTATTATCAATCTACAAAGATATATTATTATTTTATTTTAAATTCATTTTTTTGAATTTCATTTTAATCGAAATCTAGTTTTTGAAATTTTATTTTTACTTTTTTATAATAAAATCAAAAGAATTTAATAATTATTTGTAAAAAGAAAAAAAACCTAAAAACCATTTTATTTTATTTTTTAATATTATTATTTAAAAGATAAATATAATAATAATAAATTAATAAATCAACCGAGTTTTCCTATAGGAAAACTAACATACAAGTGTCACGATTCACGGATTAGATTATAATAGTAGTACAAATATCAGTGATTTAGTTGTCGATTGTTAAGGGGGTGTGATTTAATTGTTGTTTATAAAGGGGTTCTAATTGTTTTCAATTAGGAACTCAGGATTTCTAGAATAAATATTCTAGACAACTATATTAAATCAGAACAAGTGTTCTGAATGATTAGATTATAATAAGATAGTAATCTTAGAGGTTATTATATCCTGAAACAAGGATTTCAAAGGAAAGCTTTTAGAACAAGTGTTTTAGGAAAAGAGAAGCCTCAGGATCAATCATAGAATAGAAAGCTTTAAGAGTTTGAAAAGCTTCTAAAGCTTCAAAAGCTTTAAGGAACTTTTGAACTTCAAAAAGTTTTTTTTCTTTTAGTAATATATAATCAAAATAGTTTTATAATATAAAAGCTTTATACTCAATTTAGTTATCAAATTAGTTTATTTATATTCTATTTGATTTAATAACGATTTCATTTTCAAATAAATAATCAGTGATAACAGTTTTAATCTACAACTATCAACTAGACAAACCTTAGACAGCCGCTGCCTCGACCAGATCGTTACAACAAGTCTATTAAGTAGAGATAACTTTATATTGTTAAATAAATAACCTTACCCATGGGCATTTGAGGATTTCTCGTCAGCAATTACAAGAGAACGAGGATTTAACCAAAAGGTATTTGAAACATCTATTTTCTCACTCTATATATGAAATCTTCTCTACCCTTAAATTATCCTACACCGTTCGATACCCCTCAGAAAAATTTATGACCTGTATATGATGATGCAAATACAGTGAAAGTGATTGCTGAACCCCAAAAAGCTATCACAAAACTAGACTCTTGAAATCGTATGGAAGGTTATGGTATGTAATAAAATTAAATAGTATCAAATTTGAAGCTGCCTTCTATTTTGTATATGACTCTTGTAATTCGGGGCGGGCTAAAGCCAGTGAGATCTTTCTCGTCCATCATCACAGTACGTTGCGGCAGCTAGAAGCTCCATGTTGGTCTTCTCCTAAGGTCCATCCAATGATTGTAGAGCAATCAAGTTGGCCAGGCGTTGCAGTGCTTGAAATTTGCAAGTTTTTCAAAGAGGCTGATCGGGTGTTTGCTGCCTTGGAACCTGCCTCATCCCTCACGGAACTCTTGGGCTCAACGGGCCATCGACGACTTTTTCGCAGGCCGCAAATCTCCGACCCAAATGGAATGTGACCGGAGCGCCCGTTCCATTCCCGGCGCTTCAGCTGGTCGCCTAGTTGACATCTTAGGCTCGTTGATCTACGTTATGGTTTTGCACGGCTGCTAAGAACAACAGCAGGACCTTATCATGCCCTCCCGAGATTCGAAAGTCAAGCGCGACAATATCTGAGCTCGAATACTAACTCCCTTTGCTTTTCGGCCAGAGAAACCCGCATGTTCTCACGTAAGTAGATATGCAACCGTTCACAACAATGCGATTTGTTCGCTAGGCCTTGAAATCCTTTAATACATTTGCTCTGCCCATGTCCCATGAATTGCCAGGCCCACATGCCCCGACCATGCTTTTTGGCTTATTGGTTCGGTCCTGCAGATGCCTGCGAGTCTCAGTGTCGTCGATCTTTCGCCAGGTCACGATAACAGCCGATATCCCTTCCATCAAGCTTGTCTATCAAGTCAAGTTCTCGCATGCCTCTTGGAGAATCTCTTTCATTTGGGAGTAGAGCCTTTTGTCATTCTGTCTATGCCACATGCCATTCGGGAAGACAACCTCCCGCAACCTGTTCACCCATGGAATAAGCGGCTGGAAATAAGGCGTGAAATTATCAGTGGCCGCGTCCATGAGCAGCGCCTCATCCCCTATAATACCAAACTTCAGTCTGGCCAACGTTTTCATATTCACATAGTTCCAGTTCTCGAAATCTTCAACCACCATTCCCTGATTTGGTCCATTATAATGAATACAGATCCAAAAAAGCACCCAGAAGATTGACTCGAGGTCATGCATAAAGGAATGCTGCCTGCCAAAGAGGACCCCGATAGCCATGAAAGCCCTAGTGCCAGTCCTGCCTCTGGCGCCAGAAGCCTCCACCCGTGTTTCCTTGATCGCAAGGTCGAGGTCGATCAAGAACGAAGGCCAGGAAGGGTTCTCTTTGTCTTCATTAATCATGAGGTTGTTGATTGAAATGTCTCTGTGGAGGAAGCCGGCCTTATGCAAAGACTCGTGCCCTTCAATGCAGTCCTTCAGCGCGTTGAGTAGAGCTGCTGGGGTGCTAGCCTTGTAGATCGGGTCCCCATAATCACCAAGGATGACACGCCTATGCACTCGATTTGATAAAACATTACTTTCGGCCTTCGTCGAAGATGTCGAACAGGATCGCTTGCTAGGCGGCAGAGGGGCGTCAGTCTGGCTGGATAACCGCTTCATACGGGGGGTGCCACTGCTGCGACCTTTCCTTGCACCAGTTGTACTCGTTCTTGGGGATATCACGAAACGTCCCGGCCAGTAATTTTCCGCCTTCGTGACATCCAGTCCCTTCCGAACATTGCTTTGAACGTCGTCATCCATACCGAAAACCCGGACAGTCTCATGGTGATAGTATCGGGCTACATTGCGCACACCCTTGTCAGTCGCCTCTCGGAGCAACTCTCCTTCTTCCTCACGCTCCGTGTACTGCCAGGAGTCCTTGATAACAAGCGGGTTGTTCGGATCTCCCTCGCGATGGGCCTTCCAACAAGTCGTTGCCCGGCCTGATATGCAACGCGCCCGCATCATCAAGCCATCGATAATGAGTCGCTCCGTGTTACCATTCCGTTGAATTTCAATGAACCGCAAACCATTTTCTGTAATAAATGTAGGATCGAATCCAAGTTGTTCTTCATTCATCCAAAAAAAATGCCAGGATCGTGGATACAAATTGCAAGCCATTTTTGTTGATATCGAATTGTTTGGATGCAATCCCTCCGAGCCGATCAAACGCCCATACCCTCATAAGAGATCCGCAAATGGTAAATGCCAAAACGAAGCGACGAGTATCCTGGGCAGCGAGCACCTCTCTTGCATACGTCCCGAGATCAAGCCATGCCTCTGAAGCTATATCGGCTGATGGGTTGCTCTTCAGCTCCCCTGGCACGAGGATCTTGGACCAATGGTATTCCGAGTCTTTCAAAGCCTTGTGATCGTTCACGAAGCAGACGTCAACCTTGCGCTTTGCTGTAGAACCGCCAACCAGCCTGCTGGGCTGTGCCAGTGGCCTTCGGTGACGTGTCGGTGTGGACTTGTAGTCCTCTGCGAATGCTGCCAGCTTCTCGGTTATTTCCGAAAACCAGCTCAAGACATCATCCTGATTTGCATCCTCGGGCCATCCACGCCACCCTTCACAAAAAAGTGAGTGACTATCGCCTTCCATGCATAGCTTGAAAACCGCGGCAGAAGCCGTCTCAAGGTCTGCAACATCTCCAAAATATGTCTCGTAGAAATTGTGGAGCCCAACATACATAGGGCCAAGCTCCTCTTTAAGCACCCCACCCACGTGCTTACGATACTCAGAAGTATTCGCAAAGCTGCTTATGTTTCGGATCAATGGGGTCTGTCGAAGGAAAACTGCTATCGATTGGGGAGGCGGGGTGGATTGGATGACGGCGCTGTAGACCTGATCCCAGATGAGCACATCGTCGAGATTTTCTGCGAGCGCTGCCTTCAAGAGAGGTTTAAAACGGTCGAGATCAGAGTCATCTCGATTGGAATCGATCGCCGAATTTAGTCTTAGCAGTTCGCTGGAAAGGGGCTTTCCACCGCGGGAAGAAAGCACAAAAGCGGCCGGAAGGACCTGCAACATCGAGAGAAGCACAAAAGTGATGGTATGGAGCCCTGCAAAATAGTCAGTATTGCACGTCAACACAACTGGGTTGTACTACCATTATGATCGAGCTTGCCTAGCGAGTCGAGAGCCAGGGGGAGGCTCTGTTTTTTACAGACCGAGGTAAACGAAGCGCGGAAAGTATCCAGGCCTTTCCCAATAGGATTATCTTTGATGATTTTCAACCGTGAGGGATCTGCCATGATTGAGATAGGAGAGAATTGATTATCGTGTTTCGTTTGGTCCGTGCGGAATTTTCTGCCTAGCCACCGGTTGAACAAGGGATCGGGATTAGTTCGGGATTGTCAGCCTGAGAAAACTAACAAGGCAACAAGTCGTTGTTTGTTCTTGAGACGTTACGGCCTCAAAGGATCGATAGAAAGCATTAAACTGGTGTACTTTCATGGTTAAAAGCCTTTTCTTTGACTCTCAAGACGACGTTTGATAGAGGACGTAGATGTGTGGGCGCGCGGACTGGGGACATTTGTTTACTGTTTATAAGTTTTGGGAAATCAAATATGTGTACTATGATGGAAGTATGATTATCAGTAAATTACTTATACGATATTAGTAGATAAATCTGTTGGTATCACTTCGGTGATACGGGTTAGAATGCACTAGTCGTACGGCTCCCTTTATGTACGGCCTTCCTTTCGAGGTTGATCACATGATGTGCCGACAATATCATTTTTTGGATTGTAGTTTGTGAAAACCAAACAACAAGATATTAATATCAATAGCTTCAAATGATAATAAACAGTGATTGAATCATAAGTCAATATTTTATATCTTTTTTAAATGTCAAAATAAACTTCATCGCTTAATAGAGGTCTTATTAATAAATCAAAATATTAAATTTTTTATTTATTTTAAACTTGAAAGTCAAAATGAATATTGTAAATTTTCTTAGATTTGAAAATTCAAATTTAATAAAAAAATGTTTAAAGATACTTTAAAAATTTATTAAATTAATTAAACTTTATTATTTAATATAAAAGATTATATAAAATTAAATAATATATATTAAAACATCTTATTGATTAAAAATAATAATTTAATAAAATAAACAAATATAATCTTCAATAGTATATTAGAGGCCTGCGCCCCTGTCACGATTCACGGTTTAGACTATAGTGTGTTGCAAGGTAACAGTCAACCTGTCCACATGAACTTAGGCCTTATCGAAAAGCAAGGCAATTCGCATACAAATCTGTATGGTAATCGCCTCATATGGTCGCCCCACCCTCAGCAAGCTCGGACATATAGTCTGATCCAAATCACGTGATAAGGAGCCCTAGGAGCTTGGAAAGCTCCTAGAGCTCTAGGGTTCCACGAAGCTCCTTTCCATTCATTAGTATATAGTCAGAATAGTTTCATAGTTTAGGAGCTTCGTGCTCAACTTAGTTATCAATTAGTTTACCTACATTCCAATTGATCTAGTAACGAATTCACTTTCAAGTGGATAACCAGTGATTATTAGCCTTAACCTACAACTACCAACCATACGAAACCTCAGGCAGCCGCTGCCTCGATCAGATCGTTACAACTATCTCGAAAAGCCAGAGGTCCGGGGGGCGTAGGCCCCTGGTTAATTTACAAAAATACATTATAATAATACTCAGTGAAATTTTTAAAAAAGTATAAACAAAATCAAAAACATTAATAACTTTTTGAATCTTTAAAAATTTTTATAAAATTTATATTATTATTTATTTATATATAATTTATAATCTATATAAATTTCATAAAATTCTATCAAATAATTGTTACAAGGTTTGCTGTCTAGATCATATAAAAGTGCTTTAAGCTCTCAAGATGGTTTATAACTAAATGTCAAACAAAGACTTAAAGTAATGATATTTACAACAATATCTGTATTTATTATAAAAAAAGTGTTTTTATTGATATCAGTAAATTACTGATATTATAATCTATATAAAATTAATAAAGATTTAAAATCTTATTATATAATAGTAATTTTTTAATCTATATTAAAGTATTATTATTCTCAATTATTAATAAATTTATTTTTAAATTATAATATTAAAAAGAATTTATAACTTTTAATATTTATTTAGTTTTTTTAATTATTTAAAAATATAAAATATTTATAATTCTTATTTAATAATAAATAAAAATAAATAAAAATAGATTAGATTTTTTATAATACTCGATAAAATTTTTAAAAATATATATATCAATTCACCTCGCAAAATATAATTATTTTAATCTTTTTTTGATTTTAATCTTTAATAACTTTTTGAAAAATAAAGATATCAAAAAACAAAAGAATCAATCAAAAACTAATCTTTCAATTATTATACAAGTTAAATTTTAATAAATAAAATCTGAAGATTATAAAGTTATTAAAGTTTAAAAATAAATTAAAAAAGTATAATATTTTAACTCAACTTATTAATTTTAATATATTATTGTTTCTTTATTATTGTTACGACCGGTAACAATTAGGTCACGGGACCACCATATACGTGATGCTAAGGAGCGAAGAGCTCGAAGGCTTGGCTTCTCGAGCCCTTTGTGCAAGGAGAGTGAAGAGATCGAAGCTCGATCCTTTTGCTCCTTTTGTATCTCTAAGCATGAAGATCTATATAATCAAGATGGATTTCCTTTGTATAAAGTTTCATGTTCAAGATCAATCATTTAGTATACTATATTATTATAAAAACCTCCACGCTCCTTCTTCCACTCAGATGTAAACAACTTCAATCCTCCTCATCACCAGCTAACAACGCTCGCTTAGTTTCTCGGTTCGCAAGGGGGTCGAGCTGCTTGCCGTCTATCTGTGGAGAAAGGCTCTTCGCCTTGGGCTGGAACATGTTCTTCGCACTTACTTATTGCTGGCTGAGTCCTATCGAAACTTTCCAAAGATCAACTACCAGTTTTCTTGCTTGCTAGCAAGCGCGCGAGGACTTAAGCAGGTAGGTGTACGGGCTGGCGATTACTCTACTTGCTCTCCCGCAGCAACCCCAGTTTCTTCTCCAATCTAGCCACATGTTCTTATCCGTCCATGCATTATCGCCGCCCTCGGAAGACTCGGGAGCGACTAGAGCGCAGGCTTTGCTGGTGTGCTTGGATTGATATTGCCAGGGATCCAGAATCGGCTTTGAAAGTACAATTTAGCTGCCGACAATCATAGCCAAGGAGCTCAAAGACGCCGCTCGTGTTCATCATGGATTCTCCTAACTCACTTCCTCACTTCCTCACTCTTCACCCACAATTCAAGTCATAACAATTTCAACAACTCCTCAAATCAAAATCAAAAAACATAAACAGAACCAAAAATACACACATCGCAACTCCGATATTGAACCACCTTTACATTACACATACAACACCTATTTCAAATTGACATCCCTTTCATTTTCAAAGCAAAAACAATTTCCCTCATCTCATCACATCACAGAATACGAAATGATATGATAAGATCTTATTATACTCGAGTTTCCAAGTAAAAGGTATCCTGCCCACTTAGGATTGAGAATTTGTCTTTGTATTCACAATATAATATCCAATATCCACTCGGTGTCAACTTTGCCCGAGGTGGTTATTGGATATAAAGAACATGTAATGATCGTTTCGCAAAAATGCATCTTGACTATTTATGTAAATCCGAGTATCTATCGAGATAATAATACAAGAAGAAGTGGAAAATGTGCAGGAAAATATACAAACACATGGAACTTCTCAAGCTTTCGATCCCAACCATGCTGTCAGCATCGCTCCAATACCCAAGAATTTTCTCGTAGGCGCATGAGTTCTTCTCCATCTATAATATGCTAATAATCCTCCCATCACAATCGGTGATGTTAGCACACCCACCAATCCTACCAAGATTAATTTTCCCTGTTTCTCGCTCTGCCTTACGATGTCGGAATATCTCTCATTACTAAAACTAACACGAGCGTATTTTGTTTGCCACCCAAGGCGAGGTACATGTACACTCAAGGTTTCTTCTAACCATTTGCGGAATTTGTAAACTGGTGAGATGACGGAAGCACGCATTTCTATGTAATTCTGGAGAGCTAGATCATTGATGGCATGGGCGTCAGCTTTGCGTATTTCGGAATATAGATTTAGAGCGACTGAGCGACAGGCTTCGGTACTAAGACGTGGGAAATTGCTTTTTTCGTTGTCGAGAAGGGAGTAAAGAACGCGAACGTCTTCCAAACCGGCGTTCATTCCTTGCCCGTAGAACGGGACCATTGCGTGAGCAGCATCGCCGAGGATGACAACCGAGTCTTGAAAGTGGTATGGTTTGCATTTGATACTTATGAGTGGAAGATGGGGGTTATTCGTGAATGATGATATTAGTGAGGCATGGTCAATGAGTTTTGTGACGCCTGGGAAGTGTTCATCGAAAAATGAGGGGACTTTTTTAGGGTCTAGTTCGAGTTCATTGAAAGGTCCTGATGGCATGAAGAGAGTGCATGTGAAAGAGCCATCCTATAAAATGTGAGAAGGTAACTGAAAGGAAAAAAGCAGAACAGGGCCTACATACCGTGCTAGGAATTGCAATGAACATGAAATCTCGACCTGGCCAAATGTGTAAATGATTTGGAGATATTTTGAAGCGGGATACTGAATCATCCCCTGTTTGTTCTTGAGCACCTATCGTGAACTCACACCACAAGGTGTCAATGTATTCTTGCTGATAATCCATTCGGAGGTATTTCATTAAGTGGTAACGTGTAGCCGAGTGAGCACCATCAGCTCCAACGAGGAAGTCGAAATCAACTTCTACTTCTTGGTCTCTAATCTCAACAGACCATTGTAGTGATTTCCCACCATGAACTTCGAACCATGCCTTTTTATTCTTAAAATCCGCTCCAGTTAATTTATGATTGAATTTGAATGTGACATTAGGAAGAGACTCAAGTTTGTCGAGTAATCTTTTATTAAGATCTCCTCTATCCACGGCATAAATTGACTGAATATTATGTCAGTAACCAAAAAACCACTGGAATCACATGTCGCCATACTCTTCCGTGGATATCATAATCTTGAGACTGTTCGTAAAGCTCCTTGTCATTTGTCTCGCCATGGATCATCCTACCTCCCATAGGTATCGCTTCTTTCATGATACTATCTAGGAGCTCCGTGCGACCAGATTGTCTTATGGCATTTATACCCCTTTCTGATAAAGCGAGATTGATAGACTTTGTAAAATTCAAAGGTGTTGTAGAAGGATCCCGGAGATCTAGGACTTTGTTAATGGGCGATCATGGCTGCAGCACAGGAGTGATAAATAAATGGAGTGACTCGTTCTCCAGTAAAGTGTACATCTGGAGGACAAAACAACATGATAGAAATAAAATGTCTTTAATTTTCGACCAAAAAAGGTCGATAGCAGAATCATTCTTGAAGAATTTGTGGCGACAGCTTCACTCGAATAATCCCACCGTTAAAAACCCTGACATGGGTGATGCTGACTCTCTTCGTAACAGTGAGCTTTCACTTAATCTGGTTGGAATCACATCATTTTGAACTTCATGGTATAGTTTCATTCCATCCCACGGAGATTTAGACCAAAATTGATAAAAACTCAGAACGTACCACTTCGGAGCTCATATATTTCAACATCATCCCCTCTTTGCGCTGCATATAAAGCTGCTAAAGCTCCAACAGGACCAGCTCCAATGATGACAGTCTTCTGTCTTGAAGATTGTCGAGACATTTCCAAATTAATATCAAGTCTAAAAGAACGAAACAGATTTTGAGAAATACAAATTTTTTATCTATGACATCTTGAAAATGTATACTACTCCGGTCCGGTGATTCATCGATCGTGAAATTGGTCTGGGTTCCAGGATAGGTTTAAATTTTTAGTAATCATTTTGATAAAATCACACCTACTCATTCACACGTGATGGATGGCATGATTCTTTACTCGTAGTCGGTAGAATTGAAGCTTAAATCAGACGCCGCCTTTGCATAAAGGCTCAAGCTGATTGGCTTGTATTCCTTACGCCCTTTCTACAACAACTTTTTGAAGGAAATAAGGAAATAGGAAATCCAAACACGGCTGACAGAAATTTACCAGAGATTTCGCCTCATTATCTCATCTATTATTTATTAGTTTATAGAGCCGCCTGCTTGACCATAAACATCTTTCAAAAAGTCAAAATATTCTCGGATTATCAATATCTTGCAGATCTCTTTTTACAATGGCAACCGAAGACTCCGTGGCTCCAAGAAAATGCATAGGCGTTGATTGTGAGAATGAAGCTGGATCATTGCAATGTCCAACATGTTTGAAGCTTGGTACAAAGGATAGCTTTTTCTGTTCGCAGGATTGTTTTAAAAGAAGTTGGGTATGCATGATTCAATCCAATTAGTTATATTCATCAACCCAACTGCTTTGTATTTTCCATGGAATCCGCAAATAGCCAGTCGTGCCAGTCGTACCATCTTTACCCCTCCAAAATGGTGTTTTTGTGACGGGTACGATGTTCAATCTATGCGCAAGGCTAACAAAGATCATAGTCTGAACATAAGAAAGTACATAAATCACAGAGTAATATCCTCAGTAATATCTTTGCCCCAAAAGTCGTTTCTAAACCCGATCCAGCTACCGGTCTATTCAATCCTTTTCCTACCTTCCCATTCACCGGATCATTACGACCTGTTTACCCATTATCCGACCGTCGAGAAGTACCAAAAACTATCCAGTACCCCGATTATTGGAGGGATGGAGTTCCACGTAGTGAAAGAACAAGCCAAAGAAACAAGATTGAAATCTTGAATAAGGAACAACAGGAAGGCATGAGAAAGGTTTGTCGATTGGGTAGAGAAGTATTGGACATCGCAGCTGCAGCCGCCAAGCCTGGAGTCACTACCGACTACATCGATGAGATTGTACACAAAGCTTGTTTAGAAAGAAATGTGAGTATCTTTTTGTACGATAGGTCAACCTTACTAATGAAATTTAGTCATACCCTTCTCCTCTTAACTACTGCGATTTCCCAAAGTCAGTCTGCACATCCGTCAACGAAGTTATTTGCCATGGTATTCCAGATAAGCGGGTTTTAAAGGATGGTGATATTCTCAACATCGATGTTACACTCTATCATGGAGGTTTCCACGGCGATCTTAACGAAACATATTATATTGGTGATAAAGCAAAGGCAGACCCTGATACGGTACGAGTGGTAGAAGCTGCACGAGAATGTCTTGATTTGGCTATACAGATCGTCAAGCCAGGAGTACTATTCAGAGACTTTGGAAACATTATAGAAAAACGTGCCAAGGAATCGAATTGTAGCGTCATCAAGGCATACTGTGGTCATGGCATCAACAGCTTATTTCATTGTGCGCCAAATATTCCTCATTATGCGAAGAATAAGGCTGTTGGTGCAGCGAAACCAGGAATGTGCTTCACAATTGAGCCCATGATTGCTTTAGGGACACACAAGGATAGGACTTGGCCCGATAACTGGACAAGTGTAACTCAAGATGGAAAGAAGACTGCTCAATTTGGTACGTGAATTTGCTGATGATTAACAGTGACTATCTACTAACATTTAACAGAGCATACTCTCTTGATCACCGATGACGGTTGCGAAATATTGACAGCAAGATTACCCAGCTCGCCTGGTGGACCCATACCAATGCCAGTTGTTGCAGAGGAAACTAATGGAGAGAAGGAGGAGGCTACAGCTTAGATGATGAGTAGTGCAGAAAGATTCCAGCCAAGTCACTAGCCAAAGGAGTTCCATTGAGAGAAAAATGACGGTATAATTTGTGTGATGCATCAATCCCATGTGAAAAGGAATGGCCTTTTTCAAGCTCGAGCCACTAGCCGAGCCTTAAAGTCATGACGACCTGTAAACCCTACAACGAGGTGACATCTTACAAGCAAGTAGATTGTATATAATATTCCAGTACAATACATGGCATACTTGACAATAAGGGCTTTTGGTATTTTATATCTTCAATTCCATCTAATGTTCATGCCCCTGACAAATATGCATAATTTATTCATGCATAAGCGAATAAACTGTTGTCCTCCTATCAGATAAAACCTTGGTTTGTCAACAGAACAGAAAACTATCCAAAAGCGTCATTCGCCGCTTGTAGACATCATCCGAATTAACCACTTCTCAAGAACTCCACCATAGGTTTCTAAAGGTTTCGGACGACCATTTCACTATTTCACTGCAAAAATAATAATTCTGTCAACGGTATCAATATCTGGATTCCTTCTCCAGTCAAGGCACAATCATCAACGCCGTACAGATTTTGGAAGATTTCCCCACCTTTACAGCTTCCCTACTAAACTCGAGCTACAAAAAAAAATCCCTTCAGAGAGACAACGAACGACACGCACGCAAGCAGCCGAGCTCCTAGAAGCAACATCGCGTCTTGAGTCTATTTCGTAAGACCTTCATCGCAGATACTACAACTCGATCAATACACAAACGGACTTTTATTCGCATATTCAACGCGATTCATATAAGTTGCCCAAGATGATGTCAGGAGAGGCATGGTTATACCTGTTGGCGGTACTTATCAATGCCGTCAATCTGTTCTTACAAGTGTTCTTCACTATTATGTATAGTGATCTCGAGTGGTGAGTTCTTATTTTTACTTTCCTATTGCTTAGACCTAGGAATCATCCGGGATTGTGAAGGATGCATACAGTGGAGGGGATATGGTCTTTACCGCGTGCGATAAGGATGTGTATTGATCCTTTGCTGCTTTGCGGAAAATAAGCTTCATTATACTTTGGAATAAGGCTAACTTTGAATGACACAGTGACTACATCAATCCTATCGATCTTTGCAACCGTTTGAACACGTACATAATTCCTGAAGCGGCCGTCCATGGGTTCTTGACCTTTTTATTCCTCATCAACGGTTATTGGGTTGCGCTTGTTCTCAATCTGCCACTTTTGGCATTCAATGTTAAGAAGTACGTTGTCTGGGGTGTTGGGAGTATGAATTTTTAGAATTTTCGCTGACAGATACTTAGGATTGTTGATAACGCACATCTTCTAGATGCCACTGAAATCTTTAGAAAGCTCAATGTTCACAAGAAAGTAAGATAACTTCCCTTTCCAAATCCGGATGATCCCAAAGTTCTCACTAACATTTCTCTCCTTCATAGGAATCTTTTATCAAGCTCGGTTTCCATCTTATCATGTTCTTCTTCTATCTCTACTCTATGATCGTCGCCTTGATCCGAGATGAGTCGCATTGACTCCAGAACAATATTGGCGACCGGTACAAAGTGGAGGCATAGGTATAGCTGTAGGTTCTATAGTCAAGGGCAGAACTTGCTCGACGAGAAGGAACCAGAGGACTACGGAAAATTGGTGGCAGGTTTTAAATGTGCCATGATCTCTACGATATGTTAACTATGAATGGTATGGCTGGATGAATGGATGAAATGGGCGGTGGTTTGGATGTAATGGTAGTACGCTACCATCTGGTGTTGAGCCTGGCAGAAAATGAGGGGAATTCATAATGAGTGGACTTCGTATTGAATTTCTATGTGGATAGATACCTAACATGCTTGAAATAGCATGTTTTTTGATAGGAATAAATTGTTCTTTTACAAATATAGAATCTGTCTGTTAGCTGATGGTATTTTTGATATTTTTATATAACTAGGGATTATAAATTTACTAGGTAAACAAATAATCATAACTACAAATTACTGCAAAGCAAAAGCTTATATTGCGCCATAAATTGTCACGTGATCATTATTTTCAGCCTTGTCACTATCGCGAAAATCATCTCGCGCCTTGTACTCAAGTTCGACCTTTTGACGAGGAAGCCAACAGTTTGCGACGATAAATCACTATAATATTTCCTCTTCCCATCGATTCAACGCGGCCTTTCAAAATGGCGGATTTTGGCGCATACCCACCTAATATGGCACCTCAAAATGCCCTGATAGCTCGAAATGCAGAAGGTCCAGAACATGCCGTGGTTCAATACAGTGCTGATAATTTAGCCCGCGCAACACAAGGTCCTGCAAATCCATTCAAAGACGAGAAGACTTCACTTAAACGGAAAAATGTACTTACTGGACATGCCGAGGAAACTTATATTAGTGAACACACATTTCGAGATCAATATCGAGCGGTAGAGCGAAGAGGGAATCATCTTTCAGGTGCGCAAGCTAAAGAAGAAGCTGCCAGGATACGAAGTAAGAGGCAGAAGAAAGGAGATGCAACTATAGCAGAAGGTGATAACGCGTATGTTGGACCTTGGGCGAGATATAAGAGGGATGAATATGAGGAGGTTGATGAAGATGAACCATTACGAAGTGATGAAGAATATGAAGAGATTGAGGAGGATGTAATTGAGAGTGGGACTGTTATGGCTGCGCCACCGCAGGCACTTGCAAAACGGCAAGAAGTGGAAGAATTGGGTGATGAGACAACGACTTTCGAAGGAAGTGAACAGTACGATTATCAAGGACGGAGCTATATGCATGTTCCTCAGGATTTGGATATGGATTTGAAGAAAGAACCTGGAAGTATCAAGAATTATGTTCCGAAGAAGATGGTACATACTTGGAAAGGACATACAAAACCTGTTATTGGGATTCGATTCTTTCCTGGGTCTGGACATTTACTTCTTTCCGGAAGTGCAGATACTACAGTCAAAATTTGGGATGCTTATCACTCAAGAGAGTTATTACGGACGTATTCCGGTCACTCGAAAGCTTTATCAGATGTTGCTTTCAACGCAACTGGTACACAATTCCTCACCGCATCTTACGACCGCATGATGAAATTATGGGATACCGAGACAGGTCAATGTATAAATCGATTCACAACCGGTAAATCTCCTCACGTCGTTCGCTTCAACCCGGATCCAGAACACAGCAATGAATTCCTTGCTGGTATGGCCGATAAAAAGATTGTTCAATTCGATATTCGCACTCGGGAAATTGTACAAGAATACGATCATCATCTTGCAGCTATTAATACCATCACATTTGTAGATGAAAATCGTCGTTTTATCACTACATCTGATGATAAATCATTACGAGCTTGGGATTACAATATTCCAGTTCCTATTAAATTTATCGCCGAACCACATATGTATCCTATGACCCGAGCATCACTACATCCATCTAAAAAATGGGTAGCATATCAATCGTCTGATAATAATATCTTCGTTTATGGAGCTACAGATAAGTTCCGACAAAATCGAAAGAAAGTTTTCAAGGGTCATAATAATGCGGGTTATGCAATTGATGTGGCATGTAGTCCTGATGGGCAATTTGTCGCTTCAGGTGATAGTGGTGGTTATGTATGTTTTTGGGATTGGAAACAATGTAAGATGTATCATAAATTTCTAAAGATCTTGTGTGAGTGGATCAGGAGAGTTCGAAGGTGGGGATCGATTAGATATTGGGATGAGGGGGGGAGGGAGGAGATCGATGAGGAATGGAATGGATTGGGGGATAGAATTGAGTAAGACACAAAACGATGATAATATTCTAATAACCGAGAAACTCTCTTGTAACTTGGTTTTAAATGTGTTGGTTATAAGTCTAGTATTTCATTTTTGTACCACCCCTCTTTAGGACCACTCTTTTATATTAAAATAACAATTTTCACTCATTAATAGTTCTACATTATAAATTAAAATTGACTTTAATAATATATATTTAATTATTTAAATTTTATATTCTTTAAAGAATATATATATATTATAGATTTAATATTATTAAAATTATACTAGATGAGTGGTTGATCTTCTCGGGGTATATATAAACCTTAAGAAATATAAGATCGGTATCGAGTTCATTCTTCTGTTTTAAAACTTTCTGCTTCCCCATCCCACCCCACTCATCTCCCTCCTCCCCCTCCCCATATCACACTACTCCCTATCCCCATCTCTATCCACATCCCCATCCCATCCCACCCCGCCCCACTCGTCCCCCTCCGTCCCTCTCTCACAGAAAACCCCGAAAAATCTCTTCAAAACCCCACTCTCCAAACTTTTCCCTTTAAATTCTCTTTCACCTTCGAAATCGATATCAAAATAACACAATACAAAAGATCGGGCTTGTGGTTTAGTGGTATAATGTTCCCTTAGCATGGGAGAGGTCCGGCGTTCGATTCGCCGCTCGTCCATTATTTAATTCGTGTTTGTTGTGGGAGGGAGAGTGGTTGATTTTTGGGGAGAATGGGAGATAGATGGATTTTGTATACTTTCAAGGATGGGTTGGATAAGGTATTATGTGTTGAAGGAAGGGGTTGCGTGGGAATCGGAAAAAGGGGGGATATATCTTCATGGGATTTTTTGCCGAGACACGTGCTTTTGGTTTATTTAGCTCAGCTCTAGTAAAATAATATAGGTCTGTAATGATAGTAATATCGGTATAGTAATTCTAGGATCCTTTTACGCTAGATCCTGTTTTATTCTTTAGATCTAAGGATAGATTGTTGAATATTAATGTTTAGAAATAGGTAGATTCATGAAGTGTTGGGGAATTGGAAAGCTGATAGATGGTTTACTTATGCGTTTGTTGTTTTTGATAAATAGGGAGATATGGAGATAGAATGAGGATGAAGGAATATAAATGTGATGGCCATGGTCTGCTTCTCTGTCTTAGGAGGGCGGGTGTAGGCTGTGGTTTGTGGTCACGTGATGGGTATTGCCAGAGGAGGGAATGTTTGGAGGATGTTGAAGGGATTCGGGAAGAGAGGTATGAGATGGTGAACTTACAGATTGCTCTTTATCGGGGTTTGACGACCTTGTTAATGCCTAGATGAGAAGGAGAATATAATTGAAGATTGAAATCATACACAACCACAGCACAGTAGTTTAGAATATAGACCTCTTCAAGCATATTACAGACACGTGGGAAAGAAATTAAGTCATCTTTTTCGAAATTATATCTTATTTTCATTTATTCATCTATCACAAGAGAACACTGATATCTTATCTCTTCAAACCCAAGCCAAATACCCCAAAACCTTTGCATCAAAAGCAACCCAATTTTCGCCAGTATCCTTTCACTCTGTAATCCGAGAAAGGTAACAAATGCAAATGGCAATTTCTACCTCTATCAATCTCCCATGCAGTCAAGTCATGTAATCCAATCCTGTACTCCCAATCCAAAAAATCAGAACCATCTAGTTGTCTCGTGCTCTCAATAAGAACAATCTTTGTCTGTCCTCAGCATTCTCGGTTGGTCTGAATGTTGGACGGGTGACGGGGGAAAGTTGAAGGTATGGGTTGTATGCATCGCTGGCTTCGCTGGGGGTGCTGACGCTGGAGGAACTATCTCCATTGAGTACGAGCCAGCCATCGTTAGATGTGCTGGAGGAGGAGGATGAGGTGGAGTAGGCACGGTCTGGTGAGTTTGTTAGTATATGATTATGTGAGATGAAGATGAATGAAAGCTTACCAAGACGTGATTGTTGAGTGGTGGAAGACATGATGATTTTTGTGGTGGTTGATTGGTTTTTTAGGTGTGAGATGTTGTTGTTATGTTGTTGGAAGGAAGCGAGGTGTATTGAATTGGTTATTTGATTGTTTGTTGATTGAATGATGAGAGGGAAAAGAAGAGGGAAATGTCGATGAATATATACATTTCTTCCAACGTACTTTCCCCCCCTCCCCCCTCCATGGCTCTTTCTTACTTCAACCCATTATCTCAATATTGGAACTATGAAATGCTTGGGAATCACTTATCTGTGTCAGACAAGATCCTAGGCATTATTGAGCGAGACAGGAAAAACGGATTCACAAACTCCACATCAGTAAGCCAAGATGGCACTCAATGCAAAGGAAGGGTACGTACATGAAATGATGACTTGCCAAGAGAAGTTTGTTTTTTCCCCCAGCTGGCGCTGATTATTTTGATTTTTGGATGAAGAAAGACTAGGAAGATAAAGTCCCCCCTCATATATTTCTTGGCGACGATTATTATCCAAAGAAATTCTCACGCTGAATCTACGGGAACTCCGGCAGCCAATCCGGAGTCTGTATAAAGAACATGGGCGGAGGGAATGGACTGCTGAGTGGCACGTAAATTCTCCTTATCGAAATATCTCAATCGCGAGGCGCGGAATATGTTCAAAATATAAAATACTACTGGTGATCTTATTTCACTGGTGATTGTACCTGCCAAGTGCTTTTCAATAATTCCTTGGCGAGTTTATGGAGTTTGGGAGTTTCTTTATGGTATTTACTCATACAATTTTTGGTATGGAAAGAATGAGAAACGTTACTCGAAATTTCTCCAGATTGTGTTTGTTTTCCAAAAAGGGGGTGACATCTCTCGCTTTGTGGAACATTTGAGGAGAGGACTAAAGTTACCCGAACGACTTTCCTCTCCTCCAGCCATCATACTCCGTACACTTTACATTTTGAAGTCCAAATTGTTACAAGCGGTGTTCCGGCCAAGGTACGCACAAAGTGCTACAATCGATCCGGTCCGCTTTGAAGTTAACCCTTTTCGAACTGATTTAAACCATTTCAAGGGAAGTGATGGTCTTGGCATCTATGATAAGGTTTTGGGAGATCTTGGTGCTGGGCTGGGCAACAACTATTCCTCTTGAAGAATGATCTATCTACCAAGCATTTTTTGAATGATTTAACAACGATCTTTACTCGATGTGCCGACGGGAAACGGTAGATAGTAGCTGATGCTATCAACTTGGCTTAGTGCTTTATTTCTAAGTTTTGGCTTAGTTTGGTGATCGAAGCTTCTTTATTGATTGCTAAGGATCTTGGAGGATGATTGGCAAATTTGGATCTTCTGAAACATGTCAAGTGACCTATTATTAAGATATATTGTTTACAAATCTACAAGTGTTAGAATGGATTATGGTGTAGTAATAGGGTAGGATTCTGTAACACCAAGAATTCCCAAGTATCTTGGCCATGTACATTAACACCACCGCCTCAGCTTTTTTTCGAGCACAATTTCATCCACCAACCACCTGTACTTTTTAAATTTGCCTAGAACAATTCATTTGTGGAGTTCATTGCACAATTCTTGCCACGGACAATCAGCAATGAAACGAAGATATGAAATGTACACGAAAATATGCACGGTAGCATTAGCCAAGTTGAGCCGAGCACCATCATGTTCCACATTTTGATACTCAGAAACTTCAAAAGATCAGTTCACTGCATACTTTGTGCTGCGAGCCCTATCACAATTTGGCAACTAGTAGCGATATTTGTGACCTGTCGGTCTTTCAAAATCTTATCTCCACTGTCACTGCAGCAATGCAGATTGACAACTTGTCCCTTGGTGCATCCACTCCCCCACGGACTTTTTTTCATTGGAGACTGTACGATGGGATGTCAAAGCAAAGTTCAAACAGACTGACGGGCGTACGGAGTCTACTAAGCATACCAAATTTTCATTAGCAAAACAGCGACTTTTGTGGTAAGCTGCAACCGCACTTTGCCGACGACCCCAGCTCTTCAAGTGACGGACGTACGGAAAAGTCAAAATGCACGACATTTTCATCAGTAACTTCGCAATAGATGGATGCAACTTGCATTCCCGCAGAGCCCCCCACGTATGGATACTCATAAAATATTTGAATCATCTAATATTTGACATATCTGATACTTCAACGGCGAAACTTCAAAGTCTAAATAATGGATACGATCTTATCAAGAGATCCATCGTGGCGCTTATACGAGACATTTTTTCAGCATCATGGGTAGGAAATCCACATTCACTGTAACATTATTATCAGATATCACATCTTCACTTCGGGGATGTACGAAATCCGAAGGAACATGATACGGACTCAATATCTCCGAAGCTTAAGATGGTTGCCTTGGTTTATCTTTGGTTTGAGTGAACTATTGCTACCTTGGTCATGGTACTTCTGACTCTTGAACGTATTGGCAGTGATATCTACGAAAAACTGGTTTTTAACCTGGAGCATTTTTCCGTTGATTGGAAAATTCGAGAGATTTCGAACCTAGAAGGGTACTCGGAGTATTGAAGGATGTTGAACTATTACCACCTTGGTGATGATATTCGCGAGTCTTGAAAGTATTGGCAATGATACCTAAGGGAAAACTGGTTTTCTGACCCCCAAGTATTTTTCCGATGAATCGAGATGGAAATTTCGAGAAATTCAAGCCTAGAATGTGAATGAGCTTCGGAGTTGTGGAAGAATGATGAACTATACTAATCATGATTTCGAGTCGAGTTGAGTCAATTTCAAGTGCATTTGCCACTGTTCATCATGCAATTAGCTTCTTTTATCCTTCCTGACCCTGAGACAGGTTTGGAATCACTGGTCAGTATGAATTCCTTTCTTGCGGCACAATCACTGATATAAGCACTAGAGATTTGAGCATATATCTCTCACGGCGAGAGCGATATCTCATGATATGCCGTACGACGAGGATAAGACTGGACAAGACTTGACAAGACCTTTAGCCTGATCATTGGGTACATGATACAGTTCATTTTTCGAACTGACAAAGCAGATATGACCAGGTCTAAGTATTGAATGCACCCATTTTCAACGATTTTATCAAATTCGAATCAATGAGGAGCGATTTTTCGAACCATAGTATCTCTCAGTATCAAACCGGAACTTGAGAATATGCAGGCACAAACACCTGATGTTCAATTAAGCTGTAGCCAATGAAATAATCGGTACAAAGATACACCGAGTCTTGGAATTCAGATGTTTGGATGGTAATGGATGTGCATGCATATGTCAGGAGATTAATAACGATTATTTCGACTTTTTGTTGAAGAATCTTGGATGAGCTTCTGATTGGATTCAATCTATTCTCCTGATGCGATACTTCTCATTCGTTATTATCACGCAATATTACCTACTTCGATTACGTCTAGCATCTGAAAGATGGGAGGAATTCGGTACTTCACGGTTCACAACAAAGTCTACACCATATCGACCGGCTAAAAGCTAAGGAATGAATTTATCCGTCGTGGATATTTATATAAATATGAAGTTCCTCCCGGACATGAAGCGGCATTCATTCAAGTGGTATATATCAATGTACTTCAACATCTCAATAATTCCTGGAAATTCGAAGAAAAAAAAGCAGAACTTTCCACACGAAGCAGTTAACATTCGAGTCATTCATATATGTCAGACGGAGGACTAGCAAAATCCCGATGACTTGGAAATTATAATCAGCAGGTTTGATTCGACGAAACGAATGAGTTAGAGATTGATGCTTGCCCCGAGCATATGTATTTATTCGTTGAACCAGATCAGATACAATACTACAAGTACTCACCAATATTTTAAGACTGATATCTCATATCACATGATTTCCTCGTGATCTTGGGTCTTTTGTTTTTGTTGCTTTGTTTATGGATTCAACAAGAATCTCCTCGACTTTTCTCTGGAGAATTAACAAGAGGAAGAAGGAAAGATAAAGAAAAAGGATTCATATACCAGGGACCAACAAGCACGCCTTGAAATTTCATTCTCTTCCCATTCGTCCTTTTCCTTCTCTTCCCTTTCCAGAACTAATACAGATCACATATACAGCTCATCCAAACCCAACCCCAAACCCAACCCAACCCTCCCTCAAGCCTCCTCTTCATCTCCAAAACAATAAAACCAATCCCAATCCCATAAACCCCATAACCCCAGAACCCCCAATGGCCTCACGACCTCGCTAACCTCAATCAATTTATCCATATTACCCCATATCTCACACGACTCAGCAATAACATACTCCATTTTTTTCCCCGGCAAACTCTCCCGTGTATCCATCCCTGTTTACCCCGGATTTCGGGATTGTGGGCCGAGATTTTTTGATGGGTTGCCGGTTGTTGTGTGGGTTGGGATTTGTTGGGTTGGTTGGATGAATGAGTGTATATATGTATTGGATGAAATGAATGCAGTTCGTTGGGATGGAGGGTAGGGTGTGGGGTTTATATAGTTAATGAGTCTCGCTATGTGAGGTTTTGCGGGAATTTGGGTTTTGTGATTGTGTTTTTAGTTTGGTTTGGTTTTTGATGTTGATGTTGATTAATCGACTTGATTTTTATCGATATTGGTTGAATTTTATATCACCATAACTAATCCAGTCCATTCGTCTATCCATCTATCTATCCATCCATACATCCAGCATAAGCAAACCTCGAAATACAAAACTCATCACAGGAAAATACCCAAACAACACATACCCCCCCCCAAAAATGCTTCATCAAAGCCTCTTCACACTCTTCACTCTTCTATTCACCATCTCCGCATCTCCTCTTTACACTCATTCTTCGGTTTCTCTAAGAGATGTTGCTCAAACCCAGTCTTCCCGTACTACAACATGTCTGAGTACTTATTTTGGTGGTTGTTGTGTTGTGGATGGGTATGGAGTTTATGGATCTTGTATGTTGTCTAAATCCTTCTAACCCCTCTCGCTTCATCATTCTACTCGCCCACGCCTCATTGCCTAGCTATCCATCACTCCCTTCGCCCTCGTTGTGAATTCTTCCATCACCTCAAAGAGAAACAAAACCATCTAACACACCAAAAGGTACAAACGCAACACTACTCGCTGAAAATGTCGCATGGAATGGTATACCCACGACGCTTACTGCAAATGAATGGGCATGCACAAGTCTTATTGATGGAAAGGTAATAAGTACAGGTTGTTGTGAATGGAGCGAGAGTTATGTATGTGTTACTTTACTTTTCTTTTTGTGAAATGATTTTTGGAGAGATATTTTTGTCTTTCCGTGGTAACTCCTTATTATTCCCCATCCCGCGCTCTCCGGGTCCTCCATCCCTTTCCTCCGATTAGCTAGCCTTCCCCTCGTCATCCTTCCGCCACCCGCTACTCCCAAACCCCTCACCCCGCTTCCTCCCTTCATCCCCAAGATCTCAATGCACAAATCAAATAATCCAAACTAACCCCTAGCTCAAAATAAAAGGTCGATGTAACATACCCTAATGGAGTAATTGTTCCTACATTAGAAAAATCAATGGCTTGTACAGCTAGCAGTGCTGGTGTTTCGAAAAGGACGGAGGAGCTCGAGAGTGGAAAGGTTATATGAGGAGATTGAGGTTGTCTTTGGCCTTTTAATGGTTATAAGTTGGATGGGAGGGATGGTTAGGATGGATAGGATGGATGGGTCGTAGGGAAATTAGGTGAGGTTTTGGAGAAGAGGAGTGGGAGTGGGAAAGTAGGTCAGGACAGCGACCGCTATGATTTGGAAGATTCGGAAATTTGTGTGTGGAAAAATTACTCGGAAGAGATATTTTATTTCATTTGGATATCGATGAAGAGTTGAGGATTATGCGATGCGAGTGGTTAGAAGAAAGAGGGAGGTAGTAGATTATTAAACGATAGGATTATATTGTTAATCATTCAGATACTCTTGTATCCTATCACTCTTCACCTTTGAAATTTACAATAAGTCTTGGTTTTCATATTTAATAGTTCTATTGAAGTATAAAATACTATACACAATAACGATATGTGGAGGGTTGAAAAACTATATAGCATCAAAGCAGGTTCCACGGGATACTTCCGCACCGTTCCTGAGCTACATCCAGAGCTAGTAGTTTTCTTTTATTGTCTGAATATGTCATTTGGATCGTCTGGGACTTCTCCTTCAATACTTAGATCCGTTTCTATAAAATATATAATAAAAATTTTGAAGTGAGTATTATCTATTTTGTATCATCTCGTGAAGTTATATCAATCAGATTTTCCTTCCTAGTTGATTATTTCAATGGTGTATAATATCTTAGTACCAAGGTTGATAAACTAGTACTTTCTCTCCATGACTTGACTGCTCAACCTGCTGTTGAAATGGTGGATGTCTACTATATTCAAGAGTTCAACCTCAATTTGAAGAATGATATCCTGATATTTAGCCGAAATATTCAAAATGCGCAATCAAATTCTATTATATGGACTGAATATATGGTAGATTCATGATATTTGTGTTTGATATTCAATAAACTACACAGGGAATCTCGAATATATAAATACTATAGAGTATATAAGATGATACTTCTATCCTTGTCTTTATTTCGTGAACATGTATCCATAAACCATCTTATATGGAAGAATATAACTGTACGGTAATATCTCAGTCGACGTCTCTACGGGCCGACCTATTAGCATCGTGTTATTCTCCTCCTGATTATCACATACACATAACACAACTAATCATCATGTGTTTAGAACTCTTAAGGGCATGGAGATGTGTATGACAATTACATATTATTTGCATAATGAATATGTAGTGAGAATATGTAGTGAGAATATGTATGATAATACATACATATTATATTACTCATCAATAATTTTCCGAGAGGTAAGCATGAGTAAGATCTGTAGCTTAGGAGCATATGCATGGATGAGATGATATGAGATAATCCTCCCAACTCAAGTAGTACAAATAAATTAAATCAGCATTATGCATCTCCGAAATTCTTCTTATTTCTATCATACATAATGTCAATGAATTGTCGACCCATCATGACTCGGTTATACCTTGTAAGTCATATCATTCTCATGATCCGATTGTCAGGAGAGTTTCACAGATTTCCTTGTGATATCTAAAGACTAATATACCTTTTACGTCACATTTCCAACCACGTAGTGTTTATCTATTCGCGGGGAAACTGCACTATGAGGTCAGTAGAGAGGAGAGAGGTAACCTTACAATATGATATGATGCCTCATGCAACCAGGATACATTGCCAGCTTCAAAAAGATCAATATAAAATACCCAAGACCCATCCCATTAACTCCAACTTCCATCTACACACCCATCTCCATCAATACAATTCTTAATTACATTTCCAAACTCAATCCGATGCTCTCAAAACAATCAAATTAAATCCAATCAAACCTCCACCACCTATCAATATCCCAAAACAATATATCCATCCAAGTCATCCAGAACCATAACCTCAACATACCAATTAAACTAAATCAATCATGAAAACTCCACTGCCTATTCTCCTCCTCACCCTGACCCTCACCACCAACACCCTAGCTCGTAACTGTACGCCCGGATTAAATTATTGCGGAAGAACACTCCTTAACATTGGAAGTTAGTTATCCTACTCCTTCTACCCAAAACCCCTGTCTCACCCCGCATTCCCTAACTCCTCATCCTCACCCTCACCCTCTCCTACCACAAAATCCCTAACACAACCAATCCTACAACCTAACCTACCCTAACCTAACAAACAACCCCCCCAGAATACCAACCACAAATCGATCAAAGTCTCGCAGACGCACATGTAGGCGAAGCAAACGGCGGAGCAGATGATTTATTTCATTGTGTGGGGGGAAGTAATGGGGTGATTCGTTTTGTGAAGTATTGTGTTAATGGGTGTAGAGATGAGGGGAAGGGGGCTAGTGATGTTTGTAATTAGATGGGGGTAAACAGAGGGAAAGGTGGGGGAGAGGGGAGCTGGGAGATGGGAGGAGGGGATAGATGAGTGGAAATGAAGGGGAGAAGGAGGGGGATGGATGGATGGATGGATGGATGGATGGGTTGGGGAATGGGTTGCGGATGTGCAGGTGAAGGTGAAGGTGGAGGGCTTGATGAAGAGCACTAGTATGGGCACATTTTATCGGGGATTAAAGTCATACATACATACATACATTCATTCATTTTAGGATTTACCTATATCTATAACTCACACATACAAATTCAAAACAACTTTTAAATATACACGATTTGGTCGAAAAAACTTTACATTTCATTAACAGTTATCATTCCTTGAGGATAGGACGTGTTCTGGTCTTTCTCGTCATTTTAATATAGTGATGCTATCTATGATGTTTGAACCATGATTTGATTTTCGAAAGGACGTCTCGACAAGATGCGAATTATGTAAATATATATATATACATATATGAAGACTTGGCGTTGCGAAAAATGAAGATGAGATTTATCCCTTATGTTTTATAAAAATCGAAAAATATATATATAGGTTGCAAGAAGAGAAGGATTCGAGATATTGTAGGAAGTTGATTCATTGGAATAATGGATAGAGGGTAGTAAATATAAGTATGAATTAATGATCTGTCAAATTGAGAAATACATGAATGTATTGTGGATGAATGAAAGGCATTGTGTATTCCTGCCTTGTGCTAGTGATCTTTACCTTGGTGGATGAGACTGTAAAGGAATTTGGGCTAATTAAAACATGAGTAGATTAATGGAAAGCTGGATGGTGATGATGATAGAAGTGACGATAGTGATATCATCGACACAGGGGAACGAAAAGCGCTTTACATGGAGGCCAGATGAAAAGGAGAATTCTTTGGTGGGAAATGCAGGTGGGCAACCTGTGGCGGATAATGGAGAGCTAGCATTTACAGGATGGTCTTCAGACTATTTTCTTAACTGGATAATTGAATTGAAGATTCTGCTGTTGTGAAAGCTAAGGACTTGCTGAAACCTCCTCTTCGAAACCAGCAGTATCTCGAGCCAACGATTTTCCCTCCTTTTATCTCATCATGCTTCATACATAGTAGCATATACTTCGAAACCAAATATCAAGAACGAAAGATCTTGCGACACCAATCATACAGGCCCTACACCCTTAAGACATTCTGCACCACGTAAATGCATTTCCAAAAATGTCCTTATCGCCACAACCGGAATACCATGCCTCATAGCAGTTTGATCATCCCAAGAAGAATGCAATCCAATCAACAATCCATTATCATTTCTTAACAAAGGTGCTCCAGAATGACCCCAATAAGTCCAAGCATCATGTTTCAAAGTGCCAATCTCCTCGTTATCCTGAGGATCCTTGCCGGACATCATTCCATGAAATAATCCTTCTGATACTTCTATAAGTTTATATTTTGTCTTTCGATCATTTGAAGATTCTAAATCATCACTTCCTGGTTGTCCGATACATATAATTGAAGTGTTAGTTTCTGGAAGTTGAGTTGCCAAATTCACATATGAGAATTGCGGGATAGTATTTTCAGAATTTTCATCATCGACTTCGATGCTGATTACTTTCAATAATGCTAAATCACGTTTTGGATCCCAAACACGACATTCAACTTCAATTGCAAGACCAGTATAATATAAAAGCCATCGACGTGGATTTTTCCGACACTCTTCTTCGGTTTCGCCAATGCAATGGGAACACGTAAGTATCCATCCAATTGGATCAATACATACTGCAGTTCCTGCCTCATATTGCGCAAAAATCAAAGTCGATTTCATTGAATTCAATATATGAGTTCCGGATGGTAAATATTTGAATGTGGATAAAGCAGTAGCCATTAGTCGGGATTGTTTCTTGCGAAGAAGTGTGACTTCACCTCGGTCTAGACCTCGTAATTTGGAAGAGGATGGTACCAGTCGTATCTTTTCGTCCACATTTAGAGATGGGGACTTTTTCGCAGAAATGAAAGTCACTGGTTGGTCTAGATTTGACATCGAGTTTGGTGGAAGTGGTGTTGAGACTTTTGAAGCAGAACTTGAGGATCTTAATATGCGTTGATGGTTTTCCATATTTGACACTGTAATTCGTGTGCTTGATTGATGTCGTACAAGTGTACAGAAACCCTCTGTAAACGACAATATCCAATGTAATTCATGCGTCTTTGGAGCCCAGCGTCCTGCTATTATTGAACCAAATAATTCATTTCAAATGAAGAGTCGTCTTGCATCTAGACCATGAACTGTCTGTGTGTAATATTGAATTTTGAGTCTGGCCACAATTCTTTCCAAAGTCGTTACCGACAAATCCAGGGGCGTTCTATAGACTCAGGTCTGGCCAAAATCCGACATGCAACAAATATGTTGTCTCGGGAGTTTGATTTGTCCTTCTGGGTAAGGTTGTGAGTACTTCTGACGAATTGTTTCTTGCCAACTCAACGGGTGCAGTATCATTTGAAGACACTTTTAATGCCTTCATCATATATATGTAAAGTGTTGCCTGTTCTCGAATGAAGGATGATGAGATGAACGTGCGTGAGGTGACATGGCATTTGATGGTATCACGTGATAGTAAAGGACTGACCGCAACAATAATCCTAGAGTTGATGACGATCTTGAGCCGTTTATGATCTGTAAATTCTCTTAACACTGTAGAACTCGTTTGAAATCCACTTGTGCTAATTGGATGTGAATTAAATTTGGCTGACTTCAGAGTAATCACGTGTATTCACGGAGCCAAGCATCGGGACTAATGGGTACGAACTCAGTACTTATCCGAACCGAAACACGGGATAACCATTCATTAGATACTGTGAGAAAACTCATCGGCCCATCCGGATTCAAGACCTTCTCCTTTTATTCATAAGCTTCGGCTGAAAGTCAAAGATAGACAAGGAAGTCTTCGATTCAATAATCTCTTCGATATCACATTCTTATTGTCAGAAAGTATAAAACTTGTATCTAAAGTTCGGGCTATCTACTTCTGGTTATATGAGAGCAAATTATTCTTTTATATACTTGGGATAGTAATTAGTCAATATACCTCCATTTAGACACTACTATCTTATACTGGCCAGTAACACAAACCGAAATACGATGTTCCAAACGAAAAGACTGGGAAAGACTTATGCCATCACAAACCGAACGAACTATTCAGAGAACCGAATGTGTGTCTTTGGAAATACCCTCAGACAAGCTCACTCTACTCCGATTTGATCTTTCGATCCCAGAAGTTTGGTTCAAGTGCGGGGTTGTTGGCAATATGTTGAATATTTGTCCTTGGCATCTTCCACCTCTTTCTTCTGAACATACTTAGCTGTGCACATGGCCGGGACATGTGCGCAGAGTACATTGTGTATCATCGTACCGCATTTACCATGCTCCTTTGCATTTCCTTTTCATTTCTAGGGATCTTCATCACTCCCGTATTCTACCTTCCTGCCTTCATGTCATCATTTATCCTCCTAAAATCCTAAATCATATTTCGAGTATCTTCATTTCTCTTGTATCCTGTTTGTATTTTGGATTATTGCATTAAGACAACCACATGAACGCGGGGTCATTAAATACCGCAGACAACAAAATAGAATAGCTCGGGATGATTAATACTTGCTAGATACCTTATCTATCGCATTCCTTCATCGTTTCAGGGTAAGATATACACGATAGCTCAATTAGTCCTCGGTCACGATTCAATTCATGTGAAAATACCGAGTTTCGAAATGTCAAAGTACAGAATATGATGGTGAGGGATGGTAAGGATGAGCTAATGTTCCTGAAGGGACGATCATTACTCGACGTACGCTACAGGCACCGGCATGTACCGTTGTGTGTCCGGCAGAAGGAAGTAGTCTCCATGGACTTTTCAAACCTGATATTACGACCGATAGGCACATTTCTCTAGACTGCCGGTGGAGATGTGAATGGATATCTGAATGGATATCTAAATGGATACCTTACCCACTTACTGAAAAGCTTACCTAGTTCTCTTACTCATGCGTCCGTCAGTGGTATCCATAGATTTTGTGCTAGGTACTTGTGAAGCCAGAAAGTAGTTCTATGCAATTCCGAAATTCCATATGTATATGCCATACGATGATGAACTGACAAAAGAATAGACAAACTTCTTATACGTTCAGCTTTAGACTTCCTAACAACATAAGTACTCAGTCATAAAAATTTATTCCAATTCTCGAACGACAGTTAAAAGCTAAAAGTTTACTTGTTGTTGTTGTTGTTGTCCATTTGAGCAAAGGCCAACTTAACATGGTGGAGTAAACAAATCTACCTTAAAACTTTGCAGGGCTTTAACGGGGCATTAACAGGGCAAACACCAGTACCGATATATGATATTTTCATTTCTAAAGTCTCTGATTGGTTAAAATCGATCGGAATTGATCAAATCAAATCTACCATTATTAAGCTACGTCCCAAGTTGTACTAGCAGTAATAGATCAACAAACTTTATCACTGCAGAAAACACCTAATCGGGATTATCTTCAAAATTTCTTTTCAATCATTGTGCTCGAGTAACTCTTGATTCATAAGGAAGAGCATTTCAATTCATAATTGGCCAACCAAACAAATTGCGCTAATCTCGTTAGATAATCCCCTTGTAAATCTTCTCCCTCTGTTTGAATATCAATACGTTTACTATTCGTTCAATACAACCTCATTATACCAACTCGAGGCTTCCTACCGAATAGATCGCGAGAGACAGGGGTCGTAGGTATATTCCGGGGTAATACACAACTTAGTATGTAACCACATATCAAATGGCCAGGTTCAAATCAAATCAATCTCTTAAGCTTTACCCAATACAAGGACATCGCCGTCCCGTTCACCGAGGCTAATACATACTCCGTAGTTAATCCACCGAACAAGATGAATTTGAGATCTGGCATCTGATTGTATAACATGGGAATGGTTGTAAGTGCATGTAGGTGGCGGTAATATGGGTACGATCATGCACCTTGTGATCCTACTCTGTGAACTTGTGAGAATTCTTTTCTCGGCACGGAGAAACCTTCAATTGGTATGTGGTACACTGGTACCACTGGTACTGCATCTAAATGGATTAAACTATGTCAATCTTCTTCTGAGTAGGTTTAGTATATCATTCCCAATTACGCCCAAAAGCTTAACGGATTCGTTCAGCTAATTGTCATTTTCCTAGTCGTGTAAATCTCATCGGGCACTGCGAAGGACGAAGCAAAAACAAGCCACTGGGACACCTTGACTGTGTGTCTGGTTTCGCCATTCATTTTACAGTTCACATGCTTGGATGTAACATGATACTTTTCTCCTAATCGGAGATGATTCCTCATAGAGCATTCAAAAGTAGATCTATACCTTTCCTTGTTACCTTTTCTGATACATGTCACCTTGTCCTAGTGAGGACCCCTCCCTTTCCACATACTACATCTACTCCGCATTGGTAACTAGTCTCCCTCCCTTCCCCACAGTCCATTCTCAACTTATAGAAGTATTGAAAGTTTCGCAATTTTTTCTTTATTGGATTTTTTTATAGATTTTTCGCTCTACCGTCTCCGTCGTCTTCAGTACGGGAAATTATTTCTTTGTTTATTCGGGAATGAAACGTCATTTTATGAGATTTATCGCTTTTTCATCTTGATACTATAAATTACCATCTTTCATTCAAAATCCCATCGAGCGAGCGGAAATAACTCCGAGATTTTACCTCGTGAGAAAAAAGACTTCCCAAAAAAAACAAAAAACTTACCTTCATAATTCAATAATTTCCAACAGTTAGTCGTCGAATAAACAAAATGACGGCCGGTTTAGATGATTATGATAACAAGACGACGGAGAGACAGGAGGTTGAACAATATCAAAGAGATCCTTCACCAGTGAAGAGATCATTTGGTGGAAAAGTAAAGAGACATTGTGCTCGATTTTGGTGGATTCATCTTATTGGTTTTTGCATAGTATTCCTTATCATTGCATTATGTCTGTAAGTATTTTTCTTTTCTTTCAAAGTCAACCGTTTTAAATTTATACTAACAAAATCAGTGTTTATGTCGCAATGCCAAAGATTGCCCAAGATGGCGTTAGTGATTCTACACTCGAAATCACTCAACTTCAATTCACACATCCAACTCCTGATACCATTGTTCTTAGCCAAGTAGGCACACTTCACAGTCCATCAATGTATACACCTACATTAGATCCATTCAACGCATCTTCCTACCTAGTAATAAACGGAACATACGCATCAGAACCCATGGTAATAATTCCACTTCCGAAAATCCACGTTCTGCACCCCAGATCTACCATCTCAGTGGAAAACCAAGAATTATCCATCTTCAACGTCGACGCTTTATCAGACTACACCACCGCAGTCCTAAGCAACGAATATGTCACCACGGCACTCGTCGGAAAAACAAAATTACACGAAGGAGCTCTCCCAGTCACCTCTATCAAATACAATAGAACAAGCACATACAGAGGACTCAACGGTCTAAAAGGTTTCAACGTAACCAATGTCCGCGTCAACCTTACCGCACTTACAGGCCCCAATCTCTCCGGTGACGCATACATTCCCAACCCCTCCAACATGACCATCGTGATGGGTAACGTCACCTTGGAACTTAGCACCTCGACCTCCGGCGTGGTAGGTAATGCCACTATTAATAATATGACGCTAGTACCGGGGAATAATACGCTTCCGATGGTGGGAACCTTGGATCAATCAAAGGTGATTGCGAGTATGGATGCTAAGACGGGTTTGGTGGGGTTGAGTATTATGGGACAGAGTGCTGTGTTTAATGGACAGCATTTGGTTTATTATGAGAAGGCGCTTCAGAAGAATGTTTTGAGTTTGGACTTGAATGTTGCGCAGGTTTTGGCGGATAGTACGGCGGCGTTGTAGTGACGACTAGGGGGGGAGGAAGGGAGGCGGGAATGAGGAAGGATGATGAGGTGGAAGTGGAAGTGGGATTGAGGGGATGGAAATGGCGGGGTTCTACTCGCTGAGGATGAATGGTGATGATTATTTTGTTCTTGGATGGGTATAGTATACCCTGTACCATGTGCCCTAAGCAAGCGCGAAGAAAAAAACTCCGAAATATCCGACATTTCATTTTCCGGATGGCTAGTCTGGGCAGGAGGAAGGGTCCATGCATACTTAGGTATATCCTGAGATACCTCTCTATCCTCTTCATCTTCCTCACCTCACCTCTCTCACCTCATCTCACCTCATCCTCTATTCTTGGAGAGATCTATATTATATACCCACATATACCTTCATCATAAAAAATATCAAAACAAAAAAGAACAATGATGCGATGAATTGGAATGGAATGGAATGGGCCAGATGGATTGGATAGCAATGAGTCTTAATGATGGTGCTGATGGTGTGATGAATAATGGTGGGGTATATAGTATTGTATGGTATAGTGTAGCTATTATACCTACTACTTAGTATGATATCATATAGTATAATGAGTGGTATCACATTATTACATTACATTACTGTGTTCTTGTTGGATGTATTGAGTGTATTGAGTGGTTTGAGTGTGTTGAATGCATTGAATACTCTGAATATTATTACTTGCACTTTAGAAGCTGGGGAGATCTGGAGGATGTGAGATAGTGTGGATATGGAGATTTAAAAATGAGGGAGAGGTAGAGGGAGAGAAGAGGGGGAAGGGAAGGGAAGGAGCGTTTTGGAGGTAGAGGTGTGGTTTTAATAGGTGACTTATATTTCTATAAATCACTCACTTCTTTCTATATAATAGAGACCTCTCAACCTCTCAAACTATCAAATCTAAAACCCACATCAATAAATTCATAAGATCATATCTTATAGTCTATACAGAGTCAAGAGTCAAGAGTTAAGATTGTTTCCTTTAGATCTTTATCTTTTTCTAGACTAAGTTAATAGGTTCGAATACTAGATACTTCGCTACTTGGAGGGATGACCACTCAAACTCTTTCTATTATTGCCTGTTTAATAGATGATTAAATTTAAAAGTCTAGAAGTCTAGGTGTATATTCACTTGCTATCTTTTTACTTCTCTTTCATTTCTTCATTTCTTCAATTAGAATCTTGTAAAGTCATTTCATTTAAAGACCCTAATCCTTCGATTCAGGTTTTGAGATTTTGAAATTTTTAGAGTAAAGAAGATCATTAGGTCTCTGTTGAGGAGTATGAGGATTTGGATTTGGATTTGGATTTGGAGTTGGAGTTGGAGCTGGATATGTTTTGGGGGGGGTTTTTTTTGGAAGGAGGTGAGGAGAGGCGGGATATAGGGGAGGGAATGAAGGGGAAAAGGAAAAATGAAAAGAGATTTGCTGTGTTTCATTAAAGGATTTATTATTATTATTTTCTTCTTGTTTTTATTTTCATCTTCTATTGTTGTTGATTGTTTATTTTTAATTGTTTTTTTTTAATTGTTTTTTTTTATTATATATTAAATTTAATAATAACTTTTTTTATTTGATAATAATAATAATAACTAATATCAATCCATCATTCAGTCCTCGTCATCTCACTTCACCTCACCTCAAACCTCACCTCAAACTTCACTCCACCACTCACTCCACCATCTTACTTCATTACTTCATTACATCTAAATATCTCTTTCCTTAAATCCCATATCCATATCCACACTATATCAAATCTATCAATCTATCAATCTCTATTTAAACACTCTATCCCTCTCTTTCTCGAAATGGGTCTCTACAATAAAGAGATAACCAAGTACCAGCGCCTAGCAGGAATGGGAGTTCATTTCAATTTGGTTATGAATGAGCGTCCGCCATCTCTCTTTCTCATTTCCTTAGTCCCACCCTAATAATAATTATCCAAAGGGAAAAAGAGTTTATTATTAAAGAGATTATTATCGTTATAATTTTCTTGTTTTATTTCTTATTTTTGTTTTTCTTTCTTTATTATTAATTGCTTTTTTAATATAATATATAGATTGGGTTTGATGATATCTTGTATATATAGTTCAACAACAAACAAGAAAATATAACAATCAATCTCCAAAACATTATACACAGCGCAAGCCTAATAGTCCCTCTATTTACTCTTCATCTAGAGTACAAGCGACAAACTCTCATATATCTCCTAACTATTTTCCACTCTTACTCATCTATTCATATTTCCATCATTAGTTCATCTGCTTGCTTGGACAAGGAAGAGGTATAGTGATTCGTTGATTTAATATTAATACATATATAGATCTACCTACAAGTACTATATTTTACTTATTTCCTGAGACGTGGAAGAAAAGTCACTTGGAGAGTTCTAACGCATCGCTTGTGTAGAGTATAGAAGGATCGGAAAAGGGATAGAGAATTGGATGGCTGGATTTAATTGGTATGTATTATCACTTTGATATCTAAGTTTTTCACACGCGTATGTTCCTGGTTCCTGACTTTTTGACATCTCTTGCGTTCTTTTGATTGGTATGCTAAATGGAAAAAGGGGCGGAGGAGAGAGAGATATATATAGAAGAGATGTAATCTTAGATTGATGATGTATGGTGGTGGGTAATGTGAATGGAGTGAATGACGAATTAGTAGCCCTTTAGCGCAGCGCAATAATTTGTAGCTAGTACACATCATCCCTTGGCAGTCTATATATATCATCATATTGTACTCTTCTTTCGGTTCGTTATCTGAATCCGAAGTACAAGCACCAGATGACGTATGGAGTGGTTGAAAATCTCTGGATTATGGGAGGTTTGAGTGAAAGTGCGCGATTGGAAAGGAATTTGGAGGGGATCGTATAGTAGGTAAGGTGTAGACTTGGGACGGTAAAAGTGTTTTGTTGTTGATGATTGTGTTATTTTTTGAGGTGTTGTTGCATCGTCTTTTTTGCATTGTCTATCTGCGAGTTGTTTGAGACTTATTTTGGATGAGATATCCAATTCCAATTCGATTTTTTTTAAACTGGAAAAAGTCTTGGAAAGAGCCATGATGTTGGCAACAAAGGTGTCTAGGAGATTAAAAAGAATTCAGACCAGTTTCTTTTGATTCTTCGAAACTGTGCTCGGCGCGCTTTGTATGAATGTCGGAAGCTTTTCCGTAGCATCGCTTTTATATCTGTTCAGTTTCATAAAATGGTGCATGTTAGTCCATAGAGACAACAGACTCCGCCTGGTAGTGCTTGGAGGTTAAGCTCTTATCAATGCCGTATCCTAGTGAATGATATTCTCTGAAAGATTGAAGTATTAACAATAGCGGGGTCTATTACATAGCTGTTTGGAATACAAAAATCAAAAACTTTGAATTACTATCCAGCATCAGCGACACATTATATATTCTCATCTTATACATTGTGAGAAAGTTGGAATTATAGGCCAAATACATAAAGGTTTTAACTAGTCAATCACATGACCTTCTGTAATTAGATATAAAAGAGCCTTTTGCCTCTTCTTTTCACAATAATCAACCTTCTACATATATACATTTGAACTCATATAGCATCAACCCCAAAACCATTGTGAACCCCGTTTTACCCATAAGTGACGTATTACAATGTAATCTAATTCAGCTTTCTCTTCCAATTCCCTCCTCACAGCGTGCTATCGGGACGCACGTATCTCGACCTACCACTTTTACAACATCTTCTTGTTTCTTGTGATATCGAACGAGAGCGAAACTTGTGGAGACAGGTGATGGGAATTCTTTCGTTTTCCTGCTCCTCCTGACATGGATAACTATGCGTGATTAATATTGGAGCAGAGCTGTTTACACATCTGATCTACTTACACTTGCGATATATTAAAATGAAAAACATTGCATTAATTATCATTGAAGTTGTGTTTTTATTATCGATCATATACAACTCTTATAAATTGACGAAAATATATCATGTTATAGAAGAGATAACAGAGAAAGATAAGTCAATTTTATTTGTAAAGAATTACAATGATTAGAAATTACATCAACTTTGGCATTATAGGTACATAGCTTTACAACTATCATAAATTCTGCTATCTTCGAATTCTCTGATGCCTACATCATTTCCCGAGAAGTGACTAATAGCTTTTGAGGGACAAAAGGGATCAGAGTGAGGTATTTTCTTTTATAACTAATTAGCTCTTTCTTTTCTGTACAATACGACATTGAAGTGAATAATATCAAATCAAAGCATGAAGTCTAAGACGATCCAGGAAGTGGATCTTGTGTCTTGGCATCTATTACTACCTATCTTTATATCTCAACTCGAGGTTTGTGGCGAAAGAATTTTCATAGAAACTACCGGTAGATGATGGGAATGTCATAGTCAAGTTATAAAAACGGATAGTTGATGGTCGCTCTTTGGATTTGAACTGCATTGATGATGATTCGGAGACTGCTTTGTAGATGTATGTACGAGACTTGACGCACTCGTTGTCTAAGGTTGATATTGTGTTGTATATTTGTATTGTTATTTCCGACTTTAATCTTCCTTATCAGATGTTGGGTTTGGATAAAGTGTGTGTTTTGCGATGATGAGGGGTTGAGACAATTACCAGGAGTAATTTGAAGGATTGTGGGGACGAGTACGGTAGTACCGTGTCCATCCAAAAACTTCGACATTAATTCACCATAGTCACATGATTGGCATCTATATTTTATCACTCACCCTTTTAAACTACGATTAATAGTACTAGGAATAGCATAGATTAACTCATGCGAAGAAGTGGTTGGCCGAGTTCGAGTTTCTAAGATCGGGTTAAGCCTACGAGGAACTCCTGCTTTAGGGGAGTGTACTCCCAATATATTTTTTGTTGGCAATTCCTCATACTATTTGAAACAATATACGAAAGTTCTTCTTTGATGATGTATATTTTAACAATCGACAAGCAATATTCAAGAACTCTATGTAAAAACCTCACTCTGTCAAAGCTGAAGAAACAACACCTGATCCTTTGCTAACTTTGCTAACTATGGACGAGATCTCTGTACAGATTAATGTGCAGGCCACGTTTCCCATGAGTAATGAGCTCGTACTATAAGGGTGATTACGAGTCGTAGAGACTCATGGAAACTGACCCGCAAGACATAAATAGAAAGAATCTGAGATGACGCGGTGAGTTGAATACAGAGTTTACTACTTTCCGGGTTTCTCATCCCCCGGATCACTCTTAGTCAATGAGAATATTGAACCTAGAAACATTGAATGGCAAAACTATTGACAATGACTATCTCGGATAAAAAATATCAAACACTATACAACCGTATAGAAGGGTATTCCTACTTTAATAAATTCTCACATCAATCATAAATATTATCTCCTTAAGATCTTATTATGTTCTGAAAGACTTGTTGCCTATTGAC